TTGTAAAAACCGGTCACTTGGAGTTGCTCATGATCTGCACTTCCTTTTATGCATGAGCGGACCGTGTTATTATATGATTTGTTTAGTTAAACCACGCTGTATTGTTTTATTATCTAGGTCCAATTCCTTTCTTTATTCCATTTCCTCAAGCTCAATCGCTTTTTCCCCAATGTCGTCTTCAATCATTTTCTGTGCTTCGTGTGGCCTGCCAGGTCATGCTCGATCAACGAATCGCAGCGGTCCCAACAATACGAGACGTGCTGAGGAAAGCGCTATTGTCTCATCACCCATCTCCTGTGTTTCTTGCGGTCTCCCAGGACACGCTCGATCCACCTCTAGAAACTGTCCCAATAACCCCAGACGCACCGAACAACCCAACGTTGCTACGATCCAAGGATCGGTAGAAGTCCGTTGCTCTTCGTGCCAGCAACTGGGACACCAGCGCAGCAGCCATCTGGCTTGCCCATTGAATCCAGCGAGGCTGGCTATGAGAGAAGCAAACGAAAATGACGCTGGAGAACACAGCCGTAGATTACCTGCACCTGTTGGTAACGCAGAGTCTGATGAATCAGAACTCCCCAGTAGACATACCTTGGGTCGCATGAATGTTGTCTGCAATTTCTGTCAGGCACACATGTGGGCCAAAGAAAGCTCATCTGAATCGAACTCCAATCCGCAGTTCCGACTCTGCTGTGGCCAAGGTTCCGCTGTGCTTCCACCTTTGGAGCCTACACCTCCAATCATCGCCCGTCTCCTTCGTAGCGACAATGAAGAAGGGCGAGATTTCCGTGAGCAGATCCGCGCCTATAATATGAATTTGAGCTTTACTTCGGTAGGCGCCCAAATAGATGAATCCGTGGCCAACAATCGCAACGGAGCCTACTGCTACCGTATCCAAGGTGGCATTTACCACCAGATCGGTGGTCTACTACCACCAACCGAGAGTCATACCCCTGCGTTTGCCCAAATGTACATTTATGATTCCAACACACAACTTAGACACCGGCATGCTGTGGCACCCTATCTGCAGAATGCCACCCTTCTCATTCTACAAGATCTGCTTACCGAAGTCAACCCGTTCGTGCCGTTGCTGCAGTCGATGGCCCAGGTCTTGCGTGAATCTGAGGAAGCCGTAGATGTGAGGCTACTCATAAGTGCGGAAAACACGCCTGATGTTCGTCGTTACAATGCACCCACGGCTAGCGAAGTCAGAGTGATCCTGGTAGACAGTACGATCACACCAAACAGTAGCCGCGATATTGTGCTCCGATCGAGAAGCTATGGGCTTCAACGCATCAGTGAAATGCACCAGTACTACGACGCGCTCCACTATGTCCTCATGTTCCCGCATGGTGATCTCGGGTGGAACATCCACTCACGCTCGCCAAGCGGTCGGGGCATTACCGTTATGCAATGGTATAGCTACCGTCTGATGATGCGCGATAACAGCCACGATTTGCACCTGTACGGCCGATTGTTCCAGCAATATATAGTTGATATGTATGCAAAAATGGAACAGAACCGACTCACGTATTTGCGGCTAAACCAGGCAAATCTGCGCACGGAACTGTACCGAGGTATCGTAGATGCGGTAGAACTCGGCGACAATGACCTCCAAAACGTCGGGCAAAGGGTCATTCTCTCATCCACCTTCATTGGCAGCCCGAGACACATGCGCCAACTTTACCATGATGCGATGAATATCGTACGTCGATGCGGGCAGCCGGATCTCTTTATTACTTTCACTTGCAATCCTCAGTGGGTGGAAATTCAGGACGAGTTGGCTCCACTCCAGACAGCTGTTGATCGGCCCGACCTTTGCGCTCGAGTTTTTAACATGAAGCGTAAAGCTCTCATGGAAGATTTGACCAAGAAGCATGTTTTGGGTAGGGTAGTTGCCCATGTCCATACTGTGGAATTTCAAAAACGAGGATTACCGCACCTCCATCTGCTTTTGGTGTTACATCTGGACGACAAGCTGAGAACACTGGACGATTATGATCGCATTGTGTCAGCTGAACTTCCGGACAGACAGAGATTTCCTGATCTCTACGACACCGTCAGCAGATGTATGATGCACGGTCCTTGTGGAACCATGCATCCGAGGTTTCCCTGCATGGAAAACGGCTCATGTAAAAAGCGTTACCCGCGCTCCTTCAACGAAGCTACCGTCGAAGATCACAGGGGTTACCCTTTGTACCGTCGTCGCAACCAAGGTTCATCTTTCAACCATGCCTCGGTCCCCATCTTGCAACGACAACGATTATCAGCGCTCTACAAGTCATGGTTGCCCAAATTTCTCTCCACGAAACACTTTCACGATAATAGGCGAAACAATCAGCAGCAAATGCCGTTTGCGCCAGTTGTGGTTAAACAGAGCATCGTCGCCGTTCACATAAAATGTGAGTGGAGCTCTTTTTTGAAGAAAGGTGATTGACGATACGACGATCTGGTGTTTTGTAGCATCATTTAATTTGGGTTATCTGTCAGTTATACTGTATATGCCCTTTCATTCTCTTCAGTAATCGAATGATACATGGAGCAGATATGCTTCGATCTGTGTAGCCCATCATTCATGCATCAGTGAGGTGACTATTGTTTCATCCATGGAAAATCACATATTTTTGTCCGAATTTTTTCTTCTTCTTTAGTTTTGCATCTCTTCTGTTTGCCTGGAAATCCCTCACTATCATTGCATCCATCATCCATCACCAGACTATGGCGTGTATCTGATCCGGTCGATTCGATTATTATGAAAAAAGGTACCTTTTGTGTGATACGACTATCCGTTTTTCGACAAGAAAAAATTTACCTGTCCTTTTTCTCTATTCTGTCTTTAGCTTTTGGTTTTCTCTCCGGTTTTCTTTTGCCTGGCAAGCCATTCAAGCCATCCATCCCTCCAAAACCTTTCTACTTTGTTCGGGCACCAGATTGTGGCCAATCCGGTTTTTGTCGTCAAAGGACATCTTCGGTCGTGTGGCTCTCTTTCTCATCGGGAAACGCTGACGCGTCCTCCCCAGGTTCCTCTCATATGGATTGCTGCCCGTGGTATCGCCTTCGATATTTCTTCCCGACCATTTTATTTTGTAGTTGTAGTATGTATTTTGTATTTTAGTGAATAGTCTTCTTGCAGTCTTTTCCTCCTTTTTTTTCCCACAGGGTTTTTAGGGGGTTTTTACAGACGCACCTATTGTATTTACTTTTTTTTTATATATTTGTATCCTTTCTTTATTTCGGTCGGGAAGCCCTCGGTATCTGCTGCATCAAACATCAAAGGTAAAATATCTCAACGAAATTTGAATCAACCAAAGAGCTTACTAACTCATTTTTTTTAAATACCCAACATTCCCACACATCTTTGTAGATCTATCATAACCTTGGGCGGGACAGAACGGAGGGGGTCAATAAGTGCTGCTTTGTTCATTAAAAGTGTTTCATGGTATGCCAGAGTATTGACATTAATATACCAAAGTTCCATCAAGAGTCTCGCCCAGGTTATGCCGTATTGCGTTAGGCTTTTTGTCTGACGAATGTCGCTCAATGTAAGAGTGCGGCATCCAGTAGCAGGTGGCATCCATTGCACAGCGGGTGTACGGCTTGTTATATATTAACGAGTCTCCACTGGAGTGGCTATTTAGGTTGCTTGACTGAAAATTTACTGTAATCGTATTAATAGATCCCCGAGCGGTTGGCGTCGTAGATAATAAAATCTTCATGTTGACCAACAGCATAATGCAAAAGGTACAAAAAACAGCGCTAAACGTGGCTTTTTTTAATCAGATGGCATTCAAAACTAGACAACGCCACACGTTGCTTCACCGGTAGGTTTGATGCAAACCTCATTTTCATCCATATTTTACAAGAGTATTCACTTTGTTCAAAGAGGTGAAGAGTACGAATCTCAGACAGATGTTGATGAAAAAAGGCTACATAACTCAACGGAAGAACGATGGGAGTTGCTTCACAATATCTATTTGAGGAAACATGCGGTGCTTTGTTTTGGGAAGGAAATTTATCTTCGGAGGTCGGCAGGTTGACTGAGTCGGAGCACACCAGGAAAGGAAAGCGTGGTCGGGGATAAAGTGGGAAGGGAGAATCAACGCGTCCATACGTTGCACACATACGACAGAATGCTTTTCCTTTATATGACCTTAACAAGCCGTACACCCGCTGTGCAATGGATGATATGTCGTAAAATATTAATGAGGAAGAAAGAAACTGATCATGATAATAAGCCACTGTCTGCTGATGAAGAACAAATTATTGGCTTTGAAGATTTTAAACAAATAGATACAGTAGCTGGGTATGTACAGAAAGTGAAGTCGTTCATTTTGGGATGGTATTGGTTTCCAGTAAACGTAAACCGTAGTAAAGCAAGATGGGAGAGTACAGCAAGAGACCGGCGGCTGGAAACATGATGATCGCCAGTGACCAACCCAACTTGAATGGTATTGAACGCGTGGATTGAAATGTATCGTAAATCACTGCCAAGTCTAGTAACAGTATGAGAACGCCGATAACCGTGGGGGTGGTTCGATGATTGACCATGGATAAGAACGGGGTTTCCAAGTAAGAAAAGTCCACGCCAGGCGCGCCAAGAAAAAAAAGAAGAAAAGTTTAAAAAAGGTTCTTGGATAGCAAGAAGTGCAAGACGAGGAGAAGCAAGGAAGAAAGAAAATGAGCGTTGAGAAATAAAATAGCTGGATTAAAAAAGGATAAACCAAAGCAAGGGCACATGGGGGTGGGGAAACCCTAAAATAAGACTGATTTCTCAAAAAACTGACTGTAGAAAAGAGGGGTGTGCCCCATTGATCATAATTTTTTTCAAGCTAGTTTTTTCTCTTTTTTTTTTAGGCATGACGCTATGTGGTACGGAAATGCGCGCTTGTTTGCTGTATAAACAAACCGGAATCGAAAAACAAGAAGAAATATAAAACAAAACACCAACACAACAAGAGAAGTATATCAAAGAACTTTTATGACGAAACCAATATCCCGTCTTAAGAACGCTTTAATGTAGTTGCCATGGTCAAGCTCGGGTGAGTATCAGTCAGTAGTAACCGCAATCCCTGTTGTGGCAGTGGGTGCGAAAGCAGAGAAGATTTAAGTTGATCACTCGTCGTCGATATCCCAGGAAGCGACGATCGTTTTCTAATAATTCGATGGCGATAAATCTCCAGTGTTTCATACGGTACCGCGGACCGGTCATTCCGTTTGGGTTCTTCTTCATCATCTTCCGTCACGGTAGATGAAGTTTCGCTGATATAGTCGGGCATCGTGCCATGGCGAACCTGTAACGACAGTAGCACGTCGTCCACGTTGCCGGGTTTTGACTCTTGCAGCATTTGAATCGTACCGTGCGCTTGTTCCAGCATCTGCACGTATTCACGCATCCTTTCCACCACATCCGAAACACTACCTGCGTGTTCCCGTTGATAATTCGCAATCGTCTTTAATCGATCTTGAAGTTGCGTGGTATCATAAACAACCTAAGGAAATCGGATCATAGCCATGTTGAGTCGTACAACGTAAAAACGGACACACCCACGGTCCCGTCATCATCTTTGTTCATGTTCTCCACATGACCTACACTCGCTAAATCCGCATGAATGTGTCGCATCGCCCGCGTAGCGACCACATCGCATTCCTTCTGCTGATGAACGGCTCTTTCTAGAATAACTTGCAAATTTACATTCACTTCTTGTGTGGCCGTCAAGTCTTCTTCAATCTCGTCTGCACACATCCAATGAGTCATTCCGTGTTTTCTTTTTTTCTCAAATATGGAATGTCTTTCTTTTTTTTTTGCTTTTTTTACTTACTGACTCTGTCCTTTGAATCACGCTATAAAAAATATATGTTTGGTAAGAAAATAGGGGATCTGCTGCATTTTTTTTTTCGGTTATTCTATACGTACAAGATCGGTTTCGATGCCATTGATTTGTTGGGCCAGCCCATGCATTTCATTTCGAAATCTTACAAGCTCAGCTCTAGCTTGTCCGATTTCTTTTAAAAAAAGCAAGCGTTCCTCTCGGTTGGCTTGGGTGCTGGGCATGGATTCAAGCGAATGGGACATCTGAGTAGGTGTTGAATGGGACATATTCAGCTGAGGGTGACCACGATTGTTATCATCATTTTTGGTATTTCCCAGTATACACCTCGTCCCTCTTACCCTGACAGCCGTATAGTAATTGTTATTTGTCGTGTTATCGTCATCACCAGAGCCATAATCCACACAACAGTTGCCCTTTCCTCTGCCGGTGGAGCCAATGGTTTTCGAATAACCAAAATTGGATGACTGAAATCCTATAGAATCCGAATAAAAACAGCGTCAAAATCATATATCGTTTTTTCTTTGAGAAATCCAATGGGAGGGAAGACTACCTTTGCATAATGGCTCTGATCCAGAAGAGGAAAAGTAAACCTCGGAATCACCCAGTGAAAGCTGTCTCACAGATGCCACGGTTACCATGGTCCCAGCATCGTGGGAATGCAAAACGTCCTGTTGTTGTACCTGGGCAATCTCGTTGTGAATCATTTACTGCTTCATCTATCTCCACAGAAGAAACGGCCGATGCTGCTTGTTCCACCCACTCAAGGTGTCACTTTATCAAGCGAATAAGCAAAGTGTAAGAAGAAGAAAAAAGAAAAGAAAAAAAATACAAGACAAAAAGGAAGGTGCTGGGTGTATCAATTAGTGGATTTATGTAATAAAGAAGTTGCGACGAGTCTGGGGAAGGGGAGAGGGGAAAAGAAAAAGAAAAAAGAAAGAAAAAAAGAGGGGAGTGGAAAGAAGAAAGGGAGGTGAGGAACTTGGCATCGGACTCGTAGTGGGCATCAAAATTAAAGATACAGCAAAGTTGAAGGAATTTGACGTCATTTGGGTATTGCATATGTGGTGGACGAAAGGACAATTGCTCTTTAGAGAAGGTCCCCCTCTCACTTTCTAAAATAGCACCTGTTTCCATCTCTCATCGTTGTCCCTCCAACCATAGCGTCCCTTTAAATTAGATCTCACCCATTGGCTAATTGAACCCCGCCCATATGCACTCGTACTCATTTTAATGGAAGAGGGGCATGTCATCTAAATTTTTATGGACCTTCCACTCTCTTTGCTCAAAAATAAAAACCCTTCATCGTGGTTTTCAAAAAATGCATGCTCAATAGTTGCTTTTTCCACCACCGGGGACGGTCAATTTGCAAAGCATCATTTCAAACATCTATTGAATGATAACTCATCCCGAAAAATAATGACTGCAAGTCAGCTGTATGAATCAGGGATCCGTCGCTTGTTATGGAAGTCCATCTCAGTGATGGAGAATAGGTCCTTTCTAATTCGGTAGCATCATCACGTGTTAGACATCAATCTACATCAAGCACCACTTTCTTTTTTTACTTTGTAATACGAATTATTCGTTAGGATTTGCAATTAGTCTGGTGCAAAAGCACAAATCGTGCCCTCAACGACGGCCATCATGGGTAATGCAACCCGCAAGAGGAATGGGAAAAGGAACGTTAGTGCAATCCTTGTATTTTGCGTCGATGGCATTATTTCCCATGAAAAGAAACTTTGTCAAGCTTTTTAACCATTTAATGTACCGGCCCATCCAAAAAGTGACAAGAGCGTTCAAGTCATCTTAAAAAGTGAAAGAATAAGAAACCAGAGACATGAAGGCTTCACTGACCAACTGTCTGGTTGTATCTGGATCCGTGTGCACGGACCTACTGTATCAGAGGAACGGATGTATCGTTTTAGTGCATATCTATCACTTAAAAATGAGTTTATGGCTCGTATCAAATCAACAAGAAGTGAACTTTTTTGGCACTGACAGCATGGCCCGCATTCATTGTTGCAGCTTGTCGGAGGGTCCGTCATAGAATGAGTGAAAGACTACGAAAGACGGAGTAATAATAGTGCGGACTGTTTTTGCCTTTTTTGCTGCAGGGACCTCCCGATTCGAAATTTGTCAGTTGGAAACTCTCTGCTCATTTGTTCATGTCAGCTCGACGATCGATCTACCGGTATCTTACCCGCAGTTCACGTACCATTCGGACCAATGACTGCATCTTACGACCGGTCGTCCGTGTGGGGCAGCGATACTACGTGAGCAGCCAGTCTCGCCAATCCCGACTGGAAAAAGGCATGGGAGGTATCTTTGAACCGTTTCTTGATCACCATGCCAAAGAGTAAGTCACTGAGGTGAATTCAAAAACTCGAGGGCAAAGAGCGTCCATTTATACAGGCCCATAGAAGTCAGCCACCGAGTGTTGTTTTGCCTTCGGAATTCCTGGCCGGTCGAACGGAGCAAGGTACTCGTATAAATTTACCGTTTGTTGCGTGAGGAAGACTGATCGTTGAACCCACGATGCCAGAATTGTTACCGTCTGACGAACAACTTCAAATGATGATCGATCATAAACAGACCACATTGACTGTGAAACAGCAGAGATCACTAACAAGTTATGTGCTGGAACAAATTCAACAGAACAAGACAGTCGATGGACAAGAGTTATTGCGATGTGAGTTCTCCGTAAAATTTCTACCAAAAAAAGAAGCACAATAATTTATGGTTACTTTCTTGCAGTGGCGGATCAGAAGACAGCCGAACTCGCAGCGCTCGCCAATATAATTTTACGCAGCTCCAAAAGTAGGATGATATGTCGTGGATGACCCTCGTCTATTTCGGTTGCTAAAATATCGCACCCGCTTTATATTAGTTGGCGCTCCCATTGCATTAGAACTCTATCGAGGCGCCATGGACGCTGGTGACGATCGTGGGGCTTTTAGTTATGCCAATATGATTTACAGAGGTATGTGGGTGGGTTTGTAACAAACCTATGTGCATGTACTTATTGACGATTGATCAGGTTACCGAGGAACGCCGAAAAATGAGGAATTGGGAATCAAGCTCATGTCACAACTGGCACAAAAGGGTCATCCTTATGCGCAAATGAACCTCGCTGCCATCCTCATGCGAACACGATCCGATCAAGTGGAAGCTGCCCTCAAATTATACCAATTAGCGGCCAAGGCCGGTTTGCACAATGCGTATGCTGAGCTGGGCCGCATGTACCGTCTGGGATACGGAGTTCATCAGGACCATGCCAAAGCCATTCACTATTTTGAGCAGGGCTCTCGTGCAGGTTAGACGAACACAGTCAACAAATTTAATGGGCCCAAGCTAAACCCCTTGTTTTTCTAGGCAATGCGCAATGCAACTTCATGTTGGGTGTATATTACTCCTCAGGATTGGGCACCCAAGAAAAGGAACCCGATCAAACCAAAGCATTCAAGTATTTCCAAAAAGCAGCCATGAAAGGTAATATATGCCCCTCAGTACTCAGTGTGTCTTGGTGACGATGTCTTATAAATCAACGATCTGTTACAGGCATGCCGGAAGCGCAGTATAATGTGGGACTTCGATTTTTGAAAGGCCATGGCGTGGAACCCAACAGTTTCAATGCGGCCGAATTCTTTCGGATGGCGGCTCTTCAGGGTTTTCAGCTGGCGCAGGCCAATTTGGCAGGAATGTATGCTGAGGGACGCGGAGTGAAGAAGGATCTCGACGAAGCTCGACAGTGGCTGTCCAAAGCTGCAGCGAGCGGTGGAGCCATTGGGAAGGATGCCGAGAAACGGTTGGCCGAATTGAATAAAGACAACAGCGCCAGCAAATCGCCGTGCGTGATCATGTAAAAGTTTTCACAGATTTTACTTCTTTTTTTCTCTAATTCAACATTTATTTTGGACGGGGTTTTTGGTGTCTATTCGGTCAAAGCGATGCATTCCACTTCTACAAGGACATCCTTGGGCAACCGGGCGACCTCGACGGCGCTGCGTGCAGGTTGGTGGGTAGAAAAGAACTGTCCAAAATTTCACCCCCGAACATCATGCCGTTAGAACATCTAAACCACCAAAAAGCGCTTTTCCAAATACACGCAATTCACTTACCGTGGCATAAACTTCGTTCACGGCAACAAAGTCGTTCATGTCCTTCAAAAAGACGGTGGTTTTGATCACCTTTTCCAAGCTGGAACCCGAAGCCTTGAGTACTTCGGAAATGTTGGTCAAACTCTGGCGAGTCTGTTCAACAATGCCGCCTTCAACAATTTGACCTGAGAAACCATGCCCAAAATGTCACTTGAGTCATGACCAGTGTCTTTTTGGTGCTCGCTTTTCTATTTGTCATGGACTTACCGGTAGCGGGCACGATAGGAATCTGGCCCGAGGTAAACACCATACCGTTCACCTTGATGGCTTGAGCTGTGAAAACGCTGTGTTAGCGTTAACCATTTCCAACTCGACATGTACGCGACATGAAGGCAAAATCACGGCAATTTTTACCATAAGGACCGATGGCAGCAGGAGCGTTGGAAGTTTCTGTATCAAAAGAAAAATCTCATATGAGCAAGATGAAACGCAGCGTTGTTCAGACAAGCAGAGCAAACTTACGGACGGGTGTCAAAGACATGGCAAAAAGAATGATAGATGAAAGGGACCTACCGAAATTTTCAAGCCAATTTAAGGATTTCGATCGAATGAGTCATTTTCCCGACCAATGATGTCCACTCATCATGCTCACTTAATTCGTTTTGTCAGTTTTGCACCGTCTTTCACGTTTGTTGAAGGATATCACTCTTAAAATCCCTCTGTCAAGTATCAAAAAAACACGTTCACTAGTAACCCTGTGCAAGTAAACGAAGAAAAAAAAATGCTGCAGGAAAAAGTTGAGACCAGCAGAGTAACTGGAGATCAAAATTTGAGTGACTAAAATGCGCGCTCGCTAGATAGCGGTCGCAGTGGCGGGACGAGCTGAGTGGTGATGCGGTGGGCGTTCTTTGCAGCAGGCAATCGTTATAGCAAAATGTAGACTTCGTAGCACGCGTCAATGAATGTTTCAGGACGTGTTTCTGCACATGCAAACAATAATGAACGACGACCGCACCTATTTGTATCCATTATTAACTAGCCACCAATTAGTTACACGATACAACATTTTTTCTTATGTTGTCTTGTCTATCTTTACTGCAAAACGGAAATACGGGTCCTTTTTTTTGCGTTACTGCTTGTATGTTCTCAGTGTGTGTGCAAAAAGACCCCCCAAAGGTGCAGTAAGAATAACCCCACCCATTACAGTAAAGACAATCTCATTACTGCTGGCCAAAAGATCCCAGCTGATTCAGCATCGCACGCACTACTTCACCAGCGGTACACGGTTGGTGAACCTGAACCTGACCCTGACATGACATGGCGGCGCAGTCACAATTGTAGGATCAGCGATGGGCAAATTAATAGGCCAACAAATGCATCCCTTTGAGTGATGACATCCGTCGCTTTCACAGCACCGCAGTGGTGACAATACGCTATAGTAGTGTGCTTGAAGGGCGGTAGAAATCAAAGCTTTTTATTTATATTAATGTTTTTACTCTGCTCTATTTCTACTCTATTCTACTCTAACTAGTTATGACCCGACCGACACAGCCAAAGCTAGTGCGGATAAGGTGTGAAGAGACGAGGTTTTTTACCATCTCTTGTCTCTCTTTTTTTCATTTACTTAAGAAAGTTACTTTTTGATTCCTGCCGAAGCAGGCCAAAAAGAAAAACCATGCGTGCCCGGAACGCCCACATGGGAAACGAAAAAGAACTCCCTCGGGGTGAGCCCACCTTGCAGTACATTACTCCCGCAAGGGTCAACGCCCGACCAGCTGATGAACGGATAAGCAAACCGGTGCGGGAAGACAAAAGTCTACGAGTAAGCTAGCCCCAGTTACGAATCAGCCCCGCCGCCGTACAACATACCGTTTCATGAATTCGCAAAATCGTCGCTTTTATATACCCCCTTCATTTTCGTCTCCGCCCACAGTCTTCGTCCAATAAGAAACGTTGAAAATGATGAGTCAGCACGGCTTGACTGCGGCACTCTACGCCTGCAATGCAGAGCAAAGGTGTTATTTCCTGTTTTTTTTAGACTAACGAGTAGGTACCTGTGGCGGATATGGCTCCAAACACTCACCTTCCCAAAAGAATGGACAATTATGAAGGCAATAAAAGAACTTGAACAAAAAGGAATTGACACTTTGGAGCCAGCATCGATGGGATATTCTTCTCCCTTATTGGCTGGTTGAACGGTATCCGTCAATGCAGCCTTTATTTTAGTATTCTGAAGGTTGATTAGATCTCTGCCCTTTGTACACACCGCCCGTCGCTATTACCGATTGAATGGCCATAGTGAATATATGAAACTGACGATCGTGGCCATAGCAACTTGGGCATCATTCCAGAGCGAATGCGGATTTCCGTCCGTACGCCTGCGCATGATACAGCCCCAGGCAATCACAACTGAGCAAAGAGTTGCAAATACGTCAGGGGAAATCAATGACACCCATCCACAGCTATAGAACAAAAGAAAACAACGCAACACCAACGGGTTCATGGTTGCTGATCGATCATTATATGCAATTAACTCGTCAATATGACTTTTTTTTTATGCGTACTCTGATTAGCAGATTAAGGTAAAAGATGAAAATACCAAAGATTAATAATAAATGACCAACGGCACGGTATCAGCAGCATAGCTATTTAGTAATTTGTCCAGCGGACGGTCTGCGTAGCATTCATGGGCCTTCAGTTTGGTTCGTCGAGATCCAATGTTCCACAGACATGATCCAATACGCCAGATAGATAGAGAGATGGGGGGTGGTTAATAGGTCGACATTTCATGCTTTTCCCCAGTGACAAGGTAGCTGGGGAGTGGGTAGGGTTCTTGATCCGGTGATGGTTTGGAGAGACGGTTCACAGTGGACATGCGCCAAGTATTTTTGAAGTCAAGCGAGGCGGGAAGCGGCCGTTTGGCGATGCGCCAGTAGAGAATGGTCTGGGCTATCCAACCAACCGCCACGAGCCAGCAAAAAGCCACGGAAGCTCGAAAACAGGTACAGGCCTTGCCCATATCCAGCACCCACGGAAATACATCGGGGTTGTTGTAAATGGTTTCCCACACCATATAATCCCGCCAACTGCACTCGACGCTGGAATACGGCTGGGTGATGATGTCGGCTCCCGGAATTAACGGAAACACTGCTGCCAGCAGCACCGCTCCAGCAAAACAAGCAATACTGCTCACCATGGTTCTCGATGGACGCCATGCTTCATAACCGGATGACCTGTCGCACATGAGAATGAAGCTGTAGACAGTGGCTGTTACGGCCGGAATCAGCATGTAGACAAATGTGGCCGGATAAGCAAACACATTATAGTTGCCTGGGTTATTTCAATAAGAGTGAGCGACGGCTGTTACGGTGAAAAGTGTTGTTTATGCCTACCAAAACCGGCGATGGCTGAGCCTTCGGACACAAACGACTGGATATTGGTGGCGGTGCCAATCAAACACCCACAGAGCACAATACCCAAGACCGCATTCAAGCCATGAACACTCTGGATGACACTCGGTCGTCCCAATTTCATCAAGGGAATTAAAAAAAGATATCACGTAATAAAAGGGAAAATGGGACACTTTTTTTTTTGTGCGATAACAGGCGTTTCAATGGATAGAGTTACAGTTTCACCATGCATTCTGATTGGCTGCTTGCAAATTCGATCTTGAATTTCCCTCCTTTAGGGAAAGGTTTTTTCAGGAACATCGAGTAGCTCTCATTCGACATTTGAAGCATCAAGGAAAATAAAGGAGACCTACTGACTTTTGGTGACTTTCGTCGAGTCCTGCGAAAAAATGATTTTTCATGGCAAAAAAGAAAAACCATATCAACTCTGTTGCCGGTTCCTATGTGTACGGAAGGTTCATCTTTAGATATCCTTCTGTATAGGCCCATAAAAATAAAAGGCAGCGCTGCCCATCTTTACAACCGGTTGCTTTCTTTTTCGAAATAACGACTGGGAGATACTGTAATGTGCTTGTTTTCCTTTCTTTATGGTTTACCACATTTGCTCTTTTCCAGGATTTCATGAGAGAGAGGGGGGAAAAAAAAGAATGAATGAATGGATGATTAATTTAATCGCTTTTTTTGAGATCGCCATGCCACACTTTGGCATTGTATTTGGCGACATCGTTCATGAGACCGACTTGATCGGCAACGGATTTCAGCGCGCCCAGAACGACACCGTTGCCCGTGGAGAAATTGTACATATAGTAGCGCAGGCCGGTTTCTTTACAAAATTGACGAACCAATGGCACACATTGGCGGAGATTATGTCTTGGCAAACGAGGGAATAAATGATGCACGGCCTGGTATTGCAAACCGCCGTGCACCCAGTCCAGCCATTCCGGGCAATCCACATCCATGGTCGTTCGCAACATTTTGGCGGGGAAACTGTCATCTTTCCCAAAGTCTTCGGTGGACATGCCAAAGTGAGACAGGGTAATTTGCACGTGAAGAGGGAACGTGAGCATGTAAGAAATGAAGAGGTACGCGACGCGCAAGGGCCACGAAGGAATGTACGACAAGAAATAGCTGTACCAGATGAAAAAGACCATAATTCCGATCAATTCCAATCGTCGGGTGCGAACGTGTCTGGCGAACAAGACATGGTTAAAGGAAAGGCGGTGAAGGTTGAATCGACCAAAGGAAAGAATAAGGTAGTAGAGATGATGTTGGTATCGGACAAAGAAGCGAGCAAAAGCGTCAAACTTGAGCACCTTTTTGTAATAAGTGGAATAAATGTTGCTAAAGAATTTGGTGGTGATGGCGAGGAAAGGTAAATGTTGGATATCAGGGTCGTGTTCGGGGTCGTTGGTGACGATGTGGTGGACGTTATGGTTATCTTTCCACCAGCCTATACTCATGCCACCGATAAAGTTGGCAATAATCACGCCAATGATGTGATCAATTTCGACTTTGCCCGTAATTTCGTTGTGTCCCGCATCATGGGCCGTGAACATGAGTTGATGCCAAAATGCTGCCATGAACACCGCGCTCGCCAAGTAATGCCAGGTCGCGGTGCCCCTGAAAGCCAGCCACAACGAAAGGTAGATAAACAGCACATAACGACAGCATTCTTTTCCGTATCGATAATAATTACATTGAAATAGACCGCGATCTTTGATGCTTTGTTCCAGTCGCCTGAAAGCGTCTCGAATCAGGACAGCATCCAGTCCTTCCTGGTCCTTGGCATCTTGAGCTAAATCGCGTGCATGGTGGTCATGCAGTTGACCAATGGCATCATCGAACGCTTGTACACTAAAGTTGGTTCCCCATTCAGCTTCCAATCGTTGTCTTTCGCTCCACAGCGGTCGATCTTTGGACTTCGCTAGTCTCACATGGGTGAGATTGGGCACATAGTCGCCCACGTAGAATCGGTGAATTAACTTTTCGTAGACCCGTGGCGGATGCATGGACCGAATTTCGTCCGTGACATCTCTTCCCAGGACGTGTCGGATGGCCAAGTCGCCTCCCGGATGTTTGTCCAGAAAATGATTGACCTTGTAAACTTTGTTTTCAAACACGAACACGGCTTGCCCTTGCTTTAATCGCGCTTGAAGGTCCTCCTCCGTCACGATTTTACGCGGAATAGTTGGCTCGGATTCGGTATTGGGTGGCATAAATCACAACAAAAAAAAAAAAAAAGGTTGAATCGAAAAAAAAAAATCTAGACAAACTAAACACCAAGGAGACTAAGGAGAGTCAAAAAAAGAAAAAAGAGAAAGAGAGAAACGAAAAAAAATCGAACGTCGGTTGAACCAGGTAGGATTCATGAGATGGAACGATAAAAATTTAGCAAGGTAAAAATAAACTCCAGCAACGGAGCGCGAAATGGCACACGAATGCCAAGTGGTCCTTTGTGTGTGTGTCGTTTATTCGTTCGCACGAAAAATGTGAGTCCTCTTAATCGATCAGTCTTGACATGCGATGGGCCGATAAAAATATCACTGCCAATCAACAATCGGCAAAAACCAGTCAAACTAAGCAACATCCGATCCCTTTATTTTTTCCTTTTTTTTTTATCTTTGGCGAAAGGAGGAGCATTGATATCCTTAATAGACTTTGGCCAGACAACGTGGGGTACATCGTCGGATTGGCGTTATTGGATTGGTTGTCATGGATCGTTGTCGCCCTGACTTATTATTTCTTTTTTATGTTCTTGGTTGTACCTTGTATTTATTTGCTCTGCGTTGACCTCCGTTCAATCGAATTCCAGGGTGCTTCCAAATACAGCAGTTCCACCGTTCCACAAAATGGAATCGCATTGACTTTTTATTTCCTTTTTCAAAAAATAAAAAAGAAAGAAAATCGACAAGTCAAAGAGTTCCAAGAAACCCACTGTTGTGTCACTTGTTCCATCACCATTTTACATGGCCTCTGTAGTATAAAGCAACCGTCGCATCACTTTGGTGCTCCTCTTTTCTTGCGCCCTTTAACCTTTCTGTCCTCGGTAACGGGTCCAGTCTTGGCTCTATTTGACCGGAATGATGATTTGTAGCTTATATAAGCTTGAATTGGCACTTGCCGGGTTCCCAAGCACAGCCTTCCCCAGAAAACCTTAACTCAGGTTCTAAAATGAAATGACCTTTGGCCCAAAAGAAAAATATGCATGTTCAACGGTTACGTCGCTTACTCCGATAATACCAACAAAAGTCGGCATGGATGCCAAATCCCCTATTTTGCGTATCGACTGTGATTGGTTTACGGTCCTAATGAACCATCTTCATCTTTCCAAGTCATCTGATATTAACATTGCAAAAATGACGTCCAGTTACCAAAATATAAAGAAGCTAGGCACACCTTTTTCCGAACTCGTCACTGATACCTTGTTCTTTGTCTACTGCCGAACTCACAAACGAGTTTTTGAGAGGGCAACGATGTTTATGTTCAGGTCAGGCACAAAAACGGGACTCAAATGCGGCATTACCAGGAAAGGAATGTTGATTGATTATACAGTATCTGCGTCTCGAGATCGGTTGGCATGTTTAACTTTATCGTACCTTTCGCGCTTACTGCCAAATCCATCTAGTGATTGATTGCTTTAAAGTCAGCTTCCGTTTAAGCACCTACTTTTCAGACAACAAGGTCACTCACACCAAATCTCAACACCATCAACAATCAAGGAATGACTGCTATCAGGTGTTGCCTCCTTTTTGCCACGATGAAGGCTTGGATCCTCTTTGGTATGGATTATCCAAACCTGATACGATGCCCGCTGGCAGATGACTTCATTCTGATATTATGGTTGTACTGAACTGATCCATTTTCATTGCAACTATGAACTGCGGCACTCACACGGGGCTTCATCACTCGCCATGGATGTTGGTAGAGTTCAAAGTCTCGTAAATGTGCTGACTAGTCAAGCTTCTTGATTTCCACGCTCCTCGAACCGCGCTTCAACATGCTGCTGTTCTGAATCGGTGCGCCACCTTGCATAGCAATAAGTAATCCTCTTTTCTGTTGGCTACGGGCTTTTCTTGGAGTCGACTCGACTTGCTTCAGATACGTCTTTCGTTAGGATCGTACTTGATTTCAAATGTGCCTTGTTCATCTTGTTGCCGTACCGTCTAGGTGGATCGCCCGCTTTCTAAGGTGACGGACCAAGCAGTAGAAGTTATCAACCTCATGCTCCCTCCACGCGAGTTCGAAGGTCCATTGGGCGGACTGCAAACGTTTCAACTTATGAAGTTGTGATCTGGGCATCTTGGAGCCAATTTGGCGAATTCATCCCACATCAGATAGCGCATCGCGTTCAGTACTCTCATGAGCATGATTTTGGACCTTGCTAGATCTCAGCAAGGGAATCTTAAGTGGTCGTTTGTCCTCGTTCCGCCCAAAGGTCGAAACACGTTGATCGATTTTCTTTACGATCTGGAAGATGTGAGCTTTTGACGCAAAAGGTGGTAAGCCGTCTGGAATTTCACAAGTCATTTGAACTAGAACAGTATGAAGAGGTACGAACTTCGCGATGGTTAGATGAGCTGGAGACATGAGAATCAAAAATTTTGCCCTGGGGCCCCGCGTCGCTGGCAACGAAATTTGGATTCCTTGGAGCTTATGCCCTTTCACGTAGCTGCGTTTTCACATAACTGAAATCCGCTTGTATCCTTGGAGCTTATGGATTTCGCGTAACTTCAATCTACCTTGTATCATTGGAGCTTATGGATTTCACGTAACTTCAATCTACCTTGTATCCTTGGAGCTTATACATTTTTCACGTAATTGAAATCCATCTTGGATCCTTGGAGTTATGGCTTTTCACGTAGCTGAGATAAAGTGAAATCCCCATAAGTATCCTTGGAGCTTAACATTTTCACGTAAATGAAACCCACCTTGTATCCTTGGAGCTCATACATATTCACGTAGCTGCGTTTTCACATAACTGAATTCCGCTTGTATCCTTGGAGCTTATACATTTTCACGTAATTGAAATCCACCTTGTGTCCTTGGAGCTAATGGCTTATCACGTAGTTGTGTCCTTGGGCAGCTTATGGCTTTTCACGTAGCTTCACATCTCGTAACAGGAAGGATGTGAAGCTCCGTGAAAAGCCATAAGCTCCAAGAACACAAATGGGATTTCACTTTATCTCAGCTACGTGAAAAGCCATAAGCTCCAAGGACACAGTGGAGATTCACTTTTTATCTCAGCTGCGTGAAAAGCCATAAGCTGCCCAAGGACACAAACGGATTTTCACTTCAATCTCAGCTACGTGAAAAGCCGTAAGCTTCAAGGACACATTCCCACATGGAACATGGAACATTTCACTGAATTGATCGTTTTTGAGAGCCAGAAGCCATATGGACTCTTACGATATCAGGCCACGCGATGCATGCATGCGGTTTTTTCGCTGCTACTGAAATCCAGAAACATATCAAATAATAGAAGGTCTCATATGCCATTGCTTCCACAGTCTTTATAAAGCAGATGCCAAGATACTCTAGCTGCAGGTAAACAGTATGATATCTTACCTTGTAACCCGTTTGTTGCAACAGTAACGTACTGAGTGAATTCCTTCGCAACTCGGATAGAACTCTTTAAATCCAAGGTGTCTGTACTCTTTTCTCGCAATTTTTACTGGGGCTGCGCAGTGTGTACCCCAGCTTCGCGATTCTTTACATTGTACTGTCTTCTATAAATATCAAAAGGCAAACAATATCGGTGACCCTTTTCGATCTAATTATGAATGCCTGGCCCCGTGGCTGATAAGAATCATATGGAATTCACGGGAGAACAAAACACAAATGATTTTTATTTTTAAAATAACAAGCTTTGCCAGTAATTTAATTTTAGTAATCGAGGCAACGCCCGCGTTTATTTTGAAATCGTCGCTTATGGGTTCAACCGCGAATCTGGACGCAGAATCCATGCGCTGAACGCGAATTGCGCGAAAAGGGTAGGTTATTAAGGTCTTTGGGATCTGGATGAGGGTAAAAAAAGTCCACCTTGTGCTTTGATCGTCTGCGCCAAAAAGCGCCACGGCCCGTGTCCGTGATGCGGAGTTTCATTCGCGGAAAAGGATTGCCCCGAAACGACGCTGGAACTAATATGCCCGCAAAAAAAAATAAAGGACGCAATCGTCCCTGTTCCATCCATTGCACCATTGGAACAAAGTCGTGAATGGATCATACCATACCATTTCGCGTTTCGAGGTTGATGAATGATAAGAAACTTCATCTATTTCTAGTGTATCCATTGCATTCAACCTGCGATCAAGAAAAAAACGATCGTCATCCAAACAAGATGATCGCGAAAAAGTTTTTATTTTTTTTTCTGTGTTAATTTTTTTTGGCTAAATTTAGGCTTATTATTCAAAAATAGAAAATCACTCCATGTCCGAAACACAGACAACCATTTGCCAAGAAGTTCGAGTCTATACGCACTAGCGAATATTACCAATGTATATCGCTCAATTATGACGTTTTGAACTCCAAGTCTATAAAAATGATAAGGTACCCAGCAACTGGAAATTCTGCGGATTTACGAAAATTTTTAGTTATTCCTTTGTCCCTTTTTTTTCAGTCTCTTCTTTCTCGTTCGTTTTTTCCGTCCCTTTTTGATTTTCTGAATGCAATTCAAATCAATTGCCTTGTCCATTGCCGTGGCGCAAGCCATCAACTTGGTGACCGCTGACGGAGGTCAGGAATACTGGAAATCGTTCAATTCCAGTGTGGATCCCCTGAACATCAACGTGCCCGAGATCTCGCAAACTTCGTCCAACGATCCTACTCAGGAATGTGTTCACTACAACCCGGATCCTTCTCTGTTCCAGGTGAATCAAGCAGAATGGCCCACAGTGTGGAAAACCGCCACTTCCAACAACATGAACACCAGCACTGAATTCCAGAATTTGTATAATTCCATCGACTGGAACAGCGCTCCCAAGATCGAGGTCCGTAAATTGAAGCCCGATGGTTCGGTGGACATGACCGGTTACGATGAAGCCAACGATCCCGACTGCTGGTGGTCCTCTTCAGGTTGTACCGTGCCCAAAATGAAGGATGTCAATCCCGATATCTACGAATGTCCTGAACCGGAAACATGGGGCTTGACCTATGATGATGGTCCCAACTGTTCGCACAATGCCTTTTACGACTACCTCGAACAGCAGAAATTGCATGCTACCATGTTCTACATTGGTTCCAACGTCATTGATTGGCCTTACGGTGCTATGCGCGGTATCAAGGATGGTCATCACATCGCCGCTCATACCTGGTCCCATCAATTGATGACCACCCTCACCAACCAGGAATTACTCGCCGAATTTTATTACACGCAAAAAGCCATCAAACTAGCTACCGGTGTCACCCCTCGTTACTGGCGTCCGGTAAGAAAAAAAAAAGATTCATCAGTGATTTGGATTGAGAGTCGCGGATTTTCTAATTACTATATTTTTTGTTACGGTATAGCCATTTGGTGATGTGGATGATCGTGTGCGATGGATTGCGACTCAGTTGAACCTTACGACGGTGTTGTGGAACCTTGATACCAATGATTGGTCAGCCGGTGTGGATGAACCTGTGCAAGAAGTGCAGCAAGCTTATGAAGATTATATTCAGATGGGTAGCAATGGTACGTTTGCCAACTCGGGCAACATCGTTTTGACCCACGAAATCAACAACGAAACCATGTCGTTGGCCCTCAAGAATTTGCCCGCTATCCAGAAAGCGTACAAGAATGTGATCAACGTCGCCACTTGCCAAAATATCACCTATCCTTACATGGAAAGAACCATCGCTTTCCGTCCTTTCGCTGACGCCATTGCTCAAAAGAATGATTCCGGTATTGCAGCCTCGGATCTCGTCGGTTCCTCCACCAGTGGTCCCGTCACCGCCACCGCTTCTTCGTTGAGTTCTGCCGGTGCCAGTGGTTCTTCCTCCGACTCGAGCTCCTCCGATGCCATTAGTATGACCAGCAACTCCATCGTGGCTGCCGCTCTTATGCTCGTCGCCGCCATCTTTTCTTCGTAAGAAAAAATAATCCTGAATAGAAAATAAAAAAAAAATGGTCTTATGAAAGACCAACCATTATCAAAAGTTCCCCCTCTCCTTCCCCCTTTTTTTTTTCTGGAACAGAAAATTTTGTAGTTATCCTTTATATCAGTGTTCAATAAATCGTATCAATCTGTCATTTTTTTATTGCATTCATCTATTGTGTAACGAGTGGGTTGAAATTGGATGAACGGTTTTGTCGCGTGGCAATAGGTCAAGCTAGCTGCCAAGGGCAGCTGCCAATATGAAAAATAAAAAGGGTCATACGTTACAAAACGGAAAATGCACATCGGTGTGCAACATCAAGTGCCACAGGATGAAATCACATGTGTAACAAATGACTTTCAATGATCGATAGGTTGGTATCATGGTTTGTTTCTTTCTCTGGTACTAGTGTGCGATCACTGTGACTCTCCCAATCAAGGGATTCTGGGGTCGGAGACGCAGCCGAGCTTGGACGACGTACATTGACGGGTTGGGCCCATAATACGGAAAAGAGGCCGACCAGAGCAAAGGGGATCATAAGAATACATGCCTGACGAACTGATCGTGCGTAGATGGATTGAATATCCGATTTCAAAGGTTCCGTCAGCCCTGCAATGAGTAGCAAATCATGTTTGACCCGTTCGGCCTCATCGCTCGATAATTGACTGGACATTAATCCTGTATTGAGGGTATGAAGAAACACGGTGGAATAAATAGCAATGCTAAACGATCCACCCAATGATCTGTATAAAGTAGTAAAGTCTTTCAAATTAGGATGACTGCCGGGTCGGAACTTGCATCGCTTCACTTACCGGAAAAAGTTGCACAACGACGTGGCCACGGCTACACTGTAATTATTCAGAAAAGATTGGATTGAGAAAACCTTTGGATGCATATCTAACTTGGGTCGGAAAGACTTACTTTTCTTCCATGACGAAATGTTGAGTAATGATTACAGAAGGTTCAACGATCAGTCCCGTGGAGATCCCGGTTAGTAACAACGTGGCAAGTTGCTGAAGCAAGGAAGTGTGAATGTCAAAGCATGTGATCAGAGCTGCCCCGATGGTCAGCAGACCAAATCCAATCCACACAAAGATACGAATGGTGCCTGTTCTTGCAATGATCACACTGACAAGGCCGTAGCAAATGGGTCCACTCAGTTGATCGGGCAGCATTTCCAGGCCGGAAATGGCCGCGGAATCTCCATTGATGACTTGAAAATACGTGGGCATATAAAAATGCATGCCATACGTGGCAAGACCGAATAAAAAGTGGCCTAAAAACATGGTCCTCACCGTCCGTTGCTGGAACATCCGAAACGAGATCATGGGTTCTGCAGCTCGGTATACCTCATGGCAGATGAATAAAACGAGTAAAACGATACCGATAGCAATCATAGTGAGAATGAGAGGCGACGCCCATGGATAAACGTAGCCACCCCACTGTAAAGCTAGCAAAAGTACAATGGTCGATGACAGCATGAGTAGCATGCCAGTGTAATCCATTCTTCCCATTTGTATCCACACAGAACATGGACGATTCGGCCACGGAAAAAAGAAAGCTAACAGCAGTAGAGCGATCATCGCTTACACCAATGTAATGTGGTTTTTTTTAGTCTCAAGGTTAGATCCATGCCAAGAATAGAAACAAAGCTTGTTACCTAAAATAACATTGATGTAAAATGTGTATCTAAAAAAAGCACCATAAGCTTACAGGTACGAATGGGATTCAAGAGTGTTTGGAAACATTTTTCTTACTGCCATATACCATCATCGACCAAGGTACCACACATGAGTGGACCGAGAATAGCCGCGCTACCTAGCATGACCTATCAGCTTCGATAGGGAAAACACGTCGGAAACGAGCCAAGGTGCACATGTAGTTTTATACTTACCCCATGATATGCTTAGAACAAATTGATATTTTCCTCGTTTTTCCGGTGGCACCAGATCGGCTACCATGACATAAGTCAACGACAAGATGCCCCCACTCCCCACCGCTTGCCAAGCTGCACCATGGACATACTGGTTAAAAAATATGCTCACGCTCTTTTGTTTTCTCGATCCACTTACCGCGAGACACAATAAACATCCACATATTGACGGACACACTGCAACAAACTCCCCCGAGGATAAAGGTAGTAAGGGCAACCATAATGACAATTTTCCTGCCACTATTATAACACGATGATGTGAGAGAGATGACAATATGGCAGACAAAAAACAAAAAGATAGAGCCATTGAGTACAAGTGTGCTTACAGACGTTCGGCCAGGCTTCCAAATAATGGCTGAAAGGAAGTCATGAGAAGTAAATAGAGCGTGCCTGCCTACAGTCTATTGTTAGCATGATAAACATCCAATGTCAAATTGTTCGAAAACCGTTACTTGCCCAACCGGCCATGGAAGCATCGTTGAAATAGGAAGCAATATGCAACATGGACAAGGCCGTGGTGGACAGATCCAAGGCTACTGCTAAAAGGGCAGAGAAAATACTAAAGTACGAAAACCAAAAATAATGGTGTTAGTGGTTCTTTATCATCCATGCTTGGAAGCATCACAATAAATGGACTATGCACGGTTGTAAGCTCAGGATGAGCTTACCCTAGTAGAACGCCAATGGTAGCAAGGCGCGAAAGCTTCATCTCTTTCTGATCAGTTTCTGGCACATCAACTTCACCCGGTATCGCAGCCGTCGATGTACATGCACTGGATTCCATCATACATGAAGAACAAAGGTAAGATCAACAGGGACCCATGTCCGTTCAATTAACTTTTTTATTCAAGTTTAACCAGTGTGCGTCATAGACACCCGGCAGCAAGTATCGTTACTCACTTATCACGAACCCGCCCGATAACAATCTGGTGTATTAATTAAATATGGTCCGGCCGTATGTCGAATATCGGCATAATGAGCATTTGCATCATTCAACAAAGATAACAGCATGATTTACATGTACATGAGCCATCCACAACCCCTTGAACAATTTTCCTATTCAGGAAAACACCAATGTATCGATCGGTGCTGATGAGTGATTTTTTTTTAGAGTTTAGCTACATATGCTTTCATTGTGATTTTGGCCGAAACAGTGACATGAGCCAACCTTTTGAGACTCGTTGGGAAAGATTTATGTACACTTTTTTTTTCTTGGATTGGCTTTGCCAAGTAAAACATGGTAATGAAATTGCACTACACAGGTAGACAAAGGGAACGAATAAAGAGAAAAACTCAAGAGAACGGAGAATCTAGTGTGATTCACAAAATGCTGTCTTTCATTCAACAATCTATCTCCCCATACAATACTGTGAATAGTGTAAAAGGTGTCGAGAAACTGTATTATGTCCTTCACACACAAATTTACGTTGTTTTCATTTGATTTTATTATGCAGCACAAGGGTCATCCAACTGCTGCTAAACATGGTCCTTCATACAGTATGCTGAGAAAGATCGCGGAAAGCCGACCCCCTGTTTCTGTGGATTGTGAAGCCTTGCTAATGTCACGTTCATGTGTAGTCTTGAGATTTTTTTACAGCGTTTTTGGTATTCGTTGGTGGCTGTACTGTTGACTTGGTAGAGCTCCCGTCGCCTGGGGGATGGGGGATGGCAAGCAATTTGACAAGGACCTCTGGAAGCAACGCAAAATGATTGGCTCGGAAATGCATGAGCTCAGGTTTTGCTGCAATTTGATTGGAAAACAGTCCTTTTTCAGCCCATCCTTGGCTCCTGTTCCCTTGTGTGAATACAGTTTTTTGGTTTTTTCTGAAATACTCGCTCCAAGCCTTTTTTTGCCATGCCACGTTGGCGAACTGTCATCGCTAGTGTAGCATCACTGTGGTTCTTTCTTGTCCAATGTTGGGCGGAGGAAGTTTATATGGTAAGCCCGAAAATACCTTTTCCTACGGCATCGTTTGTTTTTGCTCAATGCCAAGTTTTATGCGTGTCACCCGCTTAGGCCGCGGATAGTTACTTGTCCACATCATGTTCCGGTGTATGGAGTCAAAGCGCCATTCCTGGTGGTGTCACTCCGTTTATCAAAAGTAAGATTTCGACACCCATGGCAGCTACTTTTTTTCGTATCGTTTTAACGCGCTACATTTATCTAGTCAGCATTCACCCTACCGTAGCCGGGAAAGCGTCTCTATTGATTTATGAATGGCGCGACTTTGAAAAGATTGGATACTACAACAATGTGACGCGCGAGGTATAGTTCTTTTTCTCGTACCAGTGCTCCTTGTTTTCAAACTGATACCAGTGTAGACTGATTACCTATGCAACGATCACGCCATAGCGAACCATGTTTGTTCGCGTGAAGATGCTGGCAAATTTATTACGCATATTCCTCCTGAAGAGGCCAACACGACTTCAATTTTTTCCACAATGTTTGATCTTGGAAACAGAACGGAAATGGCTTTATATAAAGTACATTCGACCGGTTATTATTGTGTTGCCGTGGCTCCCGTCACCAAGACCGATGACAACAAAGCCATGCTGGAAGCATGGGTTGAATGGAGATATCCTTATGGTAAATCTTCACTTTCATGTACAATGATCAGATCATTCATGCAGGATTAATTTTTCACAAAAAATCAACAGGTTTATTACCATCGGCAGATTATCCCAAATTAGTGGCAAGTAAAAAAGCACTGGAAAATCAAGAGGAGAGGAGGCTGTTTGAATGCTAAGAATAGGCTCAATAGCTGTACGGAGTCTCAGCTTTGGTTTATCTGTCGGTCGGCCTATTTTGGGGTGTACAAACCTTTCGATACTGGAGAGATATTTTACCGGTCCAAGTAAGCTGTGAGGTTTAAAGTGATAAAGGGGTGCAGGTGAGCTCACAGGCCATTGAAAAATGTAGCACTTTTTATCGGGGGCCATCTTGTTTCTTACCATTGAAATGGCTTTCAACTGGGGATTCTGGGAAGCTTACAATCAAAGCGGATCTCCTTGTAAGTATCAAAAAGTGAACCAAATACTAAGGGCTTGTAGAAGACATTACCAGGCACAAATGGAAACTCAAACAGATATTTGTTAGCGTGGGCGTTATTGATTGTGGTTGCCTTATTGAATGCGGGACGAACAAGGTAAATCATAGGAGAGGAGGAGGATCACATCATGCTTATGGCGTTAACCCGTGCTTTATTTGTTGCTAGTCTTTCGTTCTTTATGCTGTTGATCGTGTGTATGGGCTACAGTGTCGTCAGGTAACTTTTTTGTTTTCTGAAAACAATGGATAGTTGGACTTTTTGTTTACTGAAATGCTTTTATTTGTGGCATGTATACAGACCATCACTAGGCGATGCAATGAAGAAATGTGTTATTCTTGCATGTACGCACTTTTTCTTTGGGGTGGTGTATTCGCTCGGCACCATGGTACTATCTCCCGAGACCGCCGGCTTTTTAATTTTGTTGGTCATTTTCCCCCTATCCATGACCATGACGGCATTCTATGTATGGACCCTCAATTCAATAACATCCACCTTGGCAGTTCTAGGTAAGTCATGGGCCATGCTAGACTAGAATGGCACCCAATAGAGAAAGAAAGAAAGAGACTCAAGCTTTGCTTAGAAATCCGAAAACAGCACGTCAAAATTGTGATGTACAAACGATTGTATCGGTTATTGGTGTTTTCCGTCATTATGGTGGTATTAATTTTCTTTCTCAACATGTGGAATTTCTCGGACCGGGATGCGGTGGATTGGGCGGCTCGCAACTGGAAATCACGATGGTTCATGTTGGATGGCATGTTAAATATTCTGTATTTCGTGGTGTTCATTGTGATTGTGATTCTGTGGCGACCGACAAGCAACAATGCTCGATACGGTCTGGAGCAGATCAGTCAAGACGAGGATGAAGCGATGGATTTGGAAAACCGGTTACGACAAGCGGAAGGACTGGGAAATGGTCATGTCAAACCAGGCGACGAGTTTGGTCGAGGAAGGCGCATGGACGATGAAGCCGGCATTTTTGAGCTAGGGGATGATTTTAGCGACGACGAAGATGAACATGGTGGACCGGTGCGATTGGTCAGTGTCAACCACGGTCCAGAACCAAGCAGTTCGTCCACGAACCCAATCTATTCCGGGCCATCACGCACCAATGGATCTTCAAGTCAACCACGTTCGGGAGATCAAACAGCGTTACTGAATGTTACGCAAGATGAAGACGAAGAAGACGATGATTAGTAAGTCTTGGCAAAGATACCGGTTTTTGTGAGTCATCAGAATCGACTGACACACAAATTGTCATTCATTTTTTTTTTTAGTCTCAATGACGATGAACATGCCAGGCTTACGGATAACGCCCGCAAACCATCTTAGAACAAGTAATGGAACCAAGAAAGAAGAAAAAAAAAGTAGCATTTTGAAATTAACAAGAATACGATATAAAAAAAAAAACTTCATCACGAATCCTACTGATGCAACCTTTGCCCCAATATGACCTTGCCACCTCATCTCTCCCATTCACCCACCCATTGTATCAATTGGAAAAAGCAACAGACTCAGTAGCTTGTACACAAAAGAAAAAGCCACAAAATGACAGATGAAAGTATTTATGTCTGCAACATGCACGCAAACTACGGTATCATCTTTATCATCACCTATAAGACCGTTCTTGGGACATAATATGTGCAAAAAAAGAAAAAGACTGCATCGACTGTATCCATTTGACCGGGATGCATGATCTGGATTTCGGTTCTATTTTCCCTTTCAATTTCGATTCGCCATCATTGCGTGATGATCGACCGCAGTATCAATTACAGTGGAGAGCAGTAACAAAAACAATATTACCATTTTTGAATCATGCAGATGCGATCGAACAAGAAACCAAATCATCACGAGATCCATGCTCATGTTTATATTTTGATCTGCGAGCATTAGAGCGAAAAAAAAACAATGATTCAAACTCTATTTGGTCTTGCAAACATAATCATTCAACCCATATTCGACTGAAAAAAAAGAGAAACGAGAGCACGATGGTGTCTGCTTGCTATTTAGTAACACAAAAAGTTGAAAAATTAACAAAACAAAATGCACAAATATAAACGGTCAATCATAAAGTGAGAGGATTGGGGATAAGGTGCAATAGGATGTGTGAAAGCGAAAAGAAAAAAACTAGAGAAGAAACCAGAAATAGGAGAAACGAATCATAAATAACGATCGAGAGACATTGGGAAACTGGATGATAGATACTACAATATTATATAACATGAAGAGAATTGAACCTCTTAGGCATGAGTAGATGAGTAAATGCATAGCATGGCTTAGGCACAGGTCACAGTGAAGGAGCTGAAATGGGTACGGAATACAAAGGATCATTGTCCGTTAATCTGCTGTTGTTGTAGAGTGGCCAGATACCAGAGGTAGGCATAGCGGAGGAGGAAGTGGTGGGTCCAAAGGTATTTGAAAATGTAGAAGATGAAGAAGGCAGAGGCGACGAGGATGAAGAAGACGATGACGACGAAATCGTGGAATATGACGAAGCGGACGATGTGGGCGAAGCGATCAGGGATGGATTGTCATACCAATCCAAATCGTATCGCCTGGTGGTGGACATGGTGTATGGGTGACAAGGTGCGATCTCTTGATTTCGCATGGTTGGATAGACCATGGACGAATTGAAAGTTCCGGGACAAGGAAGCAGAGGTTGTACCCAGGGAGATGTATACCTCCACTTTGGTGGTAACCCCGGTGGTTTCTCCACGTCACCGGTGGTGTAGGTGGTATGGAAGGGGGTAGGTGGCATTGGAGCCACGGTTTGTGCCATTAATCGTTGTACATGTTTCATGCGTTCTTCGGCCGTCAATCGATTCGTTACCGGTGTCTTCTTGTGGACCTTAAAATGGCGACGCAGGTTACTAATCACAGCAAATCGACGACCGCACCCAGGGCTAAGGCAGAGACACAGACATTTCGGGTTTCAATAAAAAAAAACCAAGAACATAGAGTGGTTTCTAATAGTTAATTACCTGGTGCATTGGAATGGCTTCTCACCGGTATGGGTATACGAGTGAGTGCGTAGAGCACTGGGACGACTGAAGCATTTTTGACATACGGTGCATGGGTATTGCTTTTTCTTGGTGGCAAGATCGGCCGAGATCGACGGGGAAAACGATGGCTCCGAAAAAACATCATAGTTGATATTAGTATCTTCATTCGTTGGGTGGTTATTGTCGTCGGAATCAAAGGGAAGCGAATTCATATGACATGAAGATAACAACGATGGAAAACAGTCAATCATTAAAAATAAAAAGCACAAAATCAAGCAAGCAATGAGATTATTTAAAAGAGATGAATGGCTTTTTTTTTCTCTTTTCGTTTATGATGAAGCACGAAGGAAGGAAAAGTAGAAAGAAGCGTTATAAAATTAAAAGAAAAACCGAAGATGATCTTGTTTATAAATAAATAATACCGCTTGGTCTTAAAGTAGGATGGGATCACAAGGAAGAGCCAGTTAAAAGAAAATAACAAACAGTGCCCTGGATGCATTATGCCACATTGGATGTCGAGGAAGTGCACAGAGATTTCAAGGGATGAATCAACAATAAGGGAGGGGGGAAACATTTAACTAGATGCGTTTTAAGTACCTGAGGAAACATTCGTCATTACCCACAGAGTAGGGGTGCACTGGTTTTTTTTTTCTTGGTTGGGGGGAACGGGAGACGAAGGAGGAGCAAATCCGGGCACAAAGAAATTGCCTTTTGCAGTTTGTTTACGCAAACTCTAACGCGTCCATACTTTCAACAGCTGAACTATGCCAACTCGTAACGGTTTTCATGATCCTTTTCGATACCAGTATTTAGATGATCCCGGTAATCTCATTCATTCAATTTGATAGCGCGATGACGGTTCAGTGAATGATTGCCAAGAACAATTGGCCCACAAAGTGCAAATGTTGCAGTTTCAAGCATCTTTTTTTGACGACAATGAATTTAGGAGCAAGACCAATAAAATACGCAATGTCGAGACATGGTTTTCCAGATCCATCACAAGTCCGGACAAGCAACGGAACTCCTGGTAACTGTCGCGTTTGGAATCACATTATCTCCCGTATGATTTTATTCTGCAATACAATCAATAGACTTTTTGCCGTCATCACTCAAAAGGAGAATTTCTTCTTTTTTTTTCTCACTCTTTTTGCAGATGACAACTATTTAAGAGAATAAACCTAGCATAGTATGATGCAGTCCATTGGCATCGGAGGATACGTGACAAACAGAAAAAATAAGCAACAAGTTTCCGAATGTCTCGCTTTAGTAAATTGCCATAATTCAGATCAAATTTATGAAAAGGATGGTGTCTCTCGTGGCTGGAAGCTCAGACAAAAATTCTTTTGGCGCTTTTTTTTTTGCGACATTAGTAAGCCAGGGGAAAATGAATCGAATATTCGCGAGGAACAAAGAAGTTTTAAGATTGAAGGAGTGGTGACAAGAAAAGCATTGGCGCATGAACTATTAAGGAGACACATATTGAATTGAAGGAGCTTTTTTTTTTCAATGGATAATTAGTGTTATGCCGTGCATGCAGTGTTATTTTTATTATTAGATACATTTAAACTTGTATATATTTCATGAGCGTGACCATCGACCCAGCAAAAAGACGCCAAGGCTGAGAAGCGCAATGGCAGCTGACACTTCAAAAAGCATATTAGCACCGTACTGCCCGTAAACAAAACCGCCAAAGATGCACCCAAGACCAAACCCGAGACCGGAGAACAACGCAGCCAGAATCCCCTGTGCCATTGAACGCTGATCCTCAGCAAAGAAGGAGTCCACCTGATTGACGCTGAGCGCCCACATCAGAGCGTACGACATACCTAGAACCCACACCCCACCCACGCATGAGTTCAGTGCCGTCATCAATCAATCACCTTATCGGTCCTTTCAACTTACCATTCACCAGTTGCATGCCTAAAGCGACCGCCGTGGAAACCAATTGAGACGGTTGTAATAATGTATACACCATATTGCGAGCCACGAGAATAACGTGAGCAAACGTAATCAACGCCGTGATACTGTAATTATCAGCAAGCTAATGATAGACCATTGGGGTTTCCCGGAAAAGATAAAAGAAAACCAGTTTAGAACGTCAGTGGATGGAATCAATGGGGGTCTCGCAGATAGATACGAATTTTTTGGTTGCGCATCTTTTTTTTTTTTACCTGTTTGGAAACGTAGAATGTAGAAACTTCAGCCACGCCACCGATAGGTCCTGTCCAGCCAATCAGAGCCGATTCCATGCCAAGATCGTTGCGTAGGAACAGAAATAGAAACTGGGCAATCATGGAGTACGAAATACCGAACAACAATGTCGTGACAAGGAACGTCCAGACTTTGGGCGATCGCAATTGTGACTTTTCAATCGGCTGCGTGTCGGGATCCCCCACAGCGGCAAAACCGGCCAAGGAAACATCGATGGAAGGAATATGTGACAGAGCCAAACCCAGTGGAGGAAATTGATCCATGTTGGACATGAGTTCGTTGGCCTCGTTTTGAAGATCACGTGCTGCAATGGAAGTAGTGGTGGTTCGTAAGAGATGCAAATGGTTATTATCATCTTCCAAGAACACAGTGTTAGCGTGACTCGCGCAACTGTTGCGACGCGCCATGGCTTCTTCGGGTTCATAGGCGTAATTGGATACTCGCGGAGGTCGCTGGTCGACACTGTGACCCGATAAGACATTGGTAAGCGCTGAAAAGAAGGAAGTGGAACGGACGGACGTTGAGAGTGGCAGTTCCGGTTCATGCGGATTCACATAGTTGCTACGGATAGGATGATTGGGTGATTTCAAAAGTGGTTGTCTTTGGTCTTGGACCATGTCATCCTGGGGAGGCACGAAAAACGCGGTTTCTTCCTTGCTATCGGTCACTTTGGTGAAGAGTGCAAGAACGACAAACGAAGTGACCCCGGCGGCAAACACGTAAAAAGCCACGTTGATACCCACCTTGCTGATCAAAAGACCGACAATCAAAATATTGACCCCATTGGAAATGGAACCCCACAATCGCTGGTTGCCTATATAACAATACCCAGGTGAGTGACCAAGCTCCGCTTAACAAAAAAAAAAAAAGGGGCTCGAGCGTGTTTTTTACCATATAAAATCTTTTGATCCCCGAGCATTTTGAGCACCGCACTGTCGACCAAAGCGGTGACGGGTTGACCGAAAAACGCGAAAACAAGAGCGAGCGCCGCTGTCACCATAAGCGTCAACGACTCGGTATCAGGCGATTCCAGGAAAGAAGAGGTGCTGTCGTTCTTCACCAGCCATCCCGGGAGAAACATGAGACTCATGACACTCACACCACCAATGGCAGCAAGAATAGCCATGAGCGGGCCATGCCATTGTGGTCGTCGATCGGCTACGACCGTCCAAATGGGACACGCCACTGACTGGACAAAGGGGGCAATGGCTAACACCATACCTATTTGTTTGGAAGGTAAATGCAGTGCTTCATCGTAAAAAAGAGACAGGTAGGGTATCGCGGATCCGAGCAAAGCATACAAGCATATGTATAACAGTTTTGGAAGCACAAAAGAGGAGGCCATGATCTATGTATGGATACGCAACGGGTGTATGACAAAGAGCAGAGATGGAGGTGACAAAAAAACTGTAGTGTATCAGGAAGTAAGCAAGAGGCCAGGACTAGTGATATAATGGGTAAAATAAAAGCAGGGCGCTCTATTGTGAGATAAATGGGTGGGAAGGGGAAAAAAAGACCCTTTGGGTATTTTGATTTGACTTGCTATTTATTGATAATCCTTGTTTTTTTCCAGTTGTTGTTGTTGTACAATTGACGCCAGCAAATCGTCCTTCGTTGAATAATAACGAAAGAGAAAACAAGGGAAATAGGGAATATGGTTTCCTCTTTCTCTCCTCTTTACACAAACGGAAACGTTTCCTTTCCCTTTTGTGTTACCTCGGCAGCTGATATGCAACAACCGATGAAACAATGATGATGATAATAATGTCCTTTTCGGCAAATCAAAAACCGTCGCTCTTTTTTTGGTCAGTTTTTTTCATCCACCTCTTCTTTTGTGGCTGATCCAGAATAAACTTCTCTTGTGTCTGTGCGAGCGTAAATGCACCTTATAATTTCCGCAAAAAGTGAAGCATTGAGGAAAAGAATGTCTGACTTGGGTTACAGGTGGTACGGAATGAATCAATAAAAAAAAGGGGAGGTCATCTTTGCGGCCTCCTATTGAACAATCATCCAACTTTCCCAGTTGCCAACCCGAAACGTAAATTTTTCTTTTGGCGTTTGCGATTAATCTCTTACGAATAACACAGTGGTTACGTGAAATCGATCGAACGATGCAAAGCGTAGTTGAGTATTTTCGCTGTACTATGATGTAACGAAAAAAATTGTCAACAGGGGATGGGCATGTAAAACACGGAGACAAAAAGTGAAAAAACCTGATCGATTGTTTATCGCTGTTCCGATTGCACGGTCGACGAAAGGCTATATTAAAACGGTGCGTAGCATAGGCAACCGTGAATGCTTCTGTGCAACGCAAGACGAAAGTGTTACTGTATTCTATAGGACTTGAAAAGTATAAAGCCAAATAACTAATGAATGATTTCTGCTTTGGTTGACTCTCAAGACATCCAGCGATGATGACGATGTGCATTTTCGGTGCGAGAAGACCCTGAAAGCATTATAGAAACAAGTATACAAAACATGAGACAAAGAGGGGATTTTTCGATCGAGTCATTTTGCTGCTATGTTGTTCAGGTTCCCGTGGCCGCTGTCGGGTCCAGTTTTTATGTGCCTGTGTCACGGCTGTGGCCTCGTCGTACCCGAATCTCTACTGTAATGCAAGGAACGGATCAAGCAAATAGAGTAAGCCGCACCATGGGAACGAGTGTGTTTCATCAATTTTTTTAGTTGATAGCAAAAAGGCCAACGTGGGACAAGAAATGGAGTCAAATCAGGTCAGAAGCTATTTTTTAGGCATTACACCGGTTCATTTATGGCCATGGTAGGCAACGGCTTATCTGTGGGGAGTAAAAAAAAAAAGGAACGTCAATGTTGAAATGTTCGTGGATAAAATGAAATAAGGAATCCGCTGGAATTCTTTTTTTTTAACCGTGATGTTGCAATGATTCGCTGAAAAACAGAAAAGAAAATACTGGCATTATCATTGGACCCACCTCTATGTTTCCCTGCCATTTCTTTTTTTCATTTATTCAACCTCGTTGAATTGATCAGCCATTCGTCATTTTCTGCACGAGCGCTTTGCTTCCATCATAGATAATGGCAAAAGGTGTTGACATGGGTTATGGAATTTTTAATTCTACGATCCGAATACTGCGGGTGTTTCTCTATCGCCAAAGTTCCATGGTTTCACTTGGCATGCCATCAGCCGTTTCTAATTACCCGTGCAACATGTGCTTCCAAATAAATGAAAAAAGATCCACGCAGGCTTTTTTTTTTTTTTTTTTTTTTTTTTTGGAAAACATTGAGAAATCGTCAAATTAAAGCAGTCTTCTGCAGTATTTACCCGATCAATAATCCAGCCATTATCCCTAACAACTGACACAAAGCTTATAGATGTCATAGTAAAAATTACAGAATGAATATGTCGCAAGTACAAAGAGTATCGCGGTGAATCCACAGGGGAGCAGGTGTTATGGTGACAAGCACTGTGCATCCAAAGTGACGCTAATTCATAATTTTAACCCCGACCCATGTATAGCCAATCATGATTATGACTTCACCGCCTCAATGAGAAAAAAAAAAGTTTTACTCTCAATTCAACCTCAATGCTGAAGTGAAATGGAAATATTTTTTTTTTATATTGCAAAACTCTCAGCCGGAATTGTTGTCTTTTTTTTTTTCTTTACAATAACATATTCCCGGCGGAGACCTTGTGCTTGGTACTGCTGGTGCAATTTTTGTTTATACACATCATCCCGTCCGTTCAAGCGCAACACACCGTAGGCCGTTTCGTCCCTCCTCTTGTCCGTGCTTCTGCTTTGGAAAACAGTCTTCGTTTTCGTCCACCGTAGAACAGCAAAAGCACTCGCTTTCATTGAACACATTTGCCGTTTATACACGCACCCTCTCTATACTTATTCCCCCTCCCACCCTGCTATGCATCCTAGCGTTTCCATTCCTGCCGCACCACCTTACTAACGTTTCTGTAATATCGAATACTACATCCTCTCTGTTCAATTAGACTTGTTTTTTCTTGTTTCTTGTTATTATTCTTATTCTTTTTTTCTTGCTTGCTTTTTTTTCGCATTTCTACTTGCAACCCTATCCAACTACATATTTTTTTCCCGTCTTCTTTTGCCCCTAGACAACTGTATATTGTAAACGGGCCGACGTTTCCATCTCGCAAATCAAATTATATATCATGGTCGAACTCAGCGTATGCGCTCCTGGCGACAACTATTCAGCACAACAAGGTTCCTTTGAAGGGCCCGAAAAACTCTTGGAAATCTGGTTCTCTCCTTCGCCGAACCGATTGCACGATCATCAAAACCTTTCTTCGTCGGAATCCTCGGAAGCCGAAGATGATCACAGCACCAGCAGCTCCATGGACGACAAAGAACTTGTAGAACGTTTCAGTCCGCCTCGGTCACATCGCCATGGCAGTACGACGATTCGCCACTCGGGTTTACGGGTGGTACCCCGTCCTGTGTGGGACGATGTTCTTTCCATTGTCAAGTGCACCGTTCTCAATGTCATTCATAATGAAGACGTCGATGCCTATCTCTTGAGGTAAGAAGAATTCAAAATTGCCGCCTTCCCTTGTCTAACTCTTCCCTACGCCATGCTCATTGATTTTTTTTCTGTTTCTGTATTGTTTTGACAGTGAGTCATCGATGTTTGTTTATCCCCACAAGCTGATCCTCAAAACGTGTGGCACTACGACCCTTCTTCTGGCATTGCCACGTCTACTGGAAATTGCCAAGCAATACTGTGATTTCGAAAAAGTTTGGCGTGTCTTTTATTCTCGTAAAGCATTCATGTTCCCCGAACGTCAAACGGGTCCTCATCGTTCATGGCAAAACGAAGTGGATTTCTTGGATAAATATTTCGGTATGTTATTTTATTACTGCTTATCTTGTCAATTTCATTTCATTTCATGCCTGTGCAAATCTTTTTGATCGTGCCTGGGCGGTGGCTTGGCTGCTTGTGTGGAAAATTTTGACTTGTAAGAAAAAAAAAATTGACTTTTTTTTTTTGTTTGTAGATAATGGTTCTGCTTACCAAATTGGTAAAGTAGCAGCCGATCATTGGTATTTGTATTTGACCAAACCTGCCGACGATGTGCTTCATCATCCCAAGCCACGTTCGCATCCTTATCACTTGCAAGGCGCGATGCGTGAGCGCGAAATTATGAGCGGCTGTTCTACGCCCATCACCTCCGATACGGAAGATCCTTCTCCATTTGGTAATGCTGGACATTCGTACCCCGATCAAACCGTCGAGATCTTGATGACCCGCTTGAACCCTGAAAAAATGAAAAAGTTCTATCATGATGCTACACAGATCGAATCGGGCACGGTGGGCGGACAATGGGTCGATAAGGAAACCGGTATCGGCCGTCTTTATCCAGAGGCTCACATCGACTCGTTCTTATTCGAACCTTGCGGTTACTCGAGCAACGGATTGAGCCATGATCGTTATTTTACCATCCATGTGACTCCGGAGCCTGATTGCTCTTATGCGTCTTTCGAAACAAATATACCTGTGGAGGATTCGCATGCGGGTGATGGCGAGATCTCTCCTATTGAAGCGTTGGTGCATCAAGTTGTTGACATTTTCGGCCCCGAAACCTTCACTGTCACCTTCTTTACATCCCACCATAAAGAATATCACAGTCACAGCCATATGGTGCGTTCCATGTCTTCAATGCAGGGTTATCAACGTACGGACCGTATCCTCTACGAATTCGATGGCTACGACTTGGTCTATGGACATTACACAAAGGACGACTCGGCCTAAAACGAAGAAAAATTCAACACGCGCCTGGATCGCCCTGGTTTTTTTTTTTATTTCCTTTTTTTTTTCTTTCCTAGCTCATCATAGGAAAACATCCTATCGTATTGAAAACTAATAAAAAAAATAACGACCGACCATACGGCGGATGTTGCCAGGGTCATTTTTACAACGTCATATTTTATTTGTTCCTTTTCTTATTGCTGGCTTTCATTGTTATATGGAAATGTAGTCGAGAAGCAATGTGTTAGTGGAGAAAGACTAGTTTCTTTTGTTTCTTTTCTTTCTGCCAACTGGATTAATTACAGTGGCACCATGTAGTATTTGGTAATCGAGCATCGGTTCTGTACGACCTCCGACAAATTAAACTCTTTTTTATTCTTTCATAAATACAGAAATACCGTATCTATTGTCAAGCTTGTTCTCTGTCTCTTACTTTTTACATCGTGGGTCGACCGAAACTCAGTTCTCTCCTTTTACCCGCCCTTCTAGCACTCGTTTAATTTATTAGCACCTGGTGGACGGCCGTTTTTTTTCGTTAACTTTTTATTTCGTTTTCCTGCATTCCTTGATTTCGCGCTGGTTCGCTGTAGCATTCAATATCGATGAAATTAGAACCGACTCAAACACAGTGGAAATGGCTTAGATACCTTTTCTTCAGCTATGCCGTTATTTCGCTACTCTTTATCAGCAATCATTTATACACTGGCTATTCTTCCCCTACTCACAACGGTGCTATCCGCCCTCGAGCAGACGGCGACCTTCAAACCAATTTATCACTAAAAAAGCAAAATGACCTGCCTGTTGACAACAAACCGGTTTCAAACGAGGAAAACAACGTGGTCCAATGGTCCACCATTCGTGGTAAGCATCTTGACCCCAACGCCCCACGCGTCCATGGCAGGAGCTTCAGTCTTTTTTAAATCAGAAACCAAGTAGATGAGTCACTGCCTGTATCCCAATCGCTGGTCTTGTCCAAAATATTCAACTCGGCCATGGGTCCTTCCAATGTCACTTCCTATTTTTACAAGGCGCGAAACCGCATGGATCCAGAAGATATTACCATGGCTACGCTCGTCACTCGCGATCGTTTCCCGGTGCTCAGCCGTCTAGCCACCCATTATAAAGGTAAACTTATTATATCGACACTTTTTTTTTTGTTATTAACGCGAAATCTCTAGGACCTATTTCGGCGGCCATTCACGTCAATGACGATGAGAGCAAAGACGAAACGTTGACGGCGCTTCAGGAGATGTATGAAAGCAACGCAGATGTACAGAAATATGTAGATATCCATTTAATTTTGGATACCTATGACCGACAATTCAACATGTGGCGCAACGTTGCCAAATTATTTGCGCGGACCAATTATATTATGATGCTCGATGTGGATTTCCATCTGTGCACCGATTTACAAAAGTCGATTCGCGGGAACGCCGACATCATGGCTCGCCTTCGTCAAGGCCGTACAGCGTTTGTGGTGCCCGCCTTTGAATACATTCTGCAAGCCGACGGAGTGGATGCGGCCACTTTTCCCAAAACCAAGTCCGAGCTATTGCAGCAGGTCGGCGACGGGAAAATTGACATGTTCCACAAAGGGTGGCTCAAAGGTCATGGTTCGACGGATTATTCCCGCTGGTATAACGCTACGGACTTGTATCAAGTTGACGAATACGATTTTTCCTACGAGCCCTACATCATTTACAAGAAAGAAGACAGTCCATGGTGCGATGAACGGTTTATCGGTTACGGAGCCAACAAAGCCGCATGCCTTTACGAGATTTATCTGTCTGGTATTGACTATGTTGTTGTACCCAACGATTTTCTCATTCATCAGACGCATGATTACCCCGAAAAAACACGACGAAAAGAGGTACCACATTGAAAAGAGAAAAAAGGAGAAATATAATACGATGAATATAACGGTTTCTTAACTTTCCTGCATTTTACCAGCGCCAGTACAACCGAACGTTGTACAGTCATTTTAGAGAAGAGATATGTATCCGATACGCGCGCATGTTTCTCGCTTCCAGCCAATGGGATACGCCTCGAGCCCAAAATCTTCGAAGAGAATGTCAGAAAATCCGTAATTTTAGATCCACCCTACGATCCACGTCATAGATATATACTATTCATAGCATCTGCATCATATAATAAAACACACATACAGTACATCACAATATTCCCGCTGATTTTGGACAACATTGCCAACGGTGGATGGTAATGAGAGTATCTTCAATACTTTGCACCGAGAAATGGTGGCAGATGATGAACAACATGCGCCCCACCCAGAAGCGATGATTCCCGCCTTTTTGTATATGGGTTGCAGCATCGACAGACTGAATGCTCAGACTGGGTCATAGACTCAAAGCTCTCCCAGCACTATTGCATGTCAGTAAAAAGTGGCTCTGGAATGAATAGTTTTTTCCATATGCTGGAGAAAACGGGTAACCATGTACTGGTTAGCATAACATGTTTGGATAGGGCATCTTGAATATACAGTAGATAACCAGGACAACATCATAATGAAATTGTGCCACAATTGTAAACCTTTTGGAAGTAAAATAGTGAAATAGTGCTTCGCTTTCACGAGGTACGACAGTGGGATTAATCGTAGCACAATCGAGCAACACCAAGTACCATCTCATCCTACCCAGCTCGATGACGTTGTTTAGTCTTGACTGTCATCAATGACAATGGGGTGTACCCACTGCGCATAACTTGACTTCTTTTTTTCTTTCCATTAGACGAAATGATGAGAATGCAGGTTCGTCTGTGTATCACATCAACACGAGGATAAAAAAAAACCAATGTCATGCATCACATCATGTAAACATCAGCCGGAGTTGAAAAAAACGGACGATGCAAGGCTTGATTTTTGCATGAGATCAGCGTCATGCTTGTGCTGGACCTGACTGACACGTGAAAAAAGGGTTGCGTTTTTTTATTATTATTATGTGAACCATTATTATGCGTAGGTAATTCAGTATCTTTCTTATTATTTATCTTTGATATTAACGATATACAAAAATGGAAGAGAAGCCATCAGTTACGGACGACTTGACCACAGTTTCATTAGCCCAGTTGACCATGTCCACCGCACAGCCTTATGCTTCGTCATTAGCCAGCAATGTCAAGTCCATCTCCTGGGATGTGGCCACGTTTTGGTCTACTGTAAGAAATAGACTACGTACCATCATGTTGCAGCAAAAAATCTGAACCCCCTTTTTAGAAGCTGTACCGACATCTCGCCAATGCTTCGAATCCCAAAGCCTACTACAATCACCTGCTAACGGTGGCCACCAATTACGAGCAGTGGGCTGAGGCTGCATCTATATTGGACGATATCGACGGTATAGTGTATGCTATTCCGATACGATAGAGAACAAACTGAGTGACACTTCATTTACAGGTCTTAATGCCTGGAAACAAGATCCACGGTCGTCCGACTATGACTGGGAACTGATTCAGACACGACTTGATCAACTTCGAACCGTGCGTTTGCAGCAGAGTCAATCGGCCATGATCTTTGCCCTTCGTACAAGTTTAGCCAGGAATTTGGGTGATATGGGCAATCCCAAGGTAACAATGATGATGCATTTCATGAACTGCTGGAAAAGGATCCCACGCTGGGGCCAGCTGTTTAATATTGCGATGAGAAAAAAAAAGCTGACATAATATCCACAGCTGTATTGCCATTCACGAGTGGGTACAAAAGATCTCATTTCATCGTACATTGACCAAGTGATCCGACAATTGAACTGGATTTGCGACGAACCAGCCGATGAAAAAGAAGAACCTGATCTTGATCTGAAGTTTAAACATGACTTTTTTATGAATATCCGCCAAAGTTTTGGACGAACCGCATTGCTGTTGAGCGGAGGCGGCACTTTAGGTACAGCTCACGGAAACTCCACCTAACCATGAAAACTGTATTGACCAGCCATATATTTTCAGGGCTGAACCATATTGGTGTAATCAAGTGCCTTCATCGTGCAAGGCTTTTACCACGAATTATCTCGGGCGCTTCCAGTGGCAGCATCATTGCAGCGCTTGTGTGTACAAAGACGGATGAGGAAATTCCACACATGTTTGATCCTCTGTCGGTCAAACTGGATGTATTCGAGCGTGAAGGACATCCAGATACACCTATGATGCGACTTCAGCGTTTATTAACGCACGGTCAGCTGTACGATGTCAACATCTTGACTGAAGCCATGCGGGCCAATATAGGCGATCTCACCTTTCAGGCAAGTGGGACCGCAGTCTGTTATTTTTTACGCAAAAATATCAACGAGACTCACAAGCATATCATCATGCACAGGAGGCTTTCAATCGCACTCGGTGGATTCTGAATATTACTGTGAGTTCTTCCACTCTGTATGACATGCCTCGGCTGTTGAATTATTTGACAGCCCCCGATGTGGTAAGTACTCTTTTTTTTTTTTTGCTGAAATCTACTCTGCAATCTTTTTGACAGCTAGTACAAAACGGATACTGACGTTGTTGGTAAATCACCAGTTGATTTGGTCAGCAGTGTATGTAGAATCGTGAGCTGAATTGAACAATATACATTCCCACTTAATGATGCCAAACCTATAGAGCCGTATCTTGCGCAGTACCGGTATTCTACGGCTCCTCTCGTTTGTATGCAAAGGACAAAAATGGCAACATTGTGCCTTGGAATCCGAGTGGTAAGCTTTTTCTTTCTTCTTCTTCTTCTTCTTCGTTTTATGAATGAATGAATGGATAGGATAGCAAACATGAGTAATGCTAACTATGATTCATCAATAGATCAACTTTACATTGACGGCTCGGTAGAAAAGTAAACATCATACAACCCGTGTTCTTGTTACGTGAAATTAATGGATGACCCTTTTACCCTAGTGATTTGCCGATGAACAAATTATCTGAATTATTCAATGTCAACCACTTTATTGTCTGTCAAGGTAAGCCACACGAATCAATTAAGTACATGTATAACAGAGATCTGATTGAGCATGGGTCGCCGACCAGTGAATCCGCATGTGATTCCATTCTTGCAGAAAACCACCATGCCGTCCTTAGCAAGACAGGCCATGAATTTCTGTATGCACATGGCGAAAACGGAAGTTCAACACCGTTGCACACAGGTAAGTCCACGCCATACTGAATTAAGCATGTACAACCTTTTTTTAGTAATCGTTTCTAACCATTCCATGGCCAGTTGACCGAGCTCGGGGTGATGCCTTCCTTTTTCTACAAGATTCAGGCCATCATGTCCCAAAAATACTCGGGCGATATTACCATCATCCCCGATGTGGGTTATGCGAATTTTCTCAAAGTACTTTCCAATCCCACTCCCGAAACCGTCGCCGAAGCAATCGTATGTGGTGAACGAGCTACATGGCCAAGTAAGACCACTTGATCAAGAGAAAAAGAGGGAGATGGAAAAAAAGTACTGATATAATCCGTTTATCCATTGGTGATGTGCATAACATAGAAATGTCGATTATCAAGAACCATCTACAAATTGAGTTAACAATTGACGCTATTCTATACCGACTACGTTTACGCCGGTTGAATGAATTATCGCAACGAAAGGGCAATGGACAGCGCCCGCTTTTGGAAAACCGCGCCGTATCACAGCTGTATCTTCCCACGACGTTAAGTAGCACAATCCGATTAGATGCAGTTCAGGAATCAGATCCGCCTCCTGCGTTGTCGGTCGTTGTGCGTTCCACCAAAAGTACACCAATGGTTGTCGCACCGGTGCCTGCAATTTCAAAAGATAAACGCGACCGTGTCAATACAAAGAAAAACCTACTGATGACTGCTACACGAATGACCAAAACATAGCTGTCTATGCCCATATAACTTAATTACCCGTCACGCCATTTATGACTCATTGATCCATCCCGCAGCCAGGAACATGGGGTTTATAACGATCACTATGATAGCCAAATATTTTATGATATTTCACCTGTTTTCCTATAGTTTATTGTATTTGTTTCTCAAGAATGACATTATATACATGAATGATTAGATTAGAAGAAAAACGTCAAATAAAGAAGAGAAAAAGAAGAAGAAAATAAAAAAGACCAACAATGTGGGGTAATATATAAAAAAAAAAAGATGGAGGGGGACCATAGAGCATGAGAGAAAGTTTTCGAGAAAAAACTAATAACGACACACGCCACCATACATCTTTTCATAACCACTCATACGTAAAGAAGGCAATGGAGGTGGTGGATGAGCTGATCCTGAGGAAACCGAAGGAGGGCATGGTTTGGTTGCCGGTAAAAGAGGACGTAAATTTGTCGCCGTAGGATATGACAGATGATGTTTTGGGGATGCAGAGAGGGGAGAGTGGGGCAAACAAGTGTCCGCAGTTGAGGAAGGAGATGAATGTTGCGTTGGTGGTGGTTGATGTTGTGGCTGCTGCTGCTGCTGAGGTTGATGAGATTGTGGCGGGTAATAAGAGGGAGGTAAACCATTGTTGGTGGATGGGGAGGATGGCGAAGGAGCCTGGTAGGGATAAAGCGAAGGATGCACAATAACAGGGTGATGATGGTGGTGATGATGATGGTGGACCGGTTGTTGTGGGGAATAACTGGAGGTCATGATCATGGACGTCGCAGCCGGCAAGGCGGACGTGGAAGGTGAGGCGGAAGGTGAGGAGGAGGCCGAAGACGAGGAAGACGACGAGGAATAAGCCGTCGATGGGGTGACTGTACCAGCGACTGGATTGGACCGACAAGGCGGTAAAGCAAATGCAGAAGGACGCATGTAAGAAGGATCGTCCGGTTGTCCCAACTGCATGGGCGACGACGGCAAGGACATGGTCTGTTTAATACTCGAGGAGGTGGATTTGGTCAGGACCATTCGTGAGAGTTTTGGAGAACAGGTCGACCCGGACGTTGAAGGACCCTCTGCCGAAGATCCACAGGAACCCATCGAGTATGTTTGTTCTTCCATCGGCGTTCTTACCGCTCCTGCTGCACCTTCACCTCCGGGCAATTCATCCGGTTCGCCCAGTTGATTTTTGAGTAACGTATTTTCCGCTTGCAAAGCCTAAAAAAGGCAATTAATACCATATCCGACAGTCACCTACTCAGAATCCACTTTTTTTTTCCCTCCTCCACAGAATTTGGCCTTCACTGAAGAAAAAAAAAAACCGACGGTTCGGAAAAAAAGACCCGACTCTATGTACCTTTATATAATCCAAAGCCAACTTTAGAATGTTGCCTTTGTTCGGTTTTTGTCCAGGATGAATCGCGTTGGGTACCACTTGAGACAACTCCAGTATAGCGTTATTGATATTATCTCGCCGACGTCGTTCCACGTGATTATGATTTTCACGTCGTCTTTGAATCCGCTCAATCGCCGTCTTGCTGTCCAAATTATTTCTGTAACAAGACAATGATTTGTTTAGAATGTGAAAAAAAATTGGACATGAGCCAAACTATCCTTTACGATACAGCCCCTGATGGATGCCGTCACGAATTCATCAGGTCCATCGACAGGTGTACGTGCAGAAAGAAATAGAGAGAGAATGGCTAAAATTACCTATTCAGGATATTGACACCATTGACTCGATAAGCAGTTTGACGTTTCGCGGCTTTGGATTTCTTTTTTCCAATCTTTTGAGGCGACAAATCCGAGGTAAAGTTCAGGAAGAGTGGTTGAGGTTGAGGCTTCGTCATGGTAGTGGTGGTAGTGGTGGGTGGACTGGACTCCTCGGTAGAAGAATCTGTATCATTGTCTTCCGCGCTATCGTCTTCATCATCGACCATCATTGCTGCGAGCTTTTCTTCAGGAGAAATCGATGATGGCAATGGCTCGTTCAAAAAAGGTTGTTCTTGCGTCATCATTGCAGAGCAGATCATCGTATGCACATACAGAAATCGACCAATGAAGGAAAGGATATCCTCAAAAAAATGACGAAAAAGGTTTGATCAACAGGAGACAAAAAAAAAACAAAGGATGAGAACAGACAAGCAGTGGACTCAAAGAAAAAAACCCAAAGTACGAGGAAGAAGAAGGAAGAGAGAAAGAATAGCAAAAAGGAAAAAGGGGGAAAAAGCGATATACTGCGAAACCACATGATGCCAAAGAGAAAAAAAAAAATTTAATCACCAACAGATTTTGGCTGGGCCCGGTGGTGATAGCCTTTTTTGGCAATCAACCAAAGAAAAATCTCATTTTTTTTTGCACCGCAAGTCCAGCCAGCGTCTCAGATTTCCCACGATCCCATCCAATCATTGGCATTCTTTTACCCACTCTATTCGGGATTCGAATCTCCGCCAACATTTGACAGCAACAAAGTTTGCATGGATTGGGGATCCGTCGATTCTTGCGTCTGATGATTGGATATTATTTTAATTTTTGTGACTTGTTATTGGTTCCGCTTCTCAGCAACGGTTCATCGTTTACGCTGGTTTCCTGGCGGACGCTTTCCCGACAAGGAACCAATGCAAGTCGCCAGATGCACACCACTTTACTCGCGTAACATCAAATAAAAAAAAACGGGCTATGCCTCTCTCTTTCGGAATTTCTTTCATTTACAAAAGTGGAATTTTAGCGTCATGCCCTTCTTTTCGAGCTAAAAGTGAAAAGAAAATTTTTCTTCCCCCGGGACCATCGTTTTCTTGTTGTGAATGATTTCAAATGGGGTTTCTATTTGCGTTTTTTTTTTCTTGTGAAACATGATGGGATTCTCTTTGCCGTGGTGGAAGCATGTAGAATTATCGCAACCATGCCCTCAGTTCGTTGAACAAGAAAACACCCCACTTGACCCCCTTGACAGTATGTATTTCATATCTTGTGCAACGATTGTTGAAACCCATAATTGGAAGTGGTCTCAAGGACTGGGACGGAAAAAGGGCGGCCCTTGCACGATGTCCGCAAGTTCGGCCCATGGGACGATGACCCAAAAGGCGGTGTAATAACGATAGGCGGTTCCTGACTACCTGTATTGGACAAATGTCCAACTGTATCATATACTTTCGATTTATTGTGTTCCAGATTTTGACGCGACGGATCTTCAATGATATCATGTTGTCCAATTTTGGGATATAAAAGTATACATTTTTGCTCACATGTCATGAAAAATAAGCAATGGAAATATATATATAAAGAAAATTTCGAGCCAGTGAAAGCATGAGATGAAGTGATTGAATACATTTGTTGTTTATTTTATATGTATCATGATCTCTTTGCTGGCCTTTTGATAGCATCGATACCGTATATTTCTGCTGAACATTCCGTCTCAAGAAACCTATTAATGGTCAAATCCTTCCCCAATGAGTAAAGATCATAGGAATCCTTCATGATTGATCCACCAAAAAAGTTGACAAACAAATAAACAAAGATTACTTGCAACCGAAACGTTTGCGAAAAAGGGAATGTATGATGGGGGGGATTACTTTATTTGGTCATCATTGCCTCTTGTGGGATAAAGTGGCTTATCACACCCAGTCCCCTTTTTCCTCATTTCTTCGGGCTCATAATGCAACACGGGGTTTTCGAAAGGGAAATTTTTGACAAAACAGAAATAATACCAAACCCACCAACCACTCCAACTCGCGATGTTCACCGAAGTCGCTGTTACAGCATCCAACACGGATTCCACCATCTATGTGTGGGATATCCGTTCTGGATCCACCTTATTTTCGTTCAAACAAAGTCATTCACCCAAGGGAGGATTCGCGTTGGTTCCCAAACGCGGCCAAGCATTGGAAACAGGTGCCATCATTACCACTCAAACCGATCGTGCCGTTCTCAACGTCTACGGATGGCAACGCGATCAAGTGCTGCACAAAATGCCCACCACCGAAAAAATGGTCAGCGTAGCTGCCTCCAATCAAGGAACTTATGCTGCTGCCGCCACCGCCAGCGGTCGGGTTTACTTGTGGCACCTCGCCACCGGTAACTTGGTTCGCATATTCGAAGCTCACTATCGACGTATTACGCGATTGGCATTCACTTCCGATGATCAAGCCTTAATCACCGCCAGTGAAGACGCTACCGTCAATGTTTGGTTAATGGCCCAGCTGTTAATGGTCGACGACGAATTTAACGACAACTCATCACGTCCTGCTCCTCTCTATTCCTGGTCTGATCATACCCTTCCTGTCACCGACATCCATCTCGGTCACGGTGGTCTCAATACAACTCGTGTCTACACATCAGCTATGGATCATACCGTTAAATTATGGGATCTCGCTACCGGCCAACTTCTCACTACCTTCCTCTTCCCCAAAGCCGTCACCACGGTTTGCGTTCATCCTGCCGAAACCATGTTATTTGCCGCTTGCGAGGATAAGATTTACTCTGTGGAACTTTATCGTCGACGTGAACAGCAAACGTATGATGCCGTTGAAAGTGTAGGTGGCATGGGCAAAGTCGAATCCGTGGGTGTCAAAGCCGTCAATGGTGCCCTTGAATCTTCTTCCGGTAGCAGCAGCCTCGGTGCCGTATTTGTAGGTCACACGTAAGTCCCCTCAAACCATTCCGCACGGTTATATTCCCTCCATACTCATTTTTTTTGTTTCGGGGAATTTCTTTTTTCTTTAGTGGTGTCATTCACTCGTTGAGTCTTTCTTTCGACGGCAGTTTATTAATCAGTGGATCAGAGGATGGCAATTGTATTGTATGGGATGTATCGAGTCGTCAACCGATCCGTAAATTTGAATCACACAAGGGTCCTGTCACCCATGTGGCGTGCATTTTGAAACCGATGGAACTGCTTGCGGGCGCAGGGAAGCAAATGGTCTCGCCATTGGTATGGAAACCATTCAAGCGTGCGGTGGTATCCGAGGACGAAGAGCGCAGAACAGGATCTGAGCAATACATTCGTGATACGTCCATGGACCTCCGCCATCATCAACAACTCAGCGAGGCTGGCCCTCTGTACACGTCCTTACCATCGGAAACAGAAAAGATCCATCAGGTCGAGAACGTGTTACGCCAATTAGAGGTAAAAGCGAAGAAAAAGAAGTGTGTGTGTGTATACATATAGGTTACTTATAGTGTGTTATTCAATTTGGTAGACTCAAGACTCCAGCACAGCTTTGCGGTCACAAATTACGGGTTTGCAAGCGGAATTGGTGCGCTTGCATGAACATCACAACAAGTACAAAGCATTGCATAATGAAACATATAATCTCATGGTCGATGCTTTCATGAAAGATCGCCGTCAGCAACACCCATCATCATCGCATGAATAAGAACTACACTCATCCTGTTCCTCAAATCATTTGTTCAATTTTCTTTTTCTTTTTCTGTGTAGACTTTCACATTCCTCTATCCTCCTCTCCCCTTTTAGACAATCTGCATTTTATTTCGCCTAGTAAAAATTGGGTGTAATGAATTTCATTTTCATCACAAAATTCTCGATCCATCAGTCTTTATGCGCCCCCCCCCATTGACCTTGTTGTGAAGCATGAAGAAGGGAAAATAACAACCAGCACAATAACGGACAAATCTGTAAATACATATCATATCTCAGTTGGACCTAATGGGTCCAGTGTATGATACTATACTTGTGCAACGATTCGAGGGCAAAGGCAAGCAAAATGCATGCTTTGAACGTCAAACCTTTAATACCACATGTATATGATATATCCGTATGGATGGTACTTATTGTATATGATATTGAGATCTTGAGAAAAAAATAAATGCAAAACGAAAAAATATGGGAAACAAAGTGTACATAAAGGGTTGAAAAAGGAGAGGAGATTACAGTTTAAGTTCAGCGAGAATTCTACTGCACATATTTTTGTACTGCCAAATATCGCCACTGATCCGGCGAAATTGTAAACCGTGCATCCCGAGAAGCCAGGGCACTTTGACAATGTAAATTTCAAAACGAACAACGAGATCGGGAACTGTGATAGGTTGCCCTTGGCTGCCGCTACTTCCGTTACTACCACTGCTTCCTTGACTGGTCCCTGGACCTACCGCGGCCATAGTATCATGCCCATTCACACCACGTTCATTGTCCCCTTGACCCGAACTGGCTCTACTGATGACACGGTTCATATCAATGCTAGGCACATGAACGCATTCAAATCGGCCCTTGCTTTCGCGCCACTTGACGCCGATGCGTTCCAGTACTCGGATCAAGTCGGCGCGAATCACCGAAGGATGCTTGGTGGATGTGGTCGACACGGAAAAGAGACCTTTCAAAAACACCGGTTTAATCACTTGATCCGCGGTTCCCGTTTGAATCGCGCCCCGCGCAGTGGGTGGAAAGTTCTGTTGATGATTGTGGGCCATTTCTGAGGACCGTCGGGAAGAGTCCACGAGCGGTAATTCCTGAGCCGGTGCTTTGCCAAGGGCAATGCGGCCTTCTTTCACAGGGTTGGAGTTCACCGCCGTCGAGGCGTCTGGTAGTCGGTTGCGTGCGTGTGGTTGATGGGAGAGGGAGTGCGGATGGAAGGGACGATGAGGGTGACTGCTGTGGGGCGGGGCCGATTCGGCGACATCACCTGTGGTGGTTCGCCTTGAAAGCATTTTACTGAATCGTTGACCAAATCCACTGGATGGCGCGCCCGTCGTGGGATGACTTGTAGTGGGACTCGGCAAAGCCGCACCTTGATGCGTCGCCGACGCTGTGCTGTAGGAACGGTCGCCCACCGGTGGCTTTTCCCCTCGCGTTTCGGATTTGGACGGTATCGGAACAGGTGAAGTGACAGCGGAGGAACTAACGGTAACGCTTTTATTTCGTGTATGGTTACGCGTGCGGCCATTGTCAATCGAGTTACGGCCCATGGCATGACTGAGTCGTCGTAATACCCCGGATTCGCGCGACGAGCGGCGCCCCGATGGCGGATCTTCTTCATCCGAAGGATCCGAGTGACGGGACGTCCGACTAAATAACCGGGTTAGTCCGTGTTCAAATCGATGATATCGATCCACATCAATAATATGGCCTTCATCGTCGACACGAATGTTGGTTTTCCCTTTCTTTCCGTACGCTACGCCGGAAGCAAAGGCACGACCAAACATGCCTTGGTGTCCATGCATCCCATCTTCTTCCTTTGCAAATAACGAGTGATCAAAGATGGCGTTGCTCGGGTGGGCCACTTCGGGCATGGCAATGGTCGGCATACGTAGACCCGATGAGGAAGAAGACGAGGAAGGTGCATCGAGGGGATGATGTGAATCACTGGCAATCGATTCGGATCCCTCTCGTCGTTCACGATCCATGCGTTCTTTGACGAGGTAGTAAATAGACACAAGGGGATGGTATGCGGCGGGAATCGATTGAGGGTCGTCATTAGGGAGAAGAAACGTCTTTCGACCGGAAATATGGCTGTGAGAAGCACCGAAGCGTTGAACGCCTTGGTGATGATGATGATGGTGATGATGGCTATGCTGCTGTTGCTGATGGTGGACTTGCGCACTTCGTTCGGCCAATGTTTTGGCGGCGTTTTGGTATTGTTCTGACATGATGATCTCTTCAAGTTGTTGCTTGATCTCTTCCTCCGTACCAAACTCGAACCCAGTCATCCCTTGCACGACTTCCATATCGATGGGTAACGATAAAGGCGCACGTTCAGGCAGATGATTATCCACGGGACCGCTGTAGCCTCGATTCATCCAAGGATGAATGATGACTTCGGATATCGTAGCTCGATGAGACGGTTGCGTCACCAGCATCCGTGACAATAAGTTTTTGCAATCTAAACAAAAAATTTACCATCATGTTTCCCTAATTGCACGCATCGCAAAAAGATCTGTACTCGTGGTAAAAATGAAGAAACAAGTGTTACCTGAACTGAGATAGGAAGGATAGTCAACGACGCCTCGTTTGATTTTTTCATGGAGTGCCGGCATGCTTTGATCATCAAAAGGGACTTTACCACATACAAGCACGTAAAGCACGACGCCAAAACTCCACACGTCGACTTCTGGTCCAGTGTACTCTTTGGCATTCAAAAGTTCTGGCGCGGCAAAATAGAGCGATCCACAAAACGTTCTCAATTGAGATCGAGGTGAAAACAGATTCGATAATCCAAAATCGATGATTTTGATGTGTCCCGATTGCGAAATGAGGATATTCTCGATCTTGAGATCTAAAAAAGGCATCGTACCGAGTTTTTAAAAAAAATTGCATGGTTTGTATTACCTTCTATATTTGATCCTTTTTTTTTTCTTTACCTCTATGCACAATCGAATTACGATGACAATAATCTAAAGGCGTGATCCATATTAATATTTCGCACGTACGCAAGGAAAATAAAAAGGTAACTGCTCTCAAGCAGTGTGTAGTGAGAAACTTACCTAGTGCACTCACGATCTGTCGAGCAAACCGTCGCGCATGTTTTTCTTTGAGCTTGCCATGGGCGATGATGTAATCCAACAATTGCCCGCCGTTGACGTATTCCATAAATAAGTAGTAGTAAGGATCAAGCATCACCATTTCCTTTAAGCTGACAATATAAGGATGGTGTAAAAGCAACATGATACTGGATTCGCGGATAGTACGGATTTGACGATTGTCGTTTTTATCTTTTTTCTTTCCTCGTGTAGCGTGTTCTTTTGGAACGATTTTCACCGCCAACTAGATAAAGCCAAAACAAATACAATGGTCAGTCAATGTTAGCACGTGGTACACGCACTATGAGAATGTGTACAGCTATTACGACATCCCTCCTCTTTTTTCTGCTCTTTTCTTTTTTGGTCATGGCTCAAGACTCTTGACTTGCCTTTTCTTGGGTGATATTATGCACCGCTAAACGGACTTTTCCCATGGATCCCGATCCAAGGGTACTGACGAGGGTGTAATTGCCTATTCGTTTTCTGGGTTTGGCACGTTCGGTATGGGAGTGGCGTGAGTGGGAGCGTCGTGGAGGCGAAGCAGACAGGTGAGTGGAGGCTGGATCTTGAGGTTGGTCATCGGGTGCGGAATACTTTGGTAATTCCGAAGGTTCAGGCGAGTCACATAAGATCTCATTGCCATCAGGACCTTCAACGTAACGGGGTGTGCAATCTTCGCTGGAGTAAGTAATGGTTTCCAGCATGTCGCTGCTTACACTGCTGCCGCCTGGTCGATGAACATCAACGTGGGGATTCATTCATTGAACGAAGGAGTTTGAAACAGAAAAACTCGACCGAAAAAAAATGGGCAAGATATGCCTTTTTGCCCAAAGTCATGTCGCAAGAAAAAAGTCAAACCTGTCGCACTTTAATTTTTTTTAAAACCGGGCAATGAAATATCACATCATTCTTGAAACGGATGTCGTTTTGTTTACAGGAATTAATGTCGTACTTTGTCACATCACCTAACCACTTCGAAAAAGATTAACACTAGGTGGTATCTATTGTTTGTTTTGAATCACTGAATAATAAGAGACCAAAGATTTTTTAGAACGTATAGAAAATGAAGCAAAATTAGTATCTTTTGTCTTGTCCTTCAGATAAGTTTTGGCAAATGGTTTTTGCTTCCGATTCCCATGCTGGTTATTTTGGAAAGGGGCGCGGATGGGCGACAAGTTTGAACATGACACAATCAAGGATTACTTTTGGCTGAGTGTATCACACTTGTCTTTTAACTCGGTTTTTGAAGGCTCGGATTTTCCACGCAAGTGTGCAAAAAAAAAAAGGAACAACAGTCGCATATCGAAACTAGAATGACACGAACGTGGCATGTCATGTTAATCGCTTTGTATCTTTTCCAGCATTGTCGCTATGTAGTTCACATATGCAATCCTTTTTTTTTTTTTAATAAAGTCTGGTGGTGATTTTTACTTGTTGCATCTCCGTCATTTCCTTCCATGATTTACCCTTCCAGAGGTTTCTTTGTATGATGAGACTATTGTGGACGGCGCCCGACGGCGTGCAATTTCCTGCTGCCCGTTTTGCTGTGCCATTATTGTGGACGCTTGTCTTTGCCAAATTCCAAGGACTGCTAGCCCAAGCCTTACTGAATGCCTGGAACCGCTTCTTAACTATCGCACAGAGCAAATTAAAGCAACACACGTTAACAGCAGAAAGAGCCCGATTTAATTTCATTTCAAGACACGCCACGTTTCAAATGCACATTGTCCGATTTCCAGAGGTTTATGTCCATTCCTGCGGAGGATATCTATTGAGGCATGGTTTAGAAAATTTCCCTTGATATACTTGCCTTCCCCAGCGAGCTTTGGCTCTCGCGTCTAGCGTGAGAACGACAACTTACGGCGCGTCCATATATTGACTCTTCAAATTCGATGTTGACTGTATAAGACAAAGTCTGGAGTATGTACCGCGCCTAGCTAACTGTGTTTGATTCCGTCTTCGAGTGGCACCATACGGCCGTCAGAAGCTCTAGCTGAGCATTCGTAGGTTGGTGATGTTTATATCTTATCCCCATAAAGCATTCTAAAAACATGACAGTCACCGTGAGGACAACTACCAGAGAATACTTTCATAACATCGATAAATGTCGTCAACACAGTAAAATTCATGTTCTTGGCGTTTCCCGGTTCACCGTTTCTGGCCGCAACAACGTTACGTACGGACACCGTAAAAACACGAACGGCCAGCGAAATGTACTTTGACTTCAAACGGGGACGAGTGGCTGTGGGTGCCATAGCTGAAAGTGAGCTGCGGCAGGCAAACCAAATGAATAAAGAGGACGGTTTTTGGCCAAGAGGAGTTAATTGGACGTCCTTATTGAATAGAGGAATCATGGTACAAATAAAAAAAAAAGAGGTCTACCCTGTTGTATCTCTTATAAGCAAAGCTTTTTCATTTATTTTTCTTTTTATATAAAGTGGCGTCCACAGGACGTTAAGCCCACTTTTTATTTTATTATTCAACCCACAAAGGGTTGGGAAAAGAATAATAATAAAGGCAAAAAGCCTTTTTTATTTTTCATTTACCTTTGTTGCGATTAAAAAGCAAACCCACCGACATACCTTCCACAATGACCGCGCTGATGACTAGTCAGGCGCCCAAAGGGAAGAGCCGACGGGAACGAAAACAATCTCTTCAAAGGATGGCCAATCCTATCATTAGAAGATGGTTTTCGGATTTTTCGCCATACCCCGAATGCTTTACCAAAAACCGGAGCGTTCATCATTACCAGTAACCACCAGCCTAGCAGCCCCTGATTCCGAACTGGCGCACAAAAGAAAAAAAAGAGATCAGAAAAGACGCCCTCTTTTTATATCTTTTGCGGACCTTCGATTTGTGACGCTGTGTTATGACCGCAAATGCACCTCATTGGCTCGATTCTCGCAACAAAACTAGCGAACTTCAGCGCCTCACACTTCTTTCGCGTAAGCGATGCAAAGAGGAACTGCGCCATGTCACTCATGCTGCCATCAGCAACCAATGTATACTACAGTTACTCTACAACGTGCAGTATAGCCTATGGTTGAACGCTGATGCGACATGCTTCAGACTTTTACGCGCTATTTTTGATCTTGTTGTATATTAGAAAGCTTCCCCATTTGCCCTGCCCCTGTGTGTCAGTTTTGTTTTTGAAACAGTGAATTCAATATTTGCTGTGACAATAAGCGCTCACGTATGATCTCTTGAAACCAGGGCGTCAGTCTCAAAGCGCCATGTTGCAATGGCGACAAGAAGCAGAGTCAGCAATGACAAAGGCATGTGAGCATGTCCGCAAAAAGTAATATTCGTGGGCTCTACGTCAAAGATGTCCTTGTACATTTCTAAGTAATTGACAGGCATATCCATGCAGTAACGCACCTGTAGTTGGTTTCTCCATTTACGGTGTGCCATATTTTCACATAAATCTGATTTGACCTGCAGGACCGGTGTCATCTCCACTTGAATATTGAGTTCCTCATCTCCGCTTCCCGGCACGATCACGTTTTGGACCATTTGTGATCAATAAAAATGCTGCCGTTTTTGTGCGTTTTATTCAATGACTCGTAGCATAGAATAAAGTCACCGCCCATTTCGAAAATATATTGATTTTGGAATCGCTTATTATAATTTTCAATCACTCACTTTGAGGTGCGTGGCATAATGACCGACTGTTTTGCATAGAGGAACAAGTGTCTGTTCGCGCATAATTATATCAAACTGCAACAACAACAAACAGGAGGCCAGCCAATACCACCGAATCCGACGAAGCCGATGTGTGCTATTGTGTCATGGCTCACAGCAGTTCTGTTGAAAGGTAAATAATGTAAGTTGTTTATTACGATGAAAAAAAAATGGATCATAATCTCTCACGACCTTCTCCCTTCCTGCTATTTATTGAGGGGGATAGGGTTGAGAGTATGTGGGATAATAGGACTGAGAAGGTGGGTAGCCAGGCTGCTGGTGATGGTACATTCCCGGTTGTTGAGGAGGTGGATAATATTCATGAGCTGCTGGTGTGGACGACACTAGCGAGGATTGAGAGGGGTAACCCATTGTGGCAGCGGGTCTGTAAGAGGATGGCGGTGGAGGTTGGCTCATGCTGTTGCTCATCATGGAAGGAGGATAGCCGCCCATGTAAGGTGGTTGGGAGGCGGGAACAGCAGGCTGGTTCAAAGAAACAGAAGACATCATGGAGGGAGTGCCGTGGCCGTAGCTGGAAGCTGGATAAGGAGCATTGTGTGGTTGCGGTGGTTGTTGTAATGAGATTTGACTGAGGTTGCTGGTCAAATTGTGCATATCGTAAGGTTCGGCGCCGGGAGGCGCGATCGACGGTGGATACGATGGCTGATTGGCTTCCATATTCACATACGAATCCGACGCGTCAAAAGCCGAGGTAAAGACAAACACTTTATCGCGAATAGTACATTCAATCTTGATTTCCGTCAAGCCAAAGTACATCTTGATCGTCATGTTCACCTTGTCACCCGGTCGCACACCTTCCAATACCGGCATGCGAATCGGGAAATTGCCCACCTTTTTGATCAAGGGATGTGTGGTCAGACGGGGAGGGACACCGTCACCGTCAAAAGCAAACAAGTCTAAAAAGAAAACAATCACCCTCCATCGTCAGTCTTTCGTTTTTCCCCTTTTCCTTTTGGTTTCCCATAGACCGATCATAAACGTACCAGAATCTGTATCGTTGGGATAGCTGATGACAAAGTTCTTGGAAATGCACTCATCCACTTTAACACTTTGCCCTTTATGAACGTAGACGCTGAACCGCTGACGACAGTAGGTCTTTTGGTCGACGCCCACCACCGAGTATTCAATAGGGTCGACATCTTTCTGGAACAGCATACGAGTTTCAACACCGTAGGTTCGTCGAGAAACACGTTCCGTAACGATTTGAGGATTCAAGCCAAAATAGACAGCACCACGCACCACGGCCAGTTCGCCTCGTGGAGGCACACCAATCATACCGACGCGATTGGCAAACACTTCCTCGACACGATGGAATAAATAATTGGACTGACCAAAACCACCGACCAAAAAGATGGCTTCTAGATTAGGCGATTGACTCAATTGACCTTCGATCAGTTCCAAAACTTGAACAATAACAGGTTCAAACACTTGATCACGTAATTCGTGGGCTGGAAGGCATAAAGAACCGTTTTCAAGACCGATGCTTTCATCCGTCAAATCACCCAAGCCCATGGATGCAGGTAAATCCAAGAAATGATCTTCATATCCATCGAATTCAGGCTACACAGATTTCCCCCCGTTAGCTTTTGTTGTCTCTTTGCACCCTTTCTCGAAAGTGATGGATTTTTACCTTGATGATGTTCACAAAATTATCCATGATGTGTTCAAGTGCGGAATCGTTGATGCTGCCCAGATGAGCGAATTTTCGTTTGATGTAATCACGCATACGCATATCCAGAAATCCGGAACCACACGAACCGCCATGACCATTGGTGACTTCTTTCAAAGTTCGCCTAAAAAGAAAAAAAGAAGCTTGAATACACTTGTTTAATCCACCTTTCTATTCTGCAACACTTACTTTCCGCCCAGCGGTTGATCAATCTCGAATACAATCAAATCCACCGTACCACCACCCGCATCGCAGATCATGAATCGTTGACCGTGTACGAGATTAAACTGCTCCGATTTTTTCTCACAGTATAATGCCGCAGCTTCGGGTTCAGAGATCAGCGTTAATCGTTCCGGATGATCGGATCGTTGAATCAAGTTGGCACGAATAGCTGCTTCACGCATCGCCGCTTTAGCACGATCACTCCACATTGCTGGTACAGTCAAACACTACAAAAATGATACCAAAAACAAAACGAGTGAGTCAAAACTTGGTATCAAATCGAACAAGAAGAGAAGTCTCGTTGCGAAGCGACGGTTTGCAGCCACATATCAACAAGAGAATCAAGTAGGTCACCTACGTAACGAAATTTGCTTTGATCGTAATTGCCAGCAAAGCCTTTTAGTAATTCGGTGCAGACATGGTTATGAAAGACTCGCAAGTAATCGGCAATGACATCAATGACGTTCAGACCATTGGGAAGCGATTCATGTTGCAAATGTTCATCCAGGTACAATTTGAATTTCGAAAGCAGTAACAGATCGACACTGTTGGGTTTCATGGCTTGCCGCCGTGCGCCATGACCCCAATCGATCAGTTGTGTCGACCCTTTACGATATAAGGAAAGCGTAGGTGTCTGTGATAGAATAGTGAGTACGGAGTGCCTTTTTTTTTCTGGTAACACAATGGATGAAATATCGTCATGGCATATATCAAACCTTTGGATAAACGTGATTATTCTGTCTGGGCCTGGCAAATTATTAACCAAAACGAGAACAAGAAAAAACAACACAATAAGAACAACATACAATCATCGTGCTATATTTTCATTGGTATTTACCATTTCACGATATCGATAACTTCTTCGTTTTGGCTTTGTGCAAAGGCGTAACAGCAACCCGAGAAAGTCGTACCTAAAAAAGAAGAAGAAAAAAAAACCAGCCCATTCCCATGGCGTTAATCAACAGGATACAGAACGAGTAACAAAATACGGGGTGGAGTGATGTGTACCAAAATCGATGCCGACAATGACAGGATAATCAGCGTAATTAAATCCAGACGAGTAGGGTTCCATAAGAGAAGGGAAAGAGAGATGACGGTAAAAGCGGGGAAAACAAAAAAAACTTACTGAGGAAAAAAGAGAAAATCGAACAACCCACTACAGTAACTGGATCGGTGTTGCAATCCTCAATACGCTACTGGAATTTTTTTCATTCCCAAAATAGACTTGGGTTACTATTTTTTGCTCCTTGAAGTAGGCTTGGCAACAGGCCCAAGAGAGGTTGGACAATGCGAGAATACTGATTCCCTTCTCACACTTTTTTTGGACCTTACTACATTCAAAAATTTGGGACGAACCGCTTGGAAATGTGAAAATCAATATGGGCATTGGTATTCGATATACATATATTGGGCTGTTTATCGGATCGTGCTTTCGTCAATTAGTATGGCTTCGTTTATCAATCAATTCTCATTTAATCCTGATTGCTTTTCCTTTTTCATATAGAAACTTATAGAAATCACCAACACCCTTTTAATAAAAAAATAAAAAGACGCCAACCATTTTAACACCAACATCTATGAAACCAAACGTGAGATTTGTGTCATTTCGGGATGCGAGCAGAGCATCTCGTTACATCTAAGCGGATCGACAACAAAAATTGGCTGCACATAACAAACAAAGGAGTTTAGAAACCAATATTGAAAGAAGAAAAGCGATAATAAATAAACATAAGAGTTGACGGACAGCTCTGATAAGCTTGATTACCGATCAATTAAAAAATTTAGTGCGGGACCCAGAAGCACCCCATCCGCCACATTCGGTGATCCAGCCTCTTCGGAAAATAAAGGCGCCGTATAGTTTGAAATCAATGTCGCCGCACTGAAAATCAGCAATTCTATTCCAAGTCATGATCATGTTCACCCCGTCCCACTGGGTCGCCACTGGCGGGATTCGATGACACACAACTCTTGGCATTGTACCAGAATACCCAATACAAAGCACCCTAGATATTTTGCTAAAGTGGATCATTCCTGTGGAAAGGGCTCATTTGTACAGTCCAGGACTGTCAGGACTCATATTTTGGTGAAAGAGGACCAGCTTTTTTTTTTTTTTTTTTTTTTTTTTTTTTTTGCATGACAGCATTTATTCAGTGTATCAAATTCCTGCAAAGGAAGACCGAATTTATATCATGTCGCTGCAAGTTATTCGTAGATGATACACACTGCCTCCAGCTTTTGTCTTACACTTAATTTTTGCCTTCCAAGAAGCATACAGATGATATTGCCATGTGCCATTGTACTGTCATGAAATAGAAACACCTCGGTCGATCACGTCATTCACTTGTAGGCGCTTTTTCAAGTTCTGTGATGTTCTGCTCGTTGAGATCTTTGGCAAGGGTCATGCAAATCGCTCTTTCTAGTGACATTTTCATTGATGTTGTACAGAAAAATTGGTTTGAATGCATTGGATTCGAAAAACGACTTTAGCGCTTTTCTGGCTTTATTTCTTTCAGCGCCATCAGTCATGCAAAGAATGAATGTGATGCATTTTAAAACCTTGAATCTCGTCTATTCGTTGTCATTTTTTTAAAATAATGGATTGATCCCCATCACTGCAACTTGTAACTGTTTTGGCTTGCTTGATATGGCCCTCATTTGGAAGAAACGTATTACCAGTCCTTCTTCCTGTCTTTGAGAGGCTTTCTCTGCTTTTTCGTTGGTCACAGTCGTACCGTACGAATGTGACGATCCGTTTGTTATTTCACAGTGATGGAAGCGCTTTGATTTTCCCTGATCGTGTATACCGTATGAATTTTTCCGTTACTTGGTTTTCTCCATGTATCGCTAGTTTCAATATTGACACCGTGTTTTTCATGTGTGGTTTCTGTTAGTTGTAAACGCTTTAATCCATTATTACACAATGTTCAGAGCTCCAGACTGCACTGCTTTTGTAAGCCATACAAGTCGCAGTATCGCGCACGACGATAGTTCCCTTTTTCCTACAAAGTTGAATGTCCTCGACAAAAAGCTACTAAATTTGCTGTCACTGTGATGGAAGAATCCAATAACTCAACATATTGGTGCGTTACGATTTCGCAGAGTAAGGCCAAGGGCCACTGCGACAGCGCGTTTTGGAAGAGCGTCTGTAATTTGTAAATATGGCAGAGCTGTTGCTTTGCGCGGCGATGCTGCTTTCATCGAGCGCAACGGATCTTATCAATAGGAAGCAGAACGCGTGCCTAGTTCATAGCCCAAGAACAAAATCTGGTGCGCTCCATCTTTCCAATCTCTTTTTCGACTTTTTGCAGCATCCTCATTATATATTTCATCAAACATCATACTAAAGAGCTAACTGTCCTATTACTTCCATGATTAGTTTATGGAACAAATGGGATGTATAGTTGAATCAAAAGACCGAGTGGCTCTCGGCTACTTGTGTTCACCTGGCGGAAAATTTATGCTTTCTTTTTATTTCAGTGAACTCGGATCTAGTCGAATTTTTTCTTTATAGATATTTTAAGCTTTTGCTTCAAGGTATTCCATTGCCTATTTCAAAACAATGAACCGGTCGTTGCTAGTGGAATCTAGAAGCTTCTTTCTTATGCTCCTCATTTTAAATAGAGGCATGAGCCACCAGTCTCCCTTCTTAATAGATTTACTTTTGGCCGTTGAATGCGGATTTTTTTTTGAGAGAAGCCCACTTTTGCAGACCCTTATAATGTATCACACCGCTTGATGGATAATCTGTCATGGTACCGCTGGTTTCAATCATTTGACACCGTTTTCTATGTGCATGAATTGCGTATCATCGTGCCCCTTTTGAGACTCTGTACACATGTTGCTTGATTAGATCTAAATGTCTCAAGACAGTATTGTTTTCCATTGATCACACAAGTCATATGCTCAGGCAACGACAATGGGTTCCTTTCCACCCTCTCACAAAAGCTGAATGCGCCTTGAAATAAAAGCTACTGCTATACTACTATCATTATCATATGAGAGAAAAAATCCAAAGCGAGATGATATGACAGGGTAAGGCAAAACCACTGCGATAGGAGGTTTCTGGAAGAGCGACATATGTTTTTGTTAGCGTGTCAGCATTAGAGTTTCGTGGGATGTTGTTCTGTGTGTGTGTGACAATGGCCACTTTTTTTTTCTTTCCGGAAAATCGTATATTTCCCAATTATTGGCTTTTGATTTTTTTGTTGTTTTGGTAGATCGGAGCGAAAAGCGGAAACATTAGGATCGCAAGCTTTTTGATAAACATTTACGATTTCGGTTCTTTTGGCAGAATGTTAAAAAATAGAGGAACAAATAAAAAAAGATGGAATAACCTTCAGTGACCAGGATGAAACAAATCATGTCATCGATTAGAACGCGTAGATACAGAATAAGCTACTTTCAAAAGGAATCTCTTCCGTTTGGTCAAAGAAAAGTCCGACTAGAGTTTCCAAAACCAATGATATTAGGTTGCCTTTTAAAGAAACTTATCATATCGTCTCGGAGTTGTAACCAATTCAAGAGCAGTAGAGGATCTGGTCGCTTGGGATTGGGTCTCGATGCAAGTTGCATAACCGCGGAGTCAAAAATGATGTCAACCCGGCCCGTTCCTGATGATGCTTCTCTCAAAATAAAAGACTATCATTTCTCTCTTTTTGATATTTTGCAAAGAGAAGATACAAGACAGAAAAACAAAAGGGCCGAGTCACGTAGTTGTTAAAATTTGGCCTGTAAAAAAGAAAGTATACAGCGGCCCCAGGACCTTTGTTGTTCATGGTTTCTCGAAGATCCAACTTCAGATTCCAACGGAGACTTTGTTTCGATGGATGCCATCCAATAGCCATTTGAATAAAACATATACTCGGTTTCACTTGTCAACCTAATCATATATTTCACAACCAGTTTCCCCAAGCCAGTAAGAAAAAAGAGATCACAATATCAATGAATTGGTAATCAATGAACCCAATGTATTGTAAGAATGATCCATCTCCATATATGGACAAAAGATACAGAGCCTTACAAAGTATAGCTTTATTTTACTCGCCATTCCAGCGAACTGACAAAACCAGACGATCGGGTGCACAAAAAAAAAAAGGCGGGTTTTCAATATCAGCAAATTGCCAAATTTATTACGTTTAGTTCGAAAAACTTGCCGGGCATGGTATATATTACGCGGACCTGCAGCCGTTTCCCTTTTTTTTTCGCTCTCGTCCATATTGAGCTTCATTCACACTTCTTTTTATCATTACAATCGCCATCTTCCGTGACGAACCAGTTGCATTGTTTATTGTTATTTAATCAATTTTTCCTCATTCAAATTTTTTGTACCCATCGTCTTCTTTTCAGTTACGTCTTTTTCCTCTTTTTGGTTTCCATTTCAAAATATCTGTCACTATGGGTAATCAACAATCCCAACAACAAAAAGACCCTTTTCCAAAAGTTGCCATGTTTACACTGTCCTCCAAGGCCAAGCGACGATTATCGCATTCACCTGGGTTTCAGTCGTATCTTGAACAACCTACAAAAAAGACCAACTATGCTCCTTCTTTCATGTCAATCGCACGTCATCACAACCTCCTTTCGTCGTCGTCCCGAAAAAATTCAGACGCTTCCGGTGGCAGCACTGTCAGTTCGCGACCATCCGCTAAAACGCATAAAACGGACGATTCTTCTGATACCGTGTCTGGTGTACTGACGTCTCATACGGTAGCGACGACCACACTCCAAAACCATGATTATGTGATGATTGGAGGACGACGATACATTGCGCCTCACGTTTCGCATTATTTTCTGCCTTGTGATGATGACGAAGCTGATCGACAAATTGTACTGGTAAATAAAACGATTGGAGAATGGGAAGAGAAGCGGCCTTTGAACCGGCTATTAAAAAAATTATACATGTTCTTCTTGTTTCAGCATTTTCTATTGAAATATACCTTCCATGGGAACTTTACAGCTCCAGTGACTGGGCTATTCTCCAACACGGCGGATAACCATCGTCCACAAGTCCTTGATATCGGTTGCGGTCCAGGCACCTGGTAAGTGAATTGTTACTGCTACCTTTTTTTTTTCTTGTAGAGTAGGAACTAAAAATATTTGGTTTTTGTTTTCTTTCCTTTAGGATTCTGGAAATGGCGTCAGAATTTTCGGGAGTTGATTTCCACGGAGTGGACATTACGCGTATGTTTCCCGTGGACATTAAGCCTTCGAATGCCTTTTTCAAGCAGGCCGACATCCTTGAGGGACTGCCTTATGAGGACAACACGTTTGAGTTTGTCAATATGCGATTGATGCTGGCCTGTCTTACGAAAGAACACCTCATCTTTCTGTTGGCTGAAGTGTCGCGGGTTCTCAAACCAGGCGGTTACTTTGAAATCGTCGATGTTGAATACAATATTCAACGACCCGGTCCACTTGCTGATAAAGTGGTGAACCAGAAATGTAAGCCCTCTTCTTTCATCACCTCGTACAGGAAGGAAGCGATTGTTCTAACGGTGTTTATGTGTAGTACAAAAGATTATGGCGTCTCATAAAATTGATCTCCGTCTGAGTCACCAGTTGTCGACGCTCATGATGTCGCAGGGAGCAGGCTTGGTGGATATTCGTCACAGTCGTCACAGTCTGCCACTGGGTTGGGGAGGCCAAACCGGGGATCTTCACGCCCAAAACATGGAGCAGTTTTTGCGGTCGCTGAACCCTATTGTGCGTCGACATTCGGACGGAACGGTCATTACGGATGACGATATCAAGCAAGTGATGGCGGAATGCACAAAGTACCAGTCGCACCTGAACTGGTATGTTTGTTACGCACGCAAACCGTGTTCATCGACAGTGGCTCCGTTGACCCCACCTCCATGCATTGAGGATCTGCCCGGAAAAGCTCACAACGGCGTGGAAAAACCCAACAGCACGCCCCATCTGGCGGGAGAAACGTGGGAATCAATTCAAGACTTTATCGATGGCTATGTCGATTAGATCACCGCCGCGAACTTTCCCCTGCATCCGTATACATATACCTTTCATGTTTATTACCACTACTTGTAAATAATTTAATCTGCATCATATCAACCAAAAAAAACTGCTTTGCACTATAAAATTTTTTACACATTTCCACATCAAGCCAATAAAAGAAAAAAGGATCGTCTGTTATCGTATCATAAAGTAGCACGAGAGATAACAAGAAAAAAAAGCGCTGCAGATTATTAAATTTTTTCAGACGATTTATTCATTTGTGAAAAAGAAAAGAAAGAGAAGAAGTATACAAGATCAATCTGTTGCGTAAAATAATGTGTGAAAAATAACTAATAGAATCGAAAGTAAAAGAAATGAAAAAAAAGGAGATCAATCAGAGAAAAATAAAAAAAAAGAAAGAGTGCAAACTAGATAACTAAAGTGATAAGCAGAAAAGAAGATACAAAGAAAAAAAAAAATAGAAATATGAGATAGAGAAAAGAATGAATTTAGCAATTATTGCTTGGTCAGAGCTTTGTGGGCTTCTGCCAATTGCTTTTCGAGAACACGAATGCGCTCTTCGAGTCCACGATCTTTGGCTTCGAGACCGGCCTTTTCGGATTCGAGCACGGCGATACGTGTGACTAGACCGGACTTTTCGCCCTCCAACTCGGATACACGTTCTTCAAGGGCTTCCATCTTCTTGACTTTCTTAAGACGAGATCGGCGTGCCGCATCGGTATTCTTTTGACGTTTCAGAGCAATGTCATCCTGGTTGTCCTCCAAACAACGCTTCACCGGTTCCACATAAGAGCTAGGACGCGGAGCAATCTTGGCACACGACCAAGCACCGGTCTTTGGCATGATGGGCTGGATGGGACGTGGGGCCACTGGTGCATACCGAGGTCGGGTAATTTGGACCGGTTTGGGCGGTGAATGAGCTTGAATTTCCGGGAAAAGTGGTACAAAGGTATCACCAGTCTGCTTGGAATTATTGCCGTCGCCATTTGTGTTGCGTTCAGGAGAAAGTCCGCTCGCCCCATGGTTGGGAGTCATCGACTGGGCACCATTCTGGTTGCCCGGATACAATTCGGTCGAAGGACTTTGACCATACGGGCTTGAGGAAGGACTGGCCGTCAGGGGTGGAGAATGAGGAAACAAATGAAGCACGTTAGCTACGTCTTGAGGCTGCTTGCTGTTGCTGTTCTGATGTTGTTGATGTTGGTGGTGGTGAGGGTTGCCCAGTGAGTTGTTGGTAGGCAAAAGACCGGTCTGTTGCAGTTCACCGACCAACCAATCATCCACAAGAGATGGAGTGAAGCTGTCTTGAGCGAGGTTCAACGCATTCACCAGGTCTTGGTTGATATCAGTCGAACCTGCCAAGAGCGCTTGCATAGCAGCTTGGAGGTGGTTGCTAGGAGCTTGTTCAAGTGGGGTGGTGGAAGCACCCATGTCAAAAGTATACGATGGGAACATGGTTTTTCCGAGTTGGAGAGCGTGGCTGTTTTCTGGTTGGTGAGTATTGGTCGTAATGGTGGTGGTTATTTTGTTGTTTGGCTGAATTTTTTCTGTTTACTTCGGGATTGGTTCACTAATTTCCTGGTGTGTTGGATTGGCTAGTTTTCTTGCGGGTGCAGGTTGAAGGTTCGTCAGTGCAGTAGGAGAAGAATGGACTGCTGGGGATGTGATTCGACAGGAAGAGATGTTGACGAGAGATAAAGTACATATTACTTGACTTGAGAGAGACTTTTACAAGATAATTAATTAACACAAGACGCTTTAACACGAGAGATGATGAGAAAAAAGCTGAGAAAGGGGAAACCGTTTAGAATACGAGAGCCAACATTTTGGAAAAAATATAAAAAGATAATAAAAATATGTCAGCAATCAAGAAAGAAAAAAAAGAATAATAAAAATAATTAGAATAAAGAGCAGGAAAATAAAAGAAGAACAGAAAAACGGTGAGGAACGTACTCAGGGAGACCGGGGTGCCTCATTTAAAGGGAAAAAAGAAAATTTTTTTTGTTCGATAGATGACGTTTTGATGTGACTTTTTAGTGACATCCAATAGAATTACGTCTTTGCGATTGCGGGGCACCAAGCTTAGCTGATATGCGGGACGGAGTCTCAATACGGTGGGAATATACTGCACGTTATTGATAACAAAGATACATCTTGAGCAACCTTATTCTGTCCAAAAAAGTAACAGACCATATAAGGATGTAGAAAAGATAAGGAACAAGGGATAAAATTTTGAGGGTGCATTTTCTGGCAAACCCAAAAACATTCAGATGCAAGACTTGCACTAAAAAAAAGAGGTCAATACATTTCTGGACATGCGTCGAGTCATTTTATAAAAAAGTAATCATGATACCGGCAGAATCTCGGTTTCAAGCACAACCAGGACGATTCTGCGCCTCCTTTTGTTTTGCCTTTTTTTTAATATTTGTAAGCATGCCACAGTCTAGACACATGCACGATGCAAAGGACCTGAATTATTATTACCTTCAGTGCAGCCAAAAAAAATTCAAAATGCCATGTCCCAAATTTGGATGTATGATCTTTTTTTTTTTTGGTAAAATAGCGGTTTGTGAGTCGACAGTCGGGCTTTTTTTTAATAAGTCATATGAAAATCATGTCTAGTTTCTAATGGAAATGGACTTGTCTTTTTTTTTTTCCCTTGATGCTTTTTGCTGTGGATATGCCAAATGTGTCAGATGCTGATGTGTCTCTGAATGTCAATTTTCACCTCACACATCAATTCGATGCTATTGGGTGCGATTTAGTGTGTCTACTCGCCATGACGATGAAATAATGGGTTTGCGTCGAACCACCGTGCGCTTAAGTTTACGTCGTAACTGTCGTATACGCCAACGTCCAATGTCGGTTTTACGTGCATCTTGATCTTTCCCGTTCGTGATGAAATCCAAGGCATGTGCTTCTTTCAATATCCGTAAACGAGCTTTTCCCTCTTGCTGTTTTCGTTTATGATGTGATACAATATGCTGGATGTGTTCCGGATCTTGCATGATAACATCTGGTATAGACTTTGTCGGTGACTATGGAAAAATGGATGGTCAGATTGAGATCTTATGCATGACTGCCAGAAAATTATAGATTTTATCCACACTTACCATTTCTCGAGATGACATTGTTGAAGGTTCTTGCATGACGATATCTGGTATAGGCTCTTTCGGTGGCTATGGGGAAGTTAAAAGTCATTATTACGGCTGCAGGTAGATTGTCTATTAATATACTTTACTTTTTCTGGAGACGATGTAGTTGTTGAAGGCTTGATATCAAAAGCAAATGGATCTTCATTGTCAGTGGAGGGGACCAAAGATGGTTGAACTCCGTCTTCCTTGGCTGTCGTGCGCAGCACTGCTTCCAAACTGCGAGGCAGGAAACTGTGGCCACTGAGATCCAGAACGGAATCGGTCTTTTGCTGGGCCCGCCCCAGCAGTTCCCGACAGCGTTGGAACGATCTTGGTGTGAGAGGTATTCGTAAACGCGATTCACGAGTGGTCGGTGTGCCCACTGTCACCGGTGAAGGCTTTTTTTCAAGATGCGTATTTTCATCGAGATTGGACGACCACAGTGACTCGATCACCGCTGCATCTTCCAAGCTCGCAGGTAATTCATTGGCCAATGCAGCCGAAGGAGGCGCTACACATTCAGCCCCAATCACGGCTCGAGGTGGTAATCGACGTCGTCGTGAACGCGTCGTATTGGGAGAAGCAGGTATGATCGTTTCAGCGGAATGATTGTGATTCGATAAGACCGAGGACTTTACGGCCGAAAATGATGGCTTGTCTTTCATATCGCATGTATCTTCGGGACTACAAGGAGTACTAATCACCACAGCCACCATGATAATCTCAATCCTCTTTGTCTCGCAAGATCTCACGATAAGTAAATAAAATGTAAAAAAAAAATGACAGACCAAGACGAAGACTCAGTTTCTCCGGCAGAATAAGCCATTACCAAATTAGGGTATCTACGAAACAAAACATCCAATTAAGCGCCAAAAGTGGGCGTTGTATAGGGCTTTGTTTTTACTGCTAACAAGCCGTACACCCGCTGTGCAATGGATGCCGCCTGCCACTGGAGGCCGCCCTTTTACACTGAGCGACTTTCGTCAGACAAAAAGCCTAACGCATACACGGCATAGCCTGGGCGAGAACTCCTGACGGACTATGGTATCTTAATGGCAACCTTATGGCAATACCATGCAACGTGAGTTGTTTCTGAACACGCGCAAAGCAGCACTGGTTCCCCCCACCTCAGTTCCATCCCGCATAGGCTATGATAGATCTAGAAAGATGTGTGAATATGTTGGGTATTTAAAAATGAGTTAGTAGGCTATTTGATTGATTCAAATTTCGTCAAGCCATTGATCGCTTGATATGACTTGGATTATACGACATTAAATTTTTTTTGAATTAGTATATGTTCATTACAACATAACAAAGGAAAAGATATTGGACTTGCCTTTGAACCAAATGGTGTACCGGAAAAAAAAAGATGATACGGACCGCCAGGTATGCTTCTTCTTCGATGCGGTAAATAAAGTTGCTTTCAGGGACAGTTAAGCGATGGATCGGTGGTGTCAGCTGAGCAGGCAAAAAATATTGACGTGGCCAGAAGTGACGGTAATTTCGAGTTGGATTCCAGATATCGAGAGTTTCCCGAATAACAAGAAAGGAAAACAAATAAAGTACATGATGATAAAAAGAACAATCGTCGCGCCAGTAAAAACCTCCTAAAAAACCCTGTGGGAAAAAAGAGGAAAAGACTGCGAAAAGAATATGTACATGAAATCTTAAATACAAAATACAAACTATGAACTAACAAATACAATAATCGGGGAGACATCTCGAATACGATATTATGAGAAGCAATCCAAAGGAGAGGAACATGAAGAGGACACGTAAGCGTTTTCCGATGAAAAAGAGAGTGTATTACCGACGATGGCCTTTGACGTCATCTGGTTTCGCCAGATGGATGGATGAATGGCGAGAGAAAGGCAACTTGTGGTGTCCAGAACTTGCCAGGCGAAAAGAAAACGGAGAAAACAGGTAAAAGAAGAGATGGAAAATAAAGAGAGGTAAGTCTGTTTTGCCGGAGCAAAATCGATGTTAGACCACTCCAAGCCTACCTTTTTGAGGTTGGTAGTCGATTTAACCAAGTTAGATACACGGAATAAGAATGTTCTGGATGATGGATGCGGATGGGATCTTGATACAATGATACCGAGAGTTTTCCAGGTAAACAGAAAGAGAGAGAGAAAATCAAGATAAAATTGAAGACCAAAATATATGATTTTCCATGGATGAAACAATAGTCATCCCACTAATGCATGGATTCATAGATCGAAGCACGCCTGCTTATGTATTATTCGATTCATTGAAAATTGAAAGAGAATGAAAGGTATAAATGACAGTATAACTGACAGAAAACCCAAATTAAAGGATGCTACAAAGACGCCAGTCGTATCATCAACCACTTTTCTTCAAAAAGAGCTCTACTCACATTTTTATTCGAAAGACGACGATGCTCTGTTTGACCACAACTGGCGCAAACGGCATCTGCTGCGGATTGTTTCGCCTAGTATTGTGAAAGTGGGCAGCGAGGCATGGTTGAAAGATAAAAAAAAAGGCTTAACAGGTCCTGATAACTTAAGTGTAGATCATGTGTTTTACAAATCGCTAACTGTTAATTGGTTATTTTTGGCATATCATATTTATGAAAAAGGACTGGGTTGATGATAACTTTCTTTTCTTTATTGAATTACAAACATAGTGATATGTACAGGACAAACAGTTTTTTTTTTTTTGGACATCCATTTAATCAAAGGTTGGCTTTTCAGCAAGGTACTTTGGATCGGTACCGTGCGCTTCAATGTACTTTTGGTGTTCACGAATGGCGTGGCGGTAGTTGGCAATGTGAGTACGAGCGTCCATATCGACAGCTCCGTTGGGCAGCACGTGTTCCAAGGCGTCAATGGCAATATCGTAACGGGAGCAACCGTTGGCAGTGAGCATGTGGAACGGCGTGGTGGTAGTACCTTCTTCGTTGTAACCGTGAACGGCCATACGACGGCCACTCACGCGATCGTAGGCCAAACTCTTGATGGCCGAGGGATAACCGTGGAAATTGAAAATGATGGGCTTATCCTTGGTGAAGATGGCATCAAATTCAGCCGTGGTCAAACGGTGCGAATGCGTGAAACCAAGCACCATCAAATCCGTCACATTGACAACGCGGACACGTAACTTGGGACAGTCTTTGCGAAGAAGGGCGGCCGCAGCAATCACTTCAAAGGTTGTTTCGACACCGCAACCGACAAGCACCACATCGGGATCGCGACCTCCATCAGTACTGAATTCGCTCCACACCGAGACACCGGCACGGCAATGTTCTTCCACTCTCTTGGCCGAGGACAACCACACCGGCATAGGGTTCTTGGCACTGATGATCAAGTTGACATAGTTCTTGGACTTGAGACAGTGATCCAAAGTAGAAAGCATACAGTTGGCATCGGGAGGCAAGTAGATGCGGACCATGTTGGACTTTAGGTTCATCAAATTGTTGAGGAAAGCTGGGTTCTGATGACTGAAACCGTTGTGCTCTTGACGCCAAAGAGTGCTGCTTTCAATGTAATTGATGGAAGGCACTGGGTGTTGCCAGAGGGTTTCCTTACCCAATTTGAGGAATTTGGCATACTGAATGATCATGGTGGTGATGATGCCGAGGAACGCTTCATAACTGGGGAACAAACCCGTACGGCCTGTCAAGGTGTAACCTTGCAACATGCCTTGGCAAGAATGTTCAGACAAGACTTCGGTGACACGACCGCCCTTGGTAAACAGATCGGGATCCCATTCCATGGTACGGTTGGTGACTTCCAAGACCTTGGTCAACTTGTTCGAGGTCAGTTCATCAGGAGAAAAGATGCGGAAACGATCATCGTTGTTCTTGCACACTTCCGCGAGATAGTCGCCAGCCGAGATCATGGCGCTCACGTCGGGATCCGCCGACACGTAATCTTGCCATGCAGGTAACTTGAGCTGCTTGTACACACCGTGGGTTTCCTTGCGCTGACCCATACGCAAGCGCTCGTCTTGAGGGAAACAGTCCAAGATTTCCTTGATAGGACGGCCATTGTCGTCGAAAAGTTCGTGGGGTTTGTAACTCTCCAACCATTGTTTCAATAACTGGAATTCTTCGTCATCCGTCTTGGCTTTAGGTAAAGGTACTTGATGAGCGTGCCATGTGCCTTCGATCTGGACACCGTGGGCTTTCTTGGGACCGGTCCATCCTTTAGGCGAACGCAAGACGATCACGGGCCAGCGGGGCTTATACACGGCTTGACCACTGCGGGCCGCCTTCTGAATAGCGTGGATCTCGCCAATAGCCCATTCAAACGACATGGCCATATCCTCTTGAATCTTGTCGAGATCCGTGCCTACAATACGCACCTGGTAACCGTAACCGGTAAACAAGGCAGTAACTTCATCATCGCTACGGTCACAGGGGAAAAATGAAAGGCTTGTTAGAGGGATATCCCTACCCAGTGAACAAAGATTTTGTTTGTCATTGTTTACCTCATGGTTCCGGAAATGGTGCGTTCGGCAATCTTGAAGCCGTTCAAGTGGAGAATGGGCAAGACAGCACCACACTTGGCAGGGTCCAAGTATTTGATCAAATGCCATGCCGTAGCCGTCGGACCGGTTTCGGCTTCACCATCTGTAAAAAACACCGCAGACGCATGATGAGCGACAGAAATTCGCATATTACTATACTACCTCGGGCAACTTACCGCCGACAATGCATGGCACAATGAGGTCAGGGTTATCCAAAGCCGCACCGAAACTCACCGCCAAAGCGTAACCGAGTTCACCACCTAACATGCCAATGATCGGTTCAATTATCAATGGGTTTAGATCGTTTCTTTGATTTTACCAACCTTCGTGAATTTGGCCAGGTGTTTCGGAATTAATGTGACTAGGGAAACCGCCAGGCCAGGAAAAGCCGCGTACCAACTTTTCCAAACCTTCTTCACCAATGGAGTACTTGGGGTAGTATTTGGTGATGGATTGTTCGAGGTATTGGCTGCCAAGAATGGCGGGTGCACCGTGGCCAGGACCGGTCACCAACATCATGTTGAGGTTTTGCTTCTTAATCAAACGAGTCAAGTGAGCATAAACCAGATTAATGCCTGGACAAGTACCCCAGTGACCCAACAAGCGTGGTTTGACATCGTCCTTTGTCAGTTCGCGTCGAAGGAGAGCATTTGACTGCAAGAAAATCATGGCAGCCGCAAGGTAATTGGCAGCATGCTGTAATTCAATATAAGGTTTCAATTCGTCGGCGGAAGGAGCTTTGCTTAAATCCAGTGACACCGACAAATCATTGGTCTTCAAATCTTTGCTTGTAGGTACAGCGGACATGATGTAAAGAAGAAAGGAAAATGGGATAAGAGGTAAAGGTAAAAAAAAAAAAGGAAAAAAGCTAGAGAATTCCCTTTGGTTAAGGGGCAATGGTGACAAGGGTTTTGCTTTTATAGCAAAAGGAATAAATTTTCCAGATTTCTGGCAATGAAGTGATTTTGACGTCAGTTTCCGCCTTTGGCCCGCAGCATCATCAAAGCAGATGCGTCATGATTCCAAAGCCGATATTTTTAACTCCATTCATACCATGTCAAGAGGGGAGAAAAGTAGACAGATTAACACAATGATTAACTGGTATCAAGATACCCATGCATGGCTGGATGATTAAGTTGTATTCCATAAAGCATTGGTATTGCAATGGTGGAAAATCTGTGTGTCGGGCCATGTCAATGCCACCTTCCTTTTTTGGTTAACGCAACCACACACTGGATAAAACAATGACCCTCACCAGTGGTGATCTATTATCCATTGCATTGTACGGCAATCCAACGGTGGGATATGTATCGACTGCCACACAATGCCTCAGTCGCTGGGCACTTTATTATGATAGATGTATAATCATTTCTTGCTTTCGTATATCAAAGCTTTGCGAGTATTTCCGAGAAAGACGGTGTAAAGTGTATTTCAAACCAAACTCCTGAAAGGATAACGGATCAGATAAGCTCGCAGTCCAAGCTTTTGCAATATTTGGGCGAATTTTCCATTCTTTATGGTATGAAAAGAGGATGTAGAAAAAAGATCTCTTTGTATCTTCGACGTTTTTCCCCTAAATTGTTGCAAGAGCCAGAAGCTTTCTTTGTGAGTATCGTTATGCTCACAATGTGGCGGCGGGTAAACTTTATGCAAACTTCATAAAAATTGACCCGTCGGTGAACTCCCCTCTGTAAAAGACTCCATGGTAGATGTAAAAAGTTTTTCCTCAGAACAAGTGTCTCACAGTCAAAGTTCTGAAATGATGCGTTGGGTGCCTACTGCTATGGACAGTAGGTTTTCTAGTCAGCCCTATCATGGTTTATAGATAAAAATATATATTTGTATGCAGATACTTGGCTGGTCAAGTTTGGCAATTGCATATTCTCATACCGCCAGTTGGATCTTTTTTTTTTGTGATCATTGTCTTACAGATGCTTCAGTGACAATTTTTTTCGAAACAGCGGGGGCGCTGCTGATACTTTTTCACGAGCCGTTGATAGATTCATCAATTTTACCTGCTCCGTATGTGGGCTGATACAGTAGTTTATGAATCGTACAAGAGCCCTTCTCATGTTCAGCAAAGCAGATACGAGCGACCATTCATTAATATAATAGCAATGAGTGAAAGCGTGACTTTTTGGCTGCAATGCTCTTGTTCAACTTGCCCCTGTATGCAAGTTATTGCGCATAAACGGGTTGGCTTTTCTTGGCTCATTTTTATTCGAAATTTTGGACACCCGGCTGATAGTTAATTTTAGGAAATCCAGAATTCACATGAAGCATCCACACCGAGCAAGGTACGGCCATAATGGTAAAGATATACTCTAGAATACGTCGTTCATAAATAATCAAAAGGGGTTCCGCAAAATCCTTGCTCGAAAAGCATTGGTAACTCAGTTGAGGAGGATAAGACGAACAAAAGGCTTGCAGCTGTCGCGACTCCGAGACCTTGTAGTCGCGTATGCAACCCCAAGTGAATTCTAGCGGGTTACAATATGTATCGTCTCACAATGTCATAATAATAGAAAGCAGTATTATCGACGGAAAAATACCGAGAAAAAAAAGGCGATGATGATGGAATATTATTTGTTATCCAACAGAATGCCTTTGAAGAGGAGCACAGATAAGTCAAGTCGCATATTGGAGTCACATAAATGCCGCTGAATAAGTAGGTCCATCTTGGTAGAGCGTTTAGACTATTGCCGCCTAGTGCAAGTCGGCCAACAGTGACCTCAGAGCACGAGTAAGTCAAACCAAGCGATGCGGGGATGAGTTAATAGTTGTTTATTGTATTAGATTTGGGATTAGAACATTATTGCTGTCGTGAATATGAAATGTGCTGTCTTGGCGTACATCAACAGAGACGCTTCAATGTCGTTCAAGCAGCACCGAAAAATGTACTAGACGACTCAAAATGCCGCCAATTAGCTCATGCTTGGAAGCGGTACTTGAAACAAAGTGCCCGAAAACCAAGTTTGATTGGCCGACTGTTTTTTGGATGACGTGTTCGAGATTTGCGCAGGCTGGTACCGAGATTATTTGAACCAATCGAGAGGTGAGCTCGTTCGAACATAAAAGAAAAAGTGCATTTTTTTGTTCGGTTCTTCGTACCGTCAGGAATTCTCTTTTACTCTACTCTCGATTGACCATTTTTTTTAAATAATGAATCCTGCTCAGAAGCCTGACGTTGACGTGAGTGTAAGTAATGGAGATATTCCGCCCGTAAAAAAAAAGAACAAGAAGAAGAGACAACTGACATGAGGTTTGCAATTGTTCACGTAGCAATTAAGTGAAGACGAAAAGAGAATCTTTCAAAAGTACGGCAAGTTACCCAGCAGCAAGAATTTCCTTGCACATAAACTAAAGGTAAGCGAAACTTGTTATCTTTTTATTTCGTATCAGCCCATGTGAGGAATGGAAGGGTTGAATTCCTTTGTATGAACTATGGGGTTTTATGCCTTTGTGATTGAAGATTTAGGTGGACTCAAAATAAAAACGTGTTTTAGGAACGTAAATACTTTGACTCGGGCGACTATGCCCTGTCAAAGGCCGGTAAAGAACCTTTAGCGATTGGCTCTGAACATCCTTCGCCCGATACCATTCCTCATTCCAATCCCAACAGCTCGACTCCTGGCGGTTCCAGCCCGGTAAAGGAAAGTCCGTTGGTTCCCGAGGAAGCAAGCAAGGAAGCTTAAGAAAAAGAAAACCTGGCAATCGTCCAACTGTATGTGCTTCTCTGACGTGAAAGCGACTTGGTTTTAAATCCACTCCCTCCTCATCCAAATCTATTTTTTCTTTATCCTCGAAAAGTGTCTCCTACCTTTTGTTTTCCCCTATTTGCTTCTTTTTCTTTTCTTATTCAAAACTTTTCCATTCTATTTTGTGCCGCTTTTTTCATTTTTTCTTCTTTATTCTCTTTTTTTTTTTTTGGTATATGTGCTTTAGTGATTGGTGTTCTGGCCTTTTTTTCCGGTTTTTTTTTTATTAAATACGGGGTTGAATGATGTCTCCCGCCCAATCTTGGAGTTGGAAAAGGAAGGGACGTTGGCCGAAATTGATACTGACTTGTGCAAACCCATCGGCGCCAAAGCTGGCAAAATAATGGTGTCGTTCGAGTCCTACAAAAGCTTGATCGATCATCCGACCGTTGAGAGTGAAGAAAATGTTGCCCGTTTCAGGTTGATAACCGCAGCCGACGATGTCACCGACGCCCCAACTTGGACCGTACTCTTGCCCACCCGTGGGGTCATCACAAAATTTGCGTCCATCGTCGCTGTGATAGGCTACGGAGAACTTGTTCCATCCTGGCATACGGAATAAAGGGTAAGGTCGGGTGGTTAATCCAATCGCAAGGACCACTTCCTGAGCCATGGCATGAACCTTGACTTCAAAATAATGTTGCGTACACTCCCGCTTCGCATTGACATCGTATTCTCTGAACGTGAGATAAGGATGGGTGGCCTGAATGGTTACATCACCATCTTCTACAGCGGGAAGGGCGCGGTAACTGGGCCAAAATTCGATCATGCCATCCTGTCGTTGCCAGACCGCGGGAGCGTTCGGGATAGCACGGGGATGGCGAAACAGGTCATTCTGATGCGTTGCCAAGTCGATGCGTAAGACGTTGGCCAAACCATACTGAGCCACCTCTTGTGCCAATGCCGGGGCAAAAGTGTCGAGTTGAGATCGAAATGCCTGAATGAACATTTCGCCTCGTTCATAGGAATCGTAAGAGGCATCGTTGAACCGACCGAGGGTGTGAACGACATTGTGCGGTTCTAGACTTGTCTGCACGGCATGGTCATAGCTCGGTGGTTCTTGGTCGTCGTTTTGTTGATAGCTCATCTGGATTTTTGTGTTAAGAGTGAGGAAGCAAGCGAGCTAAACCGAGAGAGAAAAAGGAAAAAGGAAATCATCGAAGGCCAGGTTAATGCTCAGCTCCAGTCAAAGAGGCTGATCAGCCGCATACTCAGCACCGCTGCGCCCTTGTTCGTAGTCACTGCCCAAAAGTCACTCTTTACTTTTTTGGTTACAGTTAAACAACCTAAATGTCATTTTAGCTGATCAATGCAAAAGTTTCGAAGCACTTAATGAATTGTCAGGTGTTTATTTTGCTTTTGCTTGTGCGAATCTGAAGGTCACACAGACCGCATTCATCTAAAAGAATCATTGCAGAAACTTCCGCAGGTCGAATGTCAGGTGAAGCTATTTTCGCCATTTCCCACACCATGCCACAAGAACACATGGAATAAAAAGCCGCTTTAAAATTCATGCTTTTTTCACAGGCGTATGGTAGTTGGTTTTGAACAAGGTGAAGGTGTTAAAAAAAAGAGGGCTTTACTTTACATGGGATGGATAGAGATATCTATCTTTTTTCTGTTTTTTGGGTGTGTTTGTGTGTATGTGTAGGAATGGATTCGGGCTACTTGGATTGTATGACAAGGCTCTATCGATGGGGATCGTGTATATCACAAAAGAAGAAATAATGGATAAAAATAACTCCTCGTAATCCAAGACAAATGATAAGCGGCAGTAGATGAGGGAATGAAAGAAAGAAGGGTAGACTGGCCGCGAAAAAAAAAGAAGTAATGTCGCAATGACAAAAAGGGAAGAAGAAGAAAGGTGAATATACAGTAGTAGAATAGAGCAGTTGAGAAGAGGGGTTTTACAGACTGGATGCAGAAGAGGCGTGTTCGAGTATCACTGGTCGTGCTTCAGGTTGCACTTCTGCGATGACCGGCCGTTTTTCTGCATGTTTGACCGACGTGCCTTCCTCGGCGAGTTGTTGTTGCAATAAAACTTGTCCTAACCGCCGTCTTCGGTCTTCTTCTTCGTCGTCGTCGCGTTGGTTGGTTGAAGGAAGCATACTGCGGAAGGCGTTGGCTGGAGGAGAACTCGGTTCATGGGCCAGGTGCGACGACATGGGATGAGTGACACTGGCTAATGTCGGAGATGAAGGCGACAATTCGGCACGTCGCCAGGTATTGGCGGACCGAATGGTGGAAGCATTTTCTGTACCTGAATGTCGTAGACTCCCGGACGATCGACCCAACATCATGGGTGTGTTGGAATAAATCGAGACACTGTCGACCAGTCCTACCGTGGATCGACTCTTTTCAGGATCGGTCATGGCCGCCGCTGGATGCGAATCCGGAGCGCCCGACGAATCGGTCGGTGAAAGCTTGTTTTTCCGTTTGTTGCGACGTGATACCAGGAACGCCCAGACCGAAGCTGTGACAGCGGCAAGAAACGCGACAATGGCGATCACAATAACAGCGATCATCCACGGTTGAAGATGATGATCATCTGAACTTTCTGCCGAGTTGATCATGTTGTTATTCGAACCGTTCAATCCGTTGCTCGAGGGCGGCGTACCTGCTTGAAGTGGGTTGGGTAAGGGCGCCACCTCTATTTTTGGACATCCAATGATCGATTGGTAAATAAAAACGAAAGAAAAAAAATTAAGAATATCAAAAAGACTTTCAGAAGGAGTTTGATGCAACTTACGAATGGCCGAGAAATTGAAAGGACGGGGGTAAAAGCTGGTTGTGTCAGGTAATTCGTGGTAAGGATCCATGCCAGATGGAAGATAATATCCGTAGAGTGTCCACGTCTTGTTGTTATCGCCTGGTTGCAATTGCGTTGGAAACCATGAATCGTCTACTTGCACCGGGAGTGACCCGTCGCGTGTATGTAACTGGGTCCAATTTCGGATACTGTGATAAGTAAAGTGTTCGATGTGGTAAAGAAAAAGATCGAGATAATCCTAAAAACATGACGACGTATTGGTTGCTTGGTATCGAACTTTTTTATGAAAGAAAGAAGGATAGAACGTTCTCTTCTCTCATTTTTTTTGGAGCATGATGCTTACATGAGCTGCGTAATATGCGGAACTAGTGATAAGATAAAGTGGATCAGACAAAACATGTCATAATAATTAAATGCAGCTAGTGAGCCAAATAAAAAAAATTTTACTTTACTTGTAATTCCAGATAAACTCGTGATGCGATCCATTGACCCAGGTATCCGTGGGCAACGGCGAGCAAAATGGAAATCCTTCTCCTCTATCAAAGCAAGGACGAGCTATTCATATGGTTCGAGATTATGGTTTCCTTTTGAATGAGTGTTCTAATCCCTCAAATCATCGTCCATTGCTCGTCATGTTCCAAATGTACCTTCAGGAGCCATGAGTGAAGAAGCACGAAAGCAGTATATCAAGCCAAAAAAAAAAAAAAAAGGGAACCAAATAAAGGAAAAAAGTGGTCAAGAAACAACTAGGAAATCAAGCAAGAAGGACAAGAAAAGAATACAATGGAAATAAAAAACCAAGACTTATTAAACCATGCAAAGAGGGAAAAGAGAAAATGATAAAAACGAGAGAATATTGGAAATATAAAAATATAAAAAAAAGACAGAATTTCAAACCTATCACGGTCTAGCAACCGCAACAAGGGGAGTGGAAAGGAAAAGAGAGAAGGGAACGAAAATACGACGAATCGATTTAGGGGACAATTGAATTCAACGACGAGGATTGGATGAGTCGAAAATAGCTACGACAAAACGTTGCACAAAAGAAACGATATTCGTCGCACCTTCACTTTGCCTTTTCCAGACAATCGTAACCCCAAATTTCTTCCTTAAAGCGGCCCCCCTTGACCTTTTATTTTTCATTCCCGATCCCTGAACCGCTTGCCTTCAATTGACACTGGAACCCCTTGTTGCAGCTAAACCAGCCAAACTCGCCATCCCATCCATCCCATCGCATGGTAGGTAGGACTGCTAATTTTTTTCATTGGCATCATGGATTCTGTGGTATGCTTCATTTCCTCCTTTGATTGTCATCGCCTATGGCTACATCATTACCACCCGCTCTGTTCTCTTTGACGCCAATGTCAGTAAATAAGGAAACCCAGTAGCCTCTCTTGTATTCTTAACAACAAGGACAACATTGCCAGTGTTTAGGATTTACTGTTGTCATTCCAATCCTCTGTCAGCGATGGTAATCGCACCTGTTGCTTCGTTCTGTTGCTTAATTAACAACCATCCTTCTTTCCCACTATTCCATCTTTGTTTGTTGCACAAATTTCGTATTGCATTATGCTTCTTGTCACTGGCTGGCCTTTTTTTTGAGTTCATCTTCAGATTCATCGTGCATGACACGTCGAATATATCTTGATGGTTTATCGCAATTTGTGGCAATGATCAATCGATCGATATTTATCTGAAACTCGCATTGTTCGTTTTCGTGTTGTTTGTACCTTGTTGCAAAACTCTTTTTTGAGAATATGAACACTGATCTTTCGCGTTGTCATTTTTATTTTCAATACTGCATTTTTTTTTTTCAACAAGCGACCTGTTATATCAAGACTGCTTTTTATCCCACATGCAATTGTTTTCTCGCTGCCTGTCTTCATTTTTTTTGGGATGCTCATGTTGTGCGCATAGACCGAAACATGAAGACACGCGCTTCAGTTAATTTGATCAACATGTTTTTATTAATTGGGTCATTGCCGATCTTTGACGTGTCGATAGAAGCAGGCTGTCATTTTTTTAGAGGCAACACATGGTAGAATGCATCCCACAGTGATCTTCCTTCCCTCAACTCATTAGTCAAAATGGTTCAACAAGGCGAAAAAAAAGGAGATGATACAACTATTCATGCACATTTGCTTCCATGACGATTCTATCGGAGTGCATGCTTGCAACAAGGTAAAGTTTGTCCTGGATGAACGCCACCACTCCCAACATCAACCTACATGACATTGGCTGGATTATTAAACCCAAACGGTGGGTCACCGCATGCTTATTGACGTCTTGTTTATATCGCTCAAAGCAGTAATCAGAATTTGGGGAAGAAAATAAAAACAAAAGTCCCGTGCCCAACCTTGGTACCGCTCATTGAATGGCTTCCGTCCTATCCATATGTGTTTCTAACCCAATCATCGTCTTGGGTACTTTTTAAACAACAGACTCAGCTGTTGTTTATTCTTGGGAATCAATTGACCCAAAAAAAAGGAGAATTGCAAGCCGCAACCGAAAGGAAAACTGAAAATTTCCCATTTTCCACATGAAAATGAGACTGCTATTCGGACCGGCGCTATCCCCACATTGTGTAACCATCGCAAAGCGTCTTTGTCAACTTTTGCCTTTTTTTCTTTTTTTCATGCCACTCGAGGTGTCAGTTGTTTTCTTTGCTCGATCTTTTTCTTTCAAATTGTACATGATACATGGATATGGCAAGGGATTCTTCACCCTAGTATGTATCTGTGAGCTCGAATGAACAAAGGAGAAAGAAAGACAAGTAAAAGGCTGTACCATAGTGAACCATTTGTCATCGTATCACTGCTTGAAAATTTAGCCTTGATCAAGAACAGCCAAGGGTGAGAATCCACGTACCTTGACGAAATGGGCTGTCGTGAGAAAACTTTGACAAGACGCGCCAATTTTTTTTTTTTTTTTTTTTTTTTTTTTTTTTTTTCGTCAGCTGATTTAAAAGTATGAAGGTTTTGCTGGAGAACCATGTGATTTGACCGTATAAATAACGGTTGGATTTTTCATCTTCACGCCCGACACGTCTCTCCTTTTCTTTTAATTTTTTTTCTAGTCCTTATTTGATTTCACAAGTCTCATATGATTTCCCGGTTCTCAAGCATCGCTACGTTAAAGGTAAATCATCCGTTCTTATTTTACACAGAGGATCATGCAATGGTAATCAGTGGGATAGACTACGTTATTACCTGCCATTGTACGATCACAAAGTCGAGGCTATGCAGGCGTTGTCATGTCCAATTTTGACTCACAGCAACATACCATCAACTATCAACGATTGCAAGACAATCTGGCCATCGTCTCACAAAGGTAAGCGGTTAAATCAAGGATTTTTACAAAAGGACGAGTGGAACAAGAAAGTCTGATAATCATCCTGTTCTCGGTGCCAGGTTAAATCGCCCATTGACATTATCGGAAAAGATTTTATATGGTCATTTGGATGATGCGGAAAACCAGGAGATCGAACGTGGAACGTCTTATTTGAAGTTACGGCCGGATCGAGTAGCACTGCAAGATGCGACTGCCCAAATGGCTCTCTTGCAGTTCATGTCGGCTGGATTAGACAAGGTAGCTCGACCCACCACAGTTCATTGTGATCATCTCATTCAGGCCCAAGCGGGACATCATCGTGATCTGGCTCGAGCCGAAGACATGAATAAGGAAGTATATGACTTTTTGTCATCGGCATGCGCAAAGTACGGGATTGGATTCTGGAAACCTGGGTCAGGTATCATTCATCAAATTCTGCTCGAGAATTACGCTTTCCCTGGTGGTCTCATGATCGGAACCGATTCTCACACTCCGAACGCGGGAGGACTCGGCATGGCCGCCATCGGTGTAGGCGGGGCCGACGCAGTTGATGTGATGGCGGGAATGCCCTGGGAACTCAAATGCCCCAGAGTCATCGGTGTCAAACTAACAGGCCAATTGTCCGGTTGGACATCCCCAAAAGGTATGGTACTGGCGAACTGGAGTGATAAACAAAAAGGGCAAAAGTGAACGCTCCGCTGCGGGGAAAACGCCGCGGCTAGGCACAACAACCCCACATGTTTATGCCTTTCAAACCAACGGCAAACTCCGGAGACTAAAAAGAAAAACGGAGCGTTCCAAAGCGGGACAAATGGATGCATGGGAGCCGGGGAAGGGGAAAAAAGTAAAACTTGCAACGAAACAAAAACGATACTCATGAAGAAGATTTTTTCAGATGTGATTCTCAAGGTGGCTGACATGTTGACGATCAAAGGAGGTACAAATGCTGTAATTGAATACCACGGTCCTGGCGTCGACGCTATTTCGTGTACAGGCATGGCCACGATCTGCAATATGGGTGCCGAGGTAACGAGATCGTTTACAAGGACAGAAAAAGAGAAAAGATCGAACCATGACCCAAAAAAGGAAATGGAACCGTCATGCCATTGTTAGAAATTAATTTTTTTTTTTTTTGAATTAGATTGGTGCAACCACGTCGATTTTCCCATACAATCATCGTATGCGAGATTTCTTGCGTGCAACCCGTCGTGAAAAGATAGCCGAAGCCGCTCAATCGTTTAGCCATCATCTGAAACCCGATGCGGGAGCTGAATATGACGAGCTCATTGAAATTAACCTGGATACCCTGGAACCCCACATTAACGGACCTTTTACGCCCGATCTTGGCCATCCCATCTCCGAGTTCAAACGACGCGTCAAACGCCAAGGTTGGCCCATCAACTTGAGTGCCGCTTTGATTGGCTCGTGTACCAATTCGTCTTATGAAGACATCACTCGATCGGCCTCCATTGTTCGTCAAGCTACCGAAAAAGGTCTCAAAGTGAAAACACCCTTCCTTGTCACTCCCGGATCAGAACAACTTCGTGCGACCTTGGAAAGAGATGGTCATTTAGAAGTCTTGGATGAAACTGGGGCCATGACCCTCGCCAATGCATGTGGACCTTGTATTGGACAGTGGGATCGTCGCGATGTTCCCAAAAACGGCCCCAACTCTATTCTCACTTCTTACAATCGAAACTTTGCCGGACGCAACGATGCCAATCCCAACACACACGCTTTTGTCGCATCGCCCGAGGTAAAAAGAGGACGGATGAATTAAGGGAGCTCGAAAGGCTGATGTCACTTTTTTTTTTTAGATTGTTACGGCAATGGCGTTTGCTGGCAAATTGACATTTAACCCCGTGACTGATTGTTTGGTGGGCGCGGATGGGATTCCGTTCAAGTTCCAGCCTCCTCAAGGCGACGAATTGCCATTGAAAGGATACGATACCGGGGCCGATACTTATCAGGCGCCACCCAAGAATGGTCAAGATGTGGCGGTAAACATCGATCCTCATTCCAACCGATTGCAGCGATTAGCCCCTTTTCCGAAGTGGGATGGGGAGGATATCAAAGAAGTGCCAATTCTGATTAAGGTCAAGGGCAAATGCACGACCGATCATATTTCCATGGCTGGACCATGGTTAAAGTACCGCGGCCATTTGGATAATATTTCCAACAACATGCTGATTGGAGCGGTGAATGCGGAAAACGAGACGACCAACAGTGTACGCAACATCTTTTCCAACGCCATGGGAACCGTACCCGAAACCGCGCGCGATTACAAGGCACGAGGAGTACGCTGGGTCATTGTGGGCGAAGAAAACTACGGTGAAGGCTCATCGCGTGAACATGCCGCTCTTGAACCGCGTTTCCTGAACGGAGCGGCCGTCATTGTTAAAGTAAGTGCGCAGGTTATTAACACCCATGAAAGAGATGAGGTGTTGACACTGGTAAATGGATAGTCGTTTGCGCGTATCCATGAAACGAATTTGAAGAAGCAAGGTATGCTGCCATTGACATTTGTGGACCCAAAGGACTACGACCTTGTCAACCCCACGGATAAAGTCAGCATCCTTGGTGTGAGCACCATGACCCCCGGTTCCCAATTGACCCTTTGCTTGCACAAGCAAGATGGCCAAACCCGTCATATACCCCTTCGTCACACATTTAATCAAGGTAAGATAACTTTTTCTCTTTGGGCTTTTGCACAGGCATCCAATCAAAACACTGACTGGTTATTTTTTAGACCAATTGAAATGGTTCCGAGCAGGTTCAGCATTGAATGCCATGAAACTGTCGTTGTAAATTCTGTTGTAACAAAAAGATCAAGCCAAAAAGTTGGATACATTGTATATTTGTCATATCTTTGAATAGATGGGAGACGTGGGATCCGTGGGAACAAAATGGCCCAATGCGTGGGTTTGCTCTTTCTTTTTTCTCGAAATTTTTGGATGTGCATGGGGTTTGGTGATTGGATGGAATGCGACAGTCAAATAAGATTCGTCCAAGTTTTTTTTGCGCGTGAATTTGTCGACCAAATTATATAAGTTTTTTTTTTTTTTTTTGGTGCGGCGAGCTTTTTCTTATTGCTACTTCTTTTTGGTTGTCACGTTTGCGAATATGTAAGCATTGCCAAGTTACCATGATGGGGACAACAAGAGGAAATAAAACCCGTCCATTGGCTGTATTCATTAACTCGTTGTTTTTTCAGGCCGCAAACTTTAGTACATTCCAAAACGATTGCAGCATCGTCGCTGCTGACTCCGCTACCACGGCAGTGGCACTTGTACATTTGGCCGTTTGCTCTGTTGTACCCTGTGTGGTCTTACTTTTACTTGTTCAAATATGACGAATACCTGGGTTCCCAGGAATGGACCTTTGTCACATTAGGTTCCATCATTACCCTTCACGCACTCGCCTTCCTTGTCTGTCAATGGAGTGTTGCCATCAAGGCCAAATTCACTTGTCTCAAGGTAAGAACTCAAACAGACTCAAAATGGGGACTTTAAAAAAAAGGGGAAGGATTATTACTTGGACTTGCAACACACGATGCTGATGACTTCCATCATGACAGGAACCGAATATCAATAAAGCCCAGATGATCATGGTCATCCCGTTCCGTCACAGTGGTACCGGCGCGATATGTCCTTTGCACCGTGGCAAAGTATGTAACAGACGAGAAAGAGTCGTTGATTTAAAGGACGAAAAAGGGTTAACAAAGTGCTTGTTACAGATTTCCTCGGCTACCGAAAAGCCGGAGCTTTCTTTCCATTTCCAGCAAAAAAAGTTTATTTACAATGAAGATAAGAAGCAGTTTGAGGAATTGACGTATCCTTCGGATGTCAACCCGCCCGTCGGCATTTTCCAGTCGGTGAAAGGATTGCAAACGGAAAAGGAGATTGATGAGGTTCACGAAACTTATGGTCCCAATCGATTTGAAATCCCCATGCCGACCTTTATCGAACTTTTCAAAGAACACGCTGTTGCCCCGTTTTTCGTCTTTCAGATCTTCTGTGTCGGTTTATGGTGTCTTGATGAATATTGGTACTATTCCTTGTTTACCCTGGTCATGCTTGTCGTTTTCGAAGGCACTGTCGTCTTCCAACGTCTTAAAACCATTGGTGAATTCCGAGCCATGAATCAAAAACCCTTCCAAGTCTACGTTAAGCGCCAGAAAAAATGGATTCAAATGCAAAGCGACGAACTTTTACCCGGTGACGTTGTCTCTATCGGTATGCATCCCCTCATTTTTATTGCGATTGTTTTGGTATTGGGAAAAAAAACCGATGGACATTTCATTTAACTGTTGATTTGTTATGCAATTCACAGTGCGAACCAAGGAAGAACAGGTCGTCCCTTGTGATATGGTCATCGCGGACGGTTCTTGTATTGTCAACGAAGCCATGTTGTCGGGTGAATCGACTCCCTTGCTCAAGGTAGATTTTGACTGCCTCCACTGTTGATCTGTTCCCTGGTGTATGCTGACATTAAGGAATTTTGGGGTAGGAATCGGTGGCTTTGAGAGATCCGGAAGATAGTTTTGATTTGGTCAATGCGGATCGATTGAATGTCTTGTATGGTGGCACCAAGGTGCTCCAAGTCACGGCGCCCGTGCATGATGCTGCTCCCGATGGTGGTTGTATTTGTGTGGTGGCTCGTACCGGTTTTGGCACCTCTCAGGGCAAATTGGTGCAAACGATGATTTGCTCGACGGAACGTGTGTCGGCCAATAACTTCGAAGCACTCTTGTTCATTCTCTTCCTGCTGATCTTTGCCATTGCCGCCTCGGCTTACGTGTGGATCAAGGGTGTGGAAAGTGGTCGTAAAAAGTCAAAGTTGTTACTGGATTGTATTCTGATCATTACCTCTGTTGTGCCGCCGGAACTTCCCATGGAATTGAGCTTGGCCGTCAACAGCAGTCTCGTCGCGTTGTCCAAGTTTGCCATTTTCTGTACGGAACCTTTCCGTATCCCATTTGCCGGCAAGGTCGATGTTTGTTGTTTTGATAAAACCGGTACCTTGACCGGCGAAAATCTGGTGCTGGAAGGTGTTGCTTCCGCCGATCCCAAGGTGGCCAGCACCGAACTGGTGGCCGCCACGACGGTGCCTGAAACCACGACGTGGGTCCTCGCTTCAGCACATGCTTTGGTTCAATTGGAAGATGGTTTGGTGGGTGATCCCATGGAAAAGGAAACCCTGAAAGCCGTCCAGTGGCAGCTCGGTCATCATGATATCGTGACCCCCATGGATCGAAAGGAAAAAGGAAAAGAAAACATGCAAATTCGTCGCCGATTCCAATTTTCGTCCGCTTTAAAACGTCAATCGTCTATTGCCATTCTTGTCCATCCTTCCTTCTCTCGCCACAAGACCTTTGTCGCCGTCAAGGGGGCTCCCGAAACGCTGAAAACCATGTACTCCTCCATTCCTGATGATTACGAAGCTACCTACACCCACTTTACTCGCAAAGGCAGTCGCGTGCTTGCCTTGGGTTACAAATATCTTCGCGATGGCATGAACTCGGAAGAGGTAATTTCTTCACTTTATACGATACGACGTCACTCATTTGCTGATCCGTACTCTTGTATCTTTTTTCTTTTTTATTATTACAGATCAACGGTCTTGCGCGTGAGTCGGTGGAATCCGATTTGACGTTTGCTGGTTTCTTGGTGTTTACATGTCCTTTAAAGGAGGATGCTGTGGAAGCGTTGAAAGAATTGAATGAATCGTCGCATCGTTGTATTATGATTACGGGTGACAATCCATTGACGGCCTCATCGGTGGCTCGTGAAGTCGGTATCGTGGATCGGGATGTGCTTATTGTGGATAAAGAGGAGGGAAGCCAAGAAGATGACCTCGTCTTGTTCCATTCCATCGATAACTCTTTCCGTCTTGAAGTGAACCCCAATGAACCCTTGGATCAGAAATTGTTGGATAAATATGACGTATGCTTGACCGGCACCGCCATGAGTCAATTCATGGACAAGCCCAACATGAAGCTCTTGCTTGAACATACCTGGGTCTATGCGCGCGTGTCGCCATCTCAAAAGGTACGAGAACCAAAGAGTCTGGCAAAGGTTGTAACAACTGCACATGTTCGTCTAACACGGAATGCTTATCTATAGGAATACTTGTTGGTTGGTTTGAAGGATCTTGGTTACACTACCTTGATGGCCGGTGATGGTACGAACGATGTGGGAGCATTGAAGCAAGCTCACATTGGTGTGGCTTTGCTGGATGGTACTCCTGATGACTTGAAGAAAATTGCCGAACGTCAACGCATCGATCGATTAAAGGACATGTATGAGAAGCAGAAGCAAATTTCGGCTCGATTCAATGCGCCTGTGCCTCCGCCGCCTCCGGCCATTGCTCATCTGTACCCTGAATTTGCCCAACGCCAGAACCAAGTCGAAGAAAACTTGACGCCTGCTCAACGACGTGCCAAAGAACAAAAGAAAAAGGTAGGGGGATTGAAAATCTATCGTCAACGCCGGGCGGAAAATCTGATGGTTGGGTTGACTTCGATAGATGGAAGAAATGACGAACAAACTCATGGAAGACATGGATATGGAAGAACCTCCTACCATCAAATTTGGTGACGCTTCTGTGGCTGCTCCTTTCACTTCGAAACTTCGTAACGTGGTTGCAAGTAAGTAAGCCCATACCAACCTTATTTCTCATAATTTGATTGATGCTGAATGGAAACTATTTCTAGTCAACAATATCATTCGCCAAGGACGATGTACTCTTGTGGCGACCATTCAGATGTACAAGATCCTTGCTTTGAACTGCTTGATTTCCGCCTATTGTTTGTCGGTGCTTTATCTGGATGGTATCAAATTCGGTGATCTTCAAGTCACCATTTCAGGCATGTTGATGGCCGTCTGTTTCTTGTGTATTTCAAGAGCCAAGGTATGATATCCATTTTCTTTCTATAAATACGGTACGGATGGAGGGAATACGTGTGAATTTGTGACACTGACGATTGGCGTTCTGTTAGCCCTTGGAAAGACTATCAAAGGAAAGACCTCAGCCCAATATTTTCAATGGTTATATTATTCTATCGGTACTTGGCCAGTTTGCCGTTCACATTGCGGCCTTGGTATATATCAATGCACTGGCTAAATTCTATGAGCCGTAAGTGACAATGGCATGGAAACAAGAAAATGGGAAAAAAGAGACTAAAAACATTGGCCATAGTCCGAAAGAAGTCGATTTGGAAGGCGAATTTGAACCCAGTCTGCTCAACAGTGGTGTTTACCTGATTCAACTGTCTATGCAGGTGTCGACGTTTGCCATTAATTATCAGGTAAATTTTTGCAAGAGACCATGGATAAACAAAAGACCGAGTACGACTCTGTGTGCTGATCCCATTGTTACCAAAATTTTTTAGGGTTATCCTTTCCGAGAACGTATTCAGGACAACAAGACACTCTATTATGGATTGATGACTGTGGGAGGTATCGCACTCGCTGGTGCCACCGAATTTTTCCCCGAACTGAATGAACAGCTTAAACTGGTGCCGTTCCCTAGTGCGGTTAGTATCAAAATTGGAAATTCGGTCCAAAGCGATCGGTAACAACAGTACCTCATCACCGCATCATACTAATGCATTGCTTTTTTTTTTAATTACGATTATTAGTTCCGCAACAAGTTGACGGTGTGTATGTTATTAGATTTCGGTGTTTCTTACGGCATTGAAATTGTGACCAAACATTTCTTTGCTGATAACCGGGCCAAACCCATTGCACAACGAGGAAGAAAATAGATAGCAACAGAGACGCTTTATGTTGTCTGGGGAACTGTTGAAAAATAATGATTAAACCTTATACATAACATATAAAGTGTACAAACATGATATTATTCTATGGATAAACCCCATTCTCTTTCTTGTGTTTTTCTTTTTGGACTTTTTCTATTTGCTGTGTAATTGTTTTTACCACTGAATGAGTAGAACCAAAAAAATAGGACGCAAACTCCAAATGATTACATAGAAAATGGGAGGTTTAAGGTTTATTTTGGGTATCATGGGGTCAGAGAAAAAAAAAACGAGATTCGGAATTTGTTGAGTGACAGTCTTGGCTTATGGTATGGGAAAAAAAATACAAGACAGGATGAAGAAATAATCGAGGCTAGCCGAGGCTGTCAGATTGAGCGCGATGTCTTCCACCGTATGAAAGATGGCCGGTCGCTTTGCCTTTGTTGGGTCAAGTTTTTTTTTTTTTTTGTCACTCCACTAAGATACTCTTTTTAGTGGTTTGATACGACGGTGGAATTCGGGTTCAAACGGAGAAATGGGAGACAGGAGATTTTTAAGGTGTCTCAACGTCATGGGACAATTACATGGTGCAACTTTGCAAGCGCCATTGCACAAGAGCACACACATAACACACGCAATCATCATAAGATAAGCGAAAAGAAAGAACAAAAAAGAACCTGATGGATGAATTTTCTAAACTCGCTGTTGCTCGTTAACCTGACAGCATTTTTGGCCCTTCCAATGGCCTATAACGACAATAAGTCATCACAAACTAACCACTGCCGCGGAGGTTCACAGCAGCGCACCGACTCCTTTTTTTTTCTATAAAGTGCCACCAAAAAATTGAAAATGAAAATGAAGGATGATGTGAGCGATTTTGAATATTTTTGGGTAGCATGAACGGACGGATTAGGTAACAGATGGTTCAACATGTATCATGGTTTAGCTAACACCAACTTTTTTGTTCAACTTTTCCATCCCTCTAGCCAATCGTCCATTCCTGTGACGAGGTTGTGTGTGTGTGTATGTGTATGTGCGGGTGTGTTTTTGTTTGTTATCATATGCAGCATTGGCAAACAATGCTAGTCTCCAAGAATGTCAGTGCACGGCAGACTAGAAAATAAAAAAAAAATAAAAAAACCAAAAGTCGCGGCAATCGGATAGCTTGAAAAACGTTACGCGAAGGGTTACTATTTATCGTATAGATTCTACCATGTAACCTGGCAAAAAAAAAAGAAATGGTGACCAAAAAAAAAAAAAAAAAGAAACAGATAGGAACGATGATCATGGGGCCATGTTCATTTTAGGATGTAGAGGATGGGGTAACTGAATAACATAATGCGGGTTCCTTCCTTAAATCTTTTAACCACCGTACCTCTGTGTTTTTCTCGTACTTCTTTGTTCAATCCCCAAAATTGAATCATTCCTCTTATTATGAACTATTTTTTTTTTCTGATCGATTGATAAAGCGTCATTTTTAACTAGTCATTTCACCACCACGTTTCTATATCTGATCTCTGACTTTTTAGTGAAGATCACTTTTTTTCTTTGTCTATTTTTACCCTTTCAGTGAACTGGCATGGGAAAAAATATATACGGCGACATTATTATTATTATTGTTACTGTTGTCATGATCCCTTTTTTGGGAGATTCCATGACTGAATTTGTTGATTTATTTAGGTAATTTGAAAATAATGCAAGAGAGAGAAAAAAGCAGACGATGAACCATCATCAATAGCGAATAAGATGTAGAAAAAAAACCAACAATAGGATAATGTGATGATTATACTGAACTCTCTTTTCCCGTGTGCAGCTGATTTCTATGATGGGAAGCACAGTCCAACATCGATTTTTTTGTGGATCGTTCTCATGCAAAAAGAGGCATGGAGCTAAAACAGTGATTCGTATCACCATGGAGTATGGTAACCCCAAGCCACTTTATGAGCGAATGATATAAATAAGCATATTCCCATAAAAAAAATTCAATACCAACCATACCCTTTATTGATCTTCCTCTTTCATAAGCTTATCTTTTTTTTCTTTTTTAATTTTCTCTCTGTAATGTGTGCTTTCAATCGATCCGCATCAGCCTGTCAGTCCAATCACTCGAGCGACTCTGAAGTTCCCAAAGTCTTGAGCGGGCGTGGTAAAAGCTATTGCCTAATTCATCGCCGTTATTTTGAGACAAGTTGGTGTCCCGAATGTGGTCGAAGTAAGTACTCTCTTTACCTTGCACCATTTATCGTCCTTCTGCTTTGCTAAATTGATATCGTCATTAGTGGGTCGTTAAAAATTATACACAACCGCGCATTTCCTTTTTTTTTCATGGCAATTGCTCCTTTCGATTCAACGACTCAACCAAAAAAATCCAATCCGTCCAACCCCATTCAAGTCAAAAAATTGCTCATCTATCATCCATGTCATATTACCTCATGCATCCCTCCCCCCAAAAAAATCATGTTTCTTTACGAACAGTATGTTATCATTTTATTCTTATCTAAAAGGAAAAAAAGAGATACAAAACCCTCCAAAAACAAAAAAAAAGCAGGACTTAAGAAGAACCACCCATATCGTAATTGTAATTTATCAGATCGTTAGACTTTTTGTACCTCCTTTATGGATTTTATAAAAAACTACAGAAAAAAAAAACGAACACACTTGTGTATCATGTTGTCTCCAAATGTTACCGAAAAAAATTTATCACGGAAAGCCATCGACTTTCCCAGTCATTGAAGCGAAGTTGTCATTGTCACCGTTTAAGAGTGCGCAAAAAAAAAGCGATCGCCCAACACGGAAAGACGGAAATTCTGTAATGAGTAACTTTTGTTACTCAAAAAACATTCGTGAATGTGATGCTGTCCAATATCGATGTCCGCATAAAAAAACAACACCACCAGGAATGGCCTAGAACCACCCAATCCATGTTCCGTCCACCATCAATGCATGTTCGCGATGGAGTGTCAAACAAACACTCATCTTTCGCCGTTGGTTGATAATTTTATCCCAGCCAATATAATTGCACGGTGATACAGTATTCCGCGAATTAATATTTTTCAATGTCATCCTCATGCCGCTTTCCAGGACCAGCCGAAAGTAAAAATTGCAACGGATTCTCTTTTTTATCATTATCATTGCATGTCTTTTTTTTTCTGGGGGGAGGGGCGGGCGGCGGAACGCGCAGGAAGAAGAGAGAGAGATCTTTTGGATGGAAAACTGGTTCTCTTTTGGGAATGCGTGACCTTATCATGGCTATCAAAAAGGGACAGAAAAAATACAGGTGAAAATCCCATGTTGAACATTGGAAAGATAGGATGTCCAAAATACGTATCCTGGATTAGCAGAAACGACAGAATACTTATTATCATCCTTCATCTCATGTTCATCGTTTTCTCGTACTCGTTTCGTTGTCACCTTCTAGTGGGTCTGTGCTATTTTTGCCTGGGGGAGTTCTGTTTCGGCAATTGCTTTTTTATTTATTCATCTCAGTCGCCTATTGGGGCAGGCTGCAACGGCATAAACTCAGTTTCCCAACGCTTATTGGCTGACGATAGTTTTGTAACAGTTTGGAAAGTTTGTATACATGGATAAACGCCGTTTATTCGTTTTTTTATTATTACTATTATTCTTTTTCATACAAAAAGACAAAACGGAACCAAAGAAACGGTGGAAGCACCGTAAAAAACTATTTTTTTCTTTTCCTTGTAAAGTACACTTTTTTTCCTGTGGTTTCTTTTTTGCTTTTTCCTCTTTTTCAAATCAGGCAGAGTGAGAGAGACAGAGAGTGGATGGTATCATGAGGGGTGTTGAGAGGGAGTGAAGGAAATTACTCGGGTTGCCAGAGGGAGTGGGCGGCACCGGGTTGCCAGGTAGGGTTGGAGGTGTGGCCCTGGAGACAAACATAGGTGTGACCGTGGTATCTGACTCGGTCGCCGGCAGCGTAAGTACCAATAGGATCCCATTCACGAGCGCCACGTTCACCTTCATCCTCGCAGTGTTCATGACGACGGTGATGATGGCTATGTTCATGACCGTGCTCATGTTCACCGCTATTGTCATGTCCTCCTTCCTGACGTTCACGTTCGTAACGTTCCTTTTCATCGTTGAATTCTTGACGTTCACGTTCGAATCGTTCTTGTTCTTCCTGACGACGTGCTTCCTCGGCGGCGCGTTCCTCTTCGGCGCTCTGATGGTCCTTGTAAATCTTGTGACCCAATAGGGCGCCACCAATAGCGAAACCGGCACCAAGAATACCCGCAGCGGCATCAGCGGCTCTGCCCTTGTTGCGGAGCGACTTGGCGCGTTCCTTATGACCTTCGTGGATGTAAGATTGACCACGGGGAGGTTCGCCAATGTACTGGATAGTGGTCTCACCCTGAGGAGAGTTGGGGAAACCTTGAGCGATCAAGGTCAAGATCACCTTACCGGCGTTCTCACCCTTGAGAGTGAAGATATCAAAGGAACCAAAGAAAGTGGCGTTCTGAGAGTGAACGACCTGGCGGATGGGAATAGCGGCAAAACCGATGAGTTCAGGGATGGTAGACTCTTCGTCCATGACTTCAAGGAAAAGATCGGCTTCATTGTTCAAAGGGAGGGTGAACGACTGGTTCCAGGTGGCCTCTTCACCGGAGTTCTTCTGGGTAAAGGTCTTTTGGTACGAGTTCTTGTCTTCGTAGTTCAACGAGAACTGCACATAGGGATCGTTCTTGCCCATGGTTTCAACCTTGGCCAAGTTGGAAGCCGAGTTCACCACAACGGTAAGAGAGGTAGATCCACACTGAAGCATGACGGATTAGATTAGACAAGAAAGAAAGAAAGAGAACGAGGATGCAAAAGAAAAAAAGCTCGTACGCTTTTATAAGCTTGTCAAAATAGAAGCTTATTTATGAGATGATGCGTTTCGTCGGAAACCAATCCGCAAATGGCAACCGCCTTTTTACCACTCGGCGCATCGATTATTTCGGGAGGTGTCCACGTGAGCCTGTGATTCGCAAATCCCGACTTCGTATAAAAGACTCACAGAACCTTGCTTACTGCACATCGGGTAAATCATCGAGAAGCTTTGTTTATTTCTGGGTTGATGCTCGGTGCTTGGTGATATTGAACATCACGTTGCTTGTTAACAAAGACAACGATGCTTCGACGTCGACGAGACTCGAGAAGGGATGGCGCAATCTTGTTGGCGCGGCGGGCCTCATTTGGCTTTTTGCCCGTCACAGCTGGGCTGAAGCGACGATCAGCGAATCGGACACTTGCTCGATGCCTCATTAATTTTTTTGAAACAAATCTTTGGTTTCCCATGCCACCAAAAAACCGTTCCTGGCTACATGAAAAAAAAAGCTTATTTTTTTTCCTTGTGTGTCCTATGCAGGCGGTTGCCTTGGTCGGTTCACAGTGAAACTGAAACATATGGATCTTTCTCAGGCTGATAGATTTATCTTTATTCGGGCGAGATTCAGACAGAAGCATCCCATACATGAACCTCGTTGGTAGAGCCCGCTTTTTCTTCCTTTTTCCTTTGCCAAGAGAAAAAGGTTGTTCAGCATTGACACGGTTTGGCTGACCTAGAACCGGGTCGACGTTTGAAAAATTGGGGTTGTTTATTTTTACCACCATGAACGCGCCCCTTTGGTGAGAATCTCCGATCCAATCAGCTCATAAAAAATCGAACAAGGGAACTACAAACACTGCAACGGGGGAAATAGAAAAGGTGAGAAAATACTCATCAGCATTGACACAGCAAAGGCATCTAGTGCTCTACTCTCCGATGTTTACATCTAACAAACGAGCTTTGGTCAAAAAGTAAAATTAGCTGACTAAACGCTGCTTTAAGCTGATGGTTGGCCCACGGATGTGAATCGGTTGGAAAGGATTGTAAGATTTGGATTAAACGTTCAGTCTCGTCTCTTTATAAGTATGCCATAAAGTATGGATTTTTAGGCATGTATTCATTTAGCAACAGTTAGTTAAGTGAATCACTCTTCAGTAATATTTCATAATAGGATTATCGAAGATCCTACCTTTTCTTGGAATGTGCACGCCGATTACTACCCTCTAAATGCTCAAGATATAAAAAATGGCAAGTGATTTTCGCTTTTTTGCCTAAACGCAAGTCCAAATGAGCAGTATTTTACATTGCTTAATTATACTAGAACAAAAAAAAAGTCATTTCTTCCATTACCCAGAACGTGAACATTTTTCACTAAGGCTGGAAAATGAGAGTCAGAGACCGGAAATCATCATTTAGTGCTGCAGTTCCCATTATTATATATTGGATCGAAACAAGCTCCTAATCTTTTTTTTATTGGTTAAAACCTGAAAACTAGTCAGTATTATTTTCCATTCATCTTCCTAAATGATACCCGTGGTGGAGGGTGGAGGCTTTATCCGGAACTGGATTCCCATTCAGCTCGACATACGAACTACTTCCCAAGAATAAACGTGGTCACAAAAGCTCAATTTTGCAAGTCACAGGTCGGATTGGGTTTTGGTAAGTTGCGTTCTTTTCCCTTCAGAGCGGGTCGTTGGAACCAAACCCATATCCGTGTCATACAGTCATCCCCAATGAGTGCCGCCGATACCAGCCAAACACTGTACCTTACCAATCTCACCAACCGTATTACGGCATTAGGTAAAAAAATGGCCGAGAATCCTTGGCATTGATGAGGCGTCCAATTCCAGGGACTTGTTTTTTTTTTCTTTGTTACCATGGCGTATATTGACTTGCTTTTTTTAGAGTTGAAATCGTCGTTATACTGCTTGTTTTCAACATATGGCGAGATCCTGGATGTGACGGCAAAAAAGACGGAAAAGATGCGAGAGCAAGCGTTTGTGGTGTATGCGGATCCCGCCGCGGCCACCACGGCCATGCGCAGTTTGAACGGATTCACGTTTTATGACAGACCCATGGTAGGTTTTTGACAAGGAGGGAAAAGAGAAAGATCAAATGGGGAAATTGACACCGCACGGATGGTTGTGTAGAAAATTCAATATGCCAAGACGAAATCGGACGCAGTGGCTTTATTGGACGGGACGTTTCGATTGAGATCGGTGGAAGAAAAGAAAAAGGCCAACGCCAACATGACGGTGCTCGGTAAACGCAACGCCACGGACGAAAGCGGTCAGGTGGCGAAAAAGAGAGATGATAGTGAAGACAGTGACGAAGACGAAGATTAGAAACGCTCAACGTTTCTACCCAACGGTTTCTTTACATGATTCATCACTCTCTCTCTTTCTCTCTCCCTCTTGTTTAATGTGTTCTACACAATGCCTTTCTCGTTTCTTTATTTTTTTTGGATCTGGTTTTCTTTATTGTCATTCCATCATTTTGCGTTCTCCATTTGTCGTGCCTTTATTCCTTCTGTTCTGTCATTATTAAAAGAAAAAGAAAAGATCACATAGATCGAATCTTGAAAACGCATGTACATCACAAAACGGAGAAAAATCAGGCATTCTATACACAATTACTTTGTCAGTATTAACCTTCCGGCCTACGATGACGCTTGATAACTGTAATCGGATCCGAAGCGTTACTTGGAGAAAGTTTGGGTACAAGTTGGAAAGTATGTTTTTGTTTTGAACGCCGGTGTTCAGGCATTGGCTGTTCATCAATGGAGACTGCAGATGAGAGGCGTCGTTGAAGAATATTGGTATCACCGCTTGCAACAGGGCCTTGTGTCATGTAATTTAATGTTCGTGGCGGGGCAATTTTCGGCGATAACGATGGCACTCAAATATGATGCAATAAGCACGGACAGATTTTTGTCGTATCGACGGTCTTGAACTGACCGTCTTCTGGAGCACTCATCGCTTGGTCGAGCTTGGCATTAAACCCGCCGCATACATGTTCTCTGTCGCGACGGTTCCTGCTGCGGTACGATCCGATACAATACAGGATATACCTTTCACCCTCGATTATTCATTTAGTCTTTGGGCAAGAAGCAGTAATTTATAGTATCGTTTACAATGTTCGAGTACTCTGAGAAATAGACAGAAAGGAAACTACAACTTGTTTGATTGAAACAATGGCGGGTTCATGTAGAAAGACTGGGTGACAAAAGTGTTGTTGTATCAACATGCGGTAACCGAGCCCTGGAATCAGTTATTTCATGATGTAGCGTTTGCGACTTTGAGGATCCCCAAGTGCTTGTAACCTGCTTACTGTTATTGATTTGATTTGTTCTATGCTTTTAATCGATGGTCTCAAAGAAAAAAGATAAAGCATCGTTTTCTTAGTGGTATATGTCATTGCTACGGGCTCATAAGCCGTAGCCTAATGGCTGGGTTACCTAAAGAAAAAATCGTAACTCGGATCGGTGCGCCTCTACAGAGATGCTTCAAATTTGTATGGATCCGGCATGAAAAGGCGGTTTCGGATGGATCAAAGTCTGAGCAACAGTAATGAATGCCGGTGCCTTGGGACAGGATAACCTCAAGTGGGAGCCATCGATCGATTCATCATGTTCAATGCCTTTCGGACTTGAAATCATCACAAAAGTCCGCTTGGACTTCTTTTAATGCATGGTCCTTTTGTCTTTTTTTTTTTTTTTCGAAGACGTGAGTGAACTTTTCATAGTGAGAAACCTTTTTGTTTCTTCCCCATTGTTGCCGGGATACCCATAAATTAATTTTTCGCATCGATACAAATGCGGCACGTCTCTCTACACCCAAATCTCGCAAAGTTTGTCTTTTTCGACTTTTCATGCGATGGCTGCCTTTCAACCATTGAATGCATTGACTAAAAAAAAAAAGAGAAGAGAACGGCAAAGAATTTTTTTTATTTTTCCTCCTCTTCCCCGTTTCCTTTTCTTTTTTCCTTTTTCTCTCCCCAAACGCACCCTTTGACCATCACTGCCGACCGACCTCCCGACAGTACTAACCTTCTATAGGGCAGCTGGAAGATACTAACATTTTGTAGGCTTCAAGCCGCTCTGCTCTGTTCTGCTCTGCCTTCCCGCGACGACTTGGTGCCGGCTGATTGGCAATTCAGCAAGTTTTGGCTGTACTAACATTTTGTAGGGCAGTTTTGGTGGTACAAACATTTTGTAGGGGAGTTTTGATGATACTAATTTTGTAGGGCAGTGGTACTGACATTTGTAGGCTTCCGACCAGACGAGCCGGCTCCCGAGCCCATGGCACAGCTACAAGTTGGACAGGGTGGGATAGCGGAACAAGTAGCCAAGTTGTTGGTTGGGGGTCACCCGTCACAACTCATAGCTGAGCGCCAATAATACAATAGCTTTTCTCTTCATCTTCAATTTTCTTTCCTAGTTTACTTTTTCTTATTCAAATTATCTTCTTGAAATAAAAACAATGCCATCTTATGGATAGCAACTTTAATACCGTAAATGGATCAAAATGATTCCCGTTTTCTTCAAAGTCTTTGATTTTATCAATGCATGAGACAAATGTGATCGCCTTGTCAGTCACAGCAACAATAGACACTAAGTAACGCAATATTTAAACGGCGTGCAGAACATGTAGAGAAGATTGGATTGTATCGATAACCGTTTGTGCAAGCAACATCAGTGAGCAATTCCTTGGTTCTTCCTGGTCTTGGTCAATGCTAAAGAGAAACGATAATGTGTACTGTATGTATTTCCTGGTTCCTGTTTTACTTTTCACGTAGTTATTAAAACGTATTTTACAGAAACCCATATATTATTCAAAAGAAGATGCCGTTTGCTTGCCTGGCATAACTGCTTCACGGTATAGCCCCACCCTGAGCTTCGAATCAACATGGACTTCTACCACTCGCGATAAATTTTTGACGGGATTCAAATTGGAAAGATTATGGCTGACTGAACTTCATACTCCCAAGTGTCCCTTTTTTTCCGTGTGTAAACATAAGATTTACCCAAGGGAACTCAAAGGTATGTTGTTATGCAAAAATGATGTTTTGAATTATTATCAAGAAGCAGCAGGAGAATGAGTTTTTCTTTAGGTAGGTGTTCAAGAATTATGACAGAAATCTTAAATAAGTACGGTCTAACTTTTCTGTCCAGGATGCCGTGCTGTATAAGTAAACAGTTCATAGTATCCACCTGTGACGACTTTCGAATATCAAAAACCGTTGGTTCTATTTGAGTACTAAATAGTAACATCAAAAGATGGGTATATGTTTTTGTTTCATGATGCTGAATGAGGGATTGCGATGAAAAAAATCACGAGCTCACAGACAATTTGCCTTTTTAGGCAATCGTACAAGTCCAACAACGTCAGCACAAGTGAGGGGCGGAATTAGGTTTTTTTTTTCTCTTTCCTTTGGTCCTTTGTGGGTTCTCCTCATTCTTTATTAAACGCATAACGATGGATAAAGTGGCACGAAAGAAACTCAATTTGGCGGTTTTACAACGGCACGATCCTGCCATAGTGGATATTCTCGATCAGTCTGCCCATGCCGTCGTCTACAAATTCTCTCCAGACAAACAAAGCTGGGTACGCGGCGAGTCCTCCAAATGCCCTCGCTCCCATTGCTCGCTTTGACTGACGTGCCATATTGTTAGGAGAGACTAGGTTACGAAGGCGTCGTGTTTGTCACCCAAAGGTAACCAAAATGAACATAACCTACATCATGGGTCGTCTACCGCTCGACCATTGGTGGCTGTTGCTAATCTCTGTCATGGTTTGTTTCCCAGGCGACGAGCACCTTATTTTGGATTGTATATATTAAATCGGCAAACCATCGAAAATTACTCTTTATTATTAAGCGACTTTGAAGAAATCAAGTTAACAGACGATTTCATTATCTATCAGACCAACGAAGGTAAAGTGTTTTATCGTTGTCGCTGAACAAAGCTTCGCCCTTTCTGTCTTATCTTTTCACCAGCTAATATTTGCTACTCAAAAAGGACAAGCGTGTGCTCTGTGGTTATTCGAAGAAAAAGATCGGGAACGAATGTTGAAAGTGATGACAAAGTAAGTAGAAGCCTGGTCGAAAACCGGTGCATACGACTGGAATCACTGATTAGGTGAATAGATTGCACGATGGAATAAAAAATATGCCATTAGAACGAGAACAGACACAAACAATACATGCAACCACAGTGGAACCATCTTCTTCTTCTACTACTGCTACTACTACTACAACTACCGCAAGTGCTCCTTCAGTTTCTGCGCCTCTAGGAAAATTGAATCTCCTGCAAATGTTGCAGCAAGCAACGGTTCAACCGTCGCCGAAGGGACCGGAAAATGCGCCTTCACAGCCGGTGCCTGCGCTATCGGCGCCGTCGCCTCCGCATAATCAAGGTGATTTGTTAAAGATTTTGCAACAAGGGATGGCGGGATCGTCTATGCCACCGATGCCACCGCCGCCGCCACCACCACCTGCCGCGATGGCGGAGCAGAATGGACATAAATTACTGGAATTACTGAAACGAACGACGATTCAACCTACGCCACCGACCGAGCCTCCATTACAATACCCTTCCTCCCCTGCCGCCCCCATGTATGGCGCACGACCTTTGGGTACCGAACTTACCAAACCCTTCCAACCGCCTTACCCTGCCCCGATGCGTGCTGGCTCGCCACGGAATCCCGCCGCACTTTTGCAGACATTGCAAGGAGGAAGTACGCCCAGTCGGTCGCCTAAACTCGATCCTGGCGCAGCCTTGATCTCGATGTTATCGCGATCCACGCCGCCCGATCACGCTCCCGCGCTCACCAGTCAAGAAGCCGTTCACTGCAGCGCCAGAGAAATGGAAACTCGGTTAGGGAAGCAACCCGCAGTGGTGTCAAAGGCCGAATTTATTCACCAATTTTTGAACATGGTCCAGGTATGGCAATCGATATCAGGAAAAAGCATGTATTCACAATCAGGCTAACATTGATTTCCGCTTCTCAGCATGATGCCTCATTTTTGGACAATCTGTATGAACACTACAAATCGTCTCAATCTTTGCCTTGCGCTCCTGATAGGTCGATGCCTGTCAATGGATACAGACATGGACCTGCTCAACCATATCCTCGGTAGATACACCGTAATGTGAACCAAAGAAAATGGATATTCTCGTTCAAAGTTTTGACAATCATTTTGTGAAGATTGCCGTGCTAATAATGAGGATAACTCCATCGACATAATAAAGCTTTAATGTTGTAGGTCCTTCTCATAATGTATGATCAAGGATAAAAAGGAAAAACGGATACAATATGGGATCGGCCCAACATAAGCATTTTTAAAAATGGTGATGGGACCGTTGGTCAAAACAATGCATGGATAAAATGAAATTTAGCGGTGTGACTGCGCTTTCCAAAAAGTGGTGGTGAAAGCTCTTGGTCAACGTACGAGGCCACAAAAAAAAAAGGCCTTAGTCTCTCTGCTCGCTTCATTACAAATCATGGATATTAGCACTTCTTACGGCACTCTCGGAGGGCCCAATATTACCATTCGAGAATTATCGAAAAAGCACATTCGATTCATTTTAAGTGATACGGATCTAAGGCAAGTGGTCCCCCGCCCCACTCCCCCTTCACAGTTCGGCAACCTTCTAAATAAACTTGTCAACCGCCTCCCTCTGTCGACGTGCCATTGACAGTGATTAACAAGTTCGTTAACATAGTGTTGCCAATTCGTTGCGAAGAGTCATGATTGCCGAAGTGCCCACAGTCGGTAAGTAGCGTAAAAACGACGATGACTTTTTTAGATCCAAAAGAAGCTTTAAAAAAGAAAAAGATGGCTCACACCCCGATTAGCTATTGACATGGTAGAAATCGAAACGAATACCACTGTGCTGGCGGATGAATTTCTGGCTCATCGTCTGGGTATGGTGCCCATCGACAGTCGCGATGTCGAGAAACTGCGTTACACTAGAGTAAGCTTGGACAGTGTGGGCCAGTAAAAGGAAACAACAGTGATTAACGGATGGAATGGAATCTTTTAGGATTGTACATGCTCACAATATTGTCCGGAATGTTCGGTGGAATTGACATTACACGTTAAATGCACCGAAGATCGTACCAAAGAAGTGACAAGCAGAGACTTGGTCTCGTCGAATCCATCGTTTGTGCCTGTTTTACAAGGTAAGAAATTTACTCGCAGCAAATGAAAAGTGGAGGGCTAAGCCGAGACGGATACATAGACAAGCATGATTCCGGTATTCTTTTGGTGAAATTACGCAAAGGACACGAATTAAAACTGAAATGTATCGCGAAAAAGGTAACTGAAATGGGCCAAACCATGTTATGTGGAAGAAGAAAAGAGTCTGATGTAAGTGGGGATGTCAGGGTGTGGCTAAGGAACATGCCAAATGGAGCCCTGTGAGCGGTGTCTCGTTCGAGTACGATCCATATAACAAATTACGGCATACCCAATACTGGTTTGAAGAAACCGAGGAGGAATGGTACGTGCTTATTTTATGTTCATTTCAAGCGGTCAATGGATTTCCTAAACCTTGGTTATGATATATAGGCCGTTGAGTAAAAATGCCAGCGAGGAAGAAGCGCCAGATCCAAATGCACGTAAGTATTGAATATCTTGTTGATGGGGATATCGGGACAATTGAATTTACGGATGATGGTTTTTATTTCCAGCATTCGATTACAACGCCAAGCCTGATCGTTTTTATTTTGAAGCCGAGGTAAAAGAGATCCATGCGAAAGTATGTAGAATGCTTTACTGATGTATTTTTGATTTCAATGTAGACGGTGGGTTCATTAGCTCCGGAAGAAGTGGTGACAATGGCGCTGAAAACCTTGGTGGATAAGTTGGCATATGTGCAAATGCAGATTCAAGAAGAAGTCGATACAAAGGAAATGGACACGGGAAGTGGTTGGAACAATTACTAAATGTGAATATACTTCTCCCTTAACCTCCACCGCCCCAAAAATAAGAAAAAGAAGAAAAGGACGTACCGATGATCATCCCAACTAAACTAAAAACCCTACTACTCAATTTTACGTTTACATTTACCACCAAAAGGAAAAAAAGATAAAGAACAAGTTTTGATTCCATTCTTGTTGAACCATTGAGCCCATCGCTCTTTGGTCTTGATTGTGCAAAATCGGGAACAAAGGGTTTATTAAATTACTACGTAAGCGATTTTAGGAGACCTGGGTTGAACGGTATGGAGCTGGGATTTTTTTTTTTCTACTTTATGGATAACTGTAAGAGGAGAGCTTTTTCCGCTATTTGGCGGCATGTTGAGCTTTGTAATACTGAAGAAAGGAGCAATTGATTAGATCTATAATGGTGCAAGCCAACGGATGAAATCGTCAGTCACTTACCTCGATGCTAAGTTTAATGCCTTCTTCAAGACCGACTTGGGGTTCATAGCCGAGCAATTGTTTGGCCTTGCTAATGTTAAAGTAGCGGGAGCTCATGGCTTGCTTGATGCGGGCGCGGGTCAAACCTTCTTTGAGTTGGCTTCGATCCCAGAATAGTTCCTTGATGCTAAAGATGGTTTCGCCGATTAAAGCAATGATCATGCTTGCATTGTAGGACAAGACGATCTTTTTCGAATTCGGCATATGGCACCCATACTCGGCCCACACCTTGGAAGCAAAGTCCCAGAACGGCACAGGGGTTCCGTTGGTCAAATTAAACGCTTGACCGGCCACAGGCGATTCCGTATCCACCAATTTCTCGGCCGCCAACACGTGAGCGTACGCGACATTGCCCACATATGTGAAATCCATCAACGACGTATTATCGCCAATCTGGAATCGATGCTGACCTCGTTGACACACTTCAATCATGCCCGGAATCAACTGACGATCGCCAGGACCGAAAATAGCCGAAGGCCGGATAGTGCACGTTCTCAATGTCATCTTGTCATTGGCAGCCAACACGATCTTCTCGCATTCCATCTACAGAAAAAACCCCCAAAAACGTACCATAAGTTCCTCATTCCTTACTTTGACGCTTCATCATCCTGCAAGCTTGTATGTCTGGATGCTTGTCATTACGGAGCTTCATCAGATGAAACTTACTTTGGACTCGGTGTACACGTCAATGGGAACGGGTGGGTAAGGTGTGTGTTCGTCAACATTGACCATGGGTTCCCCGGTAGAGATAACACTCCCTGAACTGGTAACGACAAGAATTTGAACGCCCATCTTCTTGCAAGCATTCATAATGTTTTGTGTGCCGTCGACATTGATGGAAAAGTACAAGTCCCGAGGAGGATTGCTCGAATTGACGTGCGGTGGCGACGCGGTGTGAATGACAGCAGTGATGCCTTGAAGCGCGGTACATACATCATCCATATTACGCAAGTCACCCGCAAAGTATTTTACATCCGGTTCAGGTTCAGTAGGAATCACCATGTCAAACACAGCAATACTCGACCCATCGTTGCGAAGACGAATCTGTTCCTGAACGTGACGACCCAAGAACCCGTTGCCACCAATAACTAGGTACGAATGTGGCATCCTGTCTCTCTGTGTGTATATGAAAAGAGTATGTGCACGTGTGCAAAAGGGGGTGTGTGTGTGTGTGTGACTAAGACTAAGTCAAGCAGGAATACAAGGGTGCCAAAAGTCTTATCGGGCAGCTTCTCCGGCGGGCGAGTCCCAATTTCCTCACTTTGGTTCTCGTCACTGCTTCTCTTCCGAATTCATGGTCCGCTATTTCCCTTTTTAGGCGTTCTTAGCACCTCTGTCTGTATGTAACGCCTTTCATCGTAACGCTAAAAAAAACATCAAAAGAGAAAAAGGTTGAACTCTATCATCCTGAGAATAGTCATACTAAAGATACCAGACGTTGTTTTGTGTAATGAAAGGTTGGAATTAATGCCATCAACCTTGTGGACTCACTTGTCAGCACCGTATATGTCAGTGTTTATTTGAATTATCAGGATCATCATCTATTATATCTCTCTCTATATTACCATATATCCGCCTAGATGGAAATAAAACACACTTTTTGACATATAATCCCCATAAGAAGAAGCAACCGAAAGACAGTGAATGAAACAAAAGACGGCAAGCAAGGCCCGGGAAGGGAAACTTTCAATATCGTAACCGTAGCCTCAAAAAACGCGGAGCTGTGCATGAGGAAATTCTATCAGATACCAATGGACATTTTCTTCTTGGATTTATCATCATTGACCTTTTTTGGGAGGTTGAGATCTCCAAGTCAGGTAAAGAAGTGGGCCATTAAAGAAACCAGGGCGTCAAACCGTACATCTGGGACAGAAGTAGAAACTTTGGCGTTTGGATTGTGGCTGGTGACAATATCGGGAATAAAAGTCAAAGATCGACCATTCATGCACACAAGTTTGATGTCTCCATATCTTGACAAAGAGCTTTCGGAAAAAAAGAAGAACGGTGCTCAACGTGAATCGGAATCGGGATAAGTAAGAATAAACTTCGAAAGGTAGTGAGAGATGACTGGAAAGCTTTGACATATTCATCTTGGAATCAGGGCAGCTATCGACGCCCAGGATTTTTTTTATCGAAAGCATTGGGGATTTGAGGATGCGTGTCACTTTTTCTTGCAAGGCCGGCCCCTAACGCACTGTAGGCAGTCAGGGCGACGAAACAAGCGGGTGATCCATGACTGCTGGAATGTTTGATGCAAATGCAACCGTGACGGTATGAAACGAGCATGGTGCAGGAGAAATGGGTATTCCGAAGAACCTTACGGAATTGTGTCCGTTGTCGCTCTGGCTGGAAGGCAATCACATTTGTTTCATGTACTGACAATTATACGACTTTAAAGAAAATGGAAATCATTTGATCATTTTATGGTATCAAAATTGCTATCCAAAAGATGGCATTTTTTATTAGAGAAGAATTTCAATGTGAAAAAAGTAACTACGGAAGAAATTGAAAATGAAGAAAAAAAAAAGCTATTGTATTATTGGCATTCAGCTATTAGTTGTGACGGGTGACCTCCAACCAACAACTTGGCTGGGCAAGTTGTTGTAAACTTGTTCCCCTACCCCACCCCCGGTCCAACTTATAGCTATGCTATGGGCTCGGGAGCCGGCTCGTCCGGTCGGAAGTCTACAAAATGTCAGCACCACTGCCCTACAAAATGTTAGTGTAACCAAAACTGCCCTACAAAACGGTTAGGACAACCAAAACTTGCTGAAACGCTAATCAGCCGGCAGCAAGTCGTCGCGGGAAGGCAGAGCAGAGCAGCTTGAAGCCTACAAAATGTTAGTACTCTCGGGAGGTCTGTCGGCAGTGATGGTCATCAAAGGGTGCGTTTGGGGAGAGAAAAGGAAAAAAAAAGGGAAACGAAAAGAGGAGGAAGAAGAAAAATTCTATGCCGCAGCCCTCTTTTATGCCTTTTTTTTGTCAATGCATTGAATGGTTGAAAGGCAGCCATCGAATGAAAAGTCGAAAAAGACTAACTTTGCGAGATTTAGATGTAGAGAGACGTGCCGAATTTGTATCGATCCGTAAAATTAATTCATTGGGTATCCCGGCAACAATGGGGAAGAAACAGAAAGGTTTCTCACTATGAAAAGTTTCACACACGTCTTCAAGAAAAAGACAAGAGGACCATGCATTAAAAGAAGTCCAAGCGGAATTTTTTGACGATTTCAAGTCCGAAAGGCATCGAACAAGATGGAAGTGGTGCACGGATCCGGTTTACATGATCCTGTCCCAAGGTACGGCATTCGTTACTTTTGTTCAGAATTTGATCCATCCAAAACCGCCTTTTCAAGACGAATCCGTACAATTTTGAAGCATCTCTGTAGAGGCGCACCGAGCCGAGTTACGGTTTTCCCCTGGTTTTTTTTTATGCCAAGCATTAGATTACGGCTAATACGCTAATAGTGATAAATATATTTATGAAGAAAACAATGATTGATAATTTTTGACGCAATGATAGGAACTAGGGATTTCAAATGAGCATGGTTCAGGAATCATCAAGTTCCAACAGATTATTGAAAACAGCTGCCAGTATCCATAGTCCGCTGTCCATGAACAAAGCCGGAAACCGCTGTATCAAGGTCTGAAATCCGATAATGTGGATTTCGTCCCGAACTTGACAATCTATAAAAGCTATGTTTTGATCTATTTTAATCGACACATTTTCTTGCGTTTGCTAGAGTAACAAAGAGGATCATTGGTTGTTCTGCTGGTAGCCGTTGCAGTTTTTTTTTATTCTTATAAATGTGTAGACGAATTCTATGATACATGAATCTGGATTTCTCCGGAAGGACGCTGCGTCGGAGGCGAGCTGTCGGAGGAGGGGGACGTAGCTTTGAGTTGCTGTAATGCATAGTGCATACTTTCTAGTTGGAGCTTGATACACTGTTTCAAGTCCCACCTTTTGAGGGTGGGATCGCGAGGTAGATACAAAGTATTGTCCAGTTCGCGCACCAGAGCTGGATGGTCATAAGTGTCAATGGCCGATTTCGCATCGTTTGGTAATACGGTCAAGTCGTGTTCGTCCACTTCTTTCAATAACTGCTCGTCCGTACACAAGGTACTGGTGGGGCTTGCACGCACGCTTTTGTTTGTACTGCTGCTTCCGCTCATTTCTCGCAGACGCGAGGCCGCAGTCACCTCTTCAGGTTCCACCACCACCGGTTTTCGACTGCTTGGATCGTCGGCCACACTGGACTGGGCAAAAATTTGCGACGCGTACCGTCCGTGAGCCCACCAAGCCTTTAAATAGGTGAACTTCCATATCTCGTCAATTGACGCGAGCCATCGTGAACGAGGAATAGGTCGATGGAATTTTTTGGTCGCGGACGCTCCATCCGCCATCGCAGGATCATTGCTCGTTGCCGTGGTGAATTTGCCTACGTATGGATGTTTAGCCCGGCGGGCAAACAGGCGAACAAATTTCACTTTGGTCCAAATGGTAAAGATTATCAAAGGCAGAATCGCCGTTGCCGCTGACAGCACCCCTTTGAGGTAGAACAAGCCCACCATTGTCAATTGAAATATAAGCAGTCCATCCGACGTGTACCGTGCCATGCGTTGATAGTGCCGTGACCCGCCGGATTCGTACCGACGCACGTAGCAATAGGCAAACTGATGTCGGTAACAAGCCAAAGCTAGTGTGTAATAGAATAAGGCGAAAATAAGGATAAGAGGTTGAATGACCGAGTACGTAACAGTGATGACCAGCACGAGGATGTGATTAGGGTAATAGTAATAGTAAGGAAACGACCACGGCGATGTGAATCGCTTGAGAATGCGCGGGGTTCGTGAAATCCACGGTACGGTAAGGATAAGATGACCAAAAATTTGAGATCCAAGTTGAATCAGTTCCATGGCGTGGGTGGCGGAATTGAACAGGATGTAGTTAAGGAAGAAATTGGCTCCCTGCGGCAGCGAATTAGCGAGCAACTGAATCAGCTTGCCTGGCTCATATAATACATCCAACATCGTTGACAGAAATGTCGTGCCCAAAAGGAATACAATCAACACATTGAAAATAGCGAAATGATAATATCTTCCAAGCACGCAATCTTCCAATTCCGAGTAGGACACGAAATCTTGCTGCTTTGATATTTCTGTTAAACATTCATACCCACAACGACGAAATCAGTTTGCCACGGTATTTTCACAATTTAAATGCGGGTTCCAACGACATTTACCGAGCAAGATCCATGGCAATAAACTCATAAACAAGGTGACGAGCAAGGCGGGAAGGATATTCTGAATAAAGCTGCGCACGACAATGGATGTATCGAGGAAATATCGAAGAAATCCGAAATGTTGCGACAGAGAATCAATCGACGTTAAACCGAGAATGAACGAAATCGGGAACAGCCAGAAAATGGTGAGCGTCCTAAAGAAGTAAAAAGAATTAGAGATTTTGCATTGGCGAATCCAACTTTGCATTGCGTGAAGAAAAACAGGACTCCTATTTTTTTGAGCTGAGGACTTACCAGACGGCAATGAATACAACGCATTGGCGCAATTTGCCCATCATCTTGTCCCGACGTCCTCTTCGTAACAGACTTGGCCATAAAAGATCCCTGGGTTCCGGCGCCATACGGGTCTCCATGACACCAGGTTTCCAGGACGTGACAATCTGGGCACAAATTTGCGCCGAATGTGGTGATCTGGAGAAATTAAAAAAAAAATGAATGAGCCTCTCCTATTTTGCGGCCCATTTGGGGTCAAAATACTTGCGCAAAGGTTGCGAATGCAGTGCCGGTGGGCATGTAATATTCGGGTGACTCATTCACATTGCGAAGGCGTTTAATCTCACTATCAAGTTCTTCCAATTGGTCCATCAACTCCTGCATGGCTTCCAAAGAGATGCCTCGTTTCTGCGCTTTTAGCGGTAATTCCGTCCATTGGTCCTCATCGAAAAGAACCGATGCTGGTTTATCTTCTTGAATGATGATGCGAGCCAGGGCAATAAGCTGGAATTCTAATTGATCGAGCCATTTTTCTCGCCGCACAAAAGCTCGTTCCAATGCTTTGCATGCGGTACGACTGACCAGTGTAATGGATTCAATGGACCCGATTTGCGCACTGGAGAAATGGTAGCGTAGTGAAGCTTCGTTCCGAAGGTGATTGGGTACATTGGATATCAGGATGGACCGCGCATGAATCAAGTGACTAGGACCTGTGACCTGCAGTAACTGCAAGTGATGCCAGTGGTTCACAAACAGCAGCCACAGCCAGGTGAGACTGACGGAGAAAATGAAAAGTACATGGACCCACAGGATGGGATTATGATCGGGTATGTTGGCAATGGACAGCGAGTACAAGGTCGAGTTACTTCGAAATTGGTCGACGTGGTGATCGTCGAGGGTGGCATTCGGCAGGGCGGTATGAGTCATATCCCATTCGCTTCGTTGATCCCAGGGTGACGCCGTCCAGTGAATGGAAAGCAACACAGGACAGACGATCAAGGCTTGCAATACGAGAAAATGGACGGCCATGCGTAGAAAACGAAGGTACATGGTAGCGTCCAGTCCGACTCGTTGGATGTAGTACGGTTCGTCCAACCAAAACGTTGCTTTCAACCATGCAAAAGGTGTTTTCGATAATGGAGGAGGGGCTGTATTGCTAGACAACAAACAATGAATTCTTATCAACAACGCATGATACCATGATGCACAACTAGTAGGATGCGGAAGATGGCTTACGTGAGCAATCGAGTACGAGGCGAGAAAAGGCATTGCATGGAGTCTAGCCTTCGACAGCCTTCGAATGCAATGACGCATACAGCGCTGATGGTGCAAGATATGCCAAAGGTGGTGGAAAGACCGAGAAGTGTAGGAACGTAATAAGCCGTTTCTATCGTAGCCATACTAAATCATTGGAATTCGTTAGACAACAGGTAAGAAAAAACAATGCCAAGTGTCAGTGGAAACAAGGCTAAAAAGGAGGAGGATAGAAAAAAACCAATAAAAAAAGACCAAGGCCAACCTTGAATTATTGTCTCTTTTTTTTTTCTCCATGTCCAAAAGGAATTGTTCATCGGTCGAAAAAAAACAAGGAGGTGATCTAGGGGATCGGGTCAACTCACAGGGAGGAGCGAAGCAGAGATAAATAGTGGTGTTGCCTCTCTCTCTCTCTCTCATACCTTGTGAGTCTTTCTAGTTTTATGCCTCAGCGTGTCACTTCAGCGTACTACTTGAATACTAAAAAAGGCCCTCTTTCATGAGGATGCATTGACGTTTGGATTACAAAAAAAAACCATATTAATTCCTGGTTTTCCTAATTTGGCAATTTGAATCCCAAAAAGTTCGTTTTCAAAGCGGTGGTTTCTAGTTGAGCAGGAGGGGGGAGTTTTATCTTTTTTTATTTTTCATGATCTTGATGTTATCAAAACAGTATGTACAGAACAACAATGGAAGCTTGCTAATTTTTTGGGGGAATTCATTTTGCGTGGCTTTCTTTCAATTTTTTTTCCACTGAATGTGCAGCGACGTTTTCCTTTTTCATGCTATTTTTTCTCCTGTTTTCTTACTTTTTTGACCATGTGGTTGGTTTTTCTATTTTTTTCTTGGAAAAGCCCAAATATGTAAAAAAAAAAAAAATCCCAAAGGAATGATAAGTTACATCACGAAGGAAATATATGCTGTTGTTTTCTAAATGAAGATGGGTTTCGCACCGGCATTTGCGTTGGAAGAAGAAAAAGGTGGAGGATGAGCAGCAGCAGCCGCGGCCGGTGGTGGCGGAGGTAGTGGAGGTGGAGAAGGAGCCCTTTGAGCATGTTGACGTTTTTTACTTGCTTTTTCTGCGACGACACCTGGGGGTTCAGGTGTCATGAGGACCAAATTACCACGTTGATGGATGGGTGTTTCAGATACGTGATGGACGTGCTGAGTCCCGGCTTCATTCAGATCACACACATCAATGTGTCGCACAAAGTCATCGGTCATGATTTGTTTGAGTGTGTAACGACGACTAGGCTCGAGTTCCAAAATACCGGTCATGACAGATCGAGCTTCACGAGGAAGTAATTTCAGGAGACGGAATTTTTGCTGGTTATGATTGGTGGCAAACGCACGAAACGACGGATCTGAATGACGTGGTAACCGCCATGGAAACCGTCGAATGGTCATGCAAATGAAAATAATCCCGCATGACCATACATCCGACAATCGAGGGTCGTATTTGGCTTGGGTATACTGTTCAGGTGCAATGTAAGGGTCGGAACCATAAATACCTGAGATAAGGAAAGAAAGCGTGATCAATACAATGACAGTTGGAACTACACGGAAATGTCATAAATTACCTTTGGTGAGCGTGATGGTGTTTTCGTAAGGATATTTGAAAACGGAGGAACAACCAAAATCGATAATTTTAAGAATGCCCATATGATCGAGGACCAAGTTATCGAGCTTGAGGTCGCGGTGGGCAATACCGATACCGTGGAGATAATCGACGCCGTTGAGGAGTTGACGCCAACAGCAAGCGATTTCTTCGCGCGACATCATGCCGCTCATAACAATATTGAATAAATCGTTGGGGGCATACTCCATGATTTCGTAGAAATTGGCTCCATCCTGGATAAGATCCAAGGTTTCGATCACATTGATATGATGCAATGTCGATCCGATGCAGAATTCCGCCGTCACCTTTTTGATGTAATCTTTCTCACTCTCGCACGCCAGCCTCTTTCGAAATTGTTTGACTGCGAATGTCTTTTGATCCGCGGTGCGGCGAATCAGCCTCACCGAACCCCCGGCACCTTTGCCAATATAACGACCTACATTAATGCAGAGCAAAAAAGACGCAGCCAAAAAAGAAAAACAATATAAGATTTCATGCATTCTTCCTTTCCTGGCAAATATGCCTCAAAAAGCCTCAAAAAAAAGAGTCATCCCAAAAAAAAGCCCTCTCCTTACCCCATTTGCCATACCGCCCCTCGATATCTTGGCGAAACTGGTTGGCAAACGTATCGGACTTGGAATCGGCGAGCATGGCCATGTACGATTCTGCGCGAAAGAAGCGACGAAGATCAGACCAGCCTGGCCATGCATCTTTGTGCGGACGGGAATGATGAGGATGGTCTTGTGGATGATGAAAATGGGTCTGATGGAATAATTGGTTGTATTGGGGTTTCTTAAAAACGAATTGCGGTGGGGTGTATGGGTGGATGATGGATGTTCGAGGACTGGGAAGCACAAACGACGAAGGTGGGGTATCGTTACACGGTAAGGAGGAAGAAGAAGACGAAGCCGAAGAGGAAGACACCGGTGTGAGAGGTTTCGACCGCCGTACGGATCTCGAAGCGGCTTTCTGAAGTCGTTTTGTCAGTTCATGAATATCTACGGCGGGAATATCATGCGAGTGCAAATGACGATGACTCGCTGTGGCATGGCTCACAATGGCCGGGGTGATGGTCGGACTGGAAGGCATCGATCGTTCAGGTGTAATCAAGCCGTGGGGTATAATAATTTGAGGCATCAAAGGAAAAAAGAAGACGCTTCTTACAGAAAAAAAAATGAATAAAAAGTAGAATACAAGTGCAAGAAAATGAAAAAGAATAGAAAAAAAAAAGAAAGCGATAATCCGCCGATATTATTTATAAGGAAAACAAGCCAAAAAAAAAAATGTAGAAAAAAAGGATGATGAGCGAATAAATATCAAAGAGAAAAGGAGAAAAGAAATAGGGTTGCGATATTTTATATATACTTAAAGATGAAACAATGGAATCAGTTGAAACTTATTTTTTTTTCTTGTAATGCGACTCTTTCACGCTGCGCAAAAAAAAAGTGTAAAAAAATGGAACTTTATGTCACCGGAACTGAGGCGACGCAAGTAACCAGCATGAATTCATTCAGTTTTGTTGGGTGTACAAAGTGAGAAGAAAAGGAAACAAGTCAAGTCAATCTTTAATCGATGAGTGTGTGTGTGTATGTGTGTGTGTGTGTGTGTGTAATGTGAAAAAAAACACACACACGCACAAAAGAGACAGTATCTATAGGCGGAAAAGTGAACGTTTCCATTGCGCTCAACTGCGTCACACACTGCTTCTTTTTCTGGTTTAATTAAAACAAATGGGAAAGGAAGACACTTACGGCTTAAACGGGTTATTGACAAGCACAGCTTTTTTTCTTTGTTTCACCTACCTTTTCTGGTTGTCGATGGAATTTGTTGCCATGTCGATGGAAATGACGAGAGAACAGCGTAACGGGGTTGGGGGGTTGGGTGGAAACGAGAAGAAAAAAAAAGTTACGACTTTCAAGGGGGCCACCTGAACCAAGCCAAAGGGGGACCTGGGATAAAAAAGAGATCACTCAAATGCCGCGATAGGAAGAACAAGGGGGTGCCAATGGCAAAAAAATAGAGGACCAAAAAAAAAGGCCAAAAGAAAGTAAACTTTTACTTTACTTCTTCTTTTTGCTTCTTCTCTCCCTTTAGTGGTTCCCAAAACTTTGTTATACCTTTATTTTTTCAGGGCATCGCCTTTTTTCTCACTGTATTCTATTTTTTCTTTATTGTGATTATTGTTTTTATTATTCTTGTCCTGATGTTCCACAAGACGGTTTCAATTGAACTACTTGAACCGGTGGTATATTTGCGTGACGCCAAGGACCGAAGAAGTGTAAATTTGTTGCACGGTCACATCAAGTTATACTTACGACACCCTCTCACTGTCCAAGCCATCACTCTCCGATTCGTTGGTTCTTCTAAAACCATCTGGCCAGAAGGTAAATCCGTCATAAGAGAGAAAAAAAAAACACACCATCCTCAAAAAAAAGAGAGAAATCTCAAAACAAAACGAAAACATACATGATGGATGAATGAATCAATGAAAGGAATTTACGTTCCAGTTCTACTACTTACTAAGACGATGAACAATACGACAAGCATACGTTGGTGGACTCGGTGATTCCCATTTACTGCGCACCGACGGTACTGCAGAAAGGCAAGACGGTATTCCCTTTTGAGATCCTGCTCTCCAACACGCTGTCGGAAACGATTGAGTGTGAACTCGGCCGCGTTCACTATAAACTGCAATGTCAGGTGCATGTGAAACGGTGGTTCAACAAAATTTTAAAGACGCAGCATCCCGTCATATTAGTGAGGGCGCCTAATGCTGATGCACCTCGTTCGTTTATGCATACGACATTCATTCAGGGCTCGCCATTCTTGACGACTATTGAAACACTCCATCTGACCCCTGGATTGTCTCTAGCCCTGTCGTTTTCATTCGCCCGTTCCGCTGTCATCCACAGTATTGTAGTGAAACTCATCGAACGGCAAAAATTCCGCGCGCCATCCAAACATACCACCCGTCTGCTACATCATGAAATTACATTAGCGCCAAACCATAACCTTGCCGCCGAACCCTGTTCAGGCTCGGAAAACACATTTCGATACAGCTACAAAGTACCCAATTTGGTCCATCCGTCCGCCATGCACCCACTCATTCGTATACGTCATTGGGTCCAGGTCACACTTATTTTAAATCTGAAGGATCCCCATGGCCAAGCTTTTCAGGAAGAATTAATGATTGAAACCCCCGTGTCGGTTCTATTGCGTTCCATCGACGATTACATCACTCTTCCCGAATACAAACAAACATCAACATCCGTATTACCCGTCTTGTCCAAACGATCGCCACCCCCATCTTATGAAGGCCTTCTCTCCTCCATCTGAACACCCTAAACTGGCTCGCTCTCAACCTGATTATATTTGATGATAAAATCTGATCGTCCTCTGTAAGATATAATAATAAAAAAAGAAAAAACATGTCAAAAAAAGCTGGATTGTGATGGGTATATGTGGACATGCCAAATAGTGCAGCTCACAGGGCGTTGTTGCCTGTCATCATGCAGTGTTGCCGAACCCGCCTGTTGCCGAAACTCCATTCTTCAGGGCACCTTGCCGATCTGATACAGTACCTTTCAGAATTTTTTTTTCACGGATCATCTCCCATTTTCCTTTCAGTGATGGATGGTAGCTTATGAGGTAAATAATGTGATTTTTTCTTGCCAAATGCAAAAACACCTCAACCTGTTTGCAAGGAGATAGGGATGTACCTGCGGAAAGAATTTCAAAGAAAAAATAGGAGTCCACGAATCGCTGTTGGTCAATAACAAGCGGTAGTTTGATCATCCAACTACTTCTCTCTATCTATCAGAATGTATATTTGATTGGAAGAGCTTTACGACGCAGAAACATGAATAACACATTGGTTACTGCAATGACTAATAACTAATATGATATCGTCAATCACGCAAGTAGAATCGCATCTAGCGACTTTTAAAAAGGAACATATGATTCAATGTTGAGCTGGACGTCACTCTTTTCAAGCACCTTGTCAGCCGTTTGCCAGTGATTTAACTAATCTCATGCGTTCTAAGGAAAGTAAGTACCGTATCACCATTAATTAAACAAACAACCTTCCAGCAAGAACGAATCATGGCATGAAATAAGATGAAAATGGCTATCTAATGATACATCCAAAAATTTCAATAGAATCTCTCTGTGCTAAATAAGTTTAACCACCTGTCATTTTTTGGTGATATTTTTCCAGAGAGAAATTGGGGAAAAAAAAAGTGAAAGTGACAGGGTGCCTGAACTAGCAATTTACCGCAGGAATGGTGGCTGAGAATTTTATTTCGTAATTTCCGTCTTGTTTCTATAAATTCAACTTTCTTTTTTATTGAAGATTCCGAGAAATTGGGGGCTCCAAACCATCTGTAGTTGACCATGGTATTTCTACGTTACTTGCAAACAGCGGTACGACGATATCATACAGGATTGCGACCAAAGCCGAATGATAAGGTGGTGCTTGCCATGTCTGGTGGCGTCGATTCGAGTGTTTCCGCAGCATTACTTAAGCAACAGGGATTTCGGGTGCAAGGCATCTACATGCGCAATTGGGATACAGCCGATGAACGAGGCGTTTGTACCAGTGCAGAGGATTGGGAGGACGTTCAAAGAGTGTGTTTCAAATTGGATATTCCTTGCGAGCAAGTGGATTTCGTCAAGGAATATTGGACCGATGTGTTCCAGCAAACCCTGGATGACTACGCAGCGGGTCTAACGCCCAATCCGGATGTCATGTGCAATCAATACATTAAATTTGGTTCGTTGATTTCAAAGGTACCAGTGGACGCTTGGTTCGCTACGGGACATTACTGTCGTACCTACGATGGACGTCTCTTGCGAGGAAAGGACCGAAATAAAGATCAGTCGTACTATTTATCTACCGTTCCTGAAGACGCTCTTAGACGCACCATGTTCCCGCTCGGCGAATTCGAATCCAAAACTCAGGTGAAAAATCTCGCTGAACAATTGGGACTTCACGTTGCGGCCAAACGAGAGAGTATGGGGATCTGCTTCGTGGGCCAACGACGCCGGTTTGCCGATTTCCTTGCAGAATACATTGACCAGCCCCCGGGTCCTGCCGTAGATCTGCAAGGCAATGTCATTGGCCAACATCGTGGATTATTCGGATATACCATTGGTCAAGCCTCCCACATCTGTCACGGACCTCACAAATGGTGCGTCGCCGAAAAGGATGTACCGAATAATACCCTCATCTGCGTTCCCGGTTCCAATCATCCTGCTCTCTTCCATTCTGCTTGCACTGCCCGCAACTGGGTTTGGATCCATCCCAGCACCGCTTTAGAAGGAGAAAAACTTGTCGATGCTCAAGTCCGTTATCGCCAATCACCGCAGAAAGCCATCTTATCAAAGCAAGGCGATCGATACACTGTACGGTTCCTTGAACCCGTACGAGCCATGGCGCGTGGACAACAAGTGGTAGTGTGGGACGGGGACTGGTGTTTGGGAGGCGGCGTCATTGATACCATTGAATCCGCTTTTCCATCACCGTAAAAATCCCTTGGAGATTTCGCTCAAGGAGCGACAAGATTATTTTTTTTTCCCTTTCTTGTTTATATTTTGATTGTAGATATTGGCAATTGTATTTTTGTATAGAGTGGGTGATCTATCTGGTATAGACTTCCCAATACCACCCAATCCTAATGTTGTCACATTTCTCCATAATATGCGAAGCATACTACACTGTGTACAGTATGTGGATTGAGGTCGTTCATGCCGCTGGTTCCTTTTTTTTCAAAATGTCTTTATAAAGATCAAGGTGCGATTCCATAGATGATGAATACGTGAGTAGTGGGGAAAGGGGGCCGGGGAATTTGCGAGTAGATCGAGAAGGGAAGTGGTAGTAGTTTGGATGGATTGATGACCACAAGGAAAAAAAAGTAGATGGCAGGATTAGAAGAAGATGTAGGTGAATACAAAGACAATAACGGCAATGGCGATCACGACCTGCACTGGATATCCTTCGGTAGGGCGCGGTCTTTCCAATTGAGCCAAATGTTGATGAACTGCGTCCAAAGGCTGGACGGTGGGAGCTAATTTTCGGCCTGAGGCACTGTATTGCAAGCGGGGACGAACACTGGTAGGCGGTTCCTGACGTACCGCATCCAATTGTTTCCTCAATTGTTCAATGGTTTGACGAGCTTCGGTAAGTTGTTCCTGTTGTTCGTCATGCTGATTGCGACGGGATGGATCGGAGGCCGTGCTCGCAGGTTTTTGGCTTTCGACGCTGAACGGAGTGTCGTTGGACCGATAGGAGGACGAGGAGATACTCGGGGCAGCTCTGGACTGGGGTGCAACCGCTGCTGTGGACTGCGAGTTTTTCAGATGACAAAGAGAACATCCTTTTTTAGACAATGGTCATGACGTTGAATAGAAAGCCCGCCGGTCTTTACCTTGTCAGTCTCACCATTGACCAAGGACTCTGGTTGCGTATGACTTTCCTCAAGAGGCATGAAAGCGCATTTAATTTTATGCTGATGAATACCGGAACCTGGTTGACCTTCCAATGCTGCCCACTAATGGATCCATGATGGTGTAAGATTCCCCATCCCAAACTCAAATTTCATCCGCGTGATAAAAGACACATACCAAGCTTCCCATGTCCATTGTTTCCTTATCACCGGGTAGAATAGCGGTCTGGATCAAAAATTTATCCTTGCAAATAATATCATTGGCAGAATCCTGCTTATGCGGTTGATACAACACTGGCTCACGGTGAGTAAGCACATACACACAGGGACACAAATTCGTTGTTGACTGGAGAGCGAGTATTACCTTGAATCTCCATCACCTGTTGCGGGTCAATGCGACTGGCATTGGGACGAACAGAGTATTGCTTAGGTGCAGTTGTTTTCACTTTAAAGACAATAGGAACCGACTCGAGATTACGAATGACCACTCGTACCTTACTCGTTCCCGTCAATGGTCCTAACCACAATATGCACAGAAAGTAGCCATTCTCAGTCAGTCTACTTTGATACGTCGACCCCTACAGAATGCCCATGTATTTACTTTGGAAATATAGAGTATCGGCAGGTTCCAGATGGACAGACATTTTACAACAATACAAAGAAAAAAAAAGACTGAACAAAGAAAAAAGCACTCAAGACATTGGAAAAAAAAAAAAAGGTGTACGAAATTTGACGTCATCCCAGAAAAATTAAAAATTTGACAATGATTCCCCACTCAAAAAGGCCGATGTGAAGAACAGACCACCCCATCTTTCCATCATGCACCATAGTCCATGTACATTTGTTGCAAGTCTTGCGACTTGCATTGGAGGCAGGAAGCAGCGAAATAATATAATTAGAGAAGAAATGTCGTGAACCAGGCTTGTAACCCAATGTATGTGACGTAAAAAAAAAAAAAAAAAAGCGAAACAACAATTGTTAGACTACATAAGAAACCTTGGCTGCATGCCGCTCTGCTACTGCTTTATCTGCAAGACATCGTTCCAAGTGATTCTAGAATTCGCTTGAAAGTTGCAATCAAAGAATTGTCTCTGATGGTATTGAAGAGGTCATCCATTAGTGGAGCGTAGCAACAATCATCCCTCCACGCTCAGAAGTGTTGCTTGACAATGAATGTTCCATGCTACGTTACTGAGTTCAAGCATAACCATCCCAACATCTCATACTTGATTAGTATGTATACCCGCTTTGATAAATAGAATAGTCGAATATTGCATGAATCTGTGCGCAAAAAGAATGTGAGCAGAACCCAGAAATAAAAAAGGATAGTCTTTTCTGAGTCCGTCTTTGCTTTGATGATGAATTGAGTATAGTGGACTTCAGGGTTGTCAACTGAAAAGGAGGATCAAGCCATGGAAAAAGCGCCCGATTCGGAAGGTGGATTTTGAGTTTTGCGTTCTGGCCCAGAATCCCCGCTTGTTGATGGTGACACCAAATCAAAAAGATGGAAAAAACGAGAGAGAAGATAATATTTCGTGATGTTGATTTGCCATATGCACGATATCTTTGGGCAGCGGAGATTCAAGGGCGGAGATGCAAGTGCATTTGTCACAAGGTCATGTGAACTATATCGGGCTGCTCATCAATCAAAATAGGTTATCCAACCCTATAAAACACTGGGCGGCCTGTGTTTCCATCATGTCAGTTTCTTCTTCTTTTTACCGTTTTCTTTCCATCCTACTGCGATTGTAACCATGGTTTTCTAAATCTATTGTCTGTTTTTTTCTTATTCCATCGTCCTCGTTCGCTTAGTTACCAGTTGTCTATCGCGTATAATTTTTTTTTTCAATTCTCGGTAGTCGAAACTGATCGTTATCGTTAAATAACTCTTAAATCTTTCAATGCCCTCCTCATTTGGATTTGTCTCTCGTAAGCACCTCTGCTTTACCTTTACACCATCTCAGCCTTTCTTCTCTTACTGCACTGACGCTCCATCCACCTGCACCCGCAAGAAATCACTTCAATTCGACGTTTCCGCCCATTAATCCATTTTGTTTTTCACTCCTCTATCTTTTCAAACTGCAAAAAAGAAATTTTTTATATATTATTATCAAGCCGAAAAAAGAAATTACCCACGCAACCTATTTAGAAATTATCGGCAAGCTATCGCGACCCGATTCCAACCCAAACATGACCACCACCACCAATCCAGACACAATGACAATTCAAAACACACTAGCTGCGCTGCTCGGGAATCCTCATCTTGGGCTGCAAGGTTCGGTACTCGATGATTGGCTCGCGGACGAGCTATCCAAATCTGGCATTTTACAAAACTTTCACCTACCACAATCGCCTCCTCTTACGATTTCCTCGCCATTGGAAGAGAAACCAAACCCTGTCTCGACGCCGTCCACGGCCAGCCGGTCTTCCCCCTCCGCCGAAGCTTTGCCCTTTTTACTATTCCCTGAAATTCAAGACACCAAGCCTTTGTCTCGGCGGTATCCCACCCTTGCTGCCCGGCCAGTGCCCATCATGCCCAAAACCACGGCGGACGAAACTAAGGTCGCCATCCCTATTGCCCCTAAACCGGCATGTGCAGTCGGCAAGCGGAAACCCGAGGATAAAGAAGAAAATGATATTGCACTGAAACGAAAAAAGAATACTGACGCCGCGCGTCGATCAAGACTGAAAAAGCTGATCAAAATGCAATCGCTGGAACAACGGGTGGCGGAACTGGAAGGGGAAAACTCCCAACTGACAACGCGGGTCGCTGTTCTAGAATCCGAGAAATCGGGCCTTGAATCCAAAGATAACGGCTTGACCGAACGCATTCGCAATCTCGAAACCCAGTTAGCCGAAGCCCACAAAGCCTTGACATCAAGACAAACATAGAATTCTCCCTCCCCCCCTTCCGCCTTGTATTTTTTTCTTCCTATAAGCAAGCCTTTTGTATCCATTCAATTCTTTCTTCTATTTTTTTTCTTCCATTTCCAAAAAAAAATTCTTATACAATATTATTTCATGTCAGCAGCATATAAAGTCAATAAATAAAAATGCAGGCTAAAGATGTAGACATCCAATCAATTAATGATCATTATTCACGTTTTTTACTTTGTAATTTTCTTGTATTTACTTGCAATTTTTGGCACCATTATATACATAATTATTTTTAAAAGAGGAAGATCATAAAATGAACAGGAAGGGAAAAAGGGAAAACAAAAAAGAGTTGCGTTGGTGGTCGTGGGATGATGAACGGTAAGGGGTATGGAGAAAGCAAAATGAAAGGCAAGATGGTGTGGAGGGTAACGTGAGACGACGAGGAAAGCAACAAAGAATTAATCGACATAACCGTCAACAAAGTCATTGATGGTTTCCCATGTAGTCGCTTCCATCACGGCAGAAGAAGGAGTGGTGAGGGGAGAAGGAGAAATGGAAGAAGGCGGTGTATCGATAGCGACTCGCCAATGCGTCATTGGAGCCGCATTCGCCGCTGGCTTGCGGCCGTGACAAGTATACCAATGAAGATGGGATTGATATTGCTTGCATTCCTCCATCATTTCCTGAATATCGCTGCTGGTCATACGGCCTTGACGCAGTTTGGGGTTCAATGATCGTACATACGCTTCAAAATTTTGGGCATGGATCTCGCTTGTCTGGCTACCCCAACCCAGCGGAATCGCCACACGTTCCTGATGCACGTCCACAAACCCTCGATCAGAAGGTTGCGTCATTAATAATGTCGATAAATGCTGGCTCAAAAACATATCCACATTAAGCGACCGCAACAGGTCCCGCACTAAAGATCATCATGGAAAGAATAAACGTTCAGATCATCCTTGATCGTTATTTGCATGAATCGATTAACGTGATGCTTACGGTATTGATTGAAAACGGTTTCGCTCAAGGGACCTGGTCGTTGTATCGCATAATCGACATCGAGAATTTCAATGTGACCCATTGGTTTGAGCACGCGCTCCATCTCCTCCAGAAGCTTAAGCAACTGCGTGTGCGATAAATGACACAGCATTAGCCGCATATGGATGTAATCGAATGTTTCATCGGCATAGGGTAATCCGTCGGTGATGAAGTTGTGGTGATGGAAATAAGCGTTGGAAGGTTTGATGGTGGTAGGGAACATGGTACACAGATCGACCCCGTAAAAGTCTAATGCGTGAGATCATCAGCCAAACTGAGCAACTGGTCTGGGAAACAAAAATAAAATAAAAATAAGCATAGAACAAACAAACGAAGCTTACCTGCATTTCCATAATCGGTCGACATTTCGAGAACCCTGTGCAACCGATGGTGAGGATAATGGTGAACATAAAAGGGGCGATACCAGCAAAAATAAAGTCACACAAAAAAAGCTGGCCATGAAAAAGAGAACCAAGATTTGATATCCTTACCATGTACCGGGGCCACATCCTACGTCCAACACTTGGGCTCGGGATTCAGAATCTTGCAAGATGGACCTCACAGGGGCAACAAAGTTGCCATTAAGGGCATACTTTAACAAAAAATGCTAAAATAAAGATCACCCGACGTCAGTCGAGTCCCATTCTTTTTTTTTTTTTTGCTCGTGAACATCCATTGTCTTGATGGCTTATATAACTTACAAGAATCACTAAACGATCCGACTCGTCATCATCGCACGGTAGCAGGTACTGGATATCGGGAGAATCGATGTAACGACGACCTTCCTGCATGGTAAATTCTACTGGCGCAACATGATCGGACGCTGACAATGTGCCGACAGCCGTTGCATCGACGACCGTGGTAGTGGTGCTGCTGGGCGTCATCGTGCCAGTTTCGGAAACAGTCGACAGGGAACGGTTGGAAGAACGTGGTAGGATGGCATTATCTTCTGTGCGAGTCGACGAAAGACTGCTGAGGTTACTGCCGATCGATGAACTCGTACTGGAAAACTTGCGTCGATTCATCCCAGCACCGGCCCCTGCCGCGGCTTCAAAAAAGTGTTGGACATATGGGCTCTGCGATAGTCGACGTTGCGCTTTAGGTGACAGGTTTTTCGATACAACGTCCGGTACAGGAGATTGTTGTGATGCGGTGTTGCCCATGAATGAGTGATGATACAGATATAAAAGTTGACAGGCAAAAAGTTGAAAATGAAAGGGATGGGGAATCAAAAGGAAAGGAAAGAGGGGGAACAATGAAGAAAAATATAACAAGACAGAAAAAGGATCAAAGAATAGGTCCACTGAAAAAAAAAAATCGAAAGGGAACAAAAAAAGGGACAATGGACCAAGAAAGGATAAAAGTTGTATCCATGGAACCAGCGACCTTTTTAGAGTTTATTTCAAGACATATCCAATCAAACTGCATTCGCAGATCTCCACTATATTTTATAGTGTCCAAATTTTTTTTTTTATCCTAAAAGTGCCAGTGAAACGTTTGCTCCTCTTTGTAGTGGAGTTAGTCATACGAATTTAAAAATGACGGACATCCAACCTACTTTAACGTTGCCATCCAGTGAGGTCCGCCATGGCTTGATAAGCATAGTCAAAATACCCAACTGGAGGGAAAAAAAAAAGGAACCATTCCAACGGAGTCGAATCGCAAGTGAAACAAACGCAAAGTGAAGAATATGAAATAACGAACGAGCAGAAAAACTGAGTTAATTTTTTTCTTTTTCCCGGATTTTTTTTTTTTTTTTTTTTTTTTTTCATTTGTTTCCTTGACCCGAACCATCCACTTACCGTTATTGTGGTCGGCATGATCCAGGCAGACGAGTTGTATTTGGGGACGATGGGTGGCGCTTTTAAAGACCGTGGCTTCATTGGGGACAATGGTACGTTGAATCTGTTGGTCATGCTCAAGCCACTGTAACGTGAAAAGAGGCGGAGATGCTTTTGATCCATAAATGGCGCGATGGAACAGCTGTTGCGAGTTGTGTCCGGGAATCTCCAAATCTTTCGCCCCGTATGTAATGAGAATAGGACATCCCACAAACTAGATCTCCCGGATGTCGTTAGCATCAGCACACTTTTTTTTGTATTCTCAATTGGTTTCCGCGGAACTTCCGAGAAAATCAGGTGTCTCCATACCTCGATACGCGACAAGGAATCGAATTTATGAAGCAACTTTGACAACAACCAATCTATGAGTGACAGTGGCATTCGCAGTGTTAGTCGTATCAGCATCTGAATCCACAGCCGTATAAGCACATGAAGACGTACTCTGCACCGGAGGCATTGTCCGAAGAGGCGCCAAAATCGGCAGGTATTGCAAAAGACGGTATTCAAAGATCAAATTAGGCAACGAACTGTAAGCTGCCTTCAAAATCAATGCATTGGGCGGCATGCCTAAATGGGCACGCATTGGATGAGTTGACCAAGCTGACAGCGATTTTTACAAAGTTGCTACCTACCTTCTTTGGTCATATCGTAAGCGAGGGCCGTCGCTACTCCGGTGCCTGCATTCAATATATGTCAATAAACAGAGAGCCCACAGTCAAAATAAGGATGAATTGAATGTTACCCAGTGAATGGCCAATGAGAGATATGTGCTCATGTGTCACTAAGTTACAAAAGTTTAGAAAAATTGGATGCCTGGGGGTATATGTGTTATCCTTTTTTCCTAGTTGATTTAAGATGATCATTTACCGTTTCTTGCGTACAACCATTCCAAGGTTGCTTTGGCATCGAGATGTAACCCTTGTTCGTCAGGCACGCCATCTAAAGAAACCGGATGAATGGGGCTTATTTTCAATGCGAGGAACAAGACAAAATATCATCGTGGTTGTCGCCCACTCACCTGAATCTCCAAAACCGCGATAGTCAATGGTAATGATATTAAGACGGCGGAATTTTTCGCTGAGAGCCTATGGGAAATCGGTTAAGAAAATTCGGATACTGTACGCTCGAGATCCAAGCTCCAATTTCACTTCACTTTGTAAAGATCGACACGCCAGGGAGCGGCTCGGTTCATGGCGTTGCCGTGAAAATAAATGACAGTGTCATATTGAGCATCAGCAAGAGCAGCATCAAATACACTGTCCTGGACATGTTCTTTTTCACGAAGCTGATGTTTCATATGATATTCCAAGGGAACAAAGTGCCATGCACCTAAATAACAACTGAGATAAAACTATCAAACAATGCACAAGTCAATCCATCATACCGAGTGTCACATTATCCGACGTAGTGATCTTGATATTTCTAGCATGATTGTCTATCGGTTTGGAAAAGGAAAAAAAAAAGACATTGATTAATCTCACTATGCAGATAAAACCCCACCCCTTTCCACTTTCTTACGTGCATAACCGTACGATTCCGGTACATCAAATTTGCTCGGCAACTGAAGCCAGTTGCAATAAACCAAACTAAAGTTTTTTTACAAGGTCAACTTGGTCATTAACGTGCTAGGCTGATTGACACGATGGGGCATGACCGGATTATACTTACGCGCGTTGAGCGGCGGGAAAACTGAACAAGAAGACAATGACCTGTGGTCGACGTTTTGAGTGACAGTCTATTGTTTTAGTCCTCTTCACCCAGCTACTCACTGCATACAAGGACACGACCAATGTCGTGGCCAGTACAATCTTGCTCATGAAACTCATAGTGTATCTGAGAACGGAAGGACTCGGCCCGCCAAGCGCTTCGTGATTTTTTTTTTTTTTTTTTTTTTTTTGTCACGGGCGGGCGGCGCACAAATTAAAACTTTTGATTGCCTAGTAAACGAATGCAGCTCTGGTATCGAATTGAAACGAGGACGGGCTCGAAACCTCCAGTCCATATCCAATACAAGGAAAACATCAATCCATGATTTTTAAAAGTTGCTGTATGCACCGTAACTGTAAAGTAAAAATATTCAAAGCAAAAATGGTGTCTTTCGGATATCAAGATAGGATCAAAATGTATCATAAAGCGATTCAAAGATGCTATGATGATGAAATATCTGCGTCTGCAGAGGGTTTCATGTGTGCGTGAACATTTGCCTGAACAACGTGTTTATATTGATAACGAGTAGGGATTGCATGAAATTTGCTGGTGCTGTTGCCTCATCGCTTGAGCCACTTGAAACAACGATGGGCGGTTTTCGGGACTGTTTTCATGGGAATTTTTTTTGTAGAAGTTTCAGGGCGCCAATGGTGCAGAAAGCTTGTCGGTCATGGACGTGGTGACAAGTCAATACCTTTGCCAAATCTACATTTACTGCTATGAGCAACTGTTGCAGTGGCACATCCCGCTTCCTGAGCCGGAAACGGTGTTTGATACCGTGCGATGGTTAGCCCAATTAGCGTGGGAACACTCACCAGACATTATTCAACGATACTACATGTGGCTGATCGCGTTGCCATTACAACCTAATGTTCTGCCGGTCTTCCTGATCTTGGTGATTTTGTACACTTTGTTTTCCCTGGTGATGTTCGCGATACGGGGTCTATTCCGAGTGGCTTATGGTTTTTTGCGTTTCACTTTACTTGTTACTCTTTTGGTCACCTTATTCCTCTTCACTCAACAATACCTGTCCCCGACGGACACAACAGCATGATCCCATTCTATCCCTCCTCTCTTTTTTTTTTTTGTATTAAACAGAAATTTATTTCATCTTGCTAAAAAGAAGAAAGATAAACAGTATACGTGAGATAATTAAAAGAAAAGAAATACGTTATTTAGCAATAAATAAGGCACCATGACGGAGGCCGTTCTCTACTCTCTCCAAGTGTAGTGAAGCTTGGCAGGATGTTCCGGCACCACGACCATGGAGGTATAATCGGGTTTGGGTACCGATTGACCGGCTTCCAATTCAATATCAAACATACGGATAAAAGTGGCAATAATCGTCTTGATCTGGAGGTAGCCGAATTGTTCGCCAATGCATCGGTGACGACCGGCGCCAAAAGGCAAGAAAGGACTCTTGGAAGAGATACCGACCGCACCAAAACCGTAATCAATATTGGCATCATCGCCTTGTTCAATTGAATGGATAGGATCCGTCTTTTCCAACCAACGGTAGGGATTGTACGACTTGGGTTCGTTGAAGAATCGACCATCGATCTGAGTGACACCGGGAGCAGCACAGATGTAGTTACCCTTTGGGATTTCATGACCCGTCTTTTCATAGAGGATTTTATCGGCGACAACTTTACGCATCATCTGGAAAATCGGAGGATGAAGACGCAGGGTTTCACGAACCACGCTTTCCAACAAGGGAAGGTCTTTCAAGTTTTCAAACGTCAATTCAGTCTTCAACGAGCCGAGCTTTTCAATTTGTTCTTCACGAAGTGCTTTGATAAGATCTGGACGAGCTGCCAATTCCAACATGGTCCATGCCGAAGTAGTAGCGGATGTGTGCTGACCACCAAACAAAACAGCAATCATCATACCAGCAATGTGATGATCAGGAATTGAGGTACCATCCTTGTAAGTGGCATCCATCAGGGCTTGAAGGAGATCCGCATTGGACTGTGGATACAACCAAGGGAATAAGTTCATGATCATCTCGAACTTCCGGGGAGGGGGGGGAGGCTGTAAAACTTACATTGTCACCTTCGTTCTTTCGGCGTTGAATAATGCTAGAGTACAAAGCGGCCATTTTCTTGCAAGCGATATCACGGCGTTTGTAGGAAGGCAAAGGTAAGTTGGGAAACATAAAGTTGATGGGTTGAAATCCTTGATCGAGATCATAATACAACTTGGCAACGTCACCGTCCAAGTTGGCGCGGATTTCCTTGCCCATCAGACAACGGGAAGCAGTGCAAATGATCAGCTTGCCAAAGGTCTCATACGCTTCCATGAAACCCGAAGGCTTATCAAACTTTTTAAAGAAATCCTGAACTTCCTGTACAATCATAGGTACATGCTGGCGGAAACAATCCGAATTCAAACCGGCCTTGATAAATCTACATGTCCAGCCCGGTGAATCACTTCCACAGACGCGTACCCATGTTTCTCAAAGAGGGCAATGTCTTACCTTTTCTGTTCCATAAAGACGCTGTGGGGTGCGTCGTACACGACTTCGGGACCAAACACGTATTTCGTCATATCGTTGTAAGCTTCGGCAGCCGAGGACAGGTTTTGTTTGCTGTTAAAGACGAACTGGTTGCCATCGGGACCCAAGCAAACCGTGACACGTCGACCGACCATGTAAAAAGTGAATACTTCGCCATATTTTTCCTGACACTTTTCAAGAAAAGCAATAGGATTGCTATTTCACGGTTTGGGGAGGTGGGGTGGTTTAAAAATTAGCGCCCAATGATGCAACCTAAGATTTTCCGTGGAAAGGATGATCTTGTCGGAAACTTACATGCCAAATTCGATGGCATTTCCCATGAAAGGAATCCATGAAAACACAGTGGGAGGTTGTTTGGGATTACTGGGGACAATCTAGGTAATAAGATGATAGTGTGGGGATGAATAAGTTCCTGAAGCATCTGATATCAAAACTATTGGCAAATATTTTTGTTTTTTCAATACCAGCTGAGACAAGATATGGATGGCAAATGCGACGGCAATGACCAATGCTCCGTAAAGGAGCAAGGTGGATGCGGAAGGCAATGAAGCAACCAGATAGGATATTAGTGACATGGCCTAGCTAGATGATGGGGGAGGGAAAAGCGGAGGGAAGACACTCGGTGACAGCTTTATAGGGAATAAAGGCCGGGCCGAACCATTCCCCAGTCACAAGTGGCTGTTCAAGAAAAACTCGGAGTTGAGCACCGATGCATTATTGGCCCGTGATCCACCCTCGCATCATCTGAAAATTACACACGCGAGTGGGAATCCCCGGAAATCAAATAAAAATGCGATGTATGCCCATCCAACATAGCAAAAAAAAAAACATTGTCCTTCTCAAAAGACCGTGACATCACGAACTCGTGTGGCATGCTCGGGTGGTATGCAGGGCACGAATGATTACATATTTTAACCATTTCGGCCTTCAATGCTTTTTTTTTTTCGTAACCGTCGTTGATGGGCCATGCGCGTGCCAAGGCTTCAACATAGACATCAAAAGGAAGAAAGGCAAACATAGCGTCTTGACACTCACTACGATATCACGACAGCCACTAAACATTTGGATGTCATCCGTTTGCAAGCCTCCGTCTAAAGCATCTATTCAGTGGTGGATCTATTTCAGACAACGCAGTCAGCCGTCGATCCGTGCTTTATGGTTGGCTGCTGTAACTGGGCCACTACCTTTAGACGGACACGTCGTGGTCAGGGCGGGCACCATGTGCTTTATGTCCCTATTGTGTTGCAAAAGAGCTGCCACATGTTGTGCTGTTTACCTCGGGACAGGCTATCGGTCGTTTTCATTTTAAAAACTACGATGATTGGTCTACTTCAAGGCGTCATGAAAAGAAAAAGTGGTGTGGCCATTCTGTACAGTTTAATTGAAAAAATCGGGGTAAAATTTTTTACAAGTCAAAAATTTTAAAAGAGGCAAGGTAATGTTGTTTTAAGTAATTAAATAAGAGAGACAACCAAAGGACAAGGGCATACAAAAAAAAAAGATGGATGCATAGACAAGCCACACTTACTCTTCTTTTGTTTTTACTTACAAAAAAACTGTTTTCACCGCATTGCGGGAGCCGCCACCGCACACCGCCAAGGCATGGGCTTTGTTCTTCAGTATTTGAAACTACTACACAGTAGAAGTATACACAACAAGTGAGTGATTCGGCATAGCATTCAAAATGTAAGGAAGGCACTTGAGCACAAATACATTCCCTTCCAAAAAAAGTTTCCTTGTTGACCACAAAAAAAAAAAAAAAAAAAAAAAAAAAGAAGGATTTTCGGCGCGCAAGCTATTTGTGAAGGTTCAATCGTTTTGATATCACAGTTGTGGTCATCATGGGTATACGTACAAGGTAGGTGATATGAGCAAACTTTGATAGAAATAAGCAATAAAGGATATATGGCTCGATGGATGGATTTGCGAAGAAAAAAAAAGAAATAGATGTGCGATGAAGGGAAGAAAAAAATGGAAGGAAGATGCGTGGTATTTTATAGACATGGAAAAAAAAAGGCGATCCCTCGTGCTGTAGCTAAAACCTTTATTGTCTAATAATGAAGCAGGAAAAAGACGCGCGCATCGCTTCACTTCATAGTTATCCGTTGATAAAAGAGGGTGGACTCATCGCATGAAATAGCTGCATGAAGTAGGTCTCAGATAATGTTAGAGAGAGATCTTTATTCTCAAGTGTTCATATATCGGCTGATGGGATACACAGGTGCACATAACTTTGGTACAGACGTAATGCATGGCTAGTTAAACTATATTTCAACTCTATTATACACTTTATTGAAAATAGAAGTCATCGTCATGAAGATGGCCTCTTCTTTTTGATGAACAAAGTCGTCAGTTTCAGCGCATTTTCCCTCCAGGATTACGCAGGCATTCTATAAGGCCAAAGTAATATGAGAAGATCCACCCACTCCTACCAATAAAGGACCAAGTCATGATTTTTGCTTCCTTGCAACTTATTTCATTATTATTTCTTCAGTTCCCGAGAAAAATGAACTGAAAGATGAAAAAGACTTTAGGGAAGTCAACAAATTTATCGGGATTTTGCCATTCTGTACCGGATTATTGCCATCCACACGAGATGTCATGACTGAGCGCGTGAAGTGCTCTCCTGCCTACTCCTTAGGTGTTCCTTTTTGACGGCTAAGGAGACATAATCAAACGGCCAAGTTGAAGTAAACCGAGTCACTGGTATAATACCCAAAACGTCGTTTTCTTTTGTGTTCTTACATCGTGACGGCGCCAATGCATGGATAGCTGATGGAGATCGGACTTTGAAGGTGCCATGGGTGGGCGCGCCGAATGGGAAAGATTGAAACAAACTTGGACGGCACAATTGATCAAAACGTGATCTCATCCTTCTGTTCTTCTCAGGAGGATGCATGTCTCAATGTGGCTAAAAATAGTGATGAAAAAAAAAAGATCTCGTTATGCGATTCTTTGAACCCAAAGAAACCGTGTGGCCTGTCAAGAAACCCTAGAAAATGTTTATGGTCTCCATTTTTCGTCCTCACCTGCAAAAAAAACATTAGACCATTTCCAAGGAAAGAGGCAATGACAAGGCCCGCCCACAAAAAAGCGTGATCAAACATTCACGGCTTCTCTAGCTTGACGGATTTCAGCGGGAGTCAATCTGAATTTCAAGTTGGACCAATGGATATGAACCCCGACGCCGTGATGGTAGGGCCTGTTTGCTCTCTCTGGTGAGAGCGGACCTTTTTGACGTTGCTGAAAAAGAGCCTCACAAGTGACATGCGAGGAAACAAAGAAAAAAAAAGGATACCAACAAGGAAGGTGGAAGAGAAAGTCTGTGAGCGCCTTTTGAGGCACTAGCGATTCAATGGTTGGGTTAGCCTCATCCCCCTCCCCACCCCCAAAAAAACATCAAAGCGATCGAAACAAAATAAAGTCACGGATTTCAATTTTTACAATACTTGTTCTACAGGTGATCTTTTTGGTTTTGGTGCCATCTTTTCTGCTTGTTTCTTCACCTTTTTCCCCCTTTAGTGAAGTTGTCTTTTTTTTTCTTTTGCACCTTTTTTTTTACTTTCATTATTTTTCTATTATTCCTGGGCCAGCTCATTTGTTGATTATCATATCCGTCCGCACCTCTTCCTCGTTCATGACGGCAACACTCTGAACTCTACGTTATATGCACTTTGGTAAAGTAAATACATCACAGAAAGAATCAGTTCTGGTTTTTTTTCTTTTATTTGCCTACTTTTCTCTCTCTTTTTTTTTTATTTCTTTTTTACACTTGATTTTCTTGTATTGTGTTTAAAATGATGGAGATCATGAAAAGCTGAAAAAAAAGGATAGGCGAGGCGACGGGGTTAGAGAAAAATAGAAAAAAAAGAAGGGAAAAAGGCTTGTCCACTAAAGAAAGATCGTTGCAACATAGAAGGTTCAGATTTATAAAGCATCTTCACCCCACGAAAAAATCATGTCAGCGGAATCCAATATCCTGCAATCTTTTCTAGAAGATGATCTTTTGGCTGTGCCGCAAGGTGATCAGCAGAACAGAGACTCTGGAATAGGGACAAGCTCATCGGACATCACCGGCTTTTTGGACGGCGCTTTGCTGGATTTCAATTCATACCAATTTGACTTGCCGTTACCTCAAGATTCACAACAACAACAACAACAACATCAGCAGCAGCAGCAATCACAACAGACCCAGCCATCATCACAACACCAACAACAACAAACACAACAACAGTCTCTCCATTCACATCGATATCCATCAGCCACTTCACCCCTTTCACAACCATCACAAGACGGAGATCCACATCAACACCAGCAACACTACCCACACTCGCACCAACACCAACACCAACACCAACATCAAGAGCAACAGCACCAGCAACAGCAACAGCAGCAGTGGCAGATTTTTTCTACGGAAACTTCTCCTGCGGCTCCTCCGCCTCCTCATTCAGTGCAACCACAACAACATCATCCTCATCGTCCGATACAGAATGTGCAGACGTCTCCCAATTATACCCATTACCTTTACCAGCAGGCCCCCACCAGGCCTACCACAATCTATCACAATCGTCCTCAATCTTCTTCCACGTATCCACCTTACTATTCCCCTGTTTCTACCATGCTTTCCACTCCGTCCAATCTCGCTCTTCCTTCATCGATGCAAAATGGATTTTACCCACCGCCACAGCGCAATTACTATACTTATGCACCGGCCAAACCTGATCATCGACAAAAGCGGAAGAACGTAGAGTTAGAGAACGGGTCGCCCATCGACCTTTTGCCCCCAAAGAAGAAATCCAAAGCTAAAAAGAAAAAAATCAAAGAACCGGAAGATCCCAACGCCCCTCCCAAACCGAAAAGAAAAACAGGTCTGAATAAACCACTCATACTGAGTACAGCATTATCGGCGGTCATGGACGGTGATACAGAGGTGAGCCTTTTTTTTTTTTCAGAAGGAAGCATGCTCCACTTTTTTGAGTTGCTTTTTTTTGGCCGTTGTGCTTAATCGTTTTCTTTTCTTTCTTCACTAGTTATCGCGTCCGGAACTAGTAAAAAAACTGTGGAAGTATATCAAGGAGCACGAACTGCAAGATCCTGTGGACCGAAGATACATTTTATGCGATGAGAAACTCAAGCTAGTGTTCGGAGGACAAGACCGAGTGAATAGTTTTACCATGAACAGAGATTTGTCTGCACACCTTACCAAGAAAACAGAAGGGCAAAAAGATACATCTGTGTCTCCTGCATTGACCGCCGATACACCCGACGATATCGTCGTCACCCCAAAGGAAGGGGAAGTCATTCAGTCTTCAATGAGCTCATCCTGAACAAGCCCGTTGCTATTCGTTAACTGAATCTGCTCTTTTTCTTTCATCTGCTCGCTGGGTCTCTTGCTTTTCAGCTCTCGTAATTGTATATGTAACGTCTTTATATTGACTCTCTTAATCGATGAAATTTGTTGCTTTTTTTTTATGTGTAAATAAAAGTTTGAGGGAAGAATACCATCGATAACTTGTTTATCTTGTCGTTAATAGCCACAGAATGATAGATGAACCCGACCCTTTTTTTTTTTATATCAACAACCGGTTCATGTTGGATTGAGATAGTTCATGCACCCTTATACATAAACATTGAGAAGGTTTTTGTCTTCTGTGATGATGATGCCTACGTTACCGACGTTACTGAAAAAGCAAATGTGGCCATTAGTACATCCTGCAGATGGGCAACCTTTTTTTACCCACAAAAAGTCGACGCCATTTTGAATGGCGTATTTTGGTTACTTCACTGCAGTAGCAAGGGCAAGCGAGTCAATCAACGTGGTGGAACGCGAATACAGAACCTGCAGCACCTCATTTTAAGATTAAGATCAAAATCAACAGGCCCAACGATGCATAATACAAACATGGTAATTTTCCTTCCCTTTCGCCCTCAGCGATGGTTGAGCAGCGCCATCAAATAGGTTATCCAGTCAAGCGGAGAAAAGCCGCAGACAAGGCAAGAAAATGAATGGTGCCAGTATGATTTGCTGATATCAAGGATAGGGGTGAGTGATGATAAGCATTGATGAGATTAGCTCCTGCATGTGATGCTAAGGTCTCCACATAGTCTTTCCAGATTCAAACCATATTTTGATGTTCATCTATCCAAAGCAATTAGAGTTCATTATTTGGTTGACAAATCGGCCTCCATTACGAGCCATACAAGCAAACCTCCCACTCCCCAGCAGGGGATGGCACAGCGCGTTTAAAAAACATACCAGTCGATCGTGTAAATTCAAGTTGGGTATACAATATGTGTCACAGACACCAGGTCCCTCGAAAGAGAGAGCTTTTCACCGCACATGCTTTGTTATGTGAGGAACTAATTATGATAAATGAAGCGGGGGCGAAGCCTCTTTAACATGGATGCAGTCTGAATATACAAGGATGGATGGCAGTGCCTCGAGTAGGCTATCCATTAGGAGGTAAGTATCGTTCTAAAGGATCATGGCGAAATGAACCAAATACCATAGGAGACTTACCCACAGCTTTACTGTAGGTTCAGCATCTTTGTTTATGCAAGGATAAGGAAGAAAAAATAGTTTTCACCGCCTTGCGTTACATGGATTCAGTGACTAGTTACACGGAAAGTCCTGACAAGGGCATATGAAAAAGCCAAGCGATGAAAGCCAAAAAAAAGGGAAGGAACAGTGCAAAAGCGCTATACCACCTTATTGATAGCGAGGAGATGCAGTAGATGAATATAAACAGATCCCGAAGGAGAGGCCAAGTCAATGGAAGGAGTTTATATTACCTGCATATCCTAGTTTAGGATATTCAACATGTGCCAGTGCAAGATGGCCAAGGCACTCCAGATGGAATGGATCACCAAACCCCCCCCCCCCAAAAAAAAAGCTCGTGCTCAAGTTAAAAAAGAAAGCAAGCAAAAAAAAAAAAAAAAAAAAAAAATAGAAAGATGCCCAGGATGGTTGCATAAGTGAAATGCCAACCGATCGCGATCGCATTATCTACCACGCGTTTTGTTATGTATTCATTCTAAAACTTGCGCCCTCTTCCATAGACAGACAAGGGAATACAATGTGTTTTTAAACATAAAACGTTTTAATCTAAACCGCAATGGCGGGAATACACAATTAGGGAAGGTATACTGTATGTTATTTCTCTGTTTAGCAAACAAAACGAGGCCTTGTATTCCCCAGTTTCTCTCAGCAGCCATAACAAGCGCCACCACAGTAAAGGATGAACGCCGAAATAAAACTACTTCCAAAGACCTCAACCGAGAAATCCATAACTGTCGACAGACTATCAACAGGTTGTCATCAGCATGATGTTTGGTTATGAAAAATACAAAAGGATTCGCATAAACGGTGTCATTGGGGATTTGAAGAGACATATCACGTATGATGTAGTCGCATGCAATGTTTGTCATTTTGGTTCTTTTATCGTTTCTAGAAAGTCCATATTGTGATGCGACAATTGCAACCAGAACATACTGTAGAGAACAATCGATGGATGGTACAATACACATGTGAATTTGGGGGTGGGGGCCCTATACCAAGCCACGATTTTGTGATGTGTAAAATGGATATATGAGCATCGTTGAGAAGCGCGGTTCCTGGAAATAAAAGCACGAATAGCCGTATCTCAGCTTGATTGTCCGTTTCTAGTGTTTTACACTAAAAGACACATGATACCACTTCGTCATCGATTACATCCTTTAAGGCCATGGTTTAGCCAATCCAAGTAATTGCCGATTCATGTATTGTCCGTTGACCCATTGTGTTACGATCAAACTAACGACGACTTTTTTAAAGTTTTTTTTTGTCCCTCCACAGACTGGTTTTTTTTCTTTTTAGTTTTCCCTCCATTTTGTCAGTTTTCATACAAAGAAAGCAACCCCTCTTCCCGGAATACCCCATCTTCCGATCAGTAGGCAACATCATCGTGTATCGTAGTATTTTATTTTCTATAGATACGTGGCATGGATACCAAATTTAGAGAATGTTGCAACAAAGAAAAAAAAACCAGCCGCTACGCCATCCTGAAGGCGGAAACTGCCCAAAATGGAAGGTGCGAAAACGAGTTTGACAGTATCACCATGTCCATTTGTTTGATAATCGGGTTGCAAGGCCTGCGGCTTAAAAGGAATGATTGAAAAGCGTGACCCATTACGATCGTTTGTGGCAAAGACTTGTTGACTCGCAATAAAACGAAAACAAGCCTAGTGTGGAGGGTTAAAATAATTCATTTTTCGCTGTGGAGTCTCTCTGAAAACAGAAGCTTCTGTAAGCCGACAGTGTCACACACATACTACTGTCCCTTTTTCCGGCTGCTGGGCTGTACGCGTCCCCCCAAAACTGTATTTTTTAAAAAAAGTTTCAGAATCATATAGAGTTCATCTAAACATACTCATACTAGCAACATGGTATTTCAGAATTTTGAATGCTGCTGAGTTTTCGCATGTGAAAATGTAAAAATGTATATCCAACAACGGAAGTGTTGACTCGGTTCCCATGATCTGTAAACCCCTCTCACCAGGCACTTCTTCCCTATCATTCTATACATGTGTGCCAAGCAAAGGATGCATGGCTTTGATCGCTGGCATCTTAGTTCGGTAGTCACCGCGTCCCTTCCATTGTACGTCTTGTTCTGACAAAGTGACGGAGGCGTGGAATTGTGAGGTTGGATATCGTAATGCGGAAAAGATATTCAGTGTACTACTCGAAGTCAGCCCGTTGTAAATCCGTCTTTTAGCCAGGGTTGAACAAGTAGGGTATGGGAGGAGAACATGTACGATACAAATGGATGTAGAGGGAACGACAAACAGACATTAAGTTTGGGACAATGTGCACCCTGGATTCGGCGGACTCAAAGTAACAACATGGCGGGTTTATCCCACAGACCATGTCACACTAACCTTTCTTTCTACTCATAACATCATCTCCAAAGACTCATGACAAAAAAAAAAAAAAAACATGGTGACAAGCGTTGAATAAATAATCAGACTTTTCATCCATATTCACTGATTTATAACACCATCTGCTACATTTTTTTTTCCGCAGCAACTTTCTCGACACTATGATATCATTGAAATTATTGCTGTGTATTTCTGTTGGAATGATGACTTGAGAGAAAATAATAATGAAATAGGTCATTTCGACTGGTGATTTTTACAAAAAAAAAAGTTGATTTGGAAGAGGTGATATGATTTTGTAGCCTATTTAGGCATGGCGTAGGACATGATCGATCCGATAAGCAATACCATTGGCTGCTCGGATAGGCTGGTCGGTGTCAACGACGGCTTCCCCGTTAAGGACGGTCTTTCGGGATAGAAAGTGATGCTTGACGGCAATGGTTTCATCCTTCAACATTGTGTTTAACTCATCGGCTTTGCGCAATGCTTCCGGATCAAGTACTCCCGACGGCACAATGTGGCTGCGCAAGAATCGTTCCAAGTCATGCTTGGCTTCAGCGTCCATGCCACGACGGAATGCGGCATTGGTGGGAGCAAACACGGTGAACGGTTGATCAATTTGGGAATTGTTGAAGAGGGCAAAGATGGAGTCGACTTGGGTGAGGACATCCATAAAGGTCGACAAGGAAGTGTCGGGCGCTAGTTTATCAAACAAGGATTGAGGCTGGGCTGAAGACCGGTAATCGGGAGCGCTGGGTTCATACAAAAGCTTGGGCTCCGTTTCCTTGGTCGGCGGCATATTGGGCCAAGAGAAAACTAGATGAACCAAAGGAAAGAGACACACAAAAATAATCCAAGGCGTCATCGTCTATTTTTTTTTCTCCTCTCTCTTTTCTTTCTTTGTTCTTTTTTTTAACTTTGACAAGATCGTTATTCTCGGCAGAAAAAGGAAAAAGCAATAAAAAAGAACAAAGAAAAAATGGCTTCACTTGCCTTTTTTTCTTTTCTTTTTTTTTTTTGCCAAGGGAATTCCTCTCTGGTCAGAAGGGAAAAAAAATTGGGAATTTCCATATTTGGGTTGACGTCATATCTGAAGGTGAGACACTTGGGCGCAAAACCGGGTTGCACGAAAGGAGGAAAGTGTTTGATGGGGGAATCCAAGGAAAAAAGAAAAAGACGCAGAATAGGCTACGAAAAAAGAATAACCCAATACGACCCGATGACTGCGGGTACAATAAAGTTTTTTTTTTTTTATTGTTTATGGGATCACAAAAATATAAAGTAAAAAAAAAAAAAGGCTCTTCTCTCCTCGTCCTCGTCTTCGTCCCCCCCAAAAACAACTGCATCTAACATTTTGTGATCGACTTGCCTTGTCAAAAAAGGCAAGGCGAACTCACGCCCAGAAGATCAAACGTGCGGGAACCTCAGGCAAGTAATGAAACTCTTTACTGATGAGATGCAGACGGTTTGTTTGCTTTCCATCATGAACTTTATTCGTCGTTCTTTTTTATTTTATTTTTTTCTGTCTATCTTGCTCGAGATGCGAATATAAAAGAAATCCATATTAATTCACACTTTCCCCTTCTTTATTATTTAACCTCTTCTCTTTTTTTTATTTCCTTTTTCTCGACTTCCGCTCTGCTTCCGTTCTGCTTCCGTTCTACTTCCGCTTCGCTTTCCATATCCATCATCTATTGTTTTTCTTCTTCCCGTCTTATCTGTATCTTTATCTCTCACCAAGGTTACTTTTTTTTATTTTATTTTTATTGTCATGACAAGCCCTGTAAAAGAAACCGTGCTACCCCTACCTCCTCCTACACAGGAAAATATCAGTTCTCGTTTGCAATTGTTGAACGGGCTTAAACAGTTCTTGGCCACTGCACCCGCCAATTGGGATATTCCAGTGGACGAGATCCCGATCAAGCGACATGCTATTCCTACGGGTGAAAGTGTGTCTTGTGTGAAATGGAGCCATGATTACTTTATCTCCGGCACCGACATTGTTCGCTGCCTTACACTGCGTTTTCATCTTTTTGGTCGGCCTGTCAAGAATTTGAAAAAGTTTGAAGAAGGCGTATTTTCTGATCTCCGCAACTTGAAGCCGGGCGCTGATGCCACATTGGAAGAACCCAAATCGCCGTTCCTCGATCTGCTCTACAAGCATGGCTGTATTCGAACCCAAAAGAAGCAAAAAGTGTTCCGCTGGTATTCGGTGCCTCACGATCGCCTTTTCCTTGATGCTCTCGAGCGTGATTTGAAGCGAGAAAAACTGGGTCAAGATCCTACCTCGTACGCCATTGCTGAACCTTCGCTTTCCATCTCGTTGGATGCCACCCAATCCATCTTTGACGACTTTCGAAAAAATCTATTGAGTGATCTCGAACTCAATGCGTGTCTCAGCGGTGTTTCCATTTGTTCTCAAGCTTCGTCACCTTCATCCCCGACGCCTACCGCCACTTCGTCTTACCATTCCGCTTCATCGACCCTGTCCGATACCTCCCGTCGGCCCTGTGACAGTCGAACCACATCGGTGTTTGGTGAATACGCTCTCTTTGAAGGCTCCCCCATGTACAAACAACGTCGTCGACGGACCATGCACGGGGTCAATCGAACCAGTACGGAATCCGTTCCCGATCGAGAAAACCTTCACCCGTCGACTGTATGGTGGCCTTATGATCGTCCTTTCAGCTCACGCAACGACACACGCGATGACACCCGATACTACACATGTCCACTCAATTCATGCGCCAAAGTCTTCAAACGCCTTGAACACTTGAAACGCCACGTACGTACCCATACCATGGAACGTCCTTATTTGTGCGATCTTTGCGGCAAACGATTCTCACGATCGGATAACCTCGCACAACACAAAAAGACACACAAACGACGCCACGTCCATGGATTGAATGACGGACACAGTGATCACAGTGACGATAACGATGGCAACGATCACGACGATTCCAATTACAGCAGTTCCGAAGCAAGCGATAACGATGACAACGACGTTCAAGGAACCGGCAGCCATGGCTTTCAGTATGGATCCAATCAAGGTCACTCCACCTCCAGCTTTCCTTCCGGCACTCATTACACGGGCTACTGGACCCATCCCAACGTGAACGACTGTGGTCTTGACGATCCAACCTACACCGAGCCTTATGTGGATGTGTTCTCGGACATGTCTGCTTCCACTCCCGCTTCCACCGTCGCTTATTCCTTGTCCTCTTCTTGCAATGCTTCGCCTACGTTTCTCGCCAAACATGCCTCCAATGCTCATCCCGAATCGGAGACAGTCTTCCTTCACACGTTTCAGATGCCGATTGATGAATTCATGGAAGGATTAATGCCCGCGCACAAACCTCCCATCGACACTCCGACTGCCAGCACCAGCACCAGCAGCACCAGCACCACTTTCTGGAACCAATCGACCCCATCCAATGAATGGCAAAACAATATCGATTGGAAAGAATACGTTCAAGCTCAATCCATGTCCATGGCTTCGGTTCCCAGTCATCCTCCACTGCATTACGAATGTGCCCAAGATGCGAAAATGGCCTATCTGGTGGAACAACAATTGCGATCCCATATATCGATGCCTTGCGATTCGTTCAGCAATATTTACGATGTGTTGTCAGTCAATACACCATGTACAATTGAATTCAATCCAGTGTTTCCCGCCAGCCCCATCATTCCACCTTTCGTTCCTTCCATGTGCCCTCAAGATGCACTGTTAAAGCCTCGCACCACTTCAGCTTGAGGCTGAGGTCCATGGTCATCTTTCCTTTTTTATTTCTTTTTAGCATATCCTTCCTCTCGCTCTGTGTGTGTATGTGTATGTGTCTCTGTCTGACTGTGTGTTACAGCAAGTGCATTTTTATCATCTTATGTATATTCCATATTCGTTCAGTTTTTTTCCCCTTCATTCATCGAATGATAAGAGCTTTCAGGTTCTTGTTGTTGTTCTAGTTGGTTTTTTTCCAGAGCATATGTATATCGCCATATTTTACATATGTATATAGCTCACCCCACGCTTGCTGTACATTTTATTTGCATATTAAAGGCTAGCCTGTACTATGTTCTATCATTCTATTAAGAAAATTAGAAAAAGATCATCTTGGATATCTCGAGCCATGTGGCAAGAAGGTTAAACTTTTTTTCCTTTTAGGCCGATCAATTGATGTTTGATGGTACAGAATCTTGTGCACCCACTTCTTTTTTTCGACGCTTGTTTTGATGTTGATTCTTTTTTTTTTTGCCCCAGGTTGGGCCATTTGATTTTTCCTCTTCTTACTTTCCAAATGTATGAATACTGCGAGGGAAAATAAACAATGGGTTAAAAGAAGATCCATGCATCCCGGGACACAGATCAAAAGATACAGCTCAGACTAGCCAATTCTGGAGAAGGAGGTAGACCTCCATTGTCTAAGCGTTCCTGTTATTGTTTATTATCCTAGCTGTAAAACAGATCCAATTCATCAGCCTGCTTTGGGCTCCCAGCGCTTGCAGCGGGGCGGGGTGGGGGCGTTCAAAAAGAGGAAGGTGCAAGCGACCAATGGCGTCGATCGGTTGACGATGCTTAGGCCTTTTTTTTTGTTTTTGTTTTTGTGCGTGTTTTCGTGTGCTTATGCAGGCAAGCTTTGATATTATTCAGGTTTATTGTTTATCTTTTTTTATTATCAACTGAAACGGTCTATTTCGTTTTTGCACGTTGAATGATCTAATAAAAAAAGATACTTAATTCATCGTGCATGTCACCCTTTCACGTAAACCGAGGCCTGCAGCCAAGCTACGCATCTTTTGATTCCCTCTATCACTGTACCCAAATAAATATGTATTGCTCAATTACACTGCCAAGATCTAGAAAATGAGGTCATCGTCCCTCGTTATCCAACCAAGCCAAGGTATCTCATTGGTGCGACCTGAACAAGGTAAACATACCCTTATCCATTCATTGGAATCGTTCTGTCCAGCGTCATCTTGATCCATTTTTGAAATCATTCTTTTATTTTTATTTTTCTACATACCATTTTTAGTATGATCATACCACCGCATCAACGTGGGCATCGGATGCTCAAGCCTTTTTTTCTCTGTGGGGGTGGTGTTCTTTTTTTTTGGCGGTTGTTATGGTTGCGTCATGATGAACCGTGTTCTACTGGTTATTTCCTTTTCATGTCTTTGCTTAATATCAATCCTTTTAGGTAAAAGATCACAACTAGACACACACCACTTTCTTTTTTTTTCTTTTTTGATGGACCTCGTGTTGATCCATTAGTAGTTGGTTGCGATCGACAAACGAGCCAAGAAGTTTCCTTAATTTCTTATCTTTGTCTCCAACTTTCTCTGAGGGATCCAGACCGGTCCTATGTTACAGAAAATGCAAAAATACAAAAAAGGCTTTTTTTTTTTTTTTGGGATAATCCATCTGCGAGTGCCAGCGATCTTGAGTAACACGTGGTAGAGAAGATTCCACAAAAAAAAAGAGGCAAAAAAATTCCCGGAAATGGCGACTTGTGTTTTTGCATTCACTGATCTCGGCACTGTGCATGAATGATGACTTCTGGTTATGTATCATCATTACGATTTTTCATCTAGCCGTACAAACAACTGGGATAGACCTCTTTTATCCAATCGGTTGGCACCATGCAAGATCACGAGCCAATAAAAAAACATGGTATATGCAAGAAGCCTTTTACGGAGCCCCATCCCCATCGCAGTACGATATTGACAAGGAGCATCACTACATTAAGGTATCTCACTCCATGTCTCCTAAACCAGCTGCTACGCTGCGTTGCACAAAATCTACAGTCCCATTGGATCCGTTCGCCTCCGTTGTGGCATGGTCTTATTGGATAAAGTTGGCAGAAAGTCCTGGAAAAAAAAGCCAATGACTGCAGAATTATTGTATGGTAACATACGAATAATATACCAACAAGCCGTACACCCGCTGTGCAATGGATGCCGCCTGCCACCGGAGGCCGCCCTCTCACATTGAGCGACTTTCGCCAGACAAAAGCCTAACGCATACACGGCATAACCTGGGCGAGAACTCTTGACGGACTGTGGTATATTAATGACAACCTTATGGCAATACCATGCAACGTGAGTTGTAACACGCGCACAGCAGCACTGATTGACGCCCTCAGTTCCATCCCGCCCAGGCTATGGTAGATCTAGAAAGATGTGTGGGTATATTGGGTATTTAAAAAAAATGAGTTAGTAAGCTCTTTGATTTGATTTAAATTTCGTCAAGATATTTTACCTTTGTTATTCGAGTTTTCAATAGCCATTGATCGCTTGGCATGACTTGGATTATATGACATTGAAAAACGTTGAACTAGTATATGACGCAAAGGAAAAGAAATTGGACTTGCCTTTAAATGGTGTACCGAAAAAAAAAAGCGATGAATACGGACCGCCAGGTAAGCTTCTTCTTCGATGCGGTAAATAAAATTGCTCCAGGGACAGTTAAGCGATGGATCGGTGGTGTCAGCTTGAGCAAGCAAAAAATATTGACGTGGCCAGAAGTGACGGTAATTTCGAGTTGGATTCCATATCGCGAGTCTCCCGAATAAAAAGAAAGAAAAACAAATAAAGGACCTGATGATAAAAAAACAATGGTCGCGTCATGAAACCTCCTAAAAAACCCTGTGCGAAAAAAAGAGGAAAAGACTGAGAAAAGAATATGTACAAAATACAATAATCGGGAAGACATCTCGAATATCATATCATGAGAAGCAATCCAAAGGAGAGGAACATGAAGAGGACACGTAAGCGTTGTCCGATATAAAAGAGAGAGTACCACCGACGATGGCCTTTGACGTCATCTGGTTTCGCCAGATGGATGGATGAATGGCGAGAGAAAGTCAACTTGTGGTGTCCAGAACTTGCCAGGCGGAAAGAAAACGAAGAAAACCGGAAGGTAAAAGAAGAGATGGAAAGTAAGAGAGGTAAGTCTGTTTTGCCGGAGCAAAATCGATAGTAGACCACTCGACGCCTACCTTTTTGAGGATGGTAGTCGATTTAACCAAGTTAGATAAACAGGATAAGAGTGGTCTGGATGATGGATGCGGATGGGATCTTGATACAATGATAGTGATGGTTTATCAAGAGAGAGAAAAGAAAAAAGATAAAATTGAAGACCAAAATATGTGATTTCCTATGGATGAAACAATAGTCACCCTACTGATGCATGAATTCATAGATCGAAGAACGTCTGCTTATGTATTATTCGATTCATTGAAAATTGAAAGAGAATGAAAGGACATATATAGTATAACTGACAAAAAAAAAAAAAACAGATTGAATGATGCTACAGAAGAACGCCAGTCGTATCATCAACCACTTTTCTTCAAAAAGAGCTCTACTCACATTTTTATTTGAAAGACGACGATGCTCTGTTTGACCACAACCGGCGCAAACGGCATCTTGCTGCTGATTGTTTCGCCTATTTGTGAAAGTGGGCAGCGAGGCATGGTTGAAAGATAAAAAAAAGGTTTAACAGGTCCTGATAACTTAGTGTAGATCATGTGATCTACAAATCGCATAGCCAAGTGTCACCACCGGACAGGCACACAAAAAGCATGTCACAGAAACTGTCACGTGATAAAGGAAATCGCCGCCGGAATGGCTGCCGGATCGCTGCAACTTTTTTGGGATTCCACCTTTCCATTTGGTCAATACTCAGGTTCAGTATGAGCGACAAAAAGCAAGAGGGAAAAAAGCCGGAAGTGACGGAAAAGGAGCTGGAAAACATGGCTCTTCGAGTCGAGAAGCTGGCTGCGAAAGCGCAAAAGAGCGAAGTGAAGGATATGATGAAGGGCGAGAGTTCTTCCAGCAGCAAAGGGTCGGCCAAGAATGAAGCGGAAATGCGAGCCAAGCTCATGAGCATGATGCAAAAGTTGGCCTTGATGGAACAGACCGGTGCTTTGAAAGCTCCCGGAAAGAAGGATATGGGCGATCACAAATTCTGGAATACTCAGCCTGTGCCGAAGCATGGTAAATACCCACCTAGGAATTTTTGGAACTAAGATATTGTCTGCCAGGGACCACTCGCATGCTAATCAAAGCCACGAACATTGTAGACGAACAGGTTACAGAGGTAGGCCCTATCGAACCTTCGGTGCCTGTGGATCAAGTGAGCCGCGATCCACCTGCATTGCCCAAAGAATTCGAATGGTGTTCGGTTGATGTCACCAACGAAAAAGAGGTACGTTCCGGTTGTTCCCTTCATTCAACCAAAATATCTGCGTTAACCATGATTTTCTTTTTCGGGGCCACAGCTCAAAGAGTTGTATGAACTCTTGACCTATAATTATGTGGAAGACGATGATGCGCAATTCCGTTTTGACTATTCCGCTCGATTCTTAAAATGGTAAATAACGGGGAAACCGTAGGAAAAGGAAGATTCGATGAATATTTAAAGGTCAAACCTGTGTAGGGCATTGCAACCTCCCAAATGGAAGAAAGCTTGGCATGTTGGTGTTCGCGTGTCGTCCAATAAGAAACTTGTAGGTTTTATCAGTGGTATTCCTGCCGATCTTAGAACATACGATGTGTAAGTGGATATCAGTGTTTCTGCGCCGATGCCTGAATGGGAAGGATTACCGACGGGGTTGTGAAGAAAAAATGGCTTCTGATGATGTTTTTATGTTAGTACGCAGCCTTTGGTCGAGATCAATTTCTTGTGCGTTCATAAGAAGCTTCGTTCCAAACGTCTTGCCCCTGTCTTGATTCGAGAAGTAACACGTCGTAGCCACTTGGAAGGCATCTTCCAAGCCGCCTACACGGCCGGTATTGTCATTCCCAAACCTGTTTCCACATGCCGGTAAGTTACTTTTTTTTTTATCTTGTCTCCATGGATAAATTTCAAACTGTTTCCAACCACGGCGCAAATTTTTATTTACAACTGATTTAGTTACTACCATCGTTCCTTGAATCCAAAGAAGCTCGTTGAATGCAATTTCTCCCGGGTGCCTCCCAAGTGGACGTTGGCACGCATGATTAAGCACTACAAGTTACCGGCCGAAATATCGACTCCTGGTTTGAGAGTAATGAAGGAAGCGGATGTACCTCAAGTGCGTGCATTGCTGAATAGCTACATGTCACGGTTCGATGTCGCACCTGTGTTTGAGACAGATGACGACGTGAAGCACTGGATTCTGCCTCACGAGGAAGTTGTGTGGAGTTATGTTGTCGAAGTAAGTAGCGCATTCCCATGGTCAAGCGGATAATGGAAACCGCTTGCTTACGGAACGAGTCTGTTCTTTTAGGATGCTGAGACCCACAAAATTACCGATGTCTTCTCCTTTTACACTTTACCGAGCTCGGTCATTGGTAATCCCAAACACTCTACTCTCAATGCAGCTTACATGTTCTATTATGCTATGGAGATTCCATCGGATATCAAGAAAAACAAGGTCGAATCGATGAAGTACATCAAGAAACGCTTGAACGAGCTCATGAAGGATGCATTGATTCTCGCCAAACAGGTAAAGTATCACCGACTTGATGGCATTTGTATAGAGCGATGGTTTACTCATATCTTGCTTTTTACAGTTGGACTTTGATGTGTTCAATGCACTAGATCTGATGGATAATTCATTGTTCGTCGAAGAGCAAAAGTTCGGTCCCGGTGACGGGCATCTGAACTATTATCTCTACAACTGGAAATGTCCCGATGTGAAGCGACACAAAATGGGTTTAGTGATGCTTTAAGAGCAGTTGATACAGTGTCACTGCCGCTATGATCTAATGTAGCTGTTCACATCCCAAGCTATATTTATCCTTGATACTTCCGAGTTTTAACGTAGATGAAATTCACGCTGTGTGTTCTGTATGCAGCAATAACCAATAAAAAGCTAACAGACTCCAAGTCTCTCGCTGAGTCCCAAATGAGCATTGAGCGCTGACGTCAAAAACATTGGAAAAGCTAAAGCCTTTTTGCAGGACCGTGCTTGCCCTTTTTCTTTTTTTCGTCTGTACAATTTTGAAAGAGAGTCATGGATCATCACGAAAAAGTTGATCAGTTTGTTGCAATGACGGGCGCTTCTGCCACACAAGCTCAATTCTTTCTCGAATCCAGCAATTGGGACTTGGAGGTGCGTGTCAGATCTGTTTTTCTCAGCTACGTCACCTACATCACCTGAACCTCACGTTAACAAATCCATCCTTCTATTAAAAAAAGATGGCAGCTAGTCAGTTTTATGATTCAGCCGAAAGCGGATCGCAAGGTTCTCCTATAGCATCGCAAGAAAGCTCTTCAGCAACCGTCGATCGTGCTTCTCCTCAGCCATTCACTGCTTCTTCACCCACCGCTGCTGCGACACGTCAGTCACCCAGCAAGAAGCCTTCGTAAGTCATGGTCACGATCCAATGTCCAATGCAATCGTACTCAAGCTTTAATTCAATTCGCAACTAGATCAAAAATTCGTACATTGAACGATTTGTCTTCCAGCGAAGGTCTTCATGACGGATCCGACGACGATGAACATGAAAACTTGTATGCAGGAGGCGAGAAATCGTAAGTGTGCGCGCGTCACATAAACTGGCACGGTTAATCGATAAAACTTATTCGCATCATTAGGGGCATGGTTGTGCAAGGCCCCAATAAAAAGGGTAACAGTAGCAGTATCATTGACGAGATCCTAAAGAAAGCGGCAGCGTAAGTGAGATACAACAATGAAATAGTCACCCCCCATCCATCATCCTTGCTATGGGTTTAGCTTACGAAAGAATATTATTAGTGGTGGCGCACCCCCCGAGGAAGAGTCTTCCAGTGCTGCCAAGAAGCCCACTTATTTTACGGGCTCCGGTTACAAGCTGGGAAGTGAAGAGGAACCTTCCAGTGTGATCAGTGCGGGCATTCCCAGTCAGTTTGCCGAAGAGGAACCAGAACCTGTAAGTCATTTTTTTGGATGCACTTTGTTTTGCTGAGCCTCTTTGATATGGTTGATTCATCTTCGTTTCGTAAAAGGTGACTCGATATCTCACATTCTGGCGAAATGGATTCAGCGTGGACGATGGTCCTTTGTTACGTTATGATGATCCAGCCAACAAGTCCATGTTGGCCGCCATCAACAGCGGGTAAGTACAGCGATTTTCGATCTGAACAGGGGAACCACCTGAGACTGAAAATTTGGTTCTTGCAGTCGTGCGCCGCTTTCTTTGTTAAATGTTCGTCATGGTCAGCCTGTGGATGTTCGTGTGGCTCGACGACAAGATGAAGATTATATTCCTCCTCCCAAGGCACCTCCAAAACCTTTCGAAGGCGCAGGTCATCGCTTAGGTAGTCCGGCTGCTTATACACCTCCTCCATCAGCACCGGGCGCTTATCCTCACGAAGAAGCCTCCTCCTCTTCTTCCTCGTCTCAGGTCTTACCTGAAGCCGATCCGTCGCAGCCCACTACCTCGGTTCAAATTCGTCTTGGCGATGGTTCAAGGTAAATCTTGGCCGCTGAAAATAAGTGAAAGAACTAAACTGACACGGAATTCTCCGGAAAACAATAGATTGATTGCAAAACTAAACCATACGCATACAGTGGGTGATCTTCGGCGGTATATCGAAGCGTAAGTACATTTTGACAGTCTTTGTATTCGAGTCTGTAATAGTAACGGAAAAAACTTGTTGTATTAGATCGCGTCCGGGACAAAGAGCCTATATTCTTCAAACCACGTTCCCTGTCAAGGAATTAAAAGACAACAACCAGACTTTGAAGGATGCGGGATTATTAAACAGTGTCGTCGTTCAACGTTATCAATAAATAGCACATGACTGATCAAGGCTAACTGTTTTTATGGATATTTTTTTCTTTCTTTCGGCGGATGATGGCAGACAATAATGCTGTGTTCGTGGCTGGACGCGGGCTGACGCTTTCATGCGATTCAAACAGACAAGGAAACTGAAATATCAAATATTCTGAAAAAGGCACTGGTCGAAAGGTACAGGGGCAGGAGAAAATTTTTTAGAAACTTTTCTCGTTCTTGAACTCATCAAATAAACAACTCTTTTCTCTCAACTTCTCATAGACATTTCCCAATTTATTTCGCGATATATCATGGCGCTTACCGTTGAACAAAAAATCGAAATCATGGCTTACAAGAATGCTGGATGGAGTGCAGCCAAAATTGCGAAGCATTTCAAGGTGGCACGAGGCACCGTCTACAATGTCATCAAGAACCATGAGCAGAGAGGAACTCATGAGCGCAAGAAGGGATCCGGACCACGCAAGAAGTTAACGGAAAGAGACGTTCGAACGTTGGTGCGGGAACTCCACAAGGATCCGCATATATTGTTGTCTGACCTTACTCAAAAGCTAGTGACGAAGGTTTCTGAGCAAACAGTTCGAAGGGAACTACATCGCCTAGGCTACTAGCGGACGGCCAATCAAAAAGTCTCATCTCAATAAGAGACACATCGCGTACGTCGTGTGGAATTTACAAGACAGCGTAGAAACTGGACAGCCGATCAATGACGAAAGGTGTTATGGAATGACGATACGTCGTTTGAAGCGTTTCTGGAACCTTGATGATAACCTGGTTCTTATGGAAGAGGGAGCAATAATGGCATAGATTAGCCAGCTCAATCTCCAGATCTGAATCCAAAGGAAAATGTTTGGTATTCAATGAAGTGGAGCGTACAGAAAATGTGCTACGTGGGTATGTGTGACGAGCACATACCCAAGCAATCCGAGATGCTTGGGATTCCATCGATACCAACCTCATCAACAAACTTGTGGATTCCATGCCGGAGAGGATAAAGGCCAGTGCTGGAAGCGAACTGGAAGCGAAGGGTCACTCAATTCGATGGTAACCAAAGGTATGGGGATTGTGAAGGCAGAAACATGTAATATATAAATTTTACTTAAAGCTTTCTATTAAAAAAATTTCCAAGATAGTAGACAACATTGTTTTGGTGTAAGAATTGAGTTTCGCCTTAAAATGAAAGATTTAGAATACCAATTTAGTGAGTTGCAGTCAGCTATCAGGTATGTCTGTATGAATGAAAAAAAGAAACCAATTATCGACTTTATTTTTTTTTAGAATTCATTGTCCTGGTTACATCCACTGGATTCCCTCTGCTGTCCTCTCTGATTTTGGTGTATTCGTTTGAAAGCTTTATGTACATTAACCAACAATGTGCATAATCAGCTGGTGGTGCATAGGCACACCAGCACTAATGTTTTAGTGGTGGTGGCAGCCTTAGCTTCTGCATTGACTCCAGACCTGAGGACCATACTTTGTGGAGATCAGTTACCCAGGTGTTATCTGCAAGGAAATGTCCTGTTTCTGATCTTGGTTTATTTCCTCGTATTTTTGAACTTGACTTGACAACTGGTGCCATTACAATTAGGAAGCAAAGTTATACTCACATATAAGCAATAACGTTCTTTTGTGCTATTCAATCTAATCTATTGATCGAGTTTATCATTCCACATCTCCAAAAGTGCGGATTTTAAAGCTGTTCAAAATTTCTTGGAAAGGGGACTGTAACACGATCATGGTTTGCATGTCGGATATTCAGACCATCCTGGATCGTCAAGTCAAAACATTAACGCGAGCCATAAAAGCTGACGGAGACACAAGTCAATTTGTTGCGGTACATTGCACGTCGGTGTTGACGCTTGATCTACGGTATTATTTGCACCTATTGTTACACCTTAAAACTAAGTCGCAAACAAACAAGGAAATACGGCTTCAATGGATCAAGAGCTCGCTAATCGGCTGGAATGGTCAGTAAACAAAAATCATGATAAAAGTCAATATTCACAACGGAAGACAATTTAAATTTTATATACAAAGTGTCATTGCGATTGAGCATGTTTGACGTGAGTCTTTGAATTTTATTGTGAAATCCAAGTATGAGATGGTGTTGAAAGGGGAATAACCTCGAGTGAAATGGTTGATGCATAAAACTATTTATAAATGGGGGGAAGAATGGGAATGATAAGATGGTAGTAAAATACAAAGAATGGTTTGCAGTTTGGCTTATGTAAGCCAAGGCATATCATCGGTGAAAACGAATAGGCATAACAGGTCACTCAATGACCGATCCACTGGAAAACCGGAGAGAAAAGAGGATGAAAGGGATACAGATTAAATACAGAGGAGAAGGGGGGAAACACAGGATGATGAATCATATTTGAGAAGAGGCTTACGCAATATCTTCATGACGTTGTTCGTTGTGTCGGACCAGCGCATCTCGGCGGGTGAAAGAGGCGTGGCATCGATCGCAATAAAAGGGTCGAACACCTTGATGAACCGAACCCATGTGTCGTTCCATATCGTGCTTGCGGTCGAATTTTCGTTCACAGAGATCGCATCCAAACTTCTTTTGGCGGTGCGGATCGTGTGTGCGAACATGCGTGCGGAGATTGTATGCTCGGGTGAATGAACGATTGCAAATCGGGCAAACATGCTGCTTTGATTCACGCATATTTTGACGCTTGCGTGGAGGTTGACGTGCTGCTCGTCGTTCGACATATAAATCTTTATCATCCTCGTCCTCCTCTTCTTCTTCGTCATCAGCTTCATCGAGTTCGTCTTCTTGATCACTTTCTCCTGATGGATGGACTCGTTTGCGGCTTGCAGGAAGCGGGGCCAAGCTCTCGGATTCAGGTTCGGTTTGCAAGTCGGCTTCAGATGCTTGGGTATTTTGTTGTTCTTGGCTGGCCTTTTCATATACTTGATCGTCCAAGATCTGCGATGATCGCTCTTGGGATTGACTGTCGGCTTCATCCATGAGTTCTTGGGTGAATTGGCTGGATGGACTGGACAAAGTGGACAGGCTTGACAGGCTTGATAGGCTTGACTGTTCATCATCTTCAATCACATCGTCGAGCAGTGGTACCATGCGGTCAAAGTCTTCTTCGAGAGGAAAGACATCGAACGGATTGACAGTTTCTACGTCTACGTCGCTGTAGCATTTGGCATGGAGATCGGGGATAGCGTCGAATAATTGAATGGGCGACTTGGAGGCCACGGTTGCGTTGGCAGTGGGTTGCTCCTCATCCTTGCTTAGCAGCAGATCCGACAGCGGACCGTTAAAATTGAGCACCGGAGCGGCCGTCAATTGTTGTGCGAGATCATCCATGTAGACTGGATAAGTGTCCAAATCGAATAATGTGTTGTGTTCGTTTTGAAGCGAATTGGGAGTGAACGAAGCCGATTTGACCGAACTGGCACTCATGGGAGGTGTTTCAAGCCATGGTGAGTTGGGCGATCCCAAAGACGACAGATAAAAAGGCGGCAAGCCCAATGAGGCATGGTAAGGCAATTTGCACGGCATGACGGAATGAGTCGCCAGTTTGGACCATTGATCTACACTGATCGAGATTTCTTGAGGCGTGATCGGCAACCAGGACTCGTTGAACATTTCTTGACTACTGAAAATGGGTTCCTGTAATAAACCGTTCATCTCCTGAGCTGTGGATGTCATCATTTTCTCGTTTAGTGAATCGTAATCTTCAATCAATGTATTAAGAGTAGTAGGAAGAAGAAGGAGAATTGGAGCAACTATTAGTGTTTTTCTTTTTTTAAAAAAAAAAAAGAAAGAAAAAAAAAAATGCAAATCGAGATTTAATTTATAAGCAGCGGCCATTTTGCACTGACACGGATGCCGCGCAGCAGGATTTTCCGTGTGACACAAGCGGAAAATGAGTCACAAACAATTCCGGTTCGCCCTCCAGCTTCCTCCCCCTCAGTCGTTGCCATGACAACGGCGGGGCACTTCGGACACCGCCCGTTGCCTCCATAACCTTCCCAACAGGGGATGAAACATTCCTTTTGTTTATTCTTGTCTTCTCACTTTTCCGTTATGTCATTTTTTTTTTCATTGTATACATGAAAGCTTAGATGATCCATTCGTAAAATTTGATCAGGAACAAACAAGTCTGTCAGGTTTCGGCGCGGCCTCCTATCCAATAGGAATCCAGGTACATCAAACTTGAATGGATTGGATCAGATAATGGGAAATTATGGCTCATGTTTCAAAAAGTAAGCTGGGCAAAAGAAAGTTCGAGCAAATGCAGACAAGCCAATCGTTACGGTCGATCCATCCACTCAACGATTGGCGGGGTTTGTAAGCCGGCTTCTCTGGTTTTCCATTCGCCATCATATTTCGGCTAGTTGAAAGCATTTGTCAGCCTGACGAGCGGGGAATAAAATGACAACGTGGTTGAACCGGTAACCAAGCGGATTTCATCTGGATGTCCCTTTTTGTTGCCAGTGCGTGCTTTTCCGGTCGCCGATGACTCAAATTCTAATGGTTTATTGTTTTCTTCCGCACACCCTATTGGTCGCCACATATTTCCTACCTTCATTGCGTCTCCCTCCTATTCGGCTTCATCACCGATTTCTCCCTTTCACATCTCTAATCGCGTAAACGTTGTACCTCTGCCTCTACGCATTCGTGGGTAATCAATAGTCCCCTTTTTATCTTGTTCACGTCCCATTCTTAGGAAATCGCAATAAAACAATGCTTTGATTATAATTTAGCTCCTGACATTGGCAAGAGTTACACTCTTAAGGTGTCGATTTTTGTTAGCCCAGCAAAAAATGCCAGCCAATCATCTAGGCTGTGGTTGGCTGGAAATAAAGATTGCCATAAACATCTTTTGTACCATTCAGTGGTAATCTGACGTATCACGATGATGATGGACATTTGCAGCAACATAATATACTGCACTTCACGGGCTATACATGGTCAAATATTTCATATATGATGATCCGTCATTGTGAAAATTTTGTCCAGTCAGTGCTTGTTGATGTATCCCATTCGTCAGATTACGTCTATCATTTTGTGTTTTCGCAAAGGAATGGCAGCACAAATTACCATAAATGGAAAATTAAGCAGGCCCTTCCACCGACAAAGTCAGTTGCTGATTTTGAGTTTGCGTATATAGACTGTTAAGCAATAATCCCATCTGTTTTTCAGTCAGCTCTATTGTTCTGGACTTTTCATGCAAATGTATGCAACATTTGCAGCTACAATAAATATCAACGCGTTGGCAAGATCGAAAACGCAAGTTGTCCGTTACCAAGACAAAATCAGATGATTGACTTCATTCTTTTTGCAGTTTCATGATTTGGCCTGCGTTTTCTTTGATTGTTTTACGTAACACGACAAGGTCCATAAGAAAGCCAGAGGGGAGAAATTGGTTCATGCAAGAAGACAATGTGACTTTTTAGTTTGAATAAATTCGGACTTTTTTTTTGTCGCCCCGCATTGGTTGTCAACCCACGAGGACCAGATTTTTTCTTTTTTGAGCATCCTTTTTTTTCCGTTATGCATGCATTCGTTAAAACATAACTTCATAATGGGCTCAAACTTCTCGGTTGGTGGGTCATTGAGACAGAAAATATATTCTATAGAGGGGACGGACATCTCATATTGCATGTATAGCGAGATCACTCCATCGAGCTCAGCAGACGGAAAAGATTCTGGCCGCCATGGCAAGTCGTAATCTGGGAGCATTACGTCAAATAGCACGAGAACCGGAAGGATACGTTCACGATACCTTGCGTCGTTTTGTATGGTAGATGAAGGATTCATGGCAATGAGGAGAATAAAAACATACTGACCACGTCTGAATGGGAACCATGCGGTTGTCGTTTTCTATTGTTTCCAGGCCGATATTACTACATACGCACCAAGGCTGTTATATCGACGAGAAAGGCAGTGGTAACGTTGTCAAAGTGGCTCCTTAACCTAAAAAACCTCAACTGATTGGTGACGCCCCTTCTAGATAAGGATTTACCGGATCCTAGCCAAATCTCCAAGGATGTCGAAAGATCACTTTATTACTATCCTCAAGGTGCATCTTTTTTATTATTATTTTTTCATCGAATGATGATGTTCCAAGGAATACCAAAATGTAGAGAACTCATCCGTCATTTGTTCCTCATCTAGATATATCACCGATGTTAAAGGCACACAAACAACAGGAATTGCATCAAATGATCGTCGAAATACTCTGGAGGAACCCAAGGCTGAAATATTACCAGGTACGAAAGAAACCTGCAGTTCGATAGGGGTTAATTTACTCAATGAAATGGTGACATGTAGGGTTTCCATGATATTTGTACTTGTTTTCTTTTGGTGCTAGGAAAAAAAGCTGGAATTCCAGCCGCTGAAAATGTCGCATTATTCTTCCTAAGATATCCTTTTTCTTGCGAATTTGCCATATGTGATGTCCGGGATCAAGTTCATTTCCTTAACCAGAGCCAACACGGATGCCATGTTAGATTCTTTCGATCCCATTTCCAAGCAGTTGCGGTTGATGAGTTCCATTATCGAATATGAGGATCCAAAACTGACGAGTCATTTGGAACAGTAAATTATCATTTGGGCAGGAACGATACCATGATAACCATATTAACGCCACTTTTTTTTTCTCCTATTTGCAGCTGCAACATTATGCCGTACTACGCGCTGAGTTGGATTTTGACGTGGTTTAGTCATGATTTCGAGGATCTTGACAAAGTGGTTCGGTTATTCGATGTATTTATCGCCAGTTCAGCCATGATGCCTATTTACGTTGCCAGTGCGGTAAGACGGGTTTTCATTTTTTTCCCAACATGACCACACGTGCATCGAACTGATTCCCCGTTTGCCGATATCAGATCACGTTACTTCGGCGTACCGAACTGCTTCAAGCCAACGCGGAAATCCTGCATTCCCTGATCACCCACGTCCCACAAGATATCGACCTTGAAATGGTCATCCAAACCGCTACCCTGTTAGAAACAAAGTATCCCTTGGTGCAACTGCAAAAGCAAAGTGGTATTTGGCTGCATGATGAGTACGTGAAACCCCCTTGGGAAAGAAAATGCTTCATTATCAGTCAACTGATATTTCTGTTTACACAGATCGGCTTTGAACACCTGGGATAAAGATTACAGCTTTTTAGGCTGGGACGATGTACCGAATCGTTTGCAAGCCGATAAGTATCTAAGTCACAGCATACCCAAGGAGGAATGGGAAGATGAAATGTTGACAGAATGGATGGAACGACGGAGGCGACATTTTACCCATGATGGTGGTGGACCCGCCATCAATTTTTGACCTTTTCTTTATTTAGTTATTTATTGATCCCACCCGTAATATTGGTCCTTTTTTTTGACCTGGTAGTATAATATCTTTATATTTTTATATTTTTGATTGATCATAATCGTATGGCCGCAGTGAACGCATTTTTTTTTTAAATGGAGTCATGTGGGCTTGAGGTATGCAAAAGGAACTTCGGAGCTAGTGACTGGAAGTGAGGGCGGCTTCAATGCTGGAAACAATGCGTTCCACGGCGAGATCCGTTTCTTCATCGGTGATGTTCAGCGGTGGAATGATGCGGAGGGTTTCGAAAATCGAAGCGGTCAGAATCAGCGTGTCGCGATGAAAGGCTTCTTGAGCGACTTGCGCTGCGAATCCTTTTTGAACCCCCAGAAACTCCACGCCAATCATCAAGCCTAAACCGCGAACATCTGCGCGCACGCCCTTTGGCAAAAGCGCAGGAATACGAGATCGCAGTGCAGAGAAGAATTGTTCAGATCTACAGCATTCACATGAATACATACAGACACGGTGGCGTGGGGATTGTTTTGGGGTTGCTGCTTACCTTGCGTGGCAGTTCTTTAGCAAGTTCTCTTCTTTGAACACTTTCAACGTGGCTGTAGCGGCTGCGCATGCAACAGCGTTGCCAGCGTATGTGCCACCCATACTTCCTGGAGGTTGTGTATCCATGAGTTCTTTTCGCGAGACGATACCCGACAGAGGGTAACCGGATGCAATGCCTTTGGCCATCACCATGATGTCCGGTGTCACGCCAAAATGTTCAATGGCAAACATTTTGCCCGTTCGTCCAAAGCCCGACTGAACTTCATCCGCAATGAATAAAATGTTGTTCTCATCACAAATTTGTCTCAAACCCTTCATGAAATCTAGTCAAAAAAAGTGAGTATGGCGAAACAGGGAAACACAGCAACAGTAATAGCAGGAAGCGGCTTACTTTTGGGTGGCACCACATAACCGCCTTCGCCCAAGACGGGTTCAATGATAATGGCGGCTGTATCTTCGGGAGCGCATCTTTGTTTGAGTAGGATTTCCAACTGGTTTAAGCAATCTTCGGCGCACTGTTCGGGGGTAAATTTGGAAGGATCATGGACGTGAGCGGCTGTATGCTGGACATAAGGGTAAGGTGCACAATGCACGCCAGGCATCAAGGGACCAAATCCGGCCGAATAAACGGACTTTGAGGTGGTGAGAGCCATGGCACCAAATGTGCGGCCATGGTAGGAGCCTTGAAAACAAATAATGTTTTGCTTTTTCGTAGCGTGTCTTGCCAATTTGACAGCGGCTTCGACGGCTTCCGAGCCTGAATTCCAAAAGAAGAATGTATCCAGATGTTTCGATGGCATGTGAGGCTTCAATGTTTCAATCAAGTCCAACATTGGCTTGTGGAAGAAAATGTTGACTTGACCGTGTGGTATCCGCGCCGCTTGGTCTTGCACGGCTTTCACCACCGTAGGATGACAATGTCCTAACGGGCAAGGTATTTGTTATTGAAATGATACACACTATTGTATCCCTGTTCGCTACGTACCTGTGCTGGTCACACCAATACCGGTGGTCAAATCCAGATACTTTTTACCCTCCACCGTCCACACATAAGGACCTTTGGCTTTTTCAATCACCAAGTCGGTACCACGGCTAATCCCTTTGGCGATGTGTCGTTTTCCAAGTTCAACGAGCTTCGACATTTTTATTATTATTCGCAGTTGAAATGAAAAAGCAGAAAAACTATGCAAAAGGAAATGGAAGCATTACAAGGGAAAGAAGGAAAAAAAGAAGAAACCAAACAGTCATCAAGACATCATTTTTAAATTGCCAGCCAATTTTTTTCCAAGCCCAGCGCATGAAAGAGAGTCCAGCTCCAAAATTCATCCGAGCCCTATTTTTGCAATTTTATGAGCACTGACATTCCCTAATTTGGTATCTGCCACTTCATAGCCCTTGTTTTAAACAAGCTTTGATACGCTAGTTGTTAAAATAGCTATTTGTTCAGCAGTGTCTCCCTTTCACCAAAGAAAATAGCCTTGAGGATGTTACCCTACTGAAGGTAGTATGCGAAGAGAAAAAGAAACAAAAGCAGAGTCTCATTTTTCATGATTGGGTGAAGGTTCCCTCTATTGAAGAATTGCGTTTAAAACTTCCTTGACAATACTTAAATATACCCTGAATGATACGGAAGGAAAGAAGCAGTTTGACCTGGTTTGGTTGACGGGCTAAACGGGTTAGTCCATACCATTATTTTGCAAACGAGTAGAATACCGTTCATTGATAACTTATTTGGCACAAAGGATGATTCTTGACTTTTTTCCATTTTCATGCATCACTTTTGGTGTGGTGGCTTATGTAAGGCAAGATGAATCTGGCTGGACATGATCAGCGTTTCGATCTGTGACTGGGGCTCTGGTTTAATCTCTTACTTGATTTTTCTGCAAAAAATAAAAAATAGGTTGACAGCACCTTTTTTCTGCTCTTGCGAATAAAACCATGACCACCTCTTTGACCATTCCCTCTGCATGCGATTTCCATTTGCATCTTCGTCAAGGCGACATGATGCGTATGGTCACTCCCAAAGTCGCTGAAGGCGGTGTTTCTTTGGCTTACATTATGGTAGGGAGTCTATTCAAAAAGCCCACAGTTACCATGTGAACCTGTCAGACCAACTTACGTTTTCTTTTTTTTGTTCCAGCCCAACTTGCAACCTCCTATCAAAACCACCGACGAAGCACTTGCCTACAAGAAGGAATTGCAAGCATTGGCCCCCAATGTCACTTTCCTCATGACTCTGTACTTGTCACCCGAGTTGACCGTCGAGGAAGTTCGCAAGGCCAGCAAGGCCGGTATCCGAGGTACGCTAGCTTGTTCATATAGGGAAAAAATGGAGAAGAACATCCCAATAAGTGTGGGTTCGTAGGTGTCAAGTCTTACCCTCGAGGTGTGACCACCAACAGCGAGAGTGGTATCGAATCCTACGAAGTGTATTACCCTGTGTTCAAAGCCATGGAAGAAGAAGGTCTGGTGCTCAACTTGCACGGTGAAATTCCCAGTGATCACAACAACAATGTTTGCGTGATGAACGCAGAGGAGAAGTTTTTGCCCGAGCTTGAGAAATTGCACAAGGCTTTCCCCAACCTTAAGATCGTGCTCGAACACGCCACCTCTCAGGCCGCCGTCGAGATGGTCAAGCGTCTGGGTGACACCGTCGCTTGCAGTATCACTGTCCATCATTTACAACTGATCGTGGACGATTGGGCTGGTCAGGCTCATCATTTCTGTAAACCCGTCGCCAAGTACCCCAATGATCGTAACGCTTTGAGAGAAGTGGTCGCCAGCGGTAAGTGTGTGCTTGGATCGGAGTGGTTGGGCAGGCCATGGATCTGATAAACGTCGTTTTTAGGTCATCCTCGTTTCTTCTTGGGTACCGATTCCGCTCCTCACCCTAGCCACGCCAAGGAATCCGCTCACGCTCATGCGGGTGTCTTCACCACTCCTCTTGTCTTGCCCTACCTTGCCAAGATCTTTGAAGAAATTGGATGTCTCGACAAGTTGGAGAATTTTGCATGCCATTTCGGAAAACAATTCTATCAGGTGACCCAAAAGGACGGATTTGAGACCGCCACAGTGACGCTTGTCAAGGAAGACAATGTGGTTGTCCCTCAGCAATATGCTATTGCCACCGATCCTTCCACTCAAGGTGACCTCGGTGCCGTGGTACCTTTTTTGGCCTCCAAGAACATTGGCTGGAAGATTGCCAAGAACTTTTGTTAAATCATACGGAATGTTACTAAAAATTAACGATGTCAACTCTTTTTGTGATGCCGAATGGAAATGAGTGCATCATCATTAGACTGAAAAGAAAAAAGCATATTAACCAATTAAAAAACATGCATATACCGCTGAGGATCGCCTAATCATCGGTGTGGTCCTTTTAGAAAACTGACTTTGCAAGACATTGATCGTCCATTATATTCTCTCCTCTCCCCACAATCCCAAAATATGTGCACCAAAAGTGTGATCGTGTAATCTTCACATAGTTTATGCTCCTCAAGATATACTCCACTGGCAATTTTAAAAATGAAATGATAGCCGAGTCAACCAGTGTCAGCTATGCAATGATAATAAAAAAAAATCCTATTTTAACAGTCTATGTGTTGAACGAGCTTCAACTATAACAAAAGTGTGCGTTTCTTTTTCAACGGTACGCCCAGTGATTCGGCATCGATCTCATCACTGTGCTCTTCATCCTTTTTGGCATCCTTGTCCTGCTCGTAGTGTTTCAGGAAAGCTTCTACATCTTGATCGAATCGATTGCCTTCGATACTACGGCGAATGGAAGCCATGAATTCGTGAAGCTGATGCAAATTATGACTATTGCAGAGGATGAGTTTGCAATGCTTTTCGTCTCGGTCATGGTCCACCCAACTTTACCTCATTAGCAGCAGCGGTCCCAACATTTCGTGCGCATTGAGTAAATGATGGATATAAGCTTTGGTGTGGGGGGCAGTACAACTGTAGCATCCACAGGATGCATCCAGAGGCTCAAAGGATCGGTTGAGCTCGGTTCTCCATAAGCTGAGGGTCTTGGCTTGCTTGTCTTTGCTGGACTCTGTTAACTGATCGCCAAACTTGAAAGTGATCGCGTGGCCTCTCTGGGTCACCTTGTATGCGTAACTGCCATCAAAAAGATCAATTCCATTGGCAACTCCTCGCAGGATGTTTTCTACGCAAAAAATGTCAGTTATCTTGTTCTGATTCGTCTTTTTTTTATGTACATGGTATATATGGTATACCTGGTGTGGCCAATCCGTACGCCAATCGAGGCTTGGAGGCAGGCAGCTGATCGACCGAGGCTCGGATCAGTGACTCCAAATCTTCGTTTTTTAAACCAAACACGTTCAGAATGAAACCTAGTAACAATACCAGTTGACGATGAGAACTGCCATGGCAAAAATACTAACCATTTCACATGAATTACCTTGCACATCACGTTGTGCGGTTTCAATAGCCGATCGTTTGCGTTCTTCGGCGCTGTCGCTGCCCACAACTGGAGCGAACAGTGGGATTTCCAGGCTCTTTTTTTTTGGTTGTGGAGAATAGAGGTAAGTTGGCTGATGACAGTCAGGATGGATATAGGATCCGAGAAACTTACGTCGGCTTTTGATTTACATGTGTCTAACCAACGCAAAGTGCGATCGACTGAACGTTTGATTCGTTTTAATTTAGCGTCTTCGTCGGTGACGAAATCGCACATGCTGGCACAAAGATCAGGCTGGTAGGCTTCCATGGCTTGAGCCCAGACATCTGGCGTCACTTGACGAACACCGCCGTGCGTATCGACCGAAAGATATTTATCGGTATTGAATGAAATCGGCACCGATTTCAACGGATCACGCATATCACAAAACAATAAATAATCCTAGCAACCACAAACGGGGGATCAGAAAACACTGGCTCTGTCTAATCCGTCTAGTGTTCACGAATTTTAATAAGGCTTACTTCAAGATGCAAGTATTTGTGTAATCCGTGCGGGTACTTGAATGAGGATGGCTCTTTTTCTTCCACACTATAGAAAAAGAAACACCAGTCAATGACAATGCGCTTATACGTACAATAATAGCAACACAAATATATCAACGTACAAGTGCTCCAGTGACACTTGGGCAAGTTCGACGGGTGTTAATTTCAGGTTATCGGTGACCAAGTGAGGTACGGATCCGCGAATGGTGTAGGCTATGCATGCTGGAGTTTGAATCGTTTTATTCTTCTTTGCGAAGTGGAGCGATCCACGACGAAGAAGTTGATTGGGTTGCTCCAAGTGAACTTTAAAATTAACCGCGCTGGCCATCCTCTGCATGAGCTTGTTGTTCCCTGAACCACGAAAAAAGACAAAGAGGCTGGATGGGGCAACCAATTTTTTTGACAGCTTCGCCCTCGGCCTGTTTTCGACTGTGTGACTTTCTTTTGCCCATTCCCGAAAAAAAAAAAGGATTCGTAGGCAAATTTGCATGAATTGGCTTGAAGCGTTTCCCGATACTTATCTAAAAGCAAGAGGAATAAAAGCATTACAACCGGTTGTTTCTGAACATTTATTGCCATGATTATAATTAAAAGAAACTTGTTTCTTGATGACCATCCACATGATCAAATAAATTATCGCATCCATAATCAAAAAAAGTGGCTAAAAGGAGGACATCTCATCGAATGGACCGCTGTATTATCCGCTGCCAAGGCCAAAATGCGCAAGATGCGCCACTTATAACATACCCTATCACCTGGCAAACATGTGAAGTTTCTTGATTTATGTATTGTTTATGGAACTTACAACGGTTGAAAGATGTGATGAAGCCCGGGATTTATGGTGTTGATTATCCATTCGCACATATTCAAAGTGATAGAGGATGCAACGATCACGTATTGTTTATATTACAACTTTTTTTTATTCTTTGTACAATAAAATATTACATTAAATAGAACGTTTAAAAAATGGATAATGTGTGCTTAGTCCTTGCGATGAAGACCTTTTTTAGCACGACGTTTACGCAAGGTGCCATTGGCGACTTTTTCTTGTCGAGTGACCCGGCGCGATCGCATCTCTGAGTGCCGATTCCGGTAAGAGTCTACCGCACGCTGTATCAAACCACGACGACCAAATAACTGCTCCTTGTTAAGCCAACATAAGATCCAGCCTAGCTTGTTGCACGTGGTTTCATAATCCCAACGATTGCCGTCGTAATCTTCTCGGTCCACATTGGCTCGAGGATAAATCTGGAAAAATCCAAAAAAATGTAGAATGACGGATGTTAAGTATCTTTGAAAAATAATACAACGATGGTTTATGGTAGTTTTCATATTTACCGCATTTTGCAGACGGAATTCCATAGGAATATCCTCCAAAGCAACACTGTCAATGTCCGTCCGTACAGTGTATTCCTTAGCAATACGATCGTGCGAGTAAAGGAATGTGATGTATTCGATTCCATCAATCACGCGAGCCACCGGTTCGTGAGCTGAAAGCGAGACAATGGAGGCTACGGAGGGATGCGACGAAGTACGACGTCGATACGTGTGGGGTCGGGACCGGTAATGCTCCGCTGAAGATCGTTGCTGTTTGTTTAGACGTGCCGGTCCTTGCGTCTGTTTCGCATTTTGTGAAAAGTAGCATGGTGAGGTAACGTTGCTGCTATTGCTGGAGGACGGCGGAGGCGATGCTTCCGTGGGAGGACGAAAATCCATGGGGAAGGTTCCCATGGCTTGCAATTCTGCCAACGATCTTCCCGGCGAGGAGACGGGAGGCGTAGGAGGCAACTGGCCAGCCATGGATGACAACGTGTAATTGGACGGCATGTTGGACAAGAAATCCTGGGGCTGGGTCATCATCGACAATAGGGTAGATGCTTGCGGGGTGGTATCCGCTGACAGATTCGTGGGGCTCCATTGATTAAAATCCAAAGGCTGCATTAATTGCGACGCCGAAGGTTGACCGAGGGCATTGTTGGCGTCGAGAGGCCACAGCGACGGATTCATCATGGCCGAAACGTCAAGATCGCCCATGGGGAGCTCAAAGGCTGCTGCCAAATTGAGATCGACCGCATTGGTCTGAGTGGCATTCTCCGTTTCTGGCCACGCTGCCGATCCAAAATTGAGCTGATCATCGGCAGCATGGCTTGCTTGGCCTGTCAATGCATCTGGATTTGTCAACAATGCTTTCATGTGTTCGTTTGTAGAATCCTCCAAAAAAAAAGCGATATTTGTTTACTGTTCGAAACAAAAGAAACCAAACAAAAAATAAACACCAAAAAAAAAGATCGCCCCAACAATTATGCGATTGTATAAACCGAATATAAGACCCAATGCACATGAAACAGAGAAACATGAAAAAAAAAATTACCTGAATCTCGGATGTTTGTTTCGTAACTCAAACACAAATTCGCCGCAGATCGTCACCATCCATTCCACCGTGCACCGACGAATTTTATGGATTTCAGCACTGAAGTATGATCGTCAGATCCGATGCCATTGTTTGTTTACTGCCGATCGTATTCATCTTGTCGGAGATCGGCACAGGCGCAATTCATTGTTGTCAATTAATGCAATGCAGTTTTTTAAGCTCGGTAAATATCCCTTTGCGTACATTAAAAAGCCGGTCCGCCACTACGTACTTTTGCTCTCATCGCACTTGACACAAACATTTACTGAACATCACCATCGTATTTGTATGAATAAACTTGTGAATACAATTGCTTTTTACGCAAAGAAAAGTTTCCAAGATAAAATACTTTATTGTAACGTTGCTCTGTTGGCTTTGCGTGTTTATTTTACTCCCGGTCAAGTATCATGAATTCTTGGCTGTTCAGATGATACCAATAAAAGAAGTCGGATCCTTTTTAGGAGAAATTCATGCAGGCACCGTCCAACGAGCGTTGTGTATGGTGGATGTTCTAGCCAGTGATTTGTTTTTTATGACGTAAGAAGATCCAATGGACACGATGATTTTCACCATGTTTCAGTGCAATTATTCGCCTATTTATGCAATCATTCTCATTTGCAGCCAATCTGTCAATTAGTCTTTGAATCCTCCGAGCTGATTTTTTCTCTCATGAAGTCTTTACGATGTCATTGTTTTTCCATACATTTTGTGGCCAAAAAAAAAGTCAAAAAAGCAACGTGACACAGCACGTATCAAGAATGGATCGACCGCACACCATGAAACAAAGCAGTTCAGCAGACCGTCCATGTCACAGCACGTGAGATAATTCATTGTCTACATCGCCCAGAATAGAAACGCTTCATGGTTGACGAGCGACAACATTTTGGGAAATATCAGATGGTGTCGACAGTAATTTAGTGAGTTGATCCCCTTCAGCTCTTGCAGGACCCGTTATCACGTGCAACGCGTCGTTGATCAACGATGTTTTAACTTGACATGATCACACCAATGATGGCTTGCTCGAAGATAAGCGATTTCATATGTTTTGAGATTTCAATACGTGGTAGACAGAAAGTGGCAATACTGAAAAATTGGGTACATGGCACTGCATATCAAAGCAACCACGCGGACAGTGATATAGCACGATAACTCTACATATCCATTTTCCCCAGGCGTATGAGATTCGATGAGATCTTTGATTGTGCAGTCTTTGACTTAAAGTATTGTGGATGCTATAAAAAATTACCATAGCTAGTCTATACATTGTAGGGTCGTCGGTTCTTAGCATAGCATTTTAGGCAGCATGACAGAACTTACAAGAATCCGCTAAATTGAAGTTGCCTCTTTTGGTTGAAATATCATGTTACGGCCTTTATGGAAGGCTTACATATTATAACGTCTATACAGGAGGGCATTCTATTTGTATAGATACTGTTCGCATCTTGAGTTGGATATTGGTATTTTGGCAATCGACACACCATGTGCCCTGATCTTTTATAAAAACGGTCACAATTTTACTGTACTCGAATATCGTTTCGATGTCCGATTCTTTGCTGCATATCAAGTTGGGAACCTGAAATGCCAACGTTCTATGCCTGTTTCAACCCACAAGTCAGGAAGGAAACTCACGTCGACGATCGTCTGAAGTGCTGTGAGCATGCTCGCAAAGTCTGTGTAGGTCAATGGGTGAAAAAAACAAGTGGATACTTTATTACAAACGACATGTAAAAAAAGGGTAAAAATAAAGCTGACCCCCCCCCAAAAAAAGAGAACTGATTTGAGTGAAGTCTTTGCAAGATCTTAAATCGAAAAGACGTATTTTTGCTTATTAGTATACGCAAGCAATATCCTTTGTTTGCCCTTGCTAGCCCTGCTCTCCCTTGCTATGTTGGCCGCTGCCTCTTCACTTATGTTAGGCGGTAAATTGATATTTGTGGACTGCCGTGAGCCATCGCTGTAATCTATGACTGAGATCGGTTCTTCGTTATAATGGCTCACTTCGTCCACCAAGCGATGTCTGCGGTGATAGAAGATCATGTCGTCAGGGCGCCAAACGAGGTCCAAGAACTCTCAACGGAATAGCCACCTGCCAATCCACTGTACACTCTCGCATCATCGGGTGCTCGCGTTTGGGTCAACACATCCGCAATTTATTAGTGCATCCGTTCGAACGTTGGCTTGAAATTTCTGCAACATAGTTTTCATGTGTCTGTGAAGGCTGGCCAACTCTTTTGCCCAATAAGCGACACGTTCAAGAATCGCCTTGGTGGACAATAAACATCGTGAAACTCAGTTACCACAAAAGCCAATGAGAACTTGAGTGTCCCACCGTGTCCCAAATGTTAATAACTCGAGTTATCCATGAAAAAGGAAACCATGGTTTTTTTTTCTGGCTTTCTATTCGTTTTCGATCTTTAAAAGTGCTGTTGTGAAGCTACTCCACATGGATAATGCTTTGGTATTCAAAAAAGTTGGATGAGGGACGGGTAAACGTTTAATGTGGGCAGAGCTCTTTTTGAAGAAAGGTGGTTGATGAGACGACAATTTGGCGTTTTTGTAGCATCATTTAGTTTAGTTTTGTTCTCAGTTATACTGTATATGTCCTTTCATTCTCTTTCAATTTTCAATGAATCGAACAATACATAAGCAGACGTGCCTCGATCTATGAATTCATGCATCAGTGGGGTGACTATCGTTTCATCCATGGAAATCCACATATATTTTGTCTTCTTTCTTTTCTTTTTCTTTGGTTTTCTCCTCTATCTTCTGTTTACTGGGATAAAGTCTCACTATCATTGCATCCCCTCGCATTCATCATCCATCATCCAGACTATGGTTTACCCGCGTGTATCTGTAACCAGTCAAGTCAATTGAAATATCAAAAAGGTATGTTTTGTGTGATGTGACTATCCATTCTTACAAGAAAAACTTATCTGTCCTTTTTCTCTATCCTTTCTTTAGCTTTTGGTTTTCTCTCCGGTTTTCTTTTCGTTCTGGCAAGCCGTCCATCCCTCCAAATCTTTCTACTTAGTTCGCGCACCCGATCCTGTCAGACCGATTGGTCGTCGACAGGCACCGTCGGTGGCGTGACTCCATATTTTCATCGGAAAACATTTACTGCCCTCGGACCGGTCTAGCCATCATAGCCTGGGGCGCGAAGAACGGAGGAGGTCGATAAGTGCTGCTTTCTGCATCTACCAATGTCACATTGTACCCAAAATATTGACATTATATGCCAAAAGTTCTGCCAAGAGTCCCGTCCAGGCTATACCCCTTAGTGCTTTAGACTTTGTCTGGCGAAAGTCATTCAGCGAAGCAATATACCCTCCAGTAGTGGGCGGCATGAGAAGTGTACAACTTGTTATAGCTACCCTACACATTGTAATAAGCATGCTGGACATCAAGATCCGATTGACTTGAATGCTACCAATAATAAGCGTGAAGTTGGTCATATATAGAACGAAAAACGAAGAACTTTGTATTTACAAATTTATTCGAAGGAAACAAATTTAAGCACTTGATCTTTCGCCACAGAAAGGCAGCATTTAGTCTTCTCCTGCATGAAGAAGACTGATGAAGCCGAAAGCAAGACAAGAGTTTGGAACGGAATCCATCGGCAGCGTCTACGTTGGTTTGTGCAAGAGCACGCACCAACACGACAATAGTTCCCCGGGAAACGTTCAGATATTTCTAGTTTTGTTTTTGAGCAATCACCTGTTCGGATGTCTGTGCCTGCAGAACCTCCGAAGCCTGGGGGACGAACATATTCCCAAGTAACAGGACAGTGTCCGCCTGGCAGAACCGAAGTGGACAACCGCCACCTAATAAAAAGAAAAGAATTAATAACACTCTAATGCTAGTGGATAGTCAATGAGTACTTACGGGCAATTTAGCTTGTAATGAAGCCTCAGTGGCAAAATCACTAAACAGCAGCGAGCGAAGAGCGTTACTGCTCTCTACAGATAGCCAAGACCGAGCTTGACCGACTAGGACCTGGGCAACCTCCTGCACAAATATTTTTGCAGTTTCCTTCGCAAACGCCAGCACGGAACAGTAATTTCACTGAGGGCTCTACGATACAGTATCAGTCCACAAATGACCTTTGTTTAATGGTTTCAAATCAAATAGCGTGTCATCGCAGGCAGGGATCGCGTTTATGGACGCTATCACTATGGTACTCGGTGTTCTTTGTTGCACCGTCCTTTACTTCTTCGAAAACGTCGATCGGTTGATCTATCAATTATGAGCTCTTGACGCATCTTTCTTTTAAAGGGGCCAACAATGCGCCAAATATTCAGAAGATCGGACCGTCCGAGTTTTTTTTTGTTCGCAGCTTGATTTTGGCATGGTGAGCGAACCTCCAGTCACGTAGCTGTTAATTGCTCCTCTTTCATTCATTCATGGAGCCGACGCGTCGCATACATATACCAACACCCAACGCCACCAACTTCCCCACTCTGTATACCATCTGCTTGGCCATTGCAACTTCCGATGAGGATGTTCGAGGCCAAGATTCATTATTTCGTTTATCATTCGATCCCTTTGTCCTGGACCTCATCAATCGAACATGTAGCCGAAAAATATGGAACAAAAATCTTCTGAAAGCTATAGGCAACAGCCATGGTGACCATCTGCGGTACCACATGCTGGAATGGTCCGTCTTGGACATTCGTCCTGATCGTCCGTTTTACAAGTCAAATTTGTCACAAATCCAGTCGCTCAGCTCGTTTATCACGCACTTGAATCTCCGTAGTTCTCGAGTCCAAGACGACCAGTTGCACCATTTATCAACTCTTATCAATTTGGTCGGGTTAACCTTGGATCAGACGGGCGTAACTGATGTCGGTGTTGCTCATCTTCGAAGGATGACGTACGAAGGACAACAGACACTGCAACATTTGGAATTGCTGAATCTGGCGGGTAACAGTGGGATCAGTGATGTTTCGTTGGTGTATATCAAAGGGTTTCCTTCCTTATTGGCGGTGGATCTATCCTGCACAGATGTTACCGAGACCGCGCGTATCGTTCTAGAAGGTTGTGGATTCGTTCGAGTATTTTCGTCTGAAGCAATTAATAGTCACCGACGGAACGCCGCTGCCTATCATCTTCATACAAGGCTCGATTTATTGCAAAGATCTGCGTTGCCAGATCGAAGTACGCCAAATGTATCATCCAAAAGATATCTTGATAGTCTGCGGACTACCGGCAAATCGCCCCCCTCTTGCGCTTGTCCCGCAGCTGAATGCTTCAGACGATCCACAGTTCCTCCTACTTTGCATATCAAGTCACCCACACCATCAAGCAAACACACTTTACCCCTCCGTGCACAGCCACGCCAACCAACGTTGACATTTGTTTCACTCTGTGAAGCTTTTGATTTTTAGCATGTTTAATTTCTACTTCCATACATACAGACAACACAAGCATATGCATATGTATATACCGTCCTCGCATCTTGTTTCTATTTATCCGATTGTTATACTGTATCATACTGTAATATTTTGCACCGAAAGTCAAAAAAAGTTCACGCTTTATGCATACTCTATAAATGAGGATCTATGGTCTAAAAATGTGGAACGTGACATGCCTGCATTGTCATATTTACAATGGCAAATGTGCCTTCCCCCAATACAAATCCACTGGCAATGATGATGATTAATATTTTTCCCACTTTGTTGCGATAGCGATCAAAAAATGACCCGATGGAAGACATCGATTCCTCATGGTGATTGTGTGCGCCATTGTTACAGTATTTATCCCACAAATGAGCCATGACTCCGCCCACAACTCGAGCTAGCGTGAAATTAGGCGGATTATACATGCCAATCGCAAACGCAATGCCTTGCGGCAAGTACCGATGCCAGCGGGCATCCGAATGTCGTTCCTTCAGCCACGTTAAGCAGGCAAACAGAACGCCAAATGCAATGACAAATTCCATGACGTGCGGAGGAAGAGGTCGTCCGTTCATCAAACGTGCCATATCCAACCACACTTGCGCTGTGGGTACCGGAAATTCAGGACCCGGGATCGTGTAGACCAAAGTGTACAGGTAGTAAGCCCCTGTTTGCGGTTTCTACATGTCAGCAAAATAACCAAAAAGCATCCGTGGATGGGACACTCACCGGTTGCAGTGAAAGCACTGACAAATGAACCGAGCAATTGGCCATAAAATTGGGCCTTGGGTGACGCGCGTAGGAGGTGACCTGTTTTCAAATCTTTGGATACCAAAAATTGCAGAGATTAGAACATATCTTTAGCATCGTTCTTTGCCCAAAAACTCTGCTGAATCTTGATAATGTACCTTGCATGAGATCACCCGCTTGTTGAGATCCTGGGTTAAAAAAAAAGTCATAAGCCTTGAGACATGATTTTAACTGTGTTGAAGCATAGAGTAACTTACCAGCTTCGGCGATTGCTCCAGCTATAAGATTCGCTACAATGTTGCCCGGCATAAAAACCGAAAACAGCACCTGGCTAATCTTACCGATACCGCTCACCTAGTTCAAGAAAAAAGTCAATGTCAGTACAACCGAGAAAGCCAGTATCGCTTTTTCTCCCACTCACAGGGTTCAAATCCGTCTGACCGAGAGCGCGTACACCCAAAACACTCAATAGCATGGCCAGTAGTATAGCAACCACGATCATAATAATGGGCAATGTTTCGGTCCCGAATAAGCGTGCCACGACATAGACACACAATCCAGTTGAAGCAATCAATCCTCCTATAGTGACTGGAAGCGGTACAAGTTGATGAGACGGGGCGTCATCCTCTACGTTTGATATTTGACCATCGGATACATCCACAGGTCTTGTTTCGATCACTTCCTCAGGAGTATCATCACTCTCATCATCGCTATATCTTTCTGCGATTCGCGTAGCTTGTGCCTCAATGTGCTCCACGTCCGTGCTATCCGTCGTCACTCGGATATACTCGGTATTGGCCGGCCGGTGATGGCGTCTTGCTTGGATTGATTGTACAATAATGTCACCCAAAGAAACGAGCGACTCAGCAATCATCACGCTTAATGATATCCAAAGGATCCAACCTTTGGAACCTGTTTTCCAGTCCCCGACAGGCCCTGGTGCCCATCCAGCATAATAAGCAATCGGTGACAAGACACCCCATCCAACGCAACATCCGAGCAACATGGACAAGGTTGTCGGCAATCCCTACAGAAAGGCCGGTACTGTCATCAATACAAAATCACAACCCATGCTACGCTTTTGTCCTGTCGCTCACAACATACCATGATAATGCCTTGGCCCATATAGCTCAGACTGGGTGTAAAATACCATTCCCATGAACGAAAGTCGATGGTATCAAAAACAATCCAGTTAAAAATAGGCAATGCGGAAATTACCGGGAAAAAATAGGAAAGTAATGTATACAGGGAGGAAAGAGAAAAAGATGCCGCCAGTGCATGCAATTTGAGCGTCCAGCGCTCTTCAAGGATGGCAGCAACTTCACTAGCGGTTTCGCTTGAGGTGGTAGTGGGGGCAGATTCGGGGATTGAAGGGCTCGGCATGGGTAAGAGAGCCACAGACCATGGTTGATCGTGGAAATATATGTCAGACGAGGAAGATCGACGAGGAGGTCGATTCGATTGAGGTGAACAGGGCAATGATGCGGCTTGCTCTTGGTCAGAAAATGCGGAAGAAAATTGACGCTGTCGAATGGAGGAAGAAGATGATGATGAGGGTGAGTGACGTGGTCGAATAGTGGAAGAAGGTTGTTGGTGCAATAGCTGAATCATCTGAGCTGTGGCGGTGCCTGAAGGAAAACGCAGTTTTTCACGTATAATGGTCTCCTTGCGCAATGGGATGGCAAAGAACACACCAAAAAAAGCTACACCCAAGGACCATAAGAGCAGCTGGCTAAAGGAAAGCACAATCGGGCCGCCTGGATGATCCTCTTCAGTCAACAGACCCAAAGCGGGAATGACACCCACAAATCCTGCAAAAACACCGCTTAGTGTCACCTTGGATGCGTCGTTTATTTCCGACTGGAAAAAGTCGTTACCTGCTGCCAAAGGCATGGTTGCCGTGGCTACGGCAACGGTTTGCAACACCACATTTTCCACAGGACTAAAACGAACTTGAAGTCGAGACTGAAGAGGTCTGAATATAGCATAACCCAGCAAAGACGCTTGAAGTGACATCATTGATATCCAGCCGGTTTGCAGTCCAAAGTACATATTGGAGAAACATATCACAGTGCCTATCAATAGCCCAACCGCCACTGCACGTAGCTGCGTGAAACAAAAGAGGAAAAGCGTAAGGATTGACCCAGTTGAACAGCAATCGTGGAGCTCTTAAAGTTCGTCTTTTACCGTAAAGTGATGTTCGTGGCAGCCATCGTAAGAAAGTCCAGCGTCAGACGACACCATGAGCACACTTGCAAGTGGGCTTACAAAAGGTAGCAATAGAAATAGGAATAATCTTCTTTAAAAAGAGAAAACTGCTCGCTCTATTGTGCTCTAACGCTCGTTGAAAAGGTAAGTGAAAGACACGCTGTGCAAAAAGGGCAGCGACAAAGTGGCATCAAGTTATTTCAATCTCCGCGTTCCGAAGAGGGTGGCTTTTTCCTTTTCCAAATTCGCTGTAGCAAGGGGCCCTTTTTTTTCTCAGCACAATTTTTGTATAGGCTCTCTTCACCTGTCATGTCCTTGTTAACATCGGTACATGGTCTACTCAAAAGTCAATATCATGTGCGTCATACTGATAATGTCGTTAATGTTTAGGTCCGAGTATTGTCCACAGTTCCTCGTGCAGTTCATCAGAATGCTGTGCGTTCTTTTGCGTAAGTGATCTTCCACTGCGATGCGAATGTTGTTAGCTTGTGGCAGCAATATAACCTGACCATTCATTTCCCCTTTATCCTACAAAGATCGCATGCTCAGAATGGAGAATCAGCAACTTCAAAGAAAGTAGTGTTGGACTTGCCGACTCCTGAAGCGGAAAAAGCCGAATTAAACGAGATTTATCAAGGTACCTTTCGACATGAGGTGATGCACAGCCTATCTTTTTTATAAACTCATATGTTATGTTTTTTTTAGCGCCTGAACGTGTTGAACCAACACACAACATCCCCGTCTGCAACTTACAAATGAGAGGTTATTTACCTCAACAGCTCGATTTTTATTGTGATTTTGCTCGTCGTGCTGCATTCCATCTCGGTATGCCCTGCAGTGGCACCATTCCTCTGCCAACTCAAACCTCGCGCTGGACCGTCATCAAGTCTCCCTTTGTTCACAAGAAATCGCAAGAAAATTTTGAACGAAAAACCCACAAACGCTTGCTTCAGATCAAAGACACACATCCTGAAGTCGTCGATCGATGGCTCCGATACCTGACCATGAATGCTCCGGCCGGTATTGGATTGCGTGCCACCAAATTCGAATTCGAAAAGCTTAATACTACCAAGGCGACGGTTTCCAAGGCCGACCAACAGTAATAAAAGCATGAATAAAAAAGAAAGGAAAAGCATATTTTGCATGTACACATACGAATAAACAGAAACCTGTATAATTTGATAGAATATAATGCCCCGCCGCTGTTGCGGTTTTTACGGTTGATGCGATTTGTCCATCGCATATTACAAAGTGAAGCGAAAACCCCAAAGCAGGTTGCTCGTTGAATAACAATGCAATGGTCACGTTAATTGAATTTGCTCCAGACCAAAACGTGAATGTCATGTTGAATACGGTTGTCTATGCAAAAGAAACACATCGACTTGCCAAGAACAGCAACAAACAAGGGATCACAGGCGATGATGATACGACAGAAACAAAAACTTGTCTTTTTTGATTTTTCATGATACAAAAGCATAGACAAAGAATACAAATGAAATTGAAAATAAAGAGAATATAATAAAACAGGGAAAAGAAGGAATCAATGCAGAAGAGAGAAAAAAAAAGTGAGATATGACGAACATGCAATTATTGAAGATGATGTTGTTTTCTATAGGCCTGACACTTTCTCTTGAGTTGACCCACGGATTGCTGGTATACATTCAGTTCTTTATCCCAAAACATTGCCTCGTAATCTTCACCGTGTTTCTCAATCAGCTTGGCAACCCAATCTTGTTCAAAATGCGTTTGACGTCTCTCCTGGACAACGCCGTTAGCGGCTTGTGCCTCCAAAGCTAAACCAAAAACACATCAGTTTCTCCTGAATGCAACTGAGATACCGCATGCCGCTCCTAGACGATCACTTACCGCGAACAACATCAGTCTTTGCCTCGACAGGCGGAACCTCTTCATCAAGAATTTCGTCGTGGGTCTTTTCAGCTTCGCCGACAATGATGCGGACAATGTTGCCTTCATCGTCACGCTGAATTAAACCTTCGCCAGGTTTCAATGTCTTGCGCACCTTTTCAACATCTTCTTCTGTTAATTCCTTAAGATCCTCCTCGTCAGTCGTCTCTGGTTTTTTGTCGGGAAACAATTTTTCACGACCACCGGCTGTGCCATTCAAGGAGGTAAGCAATCCCAGTTTTTCGTAGCTAATTTAGAGGATCGGTCGTATTAGTAAATACATTACTTTGGTGATCTATCAGAATAGTGCTTACTTTTGTCGTAACGTTAATTTCTTGTCCCAGTTGGCCTTGATAATGGCATTGCCCTGCAATAGAACAAAGAAAAGCGTTTAATCGAAACAAGAACTATCAAGCGTATCGGTCCAGCCATCGTTGTACCTTGATGGTCACTTTCTTCAAGTATTTATTTGCAGTGCGTCGTGTGTTTTTCGAACCGCTTCGTTGCTTTCTTCTCTGCTGTGGAGTCGCCATGAGTTATTCGATGAGGGATGCTGTTCTGATCAGCTTTGGGAAATGAAAAAAAAAAAGTAAATGGCTCGAAAAACGTGACGGTTTATTTGCACGATCACAAGTTTTTGGTTCAGCGCTGTGCGGAGACAACCGATCCAAATCCGTCCAAGACGTTGAACTTGGCACGTTATGGCTTTGACAAGCAGCGATCACAAAACGCTCTTTATTGGCGTGCTGTCGGGTTCAGTAGCCACTCTCGCAATTACTACTGCCACTTATTATTATCTATGTACCAAAAATACAGACACTCAGCCCGGCATTCTGCAGACATCGTTACCTACACCGGACATTGTCGAAGGTGTGGATGGTCTCATTGGTAACACACCGCTAATGAAAATACGCAGTTTGTCCGAGGCCACAGGTTGCACCATTCTGGTAGGTTGCTGCACATGCATACATATTCTAAATTTTCGTTGACCGATACTCACTCTCGTGGGGCATTATAGGGAAAAGCAGAGGTAAAATTCTGTGACAAGAACGTCGTCACGGTTGCTTTTTTTGCATAGATAACCTAACCACGACGCGATAGTTCCTGAATCCTGGTGGTAGTGCTAAAGATCGCGTGGCGTTGAATATTATACGTTCGGCTGAAGAAGCTGGGATTCTGAAGCCGCATACGGGAAGTACGATTTTTGAGGGCACGGTGGGATCAACCGGAATTTCAATTGCAATGATTGCTCGGGCCAAGGGTTACAAGGCGTGGATTGTCATGCCCGATGACCAAGCCAAGGAAAAGTATCAGCTCTTGGAAAAACTGGGAGCCACGGTAGAAAAGGTGCGGCCCGTGAGTATCATTGACAAGAAGCAATTTGTCAACCTTGCTCGAGAACGCGCCCACACTTTCGGTGAAGGCGAGACCAAGGGTTATTTTGCAGATCAGTTTGAAAATCAGGCCAATTTCCAGATCCATTACAACACGACCGGACCTGAATTGTATCGACAGTCCGGAGGCAAGATTGATGCACTTGTTCTGGGAGCAGGCACCGGCGGCACTTTGTCTGGTTTAGCGTGTTACTTGAAACCTTTGATCCACAATCTCAAGGTTTTCTTGGCCGATCCTTCAGGCTCTGGTTTATATAACAAAATCAAATTCAACGTCATGTACTCTCCGTACGAGCGAGAAGGCACACGCCGACGTCATCAAGTTGATACTGTGGTGGAAGGTATTGGTATCAACCGATTGACCCGGAACTTTGATGTGGGGCGACATTTGGTCGATGATGCTTTCCGTGTCACAGACGAAGAAGCAGTGAAAATGGCACGTTACCTCGTACGCGAAGATGGTAAGCAAAAATTCTTGGTGTCTAAAATAAAGATACTGCTTCTTCAGAATGACTGATGTTAGTCTTAGGCCTGTTTATTGGAAGTAGCTCGGCTGTCAACTGTGTCGCTGCGGTTCGAGCTGCCAAGCAGTTGGGTCCTGGCCACGTTATTGTAACACTTCTCAATGATTCTGGACAGCGGCATTTGACCAAATTCTGGTAAGTAGGACGTTTATTGGCGAGGGTGTGGGCGTGGGCAAGGGGGAGGAGGAGGTTGCATGAATTGCATTTCGATGCGAATGATCCCATATAAATAGGAGTGATGAATATTTGGCGTCGCAAGGTATCAATTACGAATTGAAGCCCGACGAAACCGTGATGGATTTTGTTTGAAATGTCAATATGCCAGTTAGAAAACCTTTCATACATGTATATTTTGTTTGCAACTTGGAACCGACTCCTTTTTGTACTTTTTTTTTTTTACTCAATGCAAAGACAACATCAATCATTGTGGCACAAATTACCAATAACATAAAGTGTTATATGATGGCTTCCATCATAGCCATCTGTTTTTATTTTGTTTTAAACGCAAGAAGCAAGCTTAGAATATTCATATGAGATCGCCATCGTTAAATTGTAATAAATAGGAGATACCGAGTTTGCTGATGCTGGGCATCACAAAGAACTTGGATGCTCCAGATCCATTATCCCAAGGCAGGACAACTTCTTGAATGTCAACCGCAGGGTTGCAACAGACGACTTTTGGGCGCAATCACTTGATTTTGTTGGTGGTGTGGCGGACACCACCTGGTTCAGGTTGCTTGTCGGGACAAGAACCCCACGTTGTATCGGTCAAAGACCGTCTTTTCGGATGTGGCACCATCAGTTTCTCTAAGCATGCCTTTTGGACAGTTTACGTACCGATCTCACTCGACTTTCCTTTTTGATTTATGTAAAAATCTGCCTGATTTTGAAAAGCACGCCCAGAAGCAATTGACGCGGCAGCCCCAGAAAAGTGATTCTTGGTTCAGATGGGTCTCTTTTCGCGTGGATTGATGCCGACAAAAAAAAACAGGGCAATCGTAACAGATCAGCTCAGGGATCAGATAATTGACCATGGGATTCAATGTAAAAAAGATGTAGTAAATAAGAGACAACAGAGGAAAGAGAAGACGTCAACCGAAACCAAAAGCTTGCTTTCTTTTTGGCTAATATCTTGCAGAGTTGAAACAATGGAGAAAAAAAGGAGACTTTTTTATCATTTCCCTTATAAGTGCCAAGATTGGATGATCCTGAACAAGGCTTTCGAATCTGTCATTTTTTAGTCAATGCATGGAACTGTTTTCTTTCACGTTTATTTCATTTCTTTGACGCCGTCAAAAGTAAAAGCTTAGGTGTATTTTATCAATACATTGTTCATTGACAGCTCAGTGTGTCGGTGTAACCGCACCCGGTTTTCGTTCATAAGATGACAAGAGATTTACATCAGGTAGCAAGTTCCATTCGTTCTTTACATTAACGCGGGTACATTCAATTCTTCAGGAGAAAAATTGCGCCATACAAGGCAACCGGAATGGAGACATGAAAAATCACATACGTCTTTGTCTTTTGTGCCCTATAGAGGAAGATACAAGTGATTAGTTTTGGCCCTTGTAATTTAAAAAGGATTGCACTATGGTATCTACTTACATGGTGGCCGATTTTCGGAAGGTTCACCTGGAGGTTCTTCCACATAATCCATTTCATAGTCATTGTATGCCTGTGCATCTGACCATTCTGTATCCCAGTTCTCGTCAGACTCGGTTTCTCGTTTTCTTTTGCCGGTAGTTCGATTGGACGCATCACCCAATACAGTATCGCTCGACGATCGTCGTGTTGTTTGGCTGGTTCCACCAGTCTTCATAGGGGCGTCGCTTCCGTAAATATGCTTTTTCATCCAGTTAATCTTGTCCACAAGATCAGGGTTCTTCTTGTTTACTAATTCCGCCAAGTCGCTGTATAATCTGATAGAAAGATCTTTTTGCATTATATTATTTGACACTTCGGCCATTTGGGCACCAGTCATTCGTAGGTTCTCGGTATGATAGCTCGCGCAAAAGCGGGCGTATGTGGCATCGCTGGTATGCGGAAATCTTCCCAAGTATCTTTGTTGTGTAGCAGCGATGATATTCAGCATTTCAATTTCAGCGGCTTGCATACGCATCTGTTCTTCCTGGTTCGTTCTCTGTTCCTGGAGGCGTTCCATATAAGCTTCGTAATGATTTTGGGCTCTTTCAGCTAAGCACTTCTGGTAGTCTACTTCATTATTCTTCTGGTCGTATTCTTTTTGTAGAGCCGCGATCCGACCATCCTTTTCTCTGATGATATTTTCCCGTGCGACAATCCTTTCTCCGAAATACGAGTCTTGCTCGTCGAAAAGCTGACGTTGACATTGAGCCAATCGTGTCAATCGGTCCACTCTGGCTTTAGTGCGATGCATTTTCCTAGTAGAATTCGCCAACTGGCCTCGGAGAGAAGCCATTTCCTTTATCGGTCGGGTTGCGGCTATTTTAGCTCGCAATTCTTGTATGTCTTTGTGGACTTGTTGCCTGGTTTTATGCAAATTGTTATCGGTGCGTCGGAGTGTGTCGTTGAGCTGATTTGTTTGGTGGTTCCAACCATGGAAGAATTCTTGCGACATCTGAACTCCGTTCTGTTTTTGATAATCCTGAATTGGCAATGATTAATCGTGATTGTCTGTACAGCGCGCTGAAATAGAATGAACAAATTACCTTGAGTTTTGCTTTCAGGTTTTCGACGGTATTTTGCACGCCATTGATGTAGTTATCGCGATCAATGGGCGCATTCTGGCGCACGGAATTAGTAATGAATCTGGCGATAGTGCTATGCTGAAGAGTAATCAGAGTGTCTTCCTGATGAGCAAAGGCGGTTGAAGCGGTAGCCAGAATGCATGTTTGGGTGTGACCACCCAATTCGTTTTTGAGTAACCATGTTAGGTTGTTATGTCTACAAGGCAAAAACAAACAAAGCAAATATTAGTCTCACGATGTTGGACAACTAACAAACCAGAATAAAGTATTGCGGTACAGTACCTGTATTTATCGGTAGAACCAGAGGCGGCGAGTTCTTGGATTAGATTTAAAAGGGTCAATAAGCCCTCGTTAGCAGAATCGGTTTCGGGTTCAAGAGTATAACCGGGATACTCTGAGCGGAGAATTTCGGCACCCGCAAGATCCACAAAGGTCAATTTGCCGCTTCGAACAACCGTCTTGTCGTCGACGGTGTCTTGAATAAACAGTTTGATAGTAAAAAAGCAGTGACCACGGCTAGGGAAAAAAAAAAAGAAAAAAAATTAGGTTTCGATTCATTTGATAATGGGTGCGCACTAAAAGGACGGCAATGAAGCTACGCTTGCTTACTTTGAAAATTCATGCCAGCGTGTGCCCGCAACAGTGCGTTGAGCCATGCCGTGACGAAGAATTCGGAGACCTTCCTCGGCAGAGCGAATTAAGGGTTCGTGGCATCCCAGGACTGTCACATCGGAAGTGGTTGGATCTTCATGAATCTCTAAATTGGAGTTATGAGCGGTGAGCAAATCGTAGAGACCATTGTTGCACAGCTCAACAAGGGAAATTTTGACATCGGCATCACGATGGAAGATGCGCAAATATTCAAAGAGCCAGTACAGGGCTCGAGGGATCATGCCCGCTTCGGCAGGACAGGTGGAAAGTTCTTGCATATTTCCCTGAAGGGAATAGCTAACGTGACGAAAACGTGGGAGTTAAAAATAACGCGAATATAAGGTTATCTGATGTGTTACTTAGGCCAATCATAAACTGTCACTTACGATTTTCCAGTACCGGGTTGTCCGCAGGCGATCACGGAACAGTTGTAACTAAATTAAAATAAGAAAAATTAGTCACCAGTGAAAACGCATACAATGGAGTGATTGGCCGTTGAGTTACCCCTTCACGATTTGTTCAATCATGGGTTCGGCTACGTGACGGAAAACGGACTCTTGAGAAGACGTGGGATCGAAAACACGATCAAAGCCAAAACGTTCTTCATCGGCGCCGAACAGGACTTCCTGTTCAGGGTAGTAGGGGTTGGCCTTCAAAGCAGCACGAGCATCGGGATTGTCTCCATGGGGATTACTAGAAACCAAAAGTCAATGAAACCAGAACAGTGAAGCCATGCGCGGCATTAGTGGAAGGGCAATTACCAATAACGGAGGACGACTTGAATATTCTTGGCTTGTTCGACCACCTGATGAGGCAAAGGCACAGACGCAGAGAGCCATGAAGGCAAAGTCAAATTTTGGAAAGTGTTGAAAACACGACTGGTGAAGGAGTTGTTGTTGGAGCTTTCGCTGTTAGAGGTGGAGGAACGCTTAAAAAACCACATGATAACGGTAAAAAATACGAAAAAGAATAAAGAAGTGGGCGATTTTCGCGTTTCTTGGCTGTTATTTACTCAGCAAGAGGGTGACCTCAGAAAAGTGTCGTCATTGACTGCTCACTGATTTTTTTCCTTTAACCATTTCATGTCAAAAAAAAAAAAAAAAAAAAAAAAACCTGGGCAAGGGCGGAGAACCACAGAATCACAGAATCACAGTTGCATTTTGTCGGCCTTGGAAAACTCTCAATGCTGCAGTGAGCAGATAATGCCCGACAAAAAATTTCGTCAAATCAAGCTTACTATGTCACTCGCAGATAAACTTATCTTCAGATGCCATCAGCCATCATATCGTCCGACTGAAAAGGTAAACTGCTCTCGGCCATAGATTCTGAACTGGTTGGCCAATTTGAATGTAAAGACAAATACATTGAATTGTCAGACGATACTGATGTCTCAAGGGCGCTATATATGTGGGGAGATGTGCCTGGATCAAAGAATAGACCATAAAAGCATCACAAAATGACAAGCGGTCTCGTTGTTACCACCCCAGGGAAGAAAAGGCCGAAGTGTTTGTATTTCCCGCCTCGCATCTTTCTCTGATCCCCTTTGTATCTGTATCGGGACATGCTTCATAACTTGAAATCTAATACTAAAATCAAAAAAAAAAAAAAAAAAAAAAATTTGTCCAGAGATTTTGCACTCGGACTTGGCCATTTGCCAGATATAATGTTGGTGGAGATTGTTTAGGTGGATGCCGTTTATCAAAAATCAATGACTCAAAATTTACCAAAGTCGAGTAACTACGGCTTAGCACGAACTTATCAGACTACACCAGCTGCCTGTGACGAATTGAACATAAATCAATCATCAAGGTGTTACTTCTGAACATCAGGCAGTGCAAAGAATGAGTGTATAAACGATTTACAATTCCTAAATTATGCCTATGCATCATAATAAGAAGAAGGCAAATGCAATATCGTGGATAATTACTGTATCATAAGTTTCGCCAATGGTTTGCAAGATTTTACCAAGTTTACATCATTTTCGAGGAAACAAACTTAGACAGGGATTGAATGGTAAGTTGAATTCATATCTTGCCTCCCCGAGCATTTATAAAAGAATAGTGGATAAGCAAAATATATGCAGAGAGACAAAGACATAAATAGAAATTAAGTACCGTATATCGACCAGTGTAGTACGTACCTTAGTTGTGATGGTAAAGGGAATGGCATACCAGGAATTTCGTAGGGATACCCGTGATGGCGTCGGAGCGGGAATTGAACTTACCGTCTTATTCGTTGGCTGGGCGACCTCTGGCATCTGGACCGCGGAGTTGAGCCCGGAAAAGCACACTCAAGGTCGGCACACTGTAACACCTTCCTTTTCTCCAGAGCACCAAAGGTAATGTGGATGGGTGTAAAGGATGGCGCAAGAAAGATGTGAAATGGATGTGGAGATGATGAAAATCAATGGATGGAAATGGTGGATGGATGGATGAACTAATTTTGACTATGGATAATTAGTCCATCATGGAAGCTGTTCAAACTTTTGGCCGCAAGGTGCGTATTTCACTAAAAAAGAAAATGAGAGTTTTTCATTGTCTTTAGCATGAGGGATTTTCGTACGATATTTCGAAGCAACTGCTGGCAACGGATACTTTTACGTTTTCGCCATTTACGAGTACCACATGATCGCATCACGACGATTTCATGAGGTTCATTTCGAGCCCAGTTGCTTTGAACATCGTCGTCATCATCATCGATGCGCTTGCTTTTTTGCATTGAAAGACAAAATGAAATGAAAACCATGGCATTGAAAGTGTTGGATCCAGGTATTGACGATTGCTCTAAACCCTATAGAAAACCGCCACTGCTGTTGCCCACTGCAAGAAGGGTCGTGGCCTTATCCGTGTCAACGGTTCTCCTCTTGAACTCCTCGAACCCGAGATTTTGAAGTTCAAGGTCTACGAAGTTGTCCTTCTCCTTGGTGAAGAACGTTTCGCTAACATCGACATTCGTCTCCGTGTCCAAGGTGGTGGTCACACTTCCCAAGTCTACGCCATTCGTCAGGCTCTTGCCAAGGCCGTCGTCGCTTTCTACCAAAAGTTCGTTGACGAAGCCGCCAAGAAGGAGATCAAGGAGATCCTTGTCCAGTACGATCGTACTCTCCTTGTTGCCGATCCCCGTCGTTGCGAGCCCAAGAAGTTTGCTGGTCCTGGTGCCCGTGCTCGTTACCAGAAGTCTTACCGTTAAACCTATTCTTGGCAACCACACACTTTTGGAAGCATTTTCTTTCTTCCTGTTGTCGTGGATACGTTTTTCCTTTAGAAGTGATATTCTTCATTCATAAAGAATCAAAACATGAGTCTTTTTTCATGTCACATAATCTTGTGTTGTTGCTATCTTGTTGCACGGCTGCTTATTGGAAACTGGAACGACTGGCGCTTCAATGTAAATTGCAAAAAAAGTGGTAGTTGTAAAAGTACGGCGCGGAAGATATACGGATTATGAGATGCGGGACAGATATATATAGCGTGTCGTTCCACAGGGAACCCGACAAACTTGGACACCAAAATTTTCATATCTTGACAGGCATTACTGTTACAAGGGCGCGTTTGGTTACGTAAACGTCAAGGCGGTTTTGTTGGATTGCTTGTTACAGACTAAATCATTGTAAAAGCTGTGAATGGCAAAAGGAAATCTGTTTGATAAGAATGACTTGCACCTTTTTTCATCTGATAAGAGTTGCGCGGATAATTGTCCAAGGATTGCTATTGGTTTTTGACGTGAATGACAGCTGCCGATCCGCATTTGAAAGGATGAATGGAGGATTTGAAAGTCAGTATAGTTCTCCTTGTCCGTCAATTTAAAAAAAAAAAGAAAAAGTGGTTGTCGCTAGGCTGAACTTAATTCTTTTCAACATGGATGAGAAACGTGTGGTTCGGATTGTCTTCAAATCACTTCTCCTTGATCTGATTTCCTTCACGATCATTCTTCCGTTGTTCCCACGGTTACTGAATTACTATCAGATTCAAGAAGGTGGCAATAAAGTGAGACGATCCTTTCTCATTTTGCGCTTGTTTGGTGTTCTTTAACGTTTTCTTGCTCGGGATAGGCTACGCTACTGGGCCACGCGTTGCAAGTACTTGAACAATACAAATCATGGATCAGCGTCGCGCAAGTCAAAGGGTCCAGCAAGTGGGACACGGTGTTACTCGGAGGTCTGTTGGGATCGCTGTTCTCTTTGCTGCAGTTTCTTGTTTCGCCTCTCATTGGACGCGCAAGCGACCGTTTTGGGCGACGCAAGGTTTTGTTATGGACCATGGTAAGTAGGAAGGAGTCTCCTGTACGTTTTCTAAAGCTTTTGATGACACGATTCTACGTTCAGATTGGCAATATCATGTCCACGGCTATCTGGCTATTCGCGCGTTCTTTTGTCGCGTTTCTCTTTGCTCGGGTGATTGCAGGTCTCAGTGAAGGAAATGTCCAACTGAGTATTGCCATTATTTCGGATATCACCACCCCGGAGCGTCGATCACGCAATCTTGTAAGTCATAGGATATAGCTTGTCTTACTCCGTGAGCTGACGAATCAAACTGTGTGTGGGAAAATGGTAGGCGTTTATCGGTATAGCATTTGCTATTGCGTTCACCTTTGGGCCTGCTCTCGGTGCGTGGTTTGCTTCATTTGACCTTACGACAGTGTATCCGTTTGTGGAAGAATGGGGGGTCTACCCTTATTCAACCCCGGCTCTGGTGGGGCTCGTTTTACTGCTAGTGGAGACCGGCTATTTGTACGCATACTTGCCGGAAACCTTCCGCCATCGACATATGAATAGCAGTGCATCGCGTTCATCTGCAAAAGAGTCGACGGAACACGACAATACGGCCACCCGGCTTTCAAATCTTTGTTATCTAAACGCAGTGCAGTGCATTTATTCGTTCCTATTCTCTGGCATGGAGTTCACGCTTGTATTCCTGACCTTCGATGTGCTTGACTACACTCACATGCAACAAGGAAAGCTACTGGGATTCATGGGCATTCTGTCGGCTTTAATTCAAGGCGGTTATGTACGACGCCGAGTTCAACGTCTAGGTGAAAAATCACTGGTCATCCAGGGCATGGTGGCCTGCGCTATGGGTTTAGCCGGTTTATCCGTGATGGCGATGGTTCCAACTCACGCATCGCTTTATCTGTACGGCAGCGTGAGCTGTCTCGCCTTTGCTAGTGGCACTGTAGCGAATTGTCTGACCAGTCTTGCGAGTCTTCAATGCCACGAAGGCGAGGAAAACGAACCTAGGCTTGCCAAAGGTCGGGCGTTGGGCGAATTCCGAAGCTACGGTCAGCTGGGTCGTGCCTTTGGCCCCATTTCAGCGTGTGGTTTGTACTGGATGATGGGGCCCACGTACTGTTACTGCACCGGTGCAATCGCTATGCTGCTCACTACCGTTGCTACCACGGCTGCTGTTCCCGTGCACAAGCAGAAAAAAGCGTAAACTGTCTTTCTTGTCAATGACAGATTTTCAGACATAATCAGCATATATCACTGTATCTATGGTTATTCTTCAAATTTCACTGTATCATTCCATTCCCGTTATTCCCTGGTCGTCCCCCCCTTCTTCCTCCTCCTTTTCTATTCTCACCAATGAACTCCTTTACAGTTGCTTCTAGAAGATTACGCAAAATAGCTAGTTTAAATAGCTAATGACATTACACCAATTGTCAGCGTAAAAAAGCGCTGAACATGGATGCTTTGCTTTAATATCTACGATTACTTTCTGATTCTAGAATAATCGATTTTGTATGGAAATTCCAATAACCATCGATTCATATGATTGAGGTATTCCTTCTTTGTGGACCGCGGGTTGACTCCAAAATCAAGTGGACTATGTCTGTTTCTCTGCGTGAGATTAGATAGCAGGAAACGGAACGGAACTGTAACAAAATCAATGGAATCTGTCTGCTTCAGCGTATATTAATATGTTTGGAGATTTTACGGACGGATTATTGAACGAGCTATTGTCGTGATAAAATATGAAATTTTACTCTCCTGCCAGATGCACCAGCAAATTATAAAACCTTGAGTGAATGGTAATGTTTCAGGCAGGAGGCAATGATGTGAAAGAAAATTTTTTTTTTCTAACTCGCCTTGGGCACAACGGTGGTCCGTGTGAAAATAAACCAAAAAGAAACTTGAAAAAAAAAGTAAAAAGTTCACAGTTGATGACACTTCAGGTACTACAGCAAGTAGAAGTCTCTAAATAGTGCAAAAGTGAAGTGCAATATGTTTATGGTTTCCGTTCATTTAGGTGGATAAAAGGGCTTTTTTTGCTTCCTGATAACTCATTATCATGCATAAGGAACATGGCATAATAACCCGCTATGCATTCAGGGTTTACATTGAACCCTTGTCTTTTTTCATCAAAAAGAGCACTGTGATTCGGTGGGAGCAGGAGATTTCCATGGATTCACCAATGGGCGAATTTTCAATGTCAGCAAGCGATACGTCATCCCCAAGCTGTTGTTTTTTAGTGCCAGCTCGCTATTTTTTTTTCTTTTGCTTGTTTGACAACCAGAACACCAATCCATCACCTGTGATTTTTGCTTTACCATGGCTACTGTAAGTGTCTTTTAATGGACGTGTTCATTTCGGCAGAGTGAGGAGTCTTTATGCAGAAAAAGCGACATGAGGACGGTAAAACGCGGCCAGTTTTTTTTTTCCTTGGTTCTTTTTTTTATTCGTGTGAGCGGACTTGGTCGCGCTCAGTTCAAGCTCGTCATGACGAGGTGGCTCCGTTCATCATCCAGCTTTTATACATTAACAGTCTCCTTCTGCATCTCACTCTGCTACGTTTATTGTACGAATGTAAGGCTAATGGGCCATTTTTGTCAATATAGGAGCGCGATAACAATGTCTACATGGCCAAGCTCGCTGAGCAGGCCGAGCGTTATGACGGTAAGTACTGTCGTTGATGTCCTCCCTTCGAGTCCCTTCCCAAACAAGGAAACGTTGAAGAAGAGCGGTTTTATTCATATATATATATATATATATATATATATTTGTGCCTATTTTGAACAGAAATGGTTGACTACACCAAGGAAGTAGCCAAGGTAAAGTGCATGCTCACTTTTGATGTTCGTCCTCCAACCATTTCCTAATTACTAATATCATTTATCTACAGATGGGTGTTGAATTGACTGTTGAAGAACGCAACTTGCTCTCTGTGGCCTACAAGAATGTGATCGGTGCTCGCCGTGCCTCTTGGAGAATTGTTTCTTCCATTGAACAAAAGGAAGAGACCAAAGGCAACGCTTCTCAGGTGGAGAAGATCAAGACTTACCGTCAAAAGATTGAAACCGAACTTCAGGATGTCTGCAAGGATATCTTGAACGTCTTGAACGAGAACCTCATTCCTAACGCTGAAGGTGGTGAGTCCAGAGTCTTTTACTACAAGATGTAAGTTTCTGAAACATGGAAAAAGAATTACAAAGAAAAAAATTTGCTCATCACGCCATGATTTTTTTTATCTCAACTTTTATAGGAAGGGTGATTATCACCGTTATCTTGCTGAATTCCTTACTGGCGATGAACGTAAGAATTCTGCCACTCAGGCCCATGAAGCTTACAAGCATGCCACGGATATTGCCCAAACCGAATTGGCTCCCACTCACCCCATCCGTTTGGGTCTTGCCTTGAACTTCTCCGTGTTCTACTATGAGATTCTTAACTCTCCCGACCGTGCTTGCCATTTGGCCAAGCAAGCCTTTGACGATGCTATTGCAGAACTCGATACCCTTTCTGAGGAATCTTACAAGGACTCCACTCTCATCATGCAATTGCTGAGAGACAACTTGACCTTGTGGACTTCGGATCTGCAAGAAGGTAAGCCCTTGAATACTTTAATTCAAAACGGGTTGACTGACGATGGATTCTTTTTGTCTTTTAGATGCTGACAAGGGCGAGGAAGCCAAGGCTGACGAGGCTGATGAGTCCAAGTAGAGAGAGCGTTTTTTTTAATGAATGAATAAATTTGGAGTCGATTACGTTCTTTCTTTTCTTTTTTCTTGGGATTGGGAAGTCAGTATTATCTTTTTGTATCGATCTTTTGGAATACAAACATTTGGCAGATCTTGGTATAACTTTTCAAACATGTTTTTACTGATGTAATTCAACGATTCCCATTAGATAGCCGTCTTTTGGTTAGTTCCAAGATGGGTGAAATATGTTGATAAGTATCTTCTGTGACTTACCGGAGCATCTGTTATTGCTTTAGAAACGCCGAAAGGTGTATGTGCTCTATGCAGCCATCGCCAAGAGGGTTTATTTACGGCCCTTTTTTTTTTCCCTGGTGATGCGGGGCCGCAAAAGTACAGTAGGACATTCAGAATTGAAAAATTTCAATTGCCGTGCTTGCAGGTCTTCTTTCTCGCGCATAAATATGAATTGCGAGGCTCAAGTCTTTGATGAATCACTCCCAGGACAATACCATACTTCCACAGTACCGCTATCGCCAACCAATGCAAAACCCACTACGGCCAAACCTCCTCCCGAAGAACCCGTCTTGCCCAAATTAGCCAGCGATAAAGACACCATGCACTTTTCCAATTATCGTTTCGTCATGAGCAGCTTCGAGCTTTATGAAACGAAAACAGTAAGTCTGAACTTGGATAGTTTAAGGCGCGCAGGGTGCCTGTCTGACCAAACCAAATGTGTGTGGTGCGGTGGTGCGGTGGTGAATAGAGATACTACCTTGTTGGAAGCAACCGATCGAGGCAACGTTTCCGAGTATTGCAGATTCATCGAACCAATCCCCAAGATCTCGTGGTTATTGAAGACGATGTCGTGTATACGGAACATGAAAAGAACAAGCTGCTGAAGATGATTGAGGACGGCAACTTGTCGGTGGGCGGATTGAACCTGGTGCCTATGCAGATATACGGGATTGTGGGTTTCATTCGGTTTACCGAAGGGTGGTATATGATCTTTATCACCAAACGGAAACAGGTGGCCTTGCTGGGCGGTCACTATATTTATCATATTGATGAGACGCGTCTTGTCCCCGTTGGAAATCATGTCAAGATCGATCGAAACTCGGACGAAGCTAGGTACTCTGCTGCTGGTAATCTCTCTCCATGCCGTTTTGTGGTTGTGCTCATCATAGTTTTATAGATACATCACCACGTTTCAAAACATTGATTTGACAAAGAACTTTTACTTTTCTTACACATATGATATCACAAACACACTGCAGGTTAATATGACCCAGCCTCCGTTGGAACGCAAAGGAGCCGAAAATGATCCGTCCATCGGAGATTATCACCCGGCGGAACATAACGATATGTTCGTTTGGAACCATTATTTATTGAAATCCGGGTTCAAAGATCTCACCAGCCGGAGCGGCTGGATTTTGCCCTTGATTTATGGGTTTGTTGATCAGGCGAGTACGTAAGAAAGCAACAGAATGATCCTCTGCTTTGCATTGACCGTCTTTTTTTTTTTTTTTTTATTCATGTAGAGATTTCGGTGTTTGGACGAAACATTATCATTACTTTAATTGCGCGTCGCTCCCGGCACTTTGCAGGTGCCCGCTTTCTGAAGCGAGGTGTGAATGACAAGGTGCGATTTTTCTTACAAGACTGCCTGGTCGTGTCGGATCTGGGAAACCCAAATACTGATCTTTTTTTGGCTTAGGGTTTTGTCGCCAACGATGTGGAGACCGAGCAAATCGTAGCCGAGATGACCACTACTTCGTTCCATTCTACGGATCAACTGTTCGGAAACCCTCGTTATACCTCGTATGTCCAACACCGTGGGTCGATTCCCCTAATATGGTCGCAGGATACAACCAATATGTCTCCCAAACCGCCGATTGAACGTAAAGTGATATATTTGTGGGAGGGGAAAAAAACTATTGACTGATCCATTATATTCACCCTTTCCTTCATTGCAGTTAATGTCGTGGATCCCTTTTTTTCCGCAGCCGCCTTGCATTTTGAAAATTTATTTGAACGGTACGGGACACCATGCATTGTGTTAAATCTGATCAAAGTAAGTGTTACGACAGGAACAAGCGATAGTACCCTATCTGTTGACAAAGTGTACAATCCCTGCTTTTGGTAGCAAAAAGAGAAAACCGAACGAGAGTCCATCTTGGGTAAAGAGTTTGCCGAAGCAATTGATTACCTGAATCAATTTCTTCCCCAAGCCAAACGTATCAAATACATCGCATGGGATATGTCGAGAGCTTCGAAAAGGTAAAACTTACATACTACGTTACCTGTCTTCTTTTTTTCTTGCTGATAAGTTTGGTTACGATCCACAATTCAGTCATGATCAAGATGTTATCGGGTATCTTGAAAAGGTGGCGCGAGAAATCATGGAAGAAACTGGCCTTTTCCACAGCGGTCCCGAGCCTTATCTCAATGCCATGAAAAGAGACCCAAAGTAAGTGCTTGACTTCAAAAGATAATTACAGCGTCATTGTCTCGTTTGCTCAGACCACTGTCGAAACAGACATCCATCTGATCGACGCATGTATTTGCGGCAAAAAGGTGTGCTTCGTACGAATTGCATCGATTGTCTTGATCGTACCAATGCGGCTCAATTCCTTATGGGAAAATGTGCTCTGGGAAATCAGTTGTACGCCCTTGGTGTGATTGCTTCGCCCAACGTGGACTTTGATTCGGATGTGGTAAACATTTTCACGGAAATGTATCATGACCACGGTGATACTATTGCCTTGCAATACGGCGGTTCCCATCTTGTAAACACCATGGAGACCTACCGCAAAATTAACCAATGGACGAGTCATCCCCGTGATATGATTGAGTCCATCCGTCGTTTTTATGCCAATGCATTCTCGGGTAAATTTTCGTGCGTCTCGCCTGTAGAAAGCTATCATTTTATTCATAACTTATTTTTTTCAACAGATGCTGATAAGCAAGATGCAATCAACTTGTTTCTCGGCAACTTTGTCACCAAGGATGGCCAGCCATTATTATGGGAACTAAATTCGGATTACCATTTACACAACCAAGATCCACGCGTCAAACCAGTCCGTCGAGAGTGAGTTCATGTATAAGTGATACTTTGCTATATGTATTGAGCAAAAACGGTCTAGCTATCGAAACTGGTGTTCCAAAAATGTGCTGAATGCTAAAAAGGAAGAAATGGATCCCAAGTTATTCGACATCCCTCTTGCGTGCCGTGTTCCTGCACTGGATCCCGATGAAAGCGATCCTTTTCAAGGTTACTGGGTGGAATATTACACCCATCATCAACTCACTTCGCTCGATCAGTTGTTTGCCTTTAATATGAATGGCACGCTCAAGTATCGCCCACCTAAACTGGCATCGCATACTCGGGATGGCAAAACAGAGTAGGTTGCATGAAATAAGGCAGGCATATTCTCACATTAGACTTATCTTGCACCAACTTATTGTCACAGATTGACTAAAGCAGAGGCGCTGGAGATCAGTCCTTTCACTGTTCGTTGTTCACCCAGTAGCAGTCGAAACCTTGCTGCAGCACGCGCCCATCCAACCATGACCACTGAGACGTCAAAAGAAGAGCAAGTGATGCGAAGCAAAGACAAGGCGTCCGCTTGGACCATTGAAGGCATGGTCAAGCGCAGTCTGGATCCTACCATCACCCACTCTGAACATAAAGAATATCGAAGGTACTAATTGACTTTTTTTTTGTCGGGTGGTGCATTAAGGAGGGATCATTTATTTGATGTTATCTAACAAATGCCGTCCGAATAGATATACCCAGCAATTTCGCAGTGTCGAGAAATTAACGATATCCCATGGTGATCAAAGAAGCTATGCCAACATTGAGAGCTTTCCTGAATATCAGCAATACCTGAATTACATTCACCGTAACGCGCCTGATGAGCATCCGTCGGCTCTCAAAACGCAAAGTATCGATGAGCAGGTTTATAACACCTATGTTGATATTCCTCGTCGGGCCGCCGCGGCTCAATTTAGCCGAGAATGGAGCTCAACTGCTCGCAAACGGTACGAAGGCTATCTCATGTATTTGCGCACAGGACGATACATGCAACAACCTTCTTCCGTGCATCCTTCAACTCCTTCCCGACAGCCTACCACTTCACTGCAAGACAATACTATAGTCGCCAATTCAACTGCCGCCGCATTACTTGCTTCCCGAAAACCATTGGTTTAATTCACCCATTCTTTCTCCTTACTCCCTCTCTCTCTCTCACTACACACACACCTCACACATATTTTTCAATCCATATTTCCTACAGTCGACTCCATCTTTCTCAATTATATTTACTGTTACTCATGCATTAAACAGTAAACCTGCCTTTTAAAACTGGCGATCTTTTCAAGTCGGGCATTGTGTCCAATAGAACTAGTCCAGCAACTGGTCTTGAACCACTTGATCATTGCTCAAAACCAACTGACACTGGATGAAACTTTCCAGCAGTAGTAAGGAGCGATAGATTGATAATGATCTAGCTTAACCATTCCAGGCATTCAAAAACGGTGCCTTGGCTTGGCTCGGCTTGACTTGGTTTGGGATGGTGGGACAAGGCTGAAACCTGCTGGATTCCCCAGAAACGGGGAAATAATATTTAGCGAGTCACCCTTTGGTTGTCACCTTCTATTGCAGCATTCCTTTTCACTTTTTTCCCTTTTCAATTGGTGCATTGCATTCCAACACTGTTCTGCGCTTGTTTCTGTTTAGTGTGGCCCGTCATTGAATAATGTTTGAACAATTGCGACTGTAAGAAGCAAGTCTTGCTCACGAAAAGCTTTATCAGTTACTGAATAACTGTCGGGCGTCTTTCCAACGTATTTAGACACATCACAAACGACGCCTATGTGTTCACCCCAATGTACGAACCCGCCCAACTGGCGGTGGCCTCTAACAAGTCTTTAGATACGCTTACCATTCATCGGGATTCGGGGGTCATGGAGTTAAATGGTGAGTAAGCATGCACTGTTTTCGTTTAGGCTGCCATAATATATTAAACCCGTTCGGTAAAGCTCCGCCGCTGCATAGTACAGTGCCACACGACCTTGTTGTGTATGGCATCATGGGCTTTATAAATCTTCACGCTGGTAAGATGGAGATACCCTTGGAAGTAACGTTCAGTGTCGCTCACAAATGGATAGGTGAATACATGATCGTGGTAACGGAACGGCAGCGAATAGGTTCGTTGCAAGGACATGATATTTTCCAAGCGACATCATTCAAGATGCTTCGAGTCCCACGGAGCACGACCGGTCTTTCCGAACAAATGTTGCAAGATGAGGAAAGATACATACACATGGTAGAAACTCATCTGCAGCAAAATGCATTTTATTACTCTTATACCTATCCCATCACATTGTCTGTGCAACGTCAGACAAATGCAGATCGCACTGCCCCATTATGGAAACAGGTAATCATTGACGAGCATGGGATCTTACACCACTTATGTACGTCTATTTCTGACATGATTCCCTAGACGGATGACCGGTTTTTCTGGAACCGATACCTATCAAACAAAATGATCGAAGCTACCATGGATTTATCCGATAAAGCAAACGTAGGTTCTACAATTGGGATCATGTGACGGTTCTTTCGTTCTGTTGGATACACTGGCACTCATTTTGCTCCTTCAGTATGACAGTTTCATTCTGCCAATGATTCAAGGATGTATGTGCGCTTGCCATTAGGAAATTGATGAAACTTGGGCAATAACATGGACGTTTTGTCATTTAGTTGTATCTATTGTAACGACCATGATCCATCAGCAGGCTGTGACGTTTGGTCTCATTAGTCGTCGATCACATCAACGTGCGGGAACGCGATACTTTTCACGTGGGTTAGATTCATCAGGGCATGCCAGCAATTTTGTCGAAACCGAGCAAATCCTTTTGTGCGATCAAAAGCATCCCGTGGGACCTTACAAGACACAGATGGCTTACGTGCAAACTCGCGGATCCATGCCGGCATTGTGGGGTCAGACTCCAAATATTCGCTACACACCGCGACTTTGGCTCAATACAGAATTATCCGACAACCATGTATGGATTAAAAACAAAATTGGGTTTCGTATCGCTATGCCCATCGGTCACCTTAACCGTATGTGTTGATATATAGGTCCTGGAGGCATCTCGAAATCATTTAGCGGAGCAGATTCGTTTATACGGACCTCAAATTCTGGTCAACTTGGTGAATAAGAAAGGATACGAGCTTTCGGTGGGACAATTATTCGAACAACTGGTACAGGCACTCAATGATCTCGACTTGTTCTATGTTCATTTCGATTTCCATCACGAGTGCTGCAACATGCGATGGAACAGAGTTCAACTTTTGATTGATCAATTAGAACCTGAATTACGAAAGCAAGGGTAAGGGCTACGTCCTTCGTGATGATATGATGCACTTGACCATGTGTCTGATGTGAAAAGCGTATAGTTACTGCCATTTGGATATGTCGCTGCCTGAGGATCCCGTGATTCGTCAAATACAGTCGTCCGTTGTCCGTAGCAACTGTATGGATTGTTTGGATCGCACGAATGTGGTTCAAAGCACCCTGGCAAGATGGGTCTTGAACCAGCAGTTACGGGAAGCTGGCATTTTGCAGTCGACCGATGTTATTGAAAACGATATTCGCTTCATGACTATATTCAGAGAAGGTACGTCGGAAAAAAGAAAACAAAAAATGAGTGATATACACGATCCAATTAACTGTTGAACGGTGTTTTAGTGTGGGCGAACAACGCGGATGCCTTGAGTGTCGCTTACTCTGGTACAGGCGCTCTGAAGACCGACTATACAAGGTATAAATCGAAAATATGGCATACTACTACCTGCGAGCTCGAAAGTTCCTCATGTGCTCCTTCTTTTTTCCAACTCTTACAGAACGGGCGTCCGAACCAGAGCCGGTGCCTTGCGCGATTTACAGAACTCTATTATTCGTTATGTAAAGAACAATTATCTAGATGGCTCGAGACAGGACGGCTTCGATCTTGTTCTCGGAAAATACAAAGTGCCCTTGGCCTCATCCGTTGGTGGACATCGTGAAAGTCCGTTTGCGAAACAAAAGCCCGTCTCTGTGCGTGTCGTCCCGGCTCTACTCCTGCTCTCGTTTGGCGTGTTTCTATTTGCCCTCTTTTTCCCAAGCGGTATCAATATCGCATCCACCACGTTCTACGTCATGTTTTTGGCGCTGTGCTTTGCCACTATTCTATCCACATGCCACTTTATGCTGGAACATGGCACACAGTACGTTGATTGGCCGAAACTGATCAATATTGCCCCTGTGGCCGATATCGCCACCGCGGCTGAACCGAGCATCACCGTAGTCACCAAACGACACCCCTTTTCACTGTCCTGGCGACATAAGCGAGACAGCACAGGAATGCTGGACGAAATTGAACAAGGTCACGAACTGCCAACCTTGAAAAAAACCACCTAAGACTCGTTTGTATTGTTATTACTTATACACATGTTTCTCTAGTTCCCTCTGTATATATTTTTCTTTCCTTTATGGTTAGCCAACCTTTCCTATAGAAGGTTAGATCTCACATGATAGATGTTTATGCTTTTTGTCCCAAAAAAAACACAATTTTTTCCTTCTTTTGAAGATAATCTTGTAGACAACCTTATCTTGTAAGCAATTTGCGAATCGCTTGGACTTGACTTTTTTTTACTGGTTATTGAATAGCTGATGACTCTGCGTAATGGCATTACAGCTCATCCCAAGGGCAATGTGTGGTTTCTTGTCACGGAGCACAGCAGTTATGTGATTGGCGCCACAAGCGAGGGACTTTTACTGAACCTTCATTGGGGAGGAAAGCTCACGACGATGGAGGGACCTTGGACGGCAGCGGTTCCCCCCGAACGCAGTTCACAAGATCCAGGGTTAACAGCCGCCACGGAGGAATTTCCTGTTTTTGGCGGTCTTCGCTACGGACTCCACGCGCTCAAAGCCGAGTTTACAGAGACGCACACACGAGAACTTGATTTGATGTGGACAGGAGAAGCGGTTCAACAAGGCACGAGTTTACAGTTACAGTTATGCGACCGTGTATACAAGGGATTCTGTGTTTATCTGCATTATGAAGTGGATATTCAGCATGATATCATCCGACGATGGACGAGTGTCAAAAATGGAACCAAAAACAACATTGAACTGGAAAAAATCATGTCCGCCGGATGGCATCTTCCGCCTACGTACATGAAGCGTGAATTGGTCACGTTGGCGGGCGAGTGGTCTGCAGAAACGCAGGTGCAAGTGCATTCACTTCAACCGGGTCTCACGCAGACCATAGAAAGCCTGCGGGGGATCCCATCCGCTCAAGCCTATCCGTTTTATGCAGTCAAACAAGCCAATCCCGAGTCGCAGGAGGCCGCTGTGTACTTTGGCACCCTGGCTTGGAGTGGCAATTGGGAGATCCATTTGAAAACCGACATTCAGGGAGCCACGGTCATCACAGGAGGTATCCATCACAACGATTTTAGTTGGACGTTGAAGCCTGGTGAAACGTTTGACACACCTTATTTTGCTTGCGGCTATTCCATCGATGGACTTTCGGGAGCACGCCGTCGAATGACTTCGTTTACGAAAACCCGTCAACATGCTGGCCATTTGACGAATCCAGTGCTTTACAACTCTTGGGAAGCCACCGGGTTTCACGTCACGTATGATAATCAAAAAAGGCTGGCCGAGTTGGCAGCCACCGTTGGTGCAGAACTATTCGTAGTGGACGATGGATGGTTTTCGGGACGTCGCGACGATCATGCTGGGTTAGGCGACTGGTATCCTGACGACATCAAATTTCCTCACGGACTACGGCCGTTGTCTGATTATGTCCATCAACTGGGCATGGACTTTGGACTTTGGTTTGAACCAGAAATGGTAAGTGGCTACCGAATGGAGTATAGCAATACAAAAAGAAACTGATCAATCCCATCGGCGTGCCTAGGTGAACCCAGATTCGGACTTTTACCGGAACAATCCAGATTGTGTATATCATTATCCTGATCGTCCGCGCAGTCTTGAGCGGAATCAACTGGTATTGGATTTGACGCGAACCGATGTACAGGAGTATCTGTTTGACCGCTTGAGCAAGCTTATTGATGAAGTCAACATCGATTATATTAAATGGGATATGAATCGACCCATCTCTGAAGCGAGCGGATTCTTTACAGCGCAAGCGTTGAAACGCAATCCTCGGGAAATCTGGGTGCGTCACGTTCGAGCTTTTTACGGTCTGATTGAGCGGTTGAAGAAAACCTTCCCTTTGCTTCGGATCGAATCCTGTTCCAGCGGAGGCGGACGAGCGGATGTTCAGATCATTGAGTATACAGACCAATGTTGGACAAGTGACAATACGCGACCCGATGCACGTCTACGGATTCAATACGGGGCATCGTTTATATTGCCTCCAAAATGCATGTCGTGTTGGGTCACTGATATGCCGACGGACGAGTCGCTGATGCCTTTGAGTTTCCGATTCCACGTTTCTTTTATGGGTACGCTGGGTGTAGGCGCGAATCTGACCCGCTACACTGCAGACGAGCTTCAGCTGGCTTGTGATTGGATCTCGGTTTACAAATCTTTGAGGTTCATTTTGCAACATGGTGTTATTGATTGGCTTATTGCTCCTCAAGCATCGCAATGGCAAATGATGGCTAGTCAAACCTATTTAAACGATGACGAAAGTGTGGTTCTCGTGTTTCGAGAACAGAGTCCATTTTGGCAACCCATACCTCCTTTACGTGTACGGCATCTGGAAGCGTCAGTTATGTATACCGTTCAAATATGGCATCAAGATCCTGCGGCCGCTGACATATTCAGTTTTTCCGGTGCCTTTTTGATGCAAAAGGGGTTAGACCTGCCTTATTTGACACGCCATGCCTACAGCAGCGTGGTCATCCACATCAATAAAAGTGGCCAAGGGGGTTCCCGGCGGGAGGGACTGAACGGTTAGGAGCTTGGCGTTTATTCTTCCATCTTTTCGCTTCTATTTTATTTTTTTTTTAAAAAAAAAAGGGATCCTGCCTTTGGTTTTTCTTTTGCTGCAATGTATCCCTGACAACCCATCGTCCATATCATCGTGCAAACGAATCGTCACGTGGGAATGTTGGTTACCGTTACTAGGTGGAATGACAATAAGTTGTCTTTCATAGTTTGGACACTTCCCCCCCCCCAAACCGTATAACATGTTGAAATCTTTATAATTGGCCTTTAGCTGGTCTCGGTTTTTTACAATAATTGATGAATGCTTTTTCTATTTCAAAAATAAAATAAACGAAAGCAGGGCATAGTTTCAAAGGTCAAGCATGAGTGATAGTTATACTATAACAAACTTTTGTCAAGCAGTCATATAACTGGTAGGTTTGCTAGGCCGTAGTCATTCGATGCATAGGAAAACGGCGCCAAGATAAAATATTTCAAGATTGAAAATAACTGTATGCCAAGTGGGGCATGATTCGAAAACGTGGTATCCAGGATGGACAAAACAAAGTTCAAGGAAAGAGAAATAAAGGAGAGAAAAAGATATATAATCACAAAATGATAAACATCAGTAGCTAATTACTACTAGACGAGAGAAAAAAAAGCATGGCAAATTAACAAAAAAAAAGGAATTGATGTTACATAGAATGAAGCAAAAAATAATAATAATTAGACTTGTTAATAATATTGGAGTTCACTGTTCGCGGCGGTTGGACATATGACCTTTTCTGCAAGAGACGGGTGTGCCGGATCGGACGATAGTGTTGAAGACAATGAATCCATGGAATGAATATTGGCATAGCAGTGAGTGGAGGTATGCAAAGTAGAGGTGGTGGATAGCATGCTTGGAATATTAGGAAACGACGTTGGCGAAGCGAAAGGAGAAATGATGCCCGAAGATAGCTGAAACGGTAGTTGGTTGGCCGGCAAGGCGGCTGAACCTGGATGTTTATACCCATTATTTGCCGGAATCATGGCGTACGTGGGTTGGGAGGTAGGGGGTGTTTTGGGAAATGGCTGATTCCATACGTGGTAGGAGGGTGAAGGCAAAGGTGTGGTCTCTACGGAAGCTTTGTGTAACGGATGCGGAGGGTAGATGGATGGCATTGATCCTGGCGAGGATCTGGCTCCAACATGAGGCAATGAATACCTAGCTTCATGTAATTCCGACAAATACTCTCTGTCAAGAAGCGACAACGTCGGAGCCGAAGAAGCATGTGGTAAAGCTGGCATACTGACAGGAAATCGCATATGCGATATGCTGGATTGCGATTGAAGTGTTGCGCAGTCGTCAGTATTAGGAGGCGTTGGCATAGAATCGGCTCGAACATTGTATCGCATGTTGTAACCTTCCGACACATAATCGGACGTCCCCGTTGTCAACGAAAGAACAGCAGTTGAAGGATATCCTCCATTCATCGTTTCCAATGGCGATCTCGATACCGAAACATGATGGAAAGTCATATCATGTGTAGATGCAGACGATCGTCGACGCGTGTCTGGTCTTTGATCTGTGAACAAACAGTTAGAAACGATGAGAGGGAAATGGGTTTTATCAAAATAAAACATCGTCCACTTACAGAATGGTAGGATATCATGCGGAGAGTTCAGTGACGATGAGAATACGGGCGTTGCTGAATCGGGCGAAGACGACATGGAGCTCCTTTTGCTGTCGTCAAAGGATGCATTGGATTCGATATTAAGGGGAATACGGAAGGTCTGTCGCATCAGTAATTCGGAGCTTATTTCTAGGCACGCCAATTCAGGAATAGAGCAAGGTGTTCGTAAACGGTGGTTGAGCACATCCTCTTTGGTGTAATAACTGATTAAATGTTGAGCGGAACCGTTCACGACGATACTCATTGTCTTTTTAATGAGTCCGCCTTTCTTGAATTTGTACGAGTTGGTGAGGGAGCCTACCAACGCGCGCTCGCGGTTGCGATCAATGACCGTATTCTCACTGTGTCGGCTATGCCCAGTGGAGTGACGACGATCCACCGATGCGCGTTTGCCGTGACCTGTATCGCGTGCATCCAATTCACGGTAAATCAAAAAGTTGCCAAGAATTCGAGAAGGACTCCACACAAGACCATCGGTCCAGCGCTTAATGCCTGTCTCAAGATCTTATGGTGAGTTGTTTTGGTTGCTATATAAGCGATCTTCATCATCTCGCTTTCATGCGTAACCGCGCGAGCCAACGCACCTGATTCTTTCTCATCAAACACAAATACGGTGCCCGATTGTACCGTGCCACGTTCCCTTTCTTGCAATCGACGATTGATTTTATGAAAGATCCCGCGACGACATGCTTCAAAGATTAGCAAAGTGTCCGTTGTGGTCTCGATAAATCCGTGAAATGTCTCCATAGTTTGCATGAACAGAAAAAGAAGAAGGAAGAGAACAGAATAGACGAGGGCAGAATGCGCTGTGGCTGGACAGGAGTGGCGGAGAGAGATCAAAGGACGAAAGGGAAAAACGAAAGGAAGAAAGACGAGAAAGGAGGTTTATAAGTGGAACGAAAAAGAAAATGACTTTCGCTGGTGGGTTTTTTCCGGGGGAGGGGGAAAAACGATCCTTCGAAAAGCGCAAACCTGAATAATGTGGCATTTTTTTTTATCTCAGCACGGGCATTTGCGATTCAGTCGTTGAGCGGCTGTACGATCGAGCGATGATGACCCTATCTTGTGGGATAAAACAGTTGGAAGGAGTTGGGCATTAGCGATGCACACCCCATATAGAAAACTTCTTCGTGGCAAAACAGTCGAAAACTTCAACGGGATTTTCACTAATATGTTTAGCTCATGGAGAACAGCATGGCCGAAATTTTTTTTATTCTTTTTCATCTGCAGGGGCTCACAAAGACCTTGGTCCTTTTTCTTGAATCAATATGTTTTCTTGCCTTTTTTCTTGGGGGGTTTTTTAACAGTGACAGGAAGAAAAAAAATGCGGAAATTTGGCGTCATTTTGCAGAACCTTTGGATTGATAAAACAAAAGGAAGAAGAAAAATACCAAAAAGATCCCTGAAAAAAAGAACTGATAAGGATTCAAAGGGTTTTTTGCCATCAATGCCGGTTTATGCATTGATTGCTTGATGCATCCACGCGCAGCATCTGTGCGCATACATGGTGCTGTACCTGAATGCAATAAAAAAAAAATAAAGTAAAACACATCCTCTGATGCCCTTACGTTTTCCCATGTTGTTGGTTTTTTTTCTTTTTTTTTGAGAAAACATGGAGCTCCTTTGGCCCACTTCCTATCCTATCAATCTAGGGACAAACACGCTGTGAGCCGATAGCCATAGCAACATATTACTATCTTATTTTTCCGTCTCCTTGGCAGCATTTTTTTTAATAAAGAAAAGTATGGGATGGCGTTTTACCGAAAAGGAATGACCCTCCTTATCAACCAACTGCACCGTTTCAATTGTATTCTTGAAGATGGATCGTCCATAACCAGGTGATGCCTTGAAGAATGAAATTCTAAAAGAATTAAACACGGTTTTATCTCCAGGATAACGCATTTGGTCTTGAGAAAAAAAAAGTATTGAGATACAATCAGTGCCGGTTTTGACAGACAAAGCACACATCAATGCATTAGCGATGGTCATGTGAAAAAAAAAAAAAGGTGACAACACAGAAGCCGAGGTGGTTTTATTTATTGCCTTTCTCAACCGATAACCAAAAGTTGCCATGCCCGAATTTGCATCTACTGTCAACTATTGAAAGTAACAAACATAATCTTGCTTGTGTTTGACGTCTATTGCATTATCGATGGTGACTTGGGAAACAAAAAAAAAAGCCAGATGGCGTCGGATATTTCCTTTTTCAGTTTATGGAGGTAACAGCGAGCATAACCGGATACTCATTGCACCCTTGTTCCACTGAAACCAATGATACTGTATATTATTGCAATTCTCACAGTTTCATCCCTGTTTGTTGAATTAAGAAGTGCCGATCACCATTCAAAAGAAAGTGGCTTCTTTTGCGAGAATTGCAAACAATCACCGGCATTTGCCCATGTGTCAAAAATGACGAGCCTATATAAAGAGATTGCAGTTTTCACCAATGCCAGTATGCTGTTGCTGTACTGTACTTGCTATGCATGCACAATAACTGGCTATTCTGCATGGCATACAAAAACAGTCTAAATAAGTTGTACACTGTTATTCTTGGTAAATAGTAATTGAGATTGCCGGATAAGCTGACACCCCTCTCGTCATTGCTAAGCTGGGGACTCTTGTGTCACTTTCGGCACCCAACATAACATCAGTAACACGGACATATTGTTATAATGGGTTTCCATAACATTCATATCCTTGCATCTCTACATTGCAATCAAACTAACCATTCTCATTTTTATCAATGTTTTTAGCTTCAACTGTTTACCCTCGATTTATTCTCCACAAATCTCAGGAGCCAGAAAAAAAAAGACCTCTGCCACGCTTCATTATGTCGTCCCTTACTGAAAGTCAGTGTCACGACCCCTTCGATCTGTTTTTATTCTCGATGTTCCTTTGGTTCTTATTCCCCCTTTCTGCCAATGACAATGATGGATGAATTATTATAATGCAACAGCTACAACGAATGAAACGACGATAATATTTGCGGAACCGACGCAGTTCACAGGCAGCCATATTGTGGTACAAGAGCCATTGTGGATTTTCATGGACGATATCCCTAGATCGTTCGTAAATGCAACGGGGCTCCCTAGGGGCGGATGGATAAATCTATACCTATTGGAGTTATCACAGCAAAGGGTTCAAGCTAAAGCCTTGCTTCTCCTTTCACGGTCAAAGCAGCCATGCCAAAAGTTATCAAATGCATTAGAAGTATGCAGCACTATAGGTTCCATTTCCCAATCACCAAAATAACCCGATAGCCGATGGATTGAGTTTGACCGATTAAGCCCGTGCATGTCACTCTTTTGATTTTCACCGTGTCCACCTAGCGGGTACTGAACCATTTGCTCAATTGATAAGGAACTACTGACAAGCTTTAATGTATCGATTATAAAATACAGCAGTATAGTTTTATTGGGAGCAGTGGTTTGTGAAGGATCCTCCACAAATCCGGATGAGGGGTCTAATATGTGAAATGGATGATCTAACAGCTGCATCCCGCACTTCCTGATGATGCATTGGCCTGATTGTCTCCAGATACTTTGACCGTCGAAGTGGGCGCAATTCCCTTTTGCCACAAACTGGGTGTTTCAATGATCTAAGAGAATGGTAAAGTCGTCAAGTTAGTCTGCTTGTTTTTTCGGTCAACCATATGAACGTTACCTTTCTTACTAATTCCTCGAACGCTTCTGACACACCGACACGAGTCTTTGCACTGCATTCGATGAATAATGTCTGCAGTTTACGAGCCATCGCTGCACCTTCTTCATAGCTCACGACTCTGGAAGATTCCTACATAATCACGCAACCCCCGACTTCGTCATCAGATCATTTGGTCTCGTTTCACGTGCATCGTTTTGTCATAAGAGACAGCTCATTGTTACCTTGTCGACTTTATTGCCAATGATCATCGTCACTACATCCGCACTCGAACAATAGGTCTTCACCTCTTCCCACCAGTTCTGAAGAGCATCAAAGGTATCCCGATTACTCACGTCGTACACTACGTGGTATCCATCAGTCAACTACCTGAAAAGAATTGTTTGCATGGTTGTCGGTGTTACACTTACCGAGAATCACGCCTTGAGCGCCTCTGTAATAAGATGAAGTCAAGGTTCGGAATCGTTCTTGTCCTGCTGTGTCCTATTCAAGTGTTATCGCTGTGGGCGAAGTAAACAATAAATAGTTGCTTCATGTCGTACCCATATGGTGAGCTTATACGTTCGTCCGTCTAATTGCATCATGCTCACTTTAAAGTCGACACCTAATATCAATGCATACAATATTGAGTAAGAACATGGTGACAAGACAATGTTTTCAGACTTACCAATAGTGGCGGACACTTCATCCTGTGGTAGAAAAGTGTCGTCGGTAAACCGTAGTAATAAAGAACTTTTGCCTACGCTTGAGTTGCCAATGAGTAATAACTTGAGGGTGGGGACGTCTTGTGACATGTTATTGTGTTTGTAATGGGAGGAAGAACAAGAAGAACAAAAAGATGCGCAGCTTCGGAGTTCTGAAAACTCACACTTTGATGTCATGTTATTCCACCCCACCGCAGAAAAATTTCACGTTTTCGCGCCACATGCGTATTTTGGCAACACCAAAGCCAAGAGAATGATCATTAACCCACTTTCACCATCTACAGTTCTTATTTAGCTGGATACAGTACGCCAATATATCCTATTACTACCATGACTGTATCATATTGAGAACGACTCACAGCGGGGAATGACAGGTTTTAGCTATTCATGCAGCCTGCGAGAAAGAACAAACGAGTCACACATTCCCCTCCCCCCAAACTGGGGCCTTTTTGCCTGATCTGCCTTTTTGGAGGGGTCCCGGTGGCTTGTAACGATATGAACCCTTTCAAGCCTTCAGCTCAACATCGTGCCTACATTTTACTTGTTTACAAACATATTCTATCCGAGTCATGCCATTTTTTTGACGATCGCGCAAGGTAGTTGTGCAAGCTTTTGTCTTGCGTTTTGTTAGTCAGATGACTCCAATGACTCAAAAAGACGAACTATACGAATCGGTGCAGGACTTTTTTGGTGAATCGCGCCAGAAAAATATTCAAGGAATACCGATCATGCACTGACGAAGCACGCATCAAGAGTAAAATTCTGGATGCACGAAAGGTAACATTTTTGGTCTCTGTTTTTTCTTGGACATGCGTATTTTATGTGTTTTAACTTACCATTTTTCACAGCATCTCCACAGTCTTCAACGAGCCAACGACGGAAATATCAAAAGCGCTCTTCGACTTCTCGAATCCGCTTACGGTCGAAAAGGAAAAGTCCGGCATTGCTTATTACATGTAAACTAAACTCTGTTTTTCTGCGATAATTCTATGGTCATCTCACGTTGGGAACTTATTCTGTAGCCTTACATTCATAACCTACCCGCTGATTTTCAATATCCAGCTCCTTTTGTACCTCATGTTCCACACACCGCGCCTCCTCCACCACTTTGCGGGCCTTTGTGCGCTCTCGTCAAGAAAGGGCTGGAGAAACCCCTGGAACCGCAATTACCGGTGCCTCTGTTTAAACCACTGCATCCAGGTCGCAAAGCGAATTTACTATGGCGTTGGCGGTCCAATCTGTTGAGTCGTGTTGCGCTGCCTTTGCCGTTCGAAATAGTCGCTGAACTTGAAAGAAAGGCAGGGGCTGACCCGACCCATCCATTACATGTTATTCATACAATGGAAGGAGGGCCCAAGTGGGAAGACATGTATAGCGGCAAGGAAACCGATCCGGACCTAATGCATCTGTATCCGTCAGCTCGACTTGTACCTCTGTCGCAAGTGAACCGCAGTCGATACCTTCCTCCGTCTCCATACCAGGCCCCTCCGTCGCCGTACGCCACGCTCACGATGATCCGACTTTTAGACCCCTCTTTCGAACATGAGCACATCAAATCGTCCGTACGGAAAATCTTGGGGCGAAAACAACGACGCTGTTATCGAAAACTACTCGTGCATGTACCGCTTATCAGACCGTTTCCCTCTGCCACCAGTCTGTGGGACGACCAAATCGAATACAAAATTAGCAAATCACGGTGGATTCCTGCGTCCACTTTAACCCTGCTAAGTGAAGATCTATTACCCGACGAAAAGGTCATGGAAGATACTTTGTCGTTACAAAAACCTAAAAAGAAGCGAGGAAGATACTAAAAAAATCACATTATCACACTCGTGGGCTGTAAAGTTAGCTTTATTTTTTCTTTAAATTCGGTTCACCAGCTTGAGAAGCGGTGCAACTGTTCTTATCACTCATGGGGTATGGAAAATCTGCTCAACGGTTCAAGCCAACTTTGACTTTGAACATTCAGATAATCAAGGGTGCTCCAACTGTCTCCATAGCTCAAATGCTTGATTACCGTTTACTCATGGTGCATAGAAGAAACTTGTCCTGACTGTTAATGGTACACAAGGACAAAAGAGAACTAGGGCCAATTGTGCATAGAGAAGCATGGCATTACGACACTGGTACCTAAAGTAGAAATGGCTTTTGTCAAAAAAGCAAGAGTGCTAAAGAGAGCGCAACTTCTTTTGCACGATACAAGTGAGAATTATCATCAAGCTGATATGCAGCATGTTTTTATGCCAGAATCACAATCGGCACCCAAGTCGCCACAAGCATATGAACATTCCCTACTGGCCTCCAATGCCGTTTGAGCAAAGCATGTCGGCTGCAACCCAGGGGGGCAAGTAACCGACTCGGCAGGACAGTCCGCTGCGTTACCAATCCATGCAGCCGAGGTGTCGCTGAAAATGGCGAGGAAAGCGAACAAGAGAGTCAACGCGAATTTTGCCATAGTAGGAAAGAAGCGTGGGTTGAGCGAAAAGTTGGGTGTGGTTGAACTTTTTTTGTCTTGTAAAGTTTTGCTCTTTATATAGCTTCAAGAATATTACCGAGAAAGCTCCTGCAAGCATCTTTCTGAGAAGCCCCTTTTGATCGGCTCATTGCAGATTTGTTTAACATCTACTGTACAGTGAGCGCCCGTCTTTTTCCACCCGATTTTTTTCCAAGTCCCCTTTACGAGAACAGTCCGCTTCTATGCACTACAAAATCTGAAAATTGACGAAGTAACTCGCGCGGAGATACCCTTGGAGGTTGTACAATTTTAGTTTCAGGCCGAGGTTCTTCCTCCTGGGCTGTCTATATGAAAGGCGCAGATCTTACTTCCTCAAAAGTTGCTAGTGAGAGGAAGAGTTGTCCTCATGGTTGAGCATACTTGACCATTGTTGACAGTGTTGTCTTGTAATTGTGTACCTTTCAAAAAAAATCATTTATGCCCACTACATTGTAGAGTTGAGTGTCCGGCAATTGAAAAGGGGTTGGAAGTATTTGGTCCAGTCATCCAGTATATGTCCATTTATTATTTATCCGACAAACATCGATGCGGATTACTTATACAAGCGAGAATTATTATCAAAATGATATTAGTCAGTGCAGCATGTTTTAAAACCAACATCACCGCAGTCGGTACCAAAGTCGCCACAAGTGTCTGGGCATGCAATACTAGCATCCTCTGCCGAACGAGCAAGACAGGTAGGCTTCAAGCCGTCGGGACAAATCTCGGTATCGATAGGACAGCTCGGTGCGTCACCAATCCATACAGCCGAGATGACGCTGAACATGGCAAGGAAAGCGAACAAGAGGGTCAATGTGAATTTTGCCATAATGTAAAAAAGAAGTAAGCGTTGATTGAAAATGGATGCGGTTGTGCTTTTTTGCCACGTAAAGTTTTGTCCCCTTTATATGTTTTTAAGGACATTGCTATTTACCGACGAAGCTCCGGGAGACACCTTCTGAGAAACCGTTTGATCGCCTCATTGCAGTTTTGTTTAACATGGACGAAATTTAATTCAAATAAAGCAAAAAACCAAGAGTCGACCCTTGGTTTCTATTGAAAGTGTCGGGCGCTACCGAGTCACATTGCATCCAATTGAGAAAGCATTGTATTTCAACCGATCTTCCTCAAACTTTGATTTATTCATAGTCAAGCATTCATTTTTGGCGCAAGAAATGTTCAAGTTATAAGTGTTTAACTATTTTCGAATAAAAGCCGATGGCCAACCCTAAAATTTTATGGACATCCGAGTCGAAGATCAGGTGTTCGGTTTATCCCCCTGAAAATTTCGATATACACAGCTGTGGATCGTATGGGCTAACGCTTTACATAATTTACCTTCTTGCCTCAGCATCGCCGTCCGTGTAAACTCTTTCCATGCGATGCAGCGTAACTTTAGTCTTGGTATCCCTTTTTGATATCTTGTCACCGTCAGTATCAGTCGACAGAGTATACATACATAGATGCCTTGTCTATTGAAAATAATCGTGCATCTCTTTAGTGATTATTGTTTGAGCACCGTTTTAGGCAAAGTAGTTGCCATAACAACAATGTTTTGTACAATTCAGGACAGGCTTCAACTTAATGCACATCACAATGGATTCCCCCTTCCACTTTAACCCTGCTAGGGGAAGAACTATACCCGACGAAAAGGTTAGGGAAGATACTTTTTCATTCAAAGACTTGATAAGAAGCGAGGACGAAACTAAAGAATATATTACATTTTGGATTTTGATATTTCCTTTTTCTTACGCCATTCGACCCACCCAGATTGAGAAGCGGCGTAACCTTTCTTATTACGCGTGGAAAGTAAAATAACTGTTCAACGGTTCAAGCCAATTTACCTTTGAACATTCGTATAAACAAGGTGTATTCTAAATGTCTCAATAGCTCAATTGCTTGATTACTATATTCTCAACATAATGTAAGTGGCATGTTCTGGTTGTTAATGCTATGCAAGAAGGAAAGGAATGGCAACTAGTACCATAGTACTGGAAAGAAGCATGGCGTCACGACATTGTTACCTAGTAGTGTATCCATGGTGGCTTTATTTGTCAAAAACAATAGTAGAAAAGAGAGTGCAGCTTGTTTTACACAGTACAAGCGAGAGTTCCCATCTAGGTGATATCAAGTGCAGCATGTTTTGAAGCCCTCATCACAGACGCTACCAAAGTCGCCACAAGTGCTTGGGCATTCCACACTGGCGCGCGCTGCGTCAAAAGCAACGCATGTAGGCATCGTTCCAACGGGGCAAAGATCAGAATTGGCAGAACAGTCCGGTCCGTCACCAATCCATAGAGCCGAGATGACGGTGAACGTGGCGAGGAAAGCCAACAAGAGAATCAAAGCAAATTTTGCCATAATGTAAAAAGGAAGCGCGGGTTGGTCGAAAGGTCGATGTGGTTGTACTTTTTGTCAGGTAAAGTTTGCCCTTTATATGGTTTCAAGAACATTGCTCTCTTTGCCGGGGCAGATCCGCGAGACATATTCTGAGAAACATGTTTGACCGCCTCGCTGCAGTTTTGTTTAACTTCTACAAATTAAACAAAGCAGTACCTTTGCCAAAAAACCAAGTTCTATTGACAGCATCAGACGCTACCGAGCCATCTTGCATACAATTGAGAAAGCATTGCAGCCCAACCGATCTTCATAGATGCTAATATTTATTCATGGTCAAGCATTCGTTTTTGGCGCATGAAAATGTTCAAGCTGTAAGCGCTCAACTCTGAGAGGATTAAAGCTGATGGCGAACCGCAGATACCATGGACACCTGAGATGGGAGATCAGATGGTTTGGTGTATCTTTCTGAAATTCCCGTTGCAGACATATGTGGATAGGTAGACTAACGTCTAAAATAATTACCAACTTGCGCCAGGATCGCTGCGGGAGAAATCCCTTCCGTGTAATGCAGCTTAATTCGAGCCTTGGCATGTATTTTGATTTCTTGCCACCCTCAGTAGCAGTCGATAAACCGTTACAGTATTTCTCAACCATACCGTTGACTTGATTTGAAGTCATCTGATATAGTTACTGGTTAATAAACGGTCTTTTTTAGAACAGTGTAGAATGCGAAAGGCAATTATTTGCCTAGTCATGATTGAGTATTTTATGCTTCGCTATATTACAGTTTTTATATGTCTAAATGGGAACCAAATCTACAAAGGTTGAACGGGGATCTAAACTTTTAATGCGAACTTTGAGAATATCACCCACTTGGAATTTTCGGTTGGACTGCTGGATACGGCCACGGACTCCCAGCTCACAGATTGTACCGACCGCGACTTGTTCAAACATTCCCAATCCAGTGGATACCGGTACGTCAGGGAAATTGACCAGGTAGGTCCATTCCATATCCTCTCCGTGGCTCTCAGCTTGCAGACGACGCAGTAATTCAATCACCCAGTACTGCGTGCTACGTTGCTGCAAAATCGCTAATTGTTTTTGTCGTGCTTCGACCCTCGGACCCAGTACTTCCAGCTCTTCCGCCGTAAATGGAGTTTTCTGCTTGGTAAGATGCGCTTTCAACTGCCAATGAACGACGATATCCAGGTAACGTCGTAGTGGTGAAGTGGCCTTGGTGTATCCATCAGGAATTCCCATGACTGCATGAGGCGACCTGGGAGTCATCGTGATGCCTGCCGGTGGTAAGTTTTCAACATATTTTGACATTTGCTGAAATTTGATGACGCCCGTAGCCGGATCCCGATAATCCAGCATTTCTTGGCGAATGGCTGCGGCTTCCGGGTTGGTTTCGTAATCCCAGACTTGTGCACGATATGGAATAGGAACGCCATTTTCCGCCGCATATTGACTGGCCGCTCGTCCGCCCATGATCATCATTTCCGCCACCATCTGGCGTGCCGGTGAAAAGGCACTTTTGTCCAGCGACACTTTAATCGTTGGTAAACTTGTTGCAAAATGGGGCGATGAAAAACGGATATTGGGTAAATCCAGTGGACTGGGATGAATACTGATGACAGGGCTAGGTTTACTGAACATGATGGCTCCATTACTTCGACGGACACGCGCGTGTTGATTGCTGAGGTTGAACAGGTCCAGCAGATCCTTCTCGTATTCCTTCTTCAAGGTCGACGACGACGATTCGTCTTCTGAGGGATCAAATACAATAGAGGTGGGGTGACAAAATGATTTCGACAAATCAACGAGGGGATCTTTGTACGAGTGAGCGTGCGGGAGAAGTAGCTTATCGACGTCGTCATAGTACAACTTGATGACGTTCTTCACAATACTTGGGGTGATTCTCCACTCGGATAGATGACCTTCCTTGTCCAATTTCGCACTGAATGTCATGGCATACTGAGAATCTTTTCGGTTACGAGCTGTTTGCGCAGCTAACCCCAAGCTGAATTTTTGCGAAGACAATGTATCTGGAAGAATAGGCAAATGTCGTTCGGGCAGGTAGAGAGTCTGTACACGCTTCTGCATCAGATCCGCAAGTTCGTGGGTAGGTGGTATATACGCAGATGGATCAGCAATATGGATGTGTAGCCAGGCACTATCTTCCCCCGGGATTCTCTCAATGGAAATACCGTCGTCAATTTCTTTGGCTGATGGATCATCGATCGTATATACAGGCATGTCTCCGAAATCCTTGCGAATGCTCTCACACGGGTCGTCGGCATAGAAACCAGCCGCTGACAGTTCCTCATTTCCTCTCTTCAAGAAAATATCCGTGTACATCTCCATCTTTTGTTCGTTCTGCTTCGATCGTTTTGTATACAAAAACTCGCCTGCAACGGCTGCATTCTCGACCAGGCTCACGTTGTCCCAAGGCTTAAACATGCCAATGTCCCGAAGAAACTGGACAGCCACGGTTCGGTCCACAAAGGTGTCATCGTAAGCCTTTAACGATTTGAGAATTGTTGGCACGAAAATATCGTGAGGTGTAGCAATGGCGATTTGCGGTGATTTGACCCAATCCACGACGAAATCGACAAATTTTCTATCCGTCTCCGTAAGATTGTCCGCCTGAACATAGGCCAAGTCTCGAGCCGCGGATGAAAAGGTACCGAGCTTGGGATCAGCATGCGCGTGAGTATACTCGACAATCTTTTTTATCCGATCGAGGAAATCATTGTAGGACGTATCGCGGCGACGGATCCACTCGATGATCTGCCGAAGATTCTGAGCCTCATTTTTCGGTCGCAGTAACCATCGTCCAGTTCCCCGTACATTCAGCGACGCCATAAAATGTACATTGTCCGTGACCAAATTTGAAAACATGGCGTGAATCTGTAAAGAGGACGGCGTGTCTTGGAGGTTGAAAGCAAATTTCGTCAAGTCTTCAATGGACACGTCGATTTGTTCACTGTCAGCGGGAGCTTTTTCGATGAAATGCGAATACAAGGCCGGCATTCGCCCCAAGATGCTTGCCGACTGGTAACGCACCGATTGTTGATATTCTTTAATAGCACGTATATATTGTGGAGGTATCGTGGTCATTTTTGCTGCTGTGGGATCAAACTCGTGAGGCTCTTTCAGGTATCGTGTGGCGAACGACGACTGGGCAAAGCCTGGAACAGCAAAAGCAACGATGTCGCTGTGGAATTGACCGATTTTTCCGTTGCGCAGAAGAACTTGGACTTGCTGTGACTGTCCGCTAATCGTCTTTTGTTCTACGACAATACCGCTGTAAGATCGAGAATGTCTGTACACGATGCATGAGTAAGAGAGTGAACTCTCGACGTGTACACATGGAGGGCTAACCTGAAAGCTTCAACATAATCGCCCAACATCAGCCGAGGCAGTTTTACAAAACCAATAGCTTTTGCTTCCTTGGCGTCGAACTTCATATCGGGTTCGTCTAACGGGTCATTTTCGCCTTTGAGAGGATCGACGGTTTCTAGGCTTTTAGCGGAACGCGACGGTCCGCTCGAAGCATATCTGGACAGTGCCAACCAACGCGGTTGCTGTGTAGCACACTGAAGTACTGGGCGAGAATGACCCAAGCTCAACTGCTTTATCAACTTTCTGTCCAGTCGTCGCGATAATCGTGACACGTTCGACAGCATGAGGGCGTGATGTATAAAAGTTCGCAGTCGCTCGAGCCAAAAGCGAAAAAGACTACAACACAAAAAAAAAAAAAATGCGGCAATGCCCAATTTTGGGATCTGTGACGGTTTAATTTGACTAGCCCTCAATGAAGCGACGAGTTTCGGGGGACCAATTTTTACCACGGCTTCCCGGTTATCTTAGCAATTTGTTATTGTCGGCCATTGTTGGCAGATTAAGGAAAATCGCATGATGCGAAGCTGGCGGACGCGGAAATTTGAGATATAACATGCTTGATGCAACGAGTAGTGTGACCAAACTGGCATTTATCGCCTACAGGGCGGTTCTGAAAATAGCAATGAGCGATTTGGGGTTGGGAGATCATCATCGTCAAAAATTGAATATTAACGGAATGCAAAACGATGTAACTCCCACCTTATTAAAACGAGCAGGTGGATCGTTGAGACGGATGTCCTTGAATCATTCGCGCACTATGCTATGTTATATATTTAATACTCTTATGTTGTTTTTATTATTCCTTTATAGTTTACTGTATATATTTTGTCTTATGCTCCTTTGCTTTCATCCTTTGCTATGATTTTTCAAGTTATTCTTCACCGTTATGTTCCTTTGGATCTTATACTTATGCTATGTTTTTCCCAAGTAATGATTTTTTTCTGTTATCTATTTTTGTCTCTCCATTTAATATTGTACGATGTCTGACTATTTCCGTTCCTAACTTCGTGTACATATTGTTGTTGCTCTGTCGTGGATGAAGAAAATGATCGTTATGTGGCGGTAAGTCAGGGGGGCAAGACCCCCGGGAAAAAAAGGAAAAGAGACTGTGCTACTCTGTTGTCCATTGAATTCGCAAAAATTTATGCGCACATCAACTAAATCTTGCCGAAAGTTGACAAAAGATTAGAGTTAAGAGAACACCATCAGCGAGACCTTTGGATACACAAATTCGAGTGCGGAGTTCTGAATATTGCAAATGGAGCATCCCATTCCAAACACATCTTTAACCAGCTACTAAACCCATTTCCCTCCCTCAAAGTAACAACAAACTACAGACCGAAAGAGCATAACTTTGTGACCTTTATTATCAACAGGCGCTACTAGCCTACATAATTAAAATCTTGGTAAATTAGCGATTTGTAAATCACATTACTTACACTAAGTTATCAGGACCTGTTAAACCTTTTTTTTTATCTTTCAACCATGCCTTGCTGCCCACTTTCACAATAATAGGCGAAACAATCAGCAGCAAGATGCCGTTTGCGCCAGTTATGGTCAACAGAGCATCGTCGTCGTTCAAATAAAAATGTGAGTAGAGCTCTTTTTGAAGAAAGATGGTGGATGATGTCGATCTGGGTGTTCTGTAGCATCATTTAATTTGGGTTTTCTGTCAGTTATACTGTATAGTCCTTTCATTATAGTCCTTTCATTCTCTTTCAATTTTCAATGAATCGAATAATACATAAGCAGACGTTCTTCGATCTATGAATTCATGCATCAGAAGGGTGACTATTGTTTCATCCATGGGAAATCATATATTTTGGTCTTCTCTCTCTTTCTGTTTACCTGGAAAACTCTAGGTATCATTGTATCAAGATCCCATCCGCATCCATCATCCAGACCATTCTTATCCCGTTTATCTAACTTGGTTAAATTGACTACCATCCTCAAAAAGGTAGGCGTGGAGTGGTCTACCATCGATTTTGCTCCGGCAAAACAGACTTACCTCTCTTATTTTCCATCTCTTCTTTCACCTTCAGGTTTTCTCCGTTTTCTTTTCGCCTACCAAGTTCTGTATGCTACAACTTGACTTTCTCTCGCCATCCATCCATCCGTCTGGCGAAACCGGATGACGTCAAAGGCCATCGTCGGTGGTGTGACGCTCTTTTTCATCGGAAAACGCTCACGTGTCCTCTTCATGTTCCTCTCCTTTGGATTGCTTCTCATGATATGGTATTCGAGATGTCTTCCCGATTATTGTATTTTGTATTTTATATTTCATGTACATATTCTTTTCTCAGTCTTTTCCTCTTTTTTCGCACAGGGTTTTTTAGGAGGTTTCTATGACGCGACCATTGTTTTTTTATCATCAGGTACTTTATTTGTTTTTCTTTCTTTTGATTCGGGGGACTCTCGATATCGAATCCAACTCGAAATTACCGTCACTTCTGGCCACGTCAATATTTTTTGTCTGCTCAAGCTGACACCACCGATCCATCGCTTAACTGTCCCTGGAAGCAATTTTATTTACCGCATCGAAGAAGAAGCTTACCTGGCGGTCCGTATTCATCGTTTTTTTTTTTTTTTTTTTTTTTTTTTTTTTTTTTTGGTACACCATTTAAAGGCAAGTCCAATTTCTTTTCCTTTGCTATGATGTAATGAACGTATACTAATTCCAAAAATTTTCAATGTCATATAATCCAAGTCATGTCAAGCGATCAATTATTATCGAAAACTCAAATAACAAAGGTAAAATATCTTGACGAAGTTTGAAACAATCAAAGAGCTTACTAACTCATTTTTTTTTAAATACCCAACATACTCACACCTCTTTCTAGATTATCATAGCCTGGGCGGGATGGAACTGAGGGGGTCAATCAGTGCTGCTTTGCGCGTGTTTAGAAACAAATCACGACGTAAGGGATGCCATAAGGTTGTCATTAATATACCAAAGTCCGTCAAGAGTTCTCGCCCAGGTTATGCCGTGTATGCGTTAGGCTTTTTGTCTGACGAAAGTCGCTCAATGTAAGAGGGCGGCCTCCGGTGGCAGGCGGCATCCATTACACAGCGGGTGTACGGCTTGTTAGATTATATGTGTAAGATTGGTATTTTAAAAATCGTCATCCATGGCAATGGTATCGTACGCATAGCTGCTGAGAGGAAATTGGCAACCATTTCCTTGTCTGATAAGATTGGTTAGAAGTTTGACCTGTTCTCTTCATGACAATGCGTAACTTACGGCCTTCCAACCGGCAAAAACCATGTAGTAGAATTGCTTCCCATGACTTGGGTAAAATTACTCCTAAAGAGCAAAGTAACATTAGCATGAAATACTACAAAGGAAGTGAATCGTATACTCACTTGTATCCGACATCCCACGGATTAAAGTATTTGGTGCGCATAACATCTACGCGACCACGTTCATTTTGACCGAGTCGATAGTTGGATTTTTCGTAAAACTCGATGGTTGTCCGATTAATGAGCAGCTGTCGGCTGTGAAAAATGGTGAATGGGATCAAGAATAAACCAAACACACCAGAAAAGAACACTAGCAGCGCCCAATTGATGTCTAATCCAAGAATGCCCTATCGTCTCTCCGTCAGTCTCGACTGTTAAGATTCGACAACATGTTTCCCAAGTTACCATCGGTTGGTTCAGTGTATATATAGTGGGCGGCAAGGTTGTAAGAAAAATATCAAGACATAACAGCGCTGCGTACAGCAGAAAAAGGTAAAAGAACTTGTAATTATAGAATCCGACACAATTGTTCACCCTGTGAAAACCAGTGTCAGATCATCTCATTTTGTTGACAATGAAACGCAATGGACTTACCAAGGACAATGGCTATGCATGGTCAGGAAATGGCGATTAGTCACGTATTATCCAATGTACTCCCGCTTTTCTTTACTTACTGATCCATTTTCAGGATGCATCTAATTCGACTTTTTTTAGAAACCACCGACTATTTATCAAAGAAGGAAAATGGGCTTACCGTTTGCAGGTCCTACAGTGATGTGTGCGATCATACTTCTCCAAGCGGCATTTCTGGCAAAATCGCTGTGCACCGCACCGTTTGACAGTAATGGATCGTACTGCCGGATAATTCGGAGCACTCGATAATGGTCTCTCCCTCGGAGTGGATCCGTCCACAAGCAGAACCGCAGCATCGCTCATGCTCTTTCGTTCGTCGTCATGGCTTTCGCAAGGTGTCTCCTGATTCAGTAAACGCACATTTTCGCTATCGTCCAACAACTGGGCTTCTTCATCCCGATCCCAATCCTCCTTACTAATCTGAGAGTAAGCCATGCTTAGAGAGCAATGAAACTCTTAATCATGGTAGTAACGCTTACATCTTTTGTATATCCCGGTGATGTATTGGTGACTTTCCAATAACACCATATGCAGATGGAAAATATAGGTTGAAAGAGTACGATATATATACAACCTAGTGTGTATAACTTGAGTAATCATGCAAGATCAAGACGATCAAACTTTTGAAATTAAAAAAAAAACAAAAAAAGGTACCCTGAAGTATGTGACCATCACTCAGCAGACTCCAGCACAAACGAAAATTGTAGGCCCAATAAGCCCAGCCCAAGATAAGCGATAGTAATATTACAGGAGACGCATTGACGATCCGGAGACATGAGGATCGGAAAGCTTCGAAGCTTGAACAACAACATGGTCTGAAAAATCGCATTATTCCGGGATGACGGCTAACTTTGATAAAAGTTATACTACAGTAATACAAGCGCATCACTAAGAAAGGTAAGCATTTTGCCCAGGAGCTGGACGGTTTTGAAACACCGATGTCCGTTTTCAAAGTCACTTGAAAGAGTCCTCATTGTGTTCGCGTGCCAAAATTCAAAAATAACGCGTTTGGCGTGATCCCTTTTTTCACGCTTGAAATTTCAAAATGACCACTCAAAACATGTAATGACCGAAATCGACCCGACTATTGGCGATTTTTTTTTTGCTGACTGGTACTTCGTAGAAGCGAACTGTGCTCGTCCCCCAGTGATCATCCTCTTTTGGAACGCAAAGTGTCGACTTTTGATGAAATGCCGGAATTAAAAGATCGCATGCTGATCAAAGATCGATCATTCCGTCAACAGTATGCCAGCTTATATTTCGTTCGCTTATTGAAACTACGTCCGTTCATTTTACAAGCAGCAGAAGAACGATGGGCACATTTACCAGGTTGGGCTTTTATCGTTAGGCTAGATTTTTGTCCCAAATAGTTGACAGCTTCCTTTTTCGAACGTGATTAGAAAAGCCACGCTATGTGCCGAAAGTATTGGATGTCCAGGCCGGCGAGATTTGCTATATTGTCGGCACCGTGTATATGGAAATGATGATGAAGCCAAACGTGATGAAAGATTTAGGCACAGAGGTAAATGCAATCCCAAACTGTTTCTCAGAGCAGGCGTTTTGACCATGTCACAGCATTCTATTGTTGCACCGCCGACACCAGCTAAATACCGAACAGACAATGACAGAATTTCGGTCGAAGATGAATCGGGCCGTGTGGAATTGTCGGGTCTTCGAATTTCAAAAGAATTGCTGGTGACAGGTACGTCCGATCTGATTTGCAGCACAGTAGCCACAGCAAAGTATTCACGGCCCTTGTAGGAATGGTCATTGGTGTGTTGGGAAAGGAAAATTCAACAGGTGCATTCGAAGTTGTGGATGTATGTCTTCCTGGCGTGCCTGATCAGGTCCCCTTTGTCGAGAAACAAACAAGTATGAGATGGTTCATTGATGAACGTGACAGTTTCTCTAATGGATCTTTTGATTGCTGCTAGATCCCAATGACACCAAATATGTAGCCCTCATCTCTGGGCTTAACATTGGATCAGATGCAGCAACGGATCTCAAGACACAGTTGTTAACCGAATTTCTTTGTGGTGAACTTGGCAATACTCGGGTAAAAATACCGCGTCGAAAAAGTTCGTCATCAGGTTATTGATAGCTTTGGTGATATACAGGATCAATTATCAAGTTCTGCAATTTCCAGAATCATCATTGCCGGCAATTCTCTGGACAAACCCAAACGGATCGTAGACAAGCAGAAACCCGTAAGCTGTGAAGACGGGCTCGGATCGATAACATTAAATATTAACCTTGTCTTTAGAAAAAATACGGTTATGATTCTGCTTCCTATGACGCTACACCGCTGGTACAGCTAGACGACCTGTTGGACGAATTATGCGCTACAGTCGACGTGGATCTTATGCCTGGAGCACAAGATCCCATTAATCATCACCTTCCTCAACAACCGATGCGCTCGGCTCTGTTCACAAAGACACATCAATCCAATACATTCCACACCGTTACCAATCCATACTGGTTCACAGTGGACGGTGTTACGTAAGCAGATAATTAAGTACCAAGGTGGGGCTGATTAATTAACGGGCTGGTTGTAGATTTCTAGGCACTTCAGGTCAAAACATCGATGACATTTTCAAATATGTGGATACTCCGGATCGATTAAGTATGGCAGAGCAGACGTTATTCTGGAGACACATTGCACCGTCAGCTCCAGATACCCTGTGTAAGTATTTTTTTTTTCACGTACGCAAAAATGGCTTCACGGACAGCAGCTGAGCAAAAAAATATACACAATAGGGTGCTATCCATTCCAAGACCATGATCCTTTCCTATTGGATCAAGCGCCGCACGTTTATTTCTGCGGTAATCAGCCAAAATTTGAAAATAACTTACTGGAAGGTAATGTGTACTTTGTATATTGGCTTGGAGTAGGGGGTCTTATTGACGGTTGATTGATAGGTTCGGACGGGCAGCGTATCCGCGTGGTGATGGTTCCTTCTTTCGCCGAGACCGGCACGGTGGTACTTGTTAATTTAAGCACTCTCGAATGTAGCTCCATAGAAATTAAATCACCGGATGTACCATCTGTGGATGCTATGGATGAGTCATAAATGAAAAAAAAAAGAAATTGTGTACACTCCTGTTCAAAAGTCACATATCACTTCATTTTCGATTTTTTTGGAAATTAGAAATTTTGAAATTCCTACGGTGATGGACAGTGTCCATAATAAAAGGCCATCCGAACAACTCCAAAATTTATAGATGAGATATTCGATAACCTGTAAATGAATAAATGTATAACAAATAGTATTTAATACGACGTTTGACCGCCTTCTTTATCTATTACAATGCGGCACCTATTGGGCACCTAATCATTACGGGGCTTGCAGGCACCCTTCCTTTCTTTCTGGTCCCGTCCTGGTGAAGATATCTTTTTGCTGGTGGCCGCCGTCACGAAGGTTTTTCGTTTTTTTTTTTTTTTTTGTTGTCCGCGTTGCTTGCCTATCCCTAGATATAAGTTTACTGACGACGCTTGTTTTCTTTGTTTTCTTTATGTCTTCTTCTCTCCCTAATCTGGTCATTTTCCAACTCGCGAATTAATTGTATCAACCATTTCTTTTACTTGTCTTTTCTCGTATTGCCATTTCTCTTTTTTTTTTTTTTGTCTGTGTCATAATTTGCATTTTTCTTTTGTGATTTTCAAATCCCTACGGTGACTTTTGAAATAAACAGTATATTGGATTCACTGATCCGATTTTCTGCTACCTCACAATTGATCCATGTAAGAAGCCTGTGACCGCGTTTGGAAATGGGAGCAATTTTCATGTCCGGTATTTTTTTTCGGTCGGATGGAAAGTAAGTGGCCTGTGCCAGAAATAATAAATTTCGCTGCTGTATTTATTTTTTCCTTTCGAGTTACGGAACCGTCATGTCAGTGCTTCTTTTCCGCAGCTCAGAAATGGCTGCTTTGCGCTTGAATCGTGTTCGTCATGGCCAAAGTATTCTCGCGGCCATTGGAAGAAAGCAGCCTGCATGTTCGTTTGCACGATCGTTCCATGCTTGTCGACCAAGATTTAATAGTCAACAGTCGAAACAAAGCCAAAAATCTTATTGGGGTACAACATCGTTTCCGCTGTATGAAAGGATTCGCGAGGATGTCTGTGTACTTACTTGCAGTCTGTAGGACGATTGAGTGATACGTGGAATAACACCGAGGTGAAATGGTACCCTATCCCTGTGGGCTTAGGTTTAGCCGTCATTGGCTTTATCCAGTATCGACGTGTACGCGAGCGGGAATCCCGGAAAATCGATGAACAAGAAACGAAGCCGAAATATGTAGCAACCGGTCCTTGGCAGGTAAACTTGATATATTAACACAAAAAAATGGCGTTATTTACGTCCCAGTCTAGGTTCATGTGGCGGCTGCTTTGCCTTTGCGTACCATCTCACGGTTATGGGGTGCCTTCAACTCCTTGACCATCCCTACTTCCCTTCGCTCGGCCGGATTTCGATTATACAGTTTTATTTTCGGCTGCAATCTTGACGAAATCAAGAACACCGATTTAACCAGCTATCCCAATTTGGCCACGTTCTTCTATCGAGAGTTAAAGGAAGGAGTACGACCCATTGCCGATGCACCGATCGTGTCACCTGCAGATGGCAAAGTCCTGCATTTTGGCATGGTAGGAGAAGAACGTGAAGTGGAGCAGATTAAAGGCGTCAAGTACTCGTTGGATGCCCTTTTGGGTGAAGCCAATCAGTCGGTGACTCCGCCCGGGGAAGCAATCCATAATGGTGCCTCCAGTGTTGTGGACGAAGAACAATTTGCCAACGTAAATGGCATTGAATATTCATTGGACCATTTATTGGGTGACGACGGTTACGTGCAGACGGAATCTACCGTGGGTCCCGACGGTTTGGATCAAGCAGCGAAATCTACGGAAAAGGAAGCTAGCGAGTTGGCGGATATCGCCAAGGTCGAAGACAATCACCACAAGGTGCGTCCCGGCCATGCTCTGTATTTCGCCGTTGTCTATTTAGCACCTGGGGATTACCATCGGTTTCATTCACCTACAAGTTGGGTGGTTCAAACACGAAGACATTTCGCAGGTGAGTCAAAATCAAGAAAAAAGAGACCATTGTGTTACGGCGGTAGATGGCAAAGTATGATTGATACTGATCCAACACTTTTCCCTTCTGTTTAGGCGAACTTTTCTCGGTATCTCCTTATTTCGTAAAGTTGCTTCAGAACTTGTTTGTTCTTAATGAGCGAGTGGTGCTGCTTGGAAAGTGGAAATATGGCTTTTTCTCCATGATTCCTGTTGGCGCCACCAATGTGGGATCGATCAAGATCAACTTTGACGAAGCGCTGAAAACCAACCGCAAGGAAGATATCCCGATGGGCACTTACACTGAAGTGACGTATAAATCCGCAAGTAAGCGATTGGGCGGAAAAGCGTTGATGCATGGTGATGAAATGGGCGGATTTTTCCTGGGATCGACCGTGGTGTTAGTCTTTGAGGCACCTACATCCTTCAAGTTTGCCCTGAGCGCAGGTCAGAAAATTAAAATGGGCGAGCCCATGGGTTACATTCCCGAGGAAAATCAATAAAAACTGTATTATACTTTTGGCCTTCGGCTGCATCTTCCACGCGTCGGATCACAGTGATGCAAAGTGACGTGTGCATGGTCGTTCCTTTTTTCTTTTTCCACGTTCTTTTTTTTTGCGATGAGCGAAAAGGAGACGATTTTGAGGAGAGAGGATAAGGGACTATCTTTTTGAATAAATTGACATCAAGTATAATAAGCGACATCAGGTAAAAGATATGGTGGTGACTGCAATTGCATTATGTCGTGATCTTTTGCATCTAATTTTATAGCAAAACCTGGGCGAATTTATGGAAATTTGTTTTCTTGTGTGCGTTTCTAAATATGAACTGCATTTCGCCTGCCGTCTGTGTCTGGGCGCTTGCCGTTTTCAGCGGTACGTATCGAAAAAAGAAATAAATAGAAAGAGGAGGCTCCTGTTTGATTCGATTGTGGGGTCTTTTTTTTCAGCGTTGTGGCGATTTCGATGGAGTGAAATGCGTCCATTTTAGTGAAAGAATAAGGTCTTCCCCTTGAAAAGGAATAATTGCCCTGAGGATAAACTTCGAAGTAGCCAAAAGCTAACCGACGTGGGATCGAAGCGGAGAAAGACGAGGTCTGAGTGTATTTTTGAAGACTAAACTGACTTTCACTGCAGGACCTACAAAGTGTCAAGAAGAAAAGACGTGGTACGTAGTCCAAACATAGCTGGTTGACGCATAACGACATGATTAAACAATGAAAGTCACATGGCGTGTAAAACGAAACAACAATAAAAAAAGATGCTTTAAGGTTCAACTCCTTTGCGGCCACATGTTTGTAGAGGAAAAAAACACAGTGATCGACCAAAAAGATGTGCGATAAGTGTCTGTTTTTTTTTCTATATCTTTATCTTAATCTCATTGAGAATAATGTAAACTCTTTTTTATAACTTTTGATTTTCGTCTAGAGGTTTTTTGCATCTCTTTCTTTTTTACTTCTTTATTTTTTCTCCCTCTCGCCTCATTTTGTCGGTCCGTGTCTTGCAATTTTTCTTCTTCTTCTTCTTCTTCTCTTCCTCCTCTTCCCCTTCGAAAAAAAATCCCCTTCCTCCATTCAAAACTCCTTGAAAAAAGAAAGAGCAAGGTTTTACCAAGCAGGAAAAGATAAACCCTTTTTCTTTTATTTTTATATCCTCCTTTTTCCTCTGCTCTCTTCAAGAAAATGTCCTACTGGTATTCAACCGACGGTATGGATAAACGGCGCTTATCCACTCGTCATTTGCCAGCGCTCGATCAAGCATTTGAACGACGGACACGAGTGGAAATTTACGACGACGAAGCATTTGGAAACCACGTCGCCATTGCCAACCCATACCAGGGCACCATGACAGCTGGTGACATTCACTATGGACTGTATAGACATCCGACCCTTTGGCGCATTAGTGATGCTAGCCTTGATACCTCCATGCTCATTGACAGTTCCACGGCCATCATGTCGGCCGATACACACCCTTCTGATTCTTCGCCAAGAAGCAGATTCACAGCAATTGAAACACCGTCCACCGCCTCCTCCTCCTTAACCGCCGCCGATAAAACGATGCGCAAGTCATCCATACAAGATACTCGCGAAGCATTGTATCGTCAACGAAGGCGAGCGTCGGTAGCACCCAATGATGATCACTGCAATTGCTGCATTATTAGCTGAACCTCTTTTTTTTTATTCCCCTTGTGATTTCGGTGGTTATTCTTTTTCGTTCTGTCTTTTATCTTTCATACATTTTTGTAATCTTCATGTCACCATGACAACCTTTTAATCATTTTTTCCCTACATATCGCATTCCTTTCTCTTCTTTGTTATTTCTCTTCGTTTTTTGGTGGAGAAGGATAATTCCTCGGTTCCTTGTTTTTTTTTTTCTTACGTCCGTCTCCTCGATTTTATTATTCCCATGAACAGTTTCCCACTTCACGGTGCTGCAAGTCCAGCAATCACTGTAATATAGACCTCAACCTTACTATTTATAATAGATTGAATGAAAAGAGCTTGATCTTCCATTGCAATTGGATTTCACAGATTAAAAAAGAAGATTAATTTTATATCATCAAAGGCGACAGTGTCAAGATGAGCACTGATATACAGTAAATGTAATACGCTCTTAATTTGCTGCTGTCTGATGTATCCGGTGGTGGGCTGTTATAGACCGGGATTTGATCAGGCCGACTTGTCTGCAGATAACTCGGTGTACTTCCTGGTTGGTTGCATTTGAAATAGCGGTGGCAACCTTTGATGCATAAATCTTTGGTCACTCCATAATTGCATCCTTGTTGGCAAGCTTCGTCACGTCCATTACATTCCGCTACGGTGACGGGCCATTGGTATGGAGGACAATCAGGAACTTTGTTTTGGCAACTACAACCCCAAGCCATTGTTGTTGTGTTGCAGAAGCTACAGTAAATTGACGATTGTTAGAATAAAACGTCTCCAAATTTTGTACACGACAGATCATGAGACGTAGAACCTAAACAGGGAATCCATACTTTGAAGTAGTCGAATTCGGGCCTCCACATTCTTCCTACAATGTCAAAAGATCATAATCTTGAGTGGAAATGGTAAATATCCATGAGATAATATAGTCGTCTTACTGTGCAAAACGCTATCTGCTGATTGCAGATTTTGGATCGACGGGTCTCGTCCAATTCTAATATGGACCAAAATCTGACGGGTAAACCGACTAATAGAGTTCATTTTTTAATTAGGTCAATTATCTTGATCCCAAGTCATGAAACTAAGTATCATGCACTACACTTACTATTAGGACGGTTGGACACCGTCACAGACGATGACATGCCTTCATCATTAAGCTCTTCTGTGACGGAACCATCTGTGTGTGGCGATTGCGCCGTAGCTAAAGTGGTCGCCCAGCATAACAATAATGATAATTGCAACAAACAGAGCATAGAAAATAAAATTTATGAAAGTAAAAATGGAAAAGGTAAAATAGATAAAATAACAAAACTGAGAAACAAGGGAAAAAAAATCTAGGATGAGTGGTTGAATACGTGAGTCTAAGGAAAACAAGAAAGCGTTCTTTCAGTGAAGCACATGTGTATATTCATATGCTTACTGCTGAAAACTTCTTTTACGCTCGTGTAGACAGAGTAGCCAAGGAGTAGGAAGAGGGGGATGATTAACCCTATCTTTATTTTCCCTTTGCAGTATTAGCCATTGCTGCCACCCAAACCAGGATAATCACCCCTTTTTCCTGCCATCTATTCTGCGCCGTGCCCACAGTCGTTTCTTTGTAAAGTATAAAAAACTCAAGATACACTCCAGTTGTTGCAACGACAACAGAACAAAAGACAATCCATCCGCTCCTTTGGAAAAAGTCTGAATCAACCCTTTTGTTTCTGTCTTCAAACCACAGTGGCAGATCACAGTTGTCACTGTTTCTCATTATATCTTTGTCACGGCAAATGATTCGATGCTGGTCAAATGCCTCGACTGACGCATTATCAGCATCGACTTACTCAATGGAGTGCATTGGCAGTGTTGCTCTGTGCCATGTCCTTCAATATGCCAAAAATAGAAAAAAGAAATGACAAGAGAAATAAAAACCGTGATAATAAGGCAAATGAAAAAATAAAATAAGCTGGAAACTATTTTTCTCTGTCACACAAATACCAAAAGAGCGGCATTGTCAAAAAATGTCTATTTTTAGCTCTTGACTTATAAGGAAATGACATGGAACTGTGGCATTGCCAAATTACATGGCGGCATTTCCAATGCGGATAAAATACTGCAGCAACAGCTGCATGCTTTGATTTCATAACTGCCAAAGGATAATATTACCGTATGCATCGATCACCGAAGCAAAAATAGAGAAATAAGTCAAAATCACCCCTTCGACCACCATATCAATGATATTTTTCATTGCTAACCCCCAATATCACTCGATCACAGAAAGAAAGGAGACCAAAATACCACAGTCACTTTCCCCTCTTTCGCATATTAAAAAGCTGGCACTTTGTAGTAATTGCCGTGACTCATTACTTCTCTCAAGTTCCCATGGCGAACAAGCTTGTTCTCCTCTTTCTACTGGGAAACCTATGCATCGCCACTCTTATCATCAAAAGAGCCACGGCCCCGTCACTGGGTGTTTTTCGTCATACTTCGGTAATGCCCCCATTCCTGCGAATTGCACCTCAATACACTTCTGACCTCATTACAGCAATGCGTCGACATTAATCAGCAAGAAGATCGATGCACGTTTGTGTTGGAAAATTGTAACGATTTTAGTCGCCTTTACCTTCGATTCTATTATTGCACGACGTTATGGAAGCCGGTGGCCGCTGCCGTATTGGTAACACAGCGTTATGCAGAAACCGCATCCGTGACACCCACAGAGATTAAGTTTTTTTTTTGGGGGGCACTTCTTCGCTGTTAGAGTAGTGGGCTTTTGCTTTTATTCGGTGCTGTCAGCGTTGTTGCCTCGGATTTTTTTTGTAGGTTGAAAACCATGACAAAGGTTGCTTTTATTTACTGTTATTGAACATTCTTTCCGTGGTTAGGCCCTAATCTGCAAACCATTTCGTCAAAACTCAGTCTTTCCGAAAGCATGGTAAGCAGATTTATTGAAACCATTAAACCATTTGAACGCGGCAGTGATTGATGGATGATCTGTTCAATTTTAGGCTGGCGTCACTTTACTAGCATTTGGTAATGGAAGTCCTGATCTTTTCAGCACTTTTAGGTGAGTGTCGTCTCTGTAGGGAAAGGGGGAGGAGGGGGGGACCAAAAGGAAATCAATCGTAAGACAAGGGGGAGAGATCTGGACATATTTCTGCTTTTGTTTTTTGTTGAAAATGGATAATATATGTCTAAACCAAGCTATATTTGCAAAAAAAAAAAGTGCCATGAACACGGGCGCAGGTTCGCTGGCGATTGGTGAATTAATCGGGGCCGCATTTTTCATTGTGGCCATTGTTTCCGGGTGTATGGGAATTATCCGTCCCTTCAAGTCCAAGCGCATTACGTTTATGCGGGATGCATCTTTCCTTACAGGAGCTATTGTCATCATGACTTGGATTGTCTACCAACAGCGCATCCATTGGTATAATGGCGTCACATTGATTGTTTATTATTTGGCCTATGTGTCCGTAGTTGTCTTCAGTACATACCCCTTTTCTAAGCCAAATATGGAAGATATTGAGCAAAAATTGCCTACTGAAGTTGTCCCCAATGAGACATCGCAATTGCTAGGTAGAGAAAACCAGCATGATTCGAGGCTTATTCGCAAGCTTATAACAGACGTACAGGAAAGCACACGACACGACCGCCTCGGTTATCTATTCCCAACGATGGCTTCTCTTATACCAATACCGAATACAGCCGCCACTTGGGTCACATTATCTTGCCGGTGTCTCCCAAATCCACGTCGCCCCGGCCATCCCTTCATATTGACACCATCAATGTTCCCCGGAGCACAAGCACTCACGGCTCCTTATCTGCACGACCGCAGCGCCATCCAATGACGCCCCGCATAGGCATTCGAACTTCCTTATTTAGTGCGATTGAGGTAATTAAAAAAACTTTAGCATGAACCTACAGCACTACCATGCGTCGTCCACTAATTCGAGCATGGACATATTATCCCACCGCGTAGTTCCAAGAACAGATTAGCAGTATCCGACGTGCATCGAGCAGTAACCACTACATGCATCGTGATGCATGTCAACAACAACAATATCGACGACAACGGCAGCGATCCATGCCACAGCAAATGTGGAAGCGGTCCTCGCAACTTGTGGCACCAGGCGTGCAGCGACGTCGGCCACGCGCTTTCACCACGATCGATCAATTAATTGCTGTCACACCGGAACACTGTCAATCCGACAATGCTCACGGCACCACAGGCGTAGCAGAAGATTATTTTACTTACCTTTCCTCGCATCAACTGCCGGCGCGTAAAGGCCAATTGGCGTTGCCCGGTATCGATGTGACCATTCCTGAAATTATTCTAGCCCCACCGACGGCCAATGAAAACGAAGTGCAACGAGTGTATCAGCGGCAAGAACCCCAGCCGTCATTTCTGCATGAATCACACCCTCTGCCGTCGCCTCAGTATCTGGGTCAAACCTATGCATCCTCAAATTCAGCTGCAAGTCAGTCACTGAGCAAGCCATTTTACAGCGCCTCTTCCCTTATTCCTCCCAGCACAAGCTTTGCCACCTCTGATTATGATATCTATGTGTCAGCTCGACAGAGTCCGGAACACAGCCCATCACCATCCTTTCAGGACTGTCGCTACCTTTCACCGTTGACGCTAAAATCCATCTCTGCCGAATGTTCGTCACTGTCGCAGCTTTCCGGTTCGGGCCATTTTCTCAAAGAAGCGTACCAGATCCTGTTTCCGACGTTAAGGCATTGGAAAGAGAAAACTTTATTTTCTCAGCTAAGCTCGTTGATCGCCATGCCGCTCGTGTTGCTGTTTACGTTGACACTTCCTGTGGCTGAAGCGGACGATGTGAAAATCGATGGTGTGGAAGTGCTAGACGATGACAGCTTAACACCCGTTCCCACTGCTGACATGCCAGTGATGAAAGGGTACTTGACGGTATCGCCACCTCAGGAAGAATACACAGAGTTGCCTGACACCGCTTTGGATATGGAGGATGAAAATGCGCAGCAAGGCTGGTGCCGGTGGTTACTGGCAACGCAGGCTATAATTAGCATGACCTTTATTTTTGTTGTCATGGCCAGTAAGTTAAATGAGATGGAACGCCCACTGCGTTGATGAGCAAACTAAAATATTCTTCCATTTTTGCAGTTCACGAATTTATTGATGTGAATCATATTGGTATCGGCTTGGGATTGGGCACGATCCTGGCTGGCTTGGTGCTGGTTTTCACTAAAGCGGAAGAATCTCCTTCCTGGTTTTGGATGGTGTCCTTTGGTGGTTTCTTTGTTGCGCTGCACTGGATCTTCCTGCTGGCGAATGAAATGGTGGGATTACTGCAGGCGCTTGGTATCATTCTTGAAATCAGCGACGCTATCATGGGCTTAACCGTCTTTGCTTTGGTGAATGAATGTGTATTAGAATCACCATGTCACGTCCTCACTAACCAAAATGTGTATTGCGCAGGGTAACAGTATTGGTGATCTGGTAGCAAATACCGCCATCGCAAAGGTAAGACAAGATATTGCGACAGCTGTTGTCCATGGATGCGAAACTAAACGATCTTTCTTATTTATAGATGGGATTTCCAACAATGGCAATTTCTGCCTGCTATGCCGGCCCGCTTCTCAGTAAGTTGCTTGCATCTTTTTTGTAAATCCAGTCATGACTCATATTGTTGGTAGATATGGTTTTGGGTGTGGGCATCTCTTCGACCTACCAAACATGGACCACTGGACAAAGCTATACGTTGGATATCGCACCGACCATTCTCGTGTCCTGCAGTGGGCTGATTGTAGTTCTGATTAGCACGCTGGTTGTAGTCAGTTCCAACAACTATCACATCAATGGATCTCTCGGATGGTGGATGATATTTGTCTATTTCGTGTGTTGCACGATCAACTTTGCCCTAGAATTCAATTTGTTTCAATGTTGCACTTGAAAAAATTCAAAGCCTTCTGGCTGTTTCTATACCACCCTCTCTTTATTTTTCCTTCCTCAAAGTCGTATTCTCATTGTCCTTTCTTTGTAAATACATTATGAATCATCCATATAATCAAATCATATTGTTTGGGGTACAGTCATTTGAAGAATGAACCGGGCTTAATGATTCATTCAGTGTTAACATGGCGTCAATAGGATTCCATCACTCAGGTACCTTCCCCCATTAGAAGGAGTTCTCATTAGAAGGTCCTTCTGCCACATGCTGTGCGTGCTGAACCTTTTCAATAGATGAGTTTTGATCCTAACTTGCACGGTTTCGGTGCGGCGCTCGCCAGCGTATGTTCATATCACGTAATGTTGCAGCATTTGGTTTACTCACGTAATTCCAGGCCTACCAACGAAAAGTAGACGTGCTGAACCGTGGCTTTTCTGGTACGTATCTAATGGTGTTGCTCGAATGGCCGTGGGATGTTTAGTTGATATACGTTTTAGGATATAACACGGACTGGGCTATGCCCGTACTGCGTCAACTCTTGCCCACGGTGGAAGACCAAAAGAAACTGGCCACCAGCGCGTACCTCATGACCATCTTCTTTGGTGCCAACGATGCCTCGTTACCGTTCTCTTTCCAACATGTACCTCTCGAGCGTTTCCAAGCCAACTTGGAAAAAATGATTTCGCTCATCAAAGATCCTGCCTCGCCCTATTATAATCCCGGCTTGCGTATCCTCCTGGTCACACCTCCCCCATTGAATGAATCTCAGTGGGAAAAGTGTTGCATCGAGAAAGGAGAACCAATGAATCGTAGCGCAGAGGTCACCCGTACGTACGCAGATATGGTTCGCCACGTAGGCCAACAAGCCAATGTGGCTGTAGCCGATATATGGACACGGTTGACCGATCGTGCAAGGGAGGAACAGCAAGACCTATCCCATTATTCTTTCGACGGCCTTCATCTTAATCCTAATGGCAACAAGGTAATAAAAAGATCGTATCGGAAGAAAACGTAAGAAACATCCATGGCCCGTACTTACCGTCTGTTCAGGTGGCGGCAGAACTGTTTCTCGAGGTGATTCAACGTCAATTTCCAGAGATTTATCCCGATGCCTTGGAGATGGAACTTCCATCTTTCCGAGATCTGCCAGCTACCAATTACGAAAAGGCTTTGTTATTTCCGTTGCTGCAAAAGAAAAATGACTTATAATGTGGACCGGACGTGATTGTTTGTCAACGGTTGCCATTTTGCGACTTTCCAACTCTAAAACGCTAGATATCGTGAGTTGGACCAGTTTAACTTTAAATAAATGCCCTCCAAGCAAACAAAACAAGGTCATTTTTCATATGGCATTGCTACTGCATTGTATTTTCTGTAGCTTTATCTCTACTTCTTCACTTTGGACTCGGTGTGATGGTCCCTCAACCTCACCTTGTTGTGACGCATCGGGAATGGGTGAAACCCACGGTAGAAACTCCCGACCATTTACGGCGCACCCCGCTTTCGGATTGGGACATTGTCATGTTCAAATCGTACACTCCACTTTTAATATTTTATGCAAATAATGATCACACCCCGAACTTTATGAATACACGTACGCTCACGGAATCACTTTCACAAGTATTGGAAGATTTTTATCCTCTGGCGGGACGATTGGTTGATATCGGCAATGGACGCGACGAAATTGATTGCTGTGACGCTGGCGTTCTATTCCAGGTACGTAAGCCAACATGCTTCATGGTGTATTTCAGACAACTTTAATTTTCTTGAGCCTTTTAGGAAGCAGAGTACAACGAGTCGCTCGAAACATTTAGAGAAGCGGGATATTTACCGAATCAAATGGATTATCATCACATGTTTCCCATCCATTTCTACCGATCCGCTCGTGACCCTCTGCTAGCTATTCAAGTAAACAGATTCAAAGATGGTGGCGTTGCCTTGGCAGTGATGATCTTGCATAAAGTAGCTGACAACTACTCGGCCTGCTTCTTCCTTGACGCGTGGGCAAAACGTGCGCGCGGCGTCAAGTATGTTCAAGGCAATTTTCAGCGTGATTTGGTCGCTGTGCCACCCAGTACCGTGATCACCGACGAAGCGATTGCCCATTATCGCGAAGAACACCGTGTGTACAAAGAAGACGCAACGTCCCACATTGTACGTGTGGATCCCAATCAATCTCGCTTTTCCCGCACGTCACCCATTGGACCCAAGCCCTTGAAATCAGTAATTCTCGAGTTCTACTCTGACGGGCTCCAACTTTGCAAGAAAGACGCACATACAACGGAAATGATCCTCAGTCGCAACTGGCTGTCTACAAAAGACGCTTTGTTTGCTATGCTTTTGAGAGCCATTGTCCGATGTCGCGAAATTCCGGAAGACCAACCAGTCAAGATGGTCTTATCTGTGAATGGACGTTCAAAGATGAAAAATCAAAAGGAAATGGATTATTATTTCGGCAACTGGATGATGTAAGTTGACGTGCCATAGGAAATTGATGTTGTTTATATTTTTGACTCGACTTTGGTCCTTATTTCAACATAGATCGCGCTCCGTTGCCACCACAAAGCGTGAAGTGGAACAAACTTGCTTGGCGTATACAGCTGCAACCTTTCGACAAAAGCTTGCCAGCTTGAAAGCTTCTTTGTTCCACAGTATCAGTAAACTTTATACTATGCACGAAGATATGACGGTCCATTATCTCTCCTATCAGTCTAATTCTAACGCTCGTTTGACAGCCAGTGATGTATCAATGCTGCCATTTTGGCGACTGGATTTTGGATTCGGTAGACCGGACCGAACACGCGGCTACATCACTTTTGGTGGCAATGGCTGCCTGATCGTCTTTGGTCGTAGCGACGGCAACAAAGGCGCCATGTACGATGTACAACTACAAATGGACGCGGATTCCATTGGTCGTTTCATCAAAGATCCAGAGGTCAGAAAATACTCAAGGCGTATCCTATATTGATTGTCATTTTGCTTTGATAAACTTTTTTCTCCATGTCAACAAAGACGCCATGAAGCCAATATATCAATATTTTAACCACCGCGTGTCATTTTTGCTTTCACTGGCCCTTTTCACTTAAGCCCCGATAACAATGTGATTGTGTTCTGCCCATTGCTTTGGTATATAATTTGTCATGTGTGCACCGCTAATTAGAAGACCACCGAACATTGCGAGCTCGGGGTAAGTGAATAATATGTAAGACATCCTTGAGATATGCCAGCACAGCAATACACCTTGTATTGACATATTTACTCTTGCGAAAGATTATTTGTTACTGTATGATGCAGGACATACAACGTTCTGCATGCCTTGCAGTAAAAGAAAGTTTACAATAACCCGACTTGATAAAGCATGCAACATGTGCTACTGAAATCCCTTTTCCTTTTTTGCCGTGTTGCTTAGGAGCAAGTATTCAGACATCATTTTCATATTGCGTAGGCATCGTTATTATGAGGTGGCCAAAATTTGTTAGTATTGATATGGCCTGGTACAAGGAGGAGAGCGTTCTTCTTAAAACCCGGGAATATCGTCCAGTTATTACAGTACGTATACTGTTTATTGCCACTCAATCGATCATCAGATAGATGCTGTATTACGAAAGTGATACGCAGATCTGGCAACTAAATCGGAAGCGACCAAACATGTGTAAAAAAAAAAAATATAGCTCAAATCTATCGGAAATACCCAGTTTGATAAAGTATCGAACCATACCATCTCGGTATCAATATCTAACTTACTCATACATCTTTTGGTTATTCTCTCTTCTATTGGTATTGTTATCACGGAATTTTTTTAATGCTTTGTGTAAGGGACTTTATTTGTGTAAGAAATGTAGAGAAAAAAGGAGCAGTGAAGTCACGTGGACTATTAACAGTTGACGTCACAATACCGGCGGCGGACCGGGGACACGCATCTTCCGGTGGGGTCCAACATTTTTGAGAGAAACTTTAGAAAAAAAAAAAGGCATGATACCCCGCTTGGTGTAATTTTTTAACAGTTTATGACGTAAAAGTGTGTTCATTGTTAAAAGGTTTATTTTCTTTTTTCTGCACGCAACGAGGGTATGAGAAACAGCCGATTGAGTAACAGAGAAGAAGGGTCAGAAGTATGCAAATACGTAGCGGCACACTGAGACGATATGGGAATGACCTGAACCAAGGAAGCACCGGTAATTCTTGTGAAGCTTATGTCCAAAAGAGGAAAGTTACGCATGGGGACCAGAAAGCAAGGGAATCGGGGAGGTGGAAAAGCTATCATGAGACTTTGTGAATCCTGATTCAATTCAAAGCCACAGAAGGAAGGGGTGATTATGACCGAAATATAAATACTTATGCGTTTCTCCCAAAAAGAGATGGCCTAATCCTTGACCCTTCTCTTTTTCCTTCACTCATCCCGCATAGAGGGTTTCCCATACTAAGCAAGTCAATCTTAAAGTTTTCGGTTATTCCCGCCCCCCCCCCTTTTGTGTGCATTCATTTCCCAATTATCATTGATTTTATATTATGAAGCCTGCTTACACTATCAATACATCATCGCTTCACTCCAACGACAAGATGGATCCTCATGCTCCTTTGACTCCGCCTGCAGAAAAACGACAATTTAGTCCTACCGAGCGTAAACCGTCCGTGACCTTTGACTTTTCCAACTTGTCTGATGAAACAGCGGCTGAAAATTACGGAACGGAAAACGCTAATATGGAAACCCCTGCTTTGTTATCCCCTCTATCGCCTTTGCAACCCGCCGTGAGCGTGGATATCAATGCACAGGCGGTACCGGACACGATTCTTGTTGCACTTTTAGATCGTGAAAAAGAAATGCGCGATTTGGTGCGACATAACCATCAATTTTTCCAATCACTGGAAACTCATTTACAATCCATGTGGCCACGGTTTGAGAATACACTGTATGTTCCCCGTTTGCAAATGCCAGACAGTGACTGGATAAAGCGATTATCCAAAGCACTCGAAGGCGCTCCATCGTTACTGGGAACGTTCAAAGAGCTGGTGGGTTATCTCGGAGAGGACGAGCATGCTGCATCCATGAACGATGATGAATGCCATGCAACGGCTTATGAAGAACCCGCCTTTGCCAACGTTGATATTACGCACATTCGAAAATATCCTCAACGACTGGCCAAATTTCCTGATGCCTACCCTCAGTTTTTCATTAATTGTGAAGAAGCCATGAAGTCGACTCCACTTTCACCTTCTCGAACCCAGCGACACAAATCACTGCATTCGTCACCACCGCAGCATGATGAGGATGCTTACACCCTGTTCCGACAAACATTATTCACTTCACGCGATACATTACCGGATGATGTATGGGAAACCAAGATTTACGATCAGCTTGATCAATGGCCCAACTTGATCGATCAGTTAAAAGAAATTGTCGCTTACGAGGTCGAAGACGAAGAGGATGACGAGCAATAGAAAATCCATTGGTATCGTATGCGATATAGTGTAAATGAAATGAACCTGCGGTTCATTAAACTTGCTATTCAAGACTGCGTGTAGTAACTCACTTCCCCTTCTCCTTTAACTATTTTACCGCTACTCTTTTTTGTTTAGTTGACCTTTTTTCCATCTTTGTTTTTTCTCATGCATTGTACAATGTTTTATTTTATTTTTATTTTTCGCCATGTTTTTCCTTCGTAATATTGTTTTTTTTTTCTCTTTATTTTTCAAAACATGATCATCATCTCGTGAGATTCGGGTCATTCATCAACTCAAAAAAAAAAAGTGAGGGCACATATAAACAAATGCATATGCACTCAAAAATCGATCTATGAATCGAATACACTATCAAGACCTAACACCATGGTCTAGTTGAACGTGGATTTCTCTCTTGAATAGCGTACTCAAGGGCACCAAAGTAGGGTTGGGAACACGCATCCTGCCGGTCTCTATTACTATGTCATGAGAATGTTGAATGGATAATAATAAAAAGGGGAGTTTATCTATCTCTCTCCTGCCAAAATAAGGTATCCTTATGTAACTTAACTTTATGCATATATCTCTTATCATGCAGTTAGATCCTGGCCTACTGCTTCAAAAGTGTTAATGTTTCCATTGGAACCATGATGTTCAGGTAGAAGATAATTGGATGGGGCTCTATATTGGCGTTGTTGTTTTCACTACAAAATGAATTTCCCGCGCTCATTCTTCTTTTGGGAATGTTGTACAACCCCTATTTATTTAACTTGCTCCATACTGGCACCCTCCTGATCACGGTATCTGAAAACCGATCTCAAAAGAAAATACCTACTTGTTTCTGTAAGAAGAATATGGCAAAACCCACTCTAATCAATTTCTGCAATGCTGCCTCAATTGGGAAAAAATGGTCGTTTTAACACCCTCGACGAATGTTTATGCTCACGATGGGTAAAATACCTATATGGACATATACGGATTACGCGTCGCATCAATTCTCATGAGCAAGAAATATGTCGGCATCACTTGACCAATAATTGCGTCAACATAACCTGTTGGGACTAATATGATATTGTAGTTTTCCAGTAATAAAAAGTGAAACCTCACTGCAAGTAAAGCAATCATCCGTGGCACGACATAATTGCAGCGCCTTTGACCATTGCTTTATTTTCAAGTTGTATTTTCGGTAAATTGTTCGATTCTCCCGAATCAATCCATGAAATAGCAATAAATACAAAAAAGTGTGTGATATTACTGATGATCTTCCACTTTCCACGGGGCCGAAAGCTACTTGAGTGAGAAACACTGAACATGTATCCATCATTGCCCATGATACAAAACATATGCAGTCTGATTTGCATTAGAAAGGGGTTTTGTCATCTGTTGACTCAAGTTTGGCGTATGTGGTAGTACCCTGCTCGTGGGTGCACAGGAGTATGCTACCGCCATCGTCAACAGTAAAATAGAGGCCGTAGCAGCCACATCAATCAATGTCAACGCTTTGCATCACAAAGGGTCTATCATCCCTAGAGATACGATTAAGGGGATGGCTGAGCGTCCTTACTAACTGACAAATTCTGCACCTGACCTAGACAGCACTTTTATAAGTACATTCAAGTCTTCCTCTGAGTGAAACGACTAGAATCGTCTATGATCGGTGAGAAAGAAGCAGAATAACCATACATAGCTTAGGATCGTTTCGCATCCAGACGCTAAACTGCTTTCCGGTGGGTTTGTGCTCGTCGCTAGAAACTCAGGAAAGCGGAACGATCATTTCCCACACATGATGCATCCATTGACCTCTTAGCCCGCTCATCACTTCAAAAATCCATGCGTTTTCCATATGTAGGCAAAATGGTCCAGTGGAATGATGAATATATTTACAAAGACATTGAAATAAAACGTGATCTCATTCAGTTTAAAAGATACCAGCTTGATGGAAGATGCGAATAACAGTCGTGATGTGATGGCGTCTCTCGTGTGACACAGGAAACTCCTAATAACAATCCATGAGTAACACAGTTTACCGTTGCAATTACACAGCATTCGACATACTACCTTCAAAAGGATGCTCTGAAGCTCTTCATATGATGCGCTACTGCTGCTTGCTCCAGGGGCGCTTTTGTGAGTCAACAGGATTTCAAGTAACCGTCCCGCTGTCTTGCCAACGTCATTTTCAGGAAATATGACTTTGCATAGTGACTTGAGTTGACCCAGCTTCTCCATGTCGTCTTTATTCTCACTCAAATCTGATTCCTCTTTAGGCGGTGTATCTAACAATTCAGAGATGGCTTCAGCAATGCATTCATCATACAGATAATCTCTATTGACAGTTACCTATAGAAATGGAAGGTTCCGCTACAGTGTCTGAACCGTCGACGGTCTCGTTGGTTAAAACCATTTCAAGATGTTTTTCTTGATATTCACGTCTCTTATCATCCACTTTCCGTTTGAGATCCGTCAGCTCATCCAGTAGTTGCTGTCGTCTTGATTCTTGTTCTTTTGTTGGTATATTTGCGTTGTAAGCATTCTAATAATGTTGATTTTAGAATATGTCATGAATGGAGGTCAGTACTATTTCCATTATACCTCCACCATCTTTAGTTGAGGCTCCAAATCGAGAGTTTGTTTTTCAAGCCGTGTTAATGCATCATCCTTGTTTATGAACACTTGTTAGTTCGTCACTGATATCAGATCACATTTAAATAAACCATCGTACCTTTGCTTTTACTTCATGTTGACTTTGCTGGATCGCCCTTGACAAACTGGCTTTTTTCTGTCTCAACCGTTTCAACTGTTTCATGTGTTCGTCTGTCCTTCGTTTACGTTGATTGATATCAGTTCGTGAAGGTAACGAGGCTGATTCGGTGCGTAAGCGATTGACTTGCTGTTCTTGTTCTTCCAGCTTTCGCATATCATACCAAGCTTTAGAAAAAAAAATTCCCTCTTTCGACACCGAATTATAGATGTATACCTTTGTTTCGAGAGCTGCTTCTTCAGCAGCCAACTTATTCAGGAGGATCTCGGCTTCTTGGATCAACGACTGTATTTGAGGAGCTAATTCTACAGCGATGGCCGATTGCGCCACGCCAATGTCGGATTGCGTTACTAACTCGTATTTCTAAAAAGAAGAGAACGGTTAATGATCGCCATCACAAGGAGAACCAGTGTGCTTGATGAATTTAATACCCGTTCAAATTGCGTGACCTTTCTGATGCGGCCAAAATCCTCTGTAACATCCCGTAACGTGTGAACCGAACTTGATAACTATGTTGTAGATTAATACCACGTTACTTTGATTTGCGCATTACCGTCCCATTCTACTTACTGCCTTCAAAGTGGATTCCAGCTTGCTTGTCGATCCTTCCAAGCTAGCAATGACGTTGGCAGATCCATCAAAAACATCATTGTCCCGTTTTCGTTTACGAGCGGCTGTACGGTCAGGTGGCGGATCAATCGCACGGAGCATGACAAGAAATGAAAGTGAGCATTCCAAAATAGTGATAGCGTCCAGAATAGGTCAGCGAAAACGCGTGGCGGACTTTAAATATTATCGCAACTTGAGACGGACCAAGGGAGTCTTTTTGAGGGCACTCCTTTTTCTTCTCAAGTTATGCCAGTTTCTAGACGACTATTTTTATTTCACAAAAGAAAGACCTATGATAACGAGCTTACCGCTTACTCCAGCAAAATGATCGCGTGGAAGCTCTCGAGACCTGTTAAAGACAATCACGAAAGACAGAATGTGCGCGTCGAGGGTGGCGATTCGTGGTGCAGTCAAAGTATTTTCGGCACTCAAACTTCGAACCTGTCTGGAAGCCCTACAGCATTGCAAGATTGCCAGTGCAATAACCGACGAAAAGGAACTTACTCCGAAGCGTGACGTGGAAGCGACTGGAAGAACGAAGGCCAGTCAGAAAATTGGCTGCGGCTCTTACATCAAAGCGAAGAGTGAGAAGTTGGATGGCTCGATAAAACGAATGTCTCCAGCAAGTTCTATGAATTTCAAACCCATGCGCAAAATTTGCCAATGGAAGATAGTGGCAACATCCTTTGGTGAGCTTTAGCAAAAAAAAAAAAAAAAAAAAAAAAAAAAAAAACCAACGGAAGAATTCTCATTGACTTACTTTATTAGGATTTGCTGCTGCAACAAATTGACAAAGATGAAACAACGGTTCGACATTTTTCTCCTAAAAAAATGACCTATCGCCAACGGAGTATCGTATCGCCAAATCAGTGGCATTGTTAGTACAAAAGCTGCCATTGGACAATATCGAGAGCACGATCATGGAGCAGCAGTTGACTACTCGATTTTTGGGATTTCACGATGGCGCCACCCTTTGAAACACAGCAACAGACACATTTTGCCGCTGGGCGGCTACTGCGAATGATGAGTGTCGGGCTCCGCCTAACATTAATCATTAATCAAGATCGCCCTGATGCCTACGTCACTGCATTCAACGGTGCGGTTTGGGGCCTTAGCCATGGATTTGGTGAAGTCAAATGCGTCAGACAAGCCGAAAACAAATTTGCGGTGGCAAAAGACCTTGTCCGTCTGCGGTAGTTCTCAAAAATGCATAATATAAATAGCGTTTTGGTCTTTCAGGTTGTGGGCCGTCATGTCTTTTTTTTATTTGGCAAAGTTGATGCATGACGGGTGTATATCATGCTGGAAATTGACAAGATCGAATTGCCTGCATCGGTATACGCTTTAGCGACCTACGTTGCACAGGCCCATCGACTGTTGAATGTGATCAGCGTATATCAGCAGTGCTTGTACTGACGATGCGTGATATTCTGTGCAATCGAAAACGGAAAAACAATGACCTTGTAAACAGCGTTGATGTAAAAACTCGAGATCGGAAACGTCCTTCTATCACCACCTACCGACACCAATAAAAATCCCTATCATTGATATGTGCATCCAGTAATCTGTATCCCAGCTCCTTAGTCTTTTTTTTATATTCTTTTCAAGTAGTAAATGATTTATGAATTAACAGCGCTCTCAATGTATTATAGGAGGAAGAGCAGATATGGGCAGGTTAAATATTGACACATTTTCATTCCACCGTGATCTTTAGTTCTGTCAGAAACACCATAAAAAAAACCAATCACCCAACGAGCTACAATACTTTCGCTAATGTTGTTGTCATTTCTCTTTCGTCTTCACCTCAGCAATGATGATCCGATCGGCCTGTAGTCATTAGATGACAGCCTTTGATACCAACCAACCGGCTTTTAGCCCATTACAGTATGTTTGTTTCGTGGTTCCTGATTGTGCAAGAATGCATACGGCCTGTATCCTTTGGATGACCGTCCCGGAATACCACCCAACTGCAGCATAGACTTCTTATCCCTTTATGTTCGCAATTCCTTGTTTGGATCCTCTTGAGGAGGGTTTTCTATTTACGTTCGCCTTCGCTCACGATTCTTTTTCCTACGATCTTCTGCCACCTTTGTCCTTTCTTTTTTCCTAGATAGCATTGTCTCCACAATTTTCCAATCACTATCCTTCAGTGACTGATGCGTCGTGGCTTGCCTGTGAGTTGCGCATTCGGATATTCTACGCTGCTCTACATCACCTATCGATACGTCTCAATCTCATCCCTACATCGAGGCTCGTCTCTGCACAACTAAACCTATACCCTTCTTTACATCAAGATTATACCGTCATTGGCGTCCTACCTCGCTTCTGTACTCTTTTCTTTCAACCTTCCAGGCCAACCTAACTTCACGGCAGTGGAATCGATTATAGTCTCGTCACTTTTTTTTCCGTGGTTCGCAACCTTTGGTATCGCCGCTCTTCTCCAGTGCCTTCCGTCGTCATTTCTACTGGCCTTCTATATGGCCTATAGTTACCAGACTGAGAGTTTATTTTGAATAATTGCCCCTGAAATGGTTTTGATTTCTGACACTCGAGATTTATTTCGCTCTTTTGATTTGAACTCCGCTTATTTCGATTAAAGTGGGCGGAGCCGCTCTCCAGGACGCGCGTTCAAATAAAATTTTGGATCACTGGTTCCCCGCTAAAAAAAAAAAAAAGGAGAATCGTACGATTCTGCATATCAGCTTTTCCACTCATAGTGTATTCATTTGTTTGTTTTCAAAAATAGTTATCATTACAGATTTGGAATTGTGTCCACGTCCATCGTTCCAAAGCCGGCGTTAGCTTCTCTTGTTCGTGAAGGATGCTCAAGCTTTGTACAACATTGCAAGATGATTCATCATTTTGTTTCAGATTTGCCTTTTGTTCCTGAAAAAGAACACAGCTGTCGACCGTCTCTTTATTGCAGGAATCTTTAGTCCTAGAAGCATATAATATATGGTAGGACTAACGAAAGAATATAGATACAGATCAATACAAAAAAAAGAAAACCAATAAGCCGAAATAAAAAAGTAATACGGTAGATGAAAACACAAAAATGGCCCAGGAAGAATACGCTGATTGACTCATTATAGCCTACTGCACAAATTGATGTTTTTGACGCATGGCACATGGAGGAAGCAGTCTTTCCATATCCCCTTTGACATCTTCCTTCACTTGTAAATGTCGGTTTAGAGCATCTTGCCTCGCGAACCGCTTGGGACAATAACGACACGCATAGGGTTTGATGCCAAGGTGAAGTTTGCAGTGTCTATTTCGATCATGCTGCCGTGCGAATCGCTTGGGACATTGCCCACACTCAAACGGTCGCTCGGCCGTATGCGTTCGTCGATGCGACTTTAAGTTGTACGTTCGCGTAAATGTTTTTTGACATCCTGGGAAATCGCACTGATACATACTGTTGCCGGCTCGTCGACGTTGGGTGGAAGCCGCAGGCCGAACTGGCGGAACCGTTGCGTTGGGTGAAGTACTGCTGGTGTCGCGTACACTTTGGCCGCTGCTGCTGCTGCTGCTGCTGCATCCGGTATTGTTAGATAGACTGAGATTTACCAAATTATGAGCGTATGGAAGCACTTTCTTTTGCTTTCTTCTCTTTTTGTTGCCTTTATACGGTTGGTTCATTTTTTCCATGCTGGGGTCTGGATACGAGATTTCGGTATCTTTGGGAGTGGGAAGTGATATCTCTTGAACGGAAGTGGGAGAGGAAGTAGATGGATATTCGGCCAGTAACAACGAATGGTCGATGTGCGATGAACTACCGTGATAGTCAAATATGCCGGCTATTTGCTGATGCTGATTTGGTTGGAATGACCACATCGTTGGCTGCGGCGCGGAAGTAAGAGAGGATGGTTTGGAGGAGAAATACGCAGATGGGTTTTCGACCAGCGAATAAACAGCTTCAAATAAAGCTGCAGGTATCTGCTGGCGTGGAGATTGATGATGATGTTGTGGCGGGTGGGAAGATGGTGAGGATTGTGATGGTGATAGAGGTAAGGTGAATTTATTTTCTGTCAAGCTGGGTGGAGAATTCATAGGTGAATGCGCTGGTGAAGGGTAGCATATCGGAGATTGGAGGGTATAGGGTAGATCAAACGGTTTAACGTCTTCAATATAAAACGACATGGGATACATATTATTCATTATTGGCGGCGGGTCTTGTGGAATATGGAAATAAGAGGAAGAAAAGTTCAGGATGGATAAAAGAATTACAGTTGGAGAAAAGAAAACAGAGAAGAACACTTCAGAGGGAAAATAACAGGATCAGTCGCCGAAAAATTAAAACTGAGCAAAATATATACAAAAAAAAAGGAGCTTTTGATTTATAAACAGTGGGCTACCATTTCGGCACCTGTGTAACCTCATACCACAATGCGATCGCTTTTTTCTCTATCTCCTCTTCATATGACTTGCAGTTATCGCGCGAAACGGAGACGAGGTCGGTCACACAAGTTGTCTCTGGCGAACTCAAAAACGGTAAAAATCCAAAAATCCTCTACCGCCCATCGGCCGCCGATTCTTCTTTTGGAATCCAACCATCGCTCGTTCTTTTTTTTTTTTATCCCCATTGCGAATAAACTCGTTTTCCCCCATTAATTAACTTCTTGACTTTTATGATCTATGCTTAGTGTCAATAAACTGCACTGGTGAACGTTCCATCAGTGCCCATGGATCGATTGAATTTTCATAACTGGGTTATGTGGCGATAATCTCCACAAAAATGTCCGCATCCGGTAGAAACATAATATCCATGCTATAACCATGTCTCACCTCGACTTGCTAACCATGACAATTACTTTGAATGTTGCTGTGTCACTAAGCGTTTTTTCATACTGTTACCATAGCAACGGCGCACCGTTACCAAACGGGAGCGCGGAGATTGCTCTTCAAATTGAATAAACTGTAAAACCCAAAACACAATATGGGCAGTAAATGGAAAGTTTGGAACTCACCCCACATCCCAAATGATGAATGAAATATCTCTAGCGGATATCAAAAGAGTTTGGACTCGCCTTTTCAAAATTGTCATTGCTGGTTGATCGAATTTTTTTTTTTATGATCGACCGGAAATAGCTTAATTCGTTTCATCTTTTTCGCTCAGCAAAAAGCGTAGTATCCATATGCGCCCGTGATGGCGATTGTGCCTGTTACGGCATCAAATAACGATTAGATCGTGCTGCCGCTCAGTCATGACTTTATTGACATCATACAAGTGGTACGACAGCTTATGCAGGGCTCACAAAACTATCCATTTGGTAAATTCATACTTGAGTTGACGAGAATCTTTTGGTGACGACTCTATCGACAGTCTCAGTCAACCCTCACCTTGAACATGAAGCGCTTGATAGCTGTATCTCAATTTTTGGACTGGTTCCTTCCCGTTCCAATGTGGGACAACATGCATCAGATTTGATAAGATTAGATCATGTCATACAGCGAGCATTATCTGCAAGAAACTGACAGCCGACGGAGTCGTTCTTCCAGGCATACTCGACTCTGTCAATAGCTACTCAAAATACAGTTGGCGTGTAGGCACCCGTATGCTGATATGGTCACTGCTTCACCGATTCGCGTCATGGTGGGCGGATCAACTTACCAAAAAACTGTGTGTGAAAGAGTGATAAACAATGTGAACTCCGCCTACAGAATGATCCGCTCATTCCCACTCAACGGGACATTTCGGTTTTAGGATTTTTAGTTGGGCCAATCGTTGGCAACCTTGCAAACTATGCCATTTGCCGATCTCCCGGTGAACCGCAGCAGGATTGATCCAAAAAAGGCTCCTTGCCAGTGAACGCGTTTCCCAAAACGTCAACTACATTGATTACGTCGCACCAAGACAATTTCACCTTGCATCGCGTGGAAGGTGGTGAGAAGCCTTCCCAGATCAAGGTGGGCAATTGAAGCTATAAAGTATATGTAATGCATTGGAACTATACTCGAGCTGTGTTTTTGGTTATTCCATGTGCGTTTCCTTTTTTTGCATCTCCAGATCTCAAATCGCTTTTTTTTCTTTATTCAGCTATCTTTCAGATTTAGTGCGGAAAAGATATGTTATTCTCGCTGTGTTAGTTATTAAAAGTTTGTGCAGATCAGTAAAGGCTAATTTCCTTCTGTACTTCTTCACAAGGTGTTTTCCTTTTCAGGGTATCATTTTGCTGACACCGTATGTTCTCGTCAAGGAGCCAATTCCAGTATTCGCTTTCCAGCGCTCTTCTTTCCATGCCATTGAGCATACGGAAAGCCGCCAAGAGCTCGTATCGTAAGGCACCCAGCCGCTCTCGTGTGTACCTTAGTTCAGCTGCCATCAACCGATGTTGCCCACTGTACCAGCTGTAATTGGATTCTGCCAACGTACTGACGCGCGAAACCTGAAATGCTTCATAATTCCTATGTTCACGGTGAATACGTCTCGTAGGTCATTCGTCTTTCTTTTAAGTTTGCGCCTTACTTTGCGTTGGCATGATCTAACCCAATGGATTTGCCGGTCAGTTCATCATCGATATCCCGTAAATACACAGCTCTCCAGACAATCTTGATATTATTGTCTTGTCGCATTGTCGGCAGATTACTGGAGCTCTTCCAAGAAAACGCAATGTAAAGTGCTGCCATGAGCAATAATAAGGTCATCCCCCAATGAGGGATGGATGATAGGTGGGACAATGCCTGCTGTAATTTCCCCGTATCATGGTCGCTTTTCAAGACTGGTGGTGGCTGATCGGATATCTCGTTGGCGTTTGCTTTTTCATTGAGAGCGTCCTTTGGCAGACTCTTTGCTAAACCCGACGCTTGGGCTGCTTCTTGCTTGATAATTGGTACCAACGCGTTCACGGTTTCGCTCAGCCCTTTATTGGCGGCTTTACTGATCATACCTGTGATGAAGAATTACTTGCATCAGTTTGCCTCGTCCAGTGTCTTTGTCAGTTCCCATTTTACCTTTCATAACCACCGATTTCAGCCATTTGATTCCGATACTGCAGCGCAAGCGGCAGCTCGATGGCGTGACGTATGTAACGCAGTATTTTACAGAGGGTACAAAGGCATCTGCATACGGCAAATGCGGCGTTTTTGTGGTAACCAGAGCCACATAGCAGCTAACGAAACTCCCATTAGCAAATTTGTTCCGTGGATGCTGGTAGAACCACCACTTACAGGTACTCTTCCTGCTTTAGTATCTGATGTGTTTCAATCACTTCGGTTTCTTTGGCTTTCACTGTAATTACATTTGTAGATTAGGGATCAACGGGTTTGGGAATTCCAAATGCAAAAAAAAAAAAAAAAAAAAAAACCTTACCCATAGGATTGCTGACAGGCATAATATATTTCAATATCCGTTCTGGACAGCCATCCTTATTAGCGCTCCATGCCGTTATGCTTGGCTCCCCATTGCCTTTTGCTTGATTGAGCTTGCTCCATACGGTGGTTTGGCCGTCTTTCTCCTCAGAGGGTTCAAACATCAGCGTAAACAACCTCTTCGCGCTGATCGGTAGGGTCAGTTCTGCCTCTTTCTTATCCAAATGATCGGCGCATTGACATTCGATAGGCGTTTTCGGCTTGGTTCTACCCGCTGGCCAGTCATCCTCGCTTTGGGTAGCCAGAGTCTCCGCTTGTTTTTTCGCTTCGATATTTTTCGAGGCTGTATCCGTGGTAGAAGTAGCTAATTTTCCAGAGACAGCGCTCATAGCAGCAGCCAAAGCGCCGGTTGCAGGAGATGATCGATTGGTCGAATGGCTACTATCTGACCCGTCTGTCGCATTTCCCGACGCAGCAGGATCGCTACCGACTGCTGGTTGCGTCGGCAAATTGGAAAGCTGAGGATGCGCCTGCACTGTCAAGGGTGTTACCGCTGCATTCAAAGCGCTCATCGGTGTGACATGGCTAAGAGGTCTTTTGGATTTGGTTCGACCCGCGTTGGCGTTGCGAATCGACTCAAAGAGGACCTGAAGATCTTCCCTCTACACACGAGATAAACGGTGAATAATTCTGTTGTTTGAATGCCTAACGGTAATGCGTCACCTCTGAATTTTTAGCCGCTTCCACAGCTATCTTTAGTCGTTCGCTGACTAATTCAGCGGCTTCCAACCACAATCCGAAACTGAACGTCTGCACAGGGTCGGTTTTTAGATCGATAGACATCAACATTCCGTTCGACGGTGATGATAGCGCTCGTTCAAGACGAATAGCCTTGATTTGTTCTAAGGGTACCACCAGCTAACGAAGGAATGGATCATCAGTAACCCTTACACCAACGTCATATGGTGTGAGCCTGAATTACCGTGTTCAAACATGTCATCAACGTATTACTGTAGAACCATAAATGCGATTGAGTAAGATAACCATCACCGGCATAGCCATATTTTGCCAAGGGAGGAGTGGAGGTCCATGTTGCAGTATCATCGGGATCCACTCCTGGTTCTGCCATTGGTTGGTGATACATTGTAGCTACGAACACTGTACCGACGATTGTGAGAAAAACGGTGTAACTCAAACCACAGCTTCCATAACCTATGTTCCGCGTGCAAATGATTACCATCCATGACGACTTCAGTAGACGGTACGTGGGAAAACAGTTGCCGAAGTTCCTGATGGCGATTCAGCAATTCTGGCGGATAGTTCGATAGATGAACATTGGAAGCCTCGATTTCTCGTTTGTTCGGCCAAATGATCAATGCTCCTCCTTCGGTGGCATACGGCGGATTCGCGGACTGGTCATGTCCATTGGATGTGGGATCAACGGTATTTGAAAGGGCGCTGATACCAGATATCAGCCACGGCATGGACCAGGACGAAGATGGTTGCGGTTGCTGTGCCGCTTCCAATCCACCGTTGGTCGTATCGGATTCGGTTTCCGTAGGTTCCGTTGGATTGGATTTTTTCCCGTCCTCGGCGGCTTCAGGTATGACGGCCGTTTCCTGGAGCATCAATGCCGTCAGAGCAAAGGCCACGGATTGTTGATAAGATAAATTCTCCTCATTGTTTAATTCATCGGTATCTTCTGCCGTCCCCAAAGATTCGAAAAATGGAGGCGTGAGTTCCTTGGAGCTTCCATTGCCTGTATGGTGCGATAAAGAGAACGGTTGAGGATACAGTAGCGAACGAGGCACAGACGAAACGGAGGCGGGATGTTCTTTAGTTGTTGAAACCGAGGATTCAGAGCGTTGACGCGAAAGACGTTTTTCTTTGTGAAGCATATCTTTACATTTCTCCAGCGCCCACACCCACTGCTGCATATCTTCATCTGTTTCTGCTTGCACAAGAAATGTGCTAAAAAATAATTCATCAAATGGTCAAGCTCAGCAGAGATTTTGCTGCAATGAAAAGCATGGAACATACCTTTGAGGTGAGATAATCTCGAAAGAGTAACGGCGATCCATATCGGTCACGATCTTGCCTTCGCATTCCTCTATAGAAGCACGTTCGCCAATAACAACGCAGCCTTTCACTTTGTTGACAGTGGATACATGACAATATCCAAACCAACCATCTTGTAGGAAGAACCATCGTCTTACCCAGGAATACCGCGCCGGTTTTCCCACAATAATCCGAGCATAGAGGTATCCTTGCTTCGATGGGTGTTCCTTGGGATGGTCGGTTTCTGAATACTCGGAAGGTGATTCATAGCCAGAGTATTTGTCGTCGCGATCGCCCTGCGCCATTGATACCGACACCGCCGACATTTGGTCATTGTTAGAAGTTGAGTACCGTTTTAGGGAACGGTGTGGGCGCGATCGTTGGATAAACTGGTCCTCAAGCGTGTGGCAACGCTTTTTCATGAATTCGATTTGTGAAGTATACGTTGCCTTCCACTGGATCAAATCCACTATTAGACAAGCACACAAACTTTTTTTTTCTCCTCACCGTGCCTCCATTCCTCATGATATGCCGGTTCCCTGATAGGCCAGTGAAAGCCATACTTACTTCTTCGAGACATTGTCGCCAACCGGGTAAGAGCGTCCGAGACTGGGTATGTGCAATGGCTAAATCGTCATTTTCTTCGATCTGTGCCGCGATGGCTCCGGAGAACGATCCCACGAGTAATTCTTCCAGGCATGCTTTGAAGGAGATCAGCTGGGTGAAGTATTCTCCACTGGTGCGTATATAAGTCTTTCGGATATCGTACATCTGAAACGCATCTTCGCGTAAAGCGCTGGCTTCTTTTTGTTTACTCAGCACACTGTATCGGCTCAGCTGATTTTCGTATTTATCAAGGATCCTTTCAAAGGATTTCCGCGCATCCTGAGAGGGGGTTCACCACAATGAGCAACAACGCCTCATCGGTAAAATTGGCGGTGGTACATATCCACGCAGGCTTCCTACCTTTAATTCTTTCCAATCTTGTTTCATATATCGTTGCAGAGGATGTAAAATGGTTTCCTCCAAGTCCGAAACCTATGATAAATTGAAAACCCGCGGATATATCGGGTCTGATTAAAGATGCATTTCAACAATTATGATGGAAAAAGCATACCAATTTTGTTTTAACGGCAAGCTCGCTTTGAAGAGAATTGGCAAATGCCTGTATCACCGTGCCGGTTATCTCGGGATCTAATCACGACCAGAAAATATATTTAGAGGTTACTTTTTCCCCCAATTCGGGTGTCAATGAAGAGGGGAAAAAATAACTTGCCGATTAAGGAGCCGCTGGTATTGGCAGGAAGTGTTCGTTTGCACAGGTTGCTGGTCTGTGCATTGTATTCTACAATACGGAATGCTTAATACGCTGCGTTTTCTTCCATTCCTATTATAAAGTAGGTCTCGGAAACGGTAGATGGTGGCAATGCATACTTATCACAGCATCGATATATTGTTTCAGAGCGCGAATGAAGGCTTCCAACCACTTTTCACAGTGGTCTATCTGTTCCTCCAAGTGTTGAATGTTGGATCGCCACACTGGCGAATCGAGAACAACGTCATGAAGGGTAAGCAGATGCGTGGGAGTAGCCACAAGGGAAGGAAGATCGTGCATGACTTGAGTCCCCATGATAAGTATTCGTCAGCTGCGGATTTTGAAAGAAAACGGGAGACGAGACGAGTGCTCCACCCTGCATTGTCTCTCGTTTGAACCTGCGACTGTGAACCCCCTCTCCCCCCAAAAAACAGTCTCGTCATCTAATGTATCGGTTCCCAGCAAGCATGGGTTTGGACCCTTTTGTCCAAGATGATCAATCTGGGTTACACTGTAAACAAAAATATATATTTATATATTGAAAACAAACATTATACGCATTTCATATCTAGTTATTCAGCAACTTGACTAATTTGCCACTGGATTTAATGGCTAAAAGGGAATCGCAGCCGCCAATGTGTTCTCCGTTGATAAAGATGTTAGGCACCGTACGCTGACCTGTGAGCTGCGCTAAATATTGCTGAATGGCAGAACCTTTGTCTATGACACCAATGCAATGTTAATATCATGTATCATATTTCCCTTCCAGTTATCGCAGCCTTAGGTTATATCCTTACCGTCCTGATCCAACTCAATGACGTAGAATTCTTGTCCGAGTTCTTTGAAAACATTCTTGGCCTTGCTGCAGTAAGCTACAGAATGGTCCATCAGAATGTATGGCCAAGTTATTACAGCGAGTTAAATACTACACTTACGGCAATAGCTCTTGGAGAAAACAGCAACTTTGTTGTTGTTAATCGCTTCCTTAACGAGTTGTTCAATGGCCACCATGTCTTGCGGTTGAGAATAATAGGAACCCATGATGGGGTCAGTCAAACAAGCTCAGATGAATTGAACGGACGCCCAAATTTTTGAGCAGTCACTGCACGTGCCTGTTTTACTTTAACACCATTGGACACAGTTGGATCATGGATCATTCTGTTTTCTGTGGCAAGGGCAACCATGATACCACGTAGTGTTGCTGCAAAAACGTCTTCAATTTTCGCTTCTAAGCATTACTATCCTTCGTTTTTGCTTAACAAGGCACGCTGATGAGGCAGGGGGCTGCAATGAGCAGTGTGGTAGCAAAGGTCGGATTCCCAAAAAATAAATCATCATTACGCATCAATTTTCATATTTATGTAAGCATGTCGTATCAGAATTAAAGGTACATACATTTATATCCTTTTTCGATGATCCAATGAATCTGTTATATAGGGTCAAGAGAAACCAAATACGCTCAAGTTATAACTAGGATAGGTTTGGCAAACCATCAGCCCGTGGAGTGTCAAAATCGAATTATCAATCACAGTTTTGTTCCAATACAAGTTTGACTAAAGAATGATCGTATGGTGAAACTTCGCCATATGATAAATGGTATAAACAACTTGGACTTCCAAATGGCAGCAAGGAACAGATGTCCTAATGAGGCAACACCCGACAAGCCGACAGACGAATTCGACTTGCAGAAGGCAGAATGGCACCGACTCCCAGTCACCCGCATTTTCATGCACGAATCCAAGTCACAAGACATATCGATATGAGAATATCAACTTTGATTAGAAGAAAAGAAAAGAAACGAAAAGGAAGAACTCGAGTTTATTTTTATGTTTAGCGTGATAAAGTATATAAAACGTCTTTTAAAGAAGAAATAAATGATGGTAAATTACAATTGCAAGTTTTGGGATTTGGCGATCATAGAGATATGCTAATAATCTCATGTCGTGTATTTGTAGACTATATTTTTAATAAGCGTATTCTATTATTAGTTCGCACTCCTCAAATTCATCACCACTTCCTGGACATCCCAGTGCTTCGTTTCGAGAAGTTGACGTGCTTCTTGCAAGTTGCACAGTTCGTAATCAGCCACATATTGTGCTTTCTTATCCCTCACTAGTCGCTCCAGACTGTCTTGCCACACCATTTCAATCTTGTCCATTAACTGGTCTCGCTTCTCGCCATCAATGATCTTTGTTTGAATCACAAATCCCGCGCTGATAGGTCGATGATCCGAGGCGCGCACTTCGTGTCGTTGATAGTACAAGTTTTGCGCATGCCGGCTGCGATAGAGAACACGGTCGCACCATGCAGGAATGCGTTTCTTCTCTGATCGGTCGTAAAAGTCGGTGCCTGGATCATACTTGTAAGTTGGATCGAATTGAATCGGGGCTTCCTGGAAAGTGAGTAACTTGAACAATGGATTGGTGATCCTTTGCATAAGCAATTGATCTTTTTGCTGCAGTGTCCGCCAGGCCTTTTCCTTGTCATGGCTTGCCAGAAGCTGAAGCACCTTTTCGCGTGTCATGTTGATACGATAATTCAGATCACCGCTCAAGAAACAGTGCTCGTGATCCAATACCAGTGTGCCGTCCCCTCCGTGTGCAAACACATCACAATAGTCGCGAAGCTCCGGAAACGTGGCGGTTTGTAAAATGCCTTCGGCATCAGCGTTTCGCTGCTGACTGTGAGACTGACCGGCAGCTAAATGGCAATTGATAAAGCACAAGGATGAATGGTCGAATAGGAATCGGATCGCAATTCCGCCTTTGTTGCCGTGGAGACTTTTGTTCATTAGTTTCATGCCCGTCTTGACCAGAGTAGAGTCGCAGTTGATGACTCGATTCACTTCACTCGTTTTCACAAACACGCAACTGAATAATCCCACAAGCTGATCCGTCTTGATCACCGTGTAAGCATTCGCGCCATAATTATCACCAATGACCCGTACGAGATGATCATGCCACAGTCGATACCGATGCGTCAAAAGTTCTTCCGCTTCCTGCAACGTTTCAATCTTTTTGCGCGAAGCAAAAAGTGACCCTAAAAAAATCGAAATTCGTAAGTACCCAAACCCAACGAAAAAGCGCATCCACCCACGGCGCCAAAACAAAAAACAAGAAAAATATTGAGACTCACTCGCAGTTTGTTTCTTGGATTCCAAATCAACGATTTCTTGAATGCCGACAACGATAATATCCGGGTCATCCATTTGACCGAGCCATTCATAAATTTTGTCGTTGTCATTTCCGACGAGTTTCTCCGGTTTATTCGCATCAATATTCCAAGAACAAATGGCAACACGAACATTCCTGTAACTGCAGTAATCGCGTACGTGTTTCTCCAGTTGCGCATCTACCATCCAAAAAGAAAAGAGAGAGCCAACGAATGTCAATACAATCAATGATCCATGTCGTATGTTTTCGGAAGGTTCCCGATTTACACAAAGCTTACCTTGCCAGGTCTCGGTCAACAGACCATCCCATGTAGCTACACATCCGTTTGAATCGGCACTGATGACTTGCATGGATTTTTCGTCGCGCGAAAATCCCGACTCGTCCACCATCAATGTAGTGACGGCGGTATTGTGGGCTTTCCAGATTTTCACCGCCACCCATTTTTCGGGTCGCGTATCGTAAACGTAAATCATGCCGGTATTGTACCCGGTCCATAAATAGAATTCGCCCGCGGCGGCCATGGAACAGATGCCATACATGGAAATTGTGATCACTTGTACTTTTTCCACGGTCTCGGTGTCCCAAACTGTAATCTTCCCATCATCATGCGACGCAAACACCAGCTTCTTGTGGTAAGGGACGGTAACCAGTTGAGTAATGTTCCCGACATCGTTGGGAATACGAATATGAGGTGAATCGCTGCCATGATGCGCAAAGTGAAATACATCCAACGTGCGCCCTGAAGAAGTCCACAAACTCGTACCCACAATCAATGCCGCAACCGTGCGCGCCGCTACCATATGTTTTTGCGGTGTCATTTCCAAGGGATGATTTCGTTCGCAATCGACCGTCAACACTGGCCACATATTCAGGATCCCGCTTTCGTCCAATGTCCACATCTCCGTGTTGCGATATCGCAAGATGAAACAAATAGCGTGACTGTGGCTTGTCGTTCGTTTACCGAGGATTGCGCCCGTGATGGAATCCAAAACCATAATCACGCCGTCCTGCATACCTACCCAAAGATGGCGTCCATCATCCGCTACGTTGGGGGCTGGTGCAAACATCAATGCGCGTACTTTATCGCCAGCATCATTGGGGGCACTGGGATCGATGGAATAAATACATTGGCACGAATTCATATCCCATATCCGCGTCGTATGGGAGCCAGTGGCAAGGTATGATCCTGAAGCAGCCACGGCATGAACTGTGCCTCGATGACCAGACACGATTCGACGATCATACTCAAGATACGGCGGTTTGCGACTCGCTTGCGATAAATCCGGATATGTACAACTGGTCATCAACACTTCAGGTCTCGCGGTAACTCGTTTGATGTTGGTGGTTTGTGAACGTTTCAGAGCGGATAAAGGCTGCTGTTTCTCATCCAGAGCTGAACTGGAAAGAGGCACACCTGGCAGCAACGAGGAGTTCCTTTCGTGGTTACCACTGAGGGTGGAGTGACTACTGCTGGCCATCACTGTGTGGGATCGTCCAAGCGAGACGGACGGTCTCGGTGGCAATTGCGGTACGGTGGCGGGTTCGACCGGTTGAACAGAGTAAGCGGTTGGACGAGGTGGAAGAATGGGAGGTGAGATCCAAGGTGACTGAGACGAAGTTTTCATCGATTGCTCTGGGATGGACTGCATCGGACTGGGTATATTCATCGAAGAGTTGGGAGGTGTAAGAACAGATGCAGAGGATGGTGACGCCTGTAAACACGTTGATGTGGCCGAGACAGGCATTGCACGTGCTGAGCTGTGATATTTTTTACTTGGAGGCGGTGGTGGGGGCGGTAATTTCGGCTTGTGTAAGCTTTTCGGAGGCGGCGGCGGCGGCGGTGTACGAGTAGTCTTGGTCATGGCAGGTGTCAATTTCGATGGGGCGACGCCCGGTCGATTGGTACTGAACAACTGTTCCGTTTCGGAGGTGGTGTATCGAATATGCGTCTCCTGGACTTTGCGGATCAATTGTTCATCGTTGATATTATCTTCGCTGCTCGTGCTATTTGTGTCACTTTCTTCCTCACTGTCACTGTCACTCGACATGGCTTCCTCGTCGGAAAAAGGATCTTGCGACATGCCTTCAACCACGGCAACGGATGCCGGTCTAGTTGATTCGGCCGAATTAGACTCTCGTCCGATCGTTGGTACATCCGACGCCGACATGGACTTTTCAGGCATGTTGCCCGTCCCCAGCTTAGGCGTACTGCTCGGTTCCGTTGCAGGATTTTGTTGATCGAATTGCTTGGCTAAAAGTGAGACTCGCTTTGGGTTTACATCCTTTTGCTGTAATTTCTCCGTGACCGATCGTGGTTCTGGGACAATCGGTGAAGGCGACGACGAGTTGGTCGTTACACTGGAGGGTTTGGGTGGCACGGGAGGTCTTGTCGATTGCGTCGTTGCTATTTGCGAAGGCTTTACAAGGGATGGCTCGGCGTCCAAAGAATTAATACTGTGCGAAGATTGCGATTGAGGTGAAGAGGTGCGAATGGAAGGAGTTTTGGCCGGCAGACCCGAAACAGACGGTTCCTGCTGACGAGAACCGGCTTCCTGTTGAGCCCATCGTTTTTTTAATTCTTGAAAAGATACGGGAGGTTCATCTTGCGGTGGCTTTTCCATACTATGTCACTGAATGGACTCGGGAAATGGTAAGCTCGGATGCAATTGAAAGAAACTGCAATAGAAAAAAAGAAGCCGTTTTCGGGAAACAAGCTTTCCATCCAAAAAAGGATCATCAATTTCCCAAAATTACGTCACAGACCACTATCACACACTGCTTATTTTCCTGCAGCTCCCCATCCATAACTGAACGGTTGCAAATCGCATACAAGCATTTTCTCTTTCCAAGAGGCCACAAAATGAGGGAGAAACACTGAAAAAGTACTCGGGGTTCATTTTTAAAAGTGACCATCCTGCAGGGTAATATAAAAATAATGTTGCAGTGTTCCTAAATTTTTTTTAATTTGTCGACATGGGCGCTTGCAGATGACTGAAGCGGAATGATAGAACAATGAAAGAATGAACCAAAACATATGACCGTGTTACTCGGTAAAATACAAGTCAGTTGCCAAAAGATCATTAGGTATCCTGAAAGTATCCTGTAAAGTGTTCCTTGTAGCCGTGGTTAAACCAAACTGTTTACCATTATGATATGGATTTTGTTCAAGGAACTGTTGCTTAAGGTTACACTGATTGACAGGTACAAACTTTACATGGATAAATATAGCCACATGCAACAGTGAGATTACAATAATGAACTCTGGTCATTCATATAATATTTTACCCGATAGAGTTTTACCTGTTGCCACTGCCATTATTCTTTCTACTGCGTTGGGCAATAGACGCAAATCTCACGAAAAGGAATTCACGCAGTGATGTATTGGATGCGCAAGGTCAATCACCCTACTTTTTAATTGAAGCCTTGGATTTGGGACACAAGGACTGTGATGAGTATTCTACAGGGTTACTCGTAGTATGAGCTTAGCAACTTTTTCATCGGCATTCTATCAGATAGTGAAACCGATTCCAGAAAACTCTGGAACTGTAGATAAAGGTTGCTAGGTACAGTAAATATTTATCTATGTTGATAGCTTGTGTATCCGTAATCAATAAAATTTATTATATTGGGTCGAAGCTACGTAAACAAACGCCAAGTGATGATATTTATTTACATGGGGATAAGCGGTCTGGGAATGTAAGCTTCTTCAAGCTTGTGCACTTCCTCCTCTGTCAATTCGAGTTCAAGTGATCCCAGTAAATCAGCCAAGTGTTCTTCTTTACCCACACCAATAATCGGCGCAGTAATATATGGTTTGGAAAGAACCCAAGCAAGAGCAACCTATAATCACACCCGATTAAAATTCTCGTTCGCAAGCTCTTTTGTGCCTGTGCATCAACTTACTCGAGCCGGCGAGATGCCCCTCTTATTGGCGACTTCAACGACACGATCCACCACATCTTCGTTATTCTTGGAAAAGAAAGCATGTACAAAGAAATCGGTGTCGTAACGAACCGACTTCCGGTTCTTTCCGGCCAAAATGCCTTGAGCCAGGGGTGACCATGGAATTTGCGCGATTCCCTGGTCCACACAATACGGCACCATTTCACGTTCATCCTCACGGTAAACCAGATTGTACAGATTTTGCATGCTTACGAACTTGGTCCACCCATGCTTCTCAGCAATATTGTTGGCTTTCTGGAATTGCCAAGCATGCATGGAACTAGCACCAATATAGCGCACCTTGCCCAGGCGCACCAAATCATGAAGTGCTTCCATCGTTTCCTCCAGCGGTGTATCCTATATCGTAAACACTGTTTAACCCCGGGGCTTATCTATAGCTAGATCATAATGCATACTTACATAATCAAATCGATGGATTTGATAAAGATCAACATAATCTAAACCCAGGCGCTCCAAGGAACCCTCGATGGCGTCAAAGATGTGTTTTCGGGACAAACCAAAACCGTTGACCATGTCCGGATCATCCAACGGTTTTGTACCGCACAAATTAACGTCGGGTTCAGACGAAATACCGAAGAACACCTTGGTCGCCACCACAATACGGCTGCGCGGCATGTTAAATTTCTTGATGGCCTTGCCAAGTAAACGTTCACTATCGCCATTCGAGTAAGCCTCGGCGGTATCGAAGAAGTTGATACCCGCTTTATACGCCTTGCCGATGAGTTCCAACGACTCTTCTTCCTCCTTGACCCATTTTTCCCACTTGGAATTGCCATAGGTCATGCAACCAAGACAAAAGCGTGATACCTACACTCCATCAGATCGCGGAACAGGAACAATCAAAAGAGCCAAAACCGAGCCTTACCCGCATGCCCGTGTTGCCAAAACGCGTATATTTCATTTTGCCTTCTGCCACCATTTTTTGTTTTTTCAATCTGAGAGAGAAACGAGTTCGTTACAAGCGTGAGTGCTGATTTTGTCTACTGCTTTTAAAGTCTATTGGATGTGTTACAACTATGCTGTCACATGTGTCACCAAGGTGCAGAACTTCACAGCCATCTTTAATCAACTTTTTTCAGACAATTCTATAACTGCATGTCACCTCCTATCTGGGTATTCAACGTAGAGCTGTTTGTTATTTTGCATCTCTTCTTCTTTTTCATCCAAGGATCAACCACCAGTATGCTATCATCATACGAAGCCAATTTAACCTTGGATGATTTTGACCAAAACCCGTTTATGCAAGCGAGATGATGACAACGTATATCACAGCAAACGCGCGCGAAGACCATATGTGTGGTTTCATCATCGTCAGCTGATACTGTGTTACTACAAACCACATAGACTTTCCCAACGCAGAACCGATAATGGCGTCAACGTCGGTTCCTTTCTACGCAGGCAAAAAGAGTCTCGTCAAAACAAACCCTGGGATTTATGATGCAGTGCAGATGATGAAAAAGTTCGACAATGCATTATTATGTAGTGTGATGGCGTACACTATAAGTTAGTCGTATGGATGTCTTTCGTAGTTTGAAAGCCAGGCTATCCCAAAAGTTGGTACGGATTTTACCATTCCGTGTCGCAAGGCCGAGGATAGACGTGGCACGAACACAAAGAATGATCCTTTACGCCTTGTGGCACAATGAACCTAAATTTGGTGACCACTGATCGAGAATCTGCGGGAGTCATTTTAATAGTTTTCGCGTCTCAAATAAAGGAGCGGCTCAAGTATTCCCAGATTCCTTTTCGTGATGAAAACCTGGGCTCTAGTGATTGCCCGATTCTTTCGATTTTTCGGTTCATCTGCAAATGAGCAAATCATTATCGGACAATATAAAATATGAGCAAATGCATACAGTATATATTGCTCAAACATTTTCAATATTTGCCCTATTGAGTGTGCTGCAATCCAGTTTATTCTTTTATTCTGATACTTCATTCAAAGGGATCAGGCTTGTTCGAACGACAATTTTGCTCGTGAATGTCTTCGCCATTTGGGCAGCTGTAATAGCTAGTACGGCGGAACACATGGACTGGCTTCGCAACCGGCTGCAGCCACCTGTCAGAAAACGCTCCAAGTACGATGGATAAACTCGCTACAGTTCGTCTTTTGGGAAATTTCTGTTCTTGGATGTGATGTCTCCCGCGAGCAACAGTTGAAAGACGCTGTAGAAGAAGGTCTGCTCGAAGATGATTGCTGGCAGTGCGTTGATCGTGGCGACTTTGTGTTGGAGATAATAGATGACGTACAGCGTGGATTTGATCATGACGACATGGTTGAAATCCACAACGTTTTCGGTAGCAGCTAGCAACCGCTGCTTCTGCTCACCATCAAATATGATCAACGTCGAAAACCGTACCTCCGAATAAACTCATCGGGTTTGCCGCCGTAAGGCTCGATATTGCGTTGCTTTTTGCTTGGGACACGGTCAGCGCAAAATCGGGCTCAACGATCCACGGGGGATTCTCTCACAGGAACTCCGATCTTCGCTGCGAACATAGCTGATACCTTCGGCCCCCAGGATCTTGATTGTTGATCATGGTGAAACTCTATATGACACAAAGAGTTGATAAGTGTATATTGATTGTCATATGATTGAATACCATACCAAAGTAAAACTTGCAACAACCTTGTCTCGGTTTGCTTTTTTTCATTTCGTATACAGCAGTGGACGGAGATTATGCGGCGAACTTACGATATTTATGGGCGCAACCATTGTCAATATAACCATACGATGTTAGGGCGAGTATGAATATTATCGGAAAGGCAAATAGAAGATTTTAATTATGATTCGGAGTGAAGCTTTTTTTTTTTTTGATGGAAGGGAAAATAGGATGCATAAATATGTTATCATCGCATAAGAAACACGAGTTGGTTTTATTTGATTTCATGCCTTTTAGTCGGCAGGGGGCCGTATTGAATAGCGACATGCAAATAAACGCAAAAAAAAAACCTGTACTTTACTTGATCGATTAAAGATTGGCAAAGTCTACACTATTGTTTTATGAATTCTGCAGTAGCTGTTGCAAAATACACAATGCTGTCATAAGTGGAGCGGCAAAAGCGATATTCCAAACTGATCAGGAAGATGAAATTCGATAGGTTTCCGATTTATCAGAGAAGGTCCAAGCAAAGCCAACGGATGTCGCATATGATACGCCATTGAAGTTCAACCCCAAATCATGAATCCCTTCGACATCTACTGTAAAATTATTGCGTTGAAGAACAAATAAATTTTGAAGGATAGTGGTCGACATATCACTTTGTTGCCAGAAATCAAGTCTACGTAATAGAAAATACCAGACGCATGTGAACTCAATCAACGTAAAACTTTTAATGGCCTAGACTCATCCAACATGATCAGCAATGCTCCTAAAAAAAGGTCTCGACAGTTTCCAAACCATGTCTAAATTGATCAACTTGGAGTCAACTCAAGGGCATGCAAACAAATCGATTTTACCACATTCAAACAAGTTGACAAAAGAGGTCCATAATGAAATTCAATTTTCCATCCAGACCATAACAAGTGGAAAACAGGACCATCCAAAGGATGAGTGAATTTGCCTAAACAAACCCGATTTGAAAATACATATAGGACCGCTACCCAAACTGATACTAAAGTTTATGCAGCTTATCTGTTTGACATTGACAAAATATGTATACTGTAATTGGTAGCGATATTTCCATGGACCGTGAAGTTACAGACAATGACGATACGGAATAGGATGCATCAGTATGATATTGAAGATTACGGACTTTTGGAATTTCCCTGATGAGTGAGAAACTCATAGATAAACCTGGCTTGTAGACTGCGACGTATAAGCTTTCGATTCAATCCGTGTAGGAAGATGTCACATTTCTTACCCCATCATTACGATAAATGTACACGAAACGGCGTACCGCTTAAGAGAGCCTTCCCTTGATCTGAGGATCCAGTGAAAGACGGAAGGTTCCACATTGACATGAAGACATTTCATATGCAAAAGAACAGTCCAAATACGGAAGAAGATATGGACCAAGCTCGATCCAGCAAACTTCCACTACCGATAAATGGACAAGTTGTCGTTCGACGAGCAGATTTAATCTGCAAAATCGATCGCATACACTATCATACAGATTTTTGCAGCCGTTTAAATTCAATGAAAATAATAGGGTGGATTCATTTACACTTTTTCTTCTTTCCTGCATCTTTAGATCTCGCGTCAATCAAAGACAGGTCTGTTTTTGTTTAGGAACATCCCGGTTTCTTTACACTCATCATGTGCTCTGTTTGTCTTGCCCACTTTTTGACATCAATATAAAAACTACTCCATCTTTCAATAAAGATCGACCATAAAAAAATGAGTTACAACATTCAATACGCACAAATTTTTTACCCGGGTGGTCCTAGACCCCCTCCACTCCCTCCGCCGCAGCAGGAGCAACAACAGCAACTATGGCCGGTAGATACCGTATGGCTGCAAGAGATATCAATGAATTTGACTATTGACTGTTGACTATTTCTTTCCAGACCGGCCATCGTCGGCGACGAAGAGGAGGGCGACGACAAAGAAGACGACAGCGTACATCTTGGTTCACCTTTGGTTCACGGCCGTCCTCCAATGTGTCGGTGATTCCCGTGCGTTCTTCAGTTCCTACGGCCTCTTCGGTTCCTGCGGCCGTTTCCCTTCCAGACCCCACGCGGCCTGTTCGCTTTTCGGTACCTTCAATTGCCGGCCTGCAGATCGACTCTGTGCCTGTTAGTGAACAGAGCTCTGCAAATCCACCGCTCCTCGGTCGTCCTCCCCCATGGAGGAGTGGTAGTAATTTTTATCAAATAAAAAAACCTGCTTTGCAAGAAAAAATATAGTGCAGTTGGAAAATAAGCATGTTGGCAGCTTCCACACCAACGAGATTGTACGCTGTAGACACAAAAGCTCATCGAAATTTCTCGGGACGGGCAGGCTGGTGTTTGCCACACAGAAACTTGGAAGGAAAAAAAAAAAAAAAAAAAAAAAAAAAAAAAAAAAAAAAAAAAAAAAAAAAAAAAAACAAAGAGAACCATACAAAAAGCGACAGAGGAAACCTGCCTCCTCCATTTGCAAAAAGGACACTTCTGATTGGCCTTTCATGAGAGATTTTTCCAAAGGTGGTTCTTTTTGGCCAACACTTGGTGCACTCCAAAAATCAATCACTCCAGTTCACACCAAAATCAATTAGCGTGACGTCACGCTAATTAATTTGGAGTGCTGACGCGTAGACTGAGATCATTCTTTTCTTTTCTTTTGACCACCATCCACTTGACCAATGTCTCTTACATCACTGCTGCGGTTGAAGCATTTTCAACAGTCTTGTGCAAGTGACTAAAAACGAATTATTTGTTCTACACGAATATCATTCAACCGCCGACGCTCCCGACGCTGTTGTCGAATACAAACGGAGGTTATCGTATTCAGTGTCAAACGATCCAAGCGAGCGTGTAATCTGGCTCAGATACAAGCATACGGAGGCTGTGGAACCCGTAAGGGTATTGCCGACGATGAAGCTGTCGAGGACGAAGAAGCTTCCGGTCAGCCTTTTATTAAGGGCAATTCAACCCAGAAGATTGGCTGCAATGCTTCAGATGAGGTGCTCGAAGTTGACTGAATTGGAGTGAAATTTGGAGTGGACCGAGTGTTGGCCTTCAAAATTGATATGCGGTTTCTGGTGGGACGAACAGAAGGATTAACACGATATTTGTTCCGTGGAAGTATGCTGCAATAATCTCGATGATGCCAAGATGATTGCCGATGAAGGAATTTTGACCGCGAAATGAAAGATTTGGACGCCATGATTCATCTGGCCAAGGAGACCAAGAACAGCTGCTCATGGGGGCTACAGATTTCAGGATCATCTTGCCTTTTCTTACTACGCACCTCATCGATGAAAGCTTGTATATGGTGAATCCACGATTCGAGATCTCGTTCTCAGGCACAGTAGCCTATCTGGATGGGGTCATGGATACGATGCGGTCGCTTATGACTTTTCGACATCATTTGCTGCAGGCGGCCGATTTTGTCCACAAGCATGCCAAGCAAGAAACACTTTTCACGCTCTGGGTGGACTCATCCGAGAACCCTACCACTCAAGCCAACGACAAAATTGGTACACTCCTCCGGAAAATACCTCACCTCGGAAACCCATCCACTTGACTGGTCATCCACTCCCCATCCGTCACGATCAGGCTACTTTCGGAGGCTATTAAATCTCCCACATCTGCTTCGAATAGCTCCGAAACTGCCAATGACGATAAGCTGTACAATGAGTTTGGTTGGTGTCGAAAAGGACATTTGTGGTACAACAAATGTTCCAAGGAAACCTGCTCCTCTGATCGCTACAAGGCTGATCCCCAATCAACCTCCACCACTGATCCCCACAAGCCTGATCCCTCTGAATGAGTTATCAGAATAAAAGAATAAACTGGATTGCAGCACATTCATAGGGCAAACAATGAAAAAGTTTTTCCTCTCTTTTACATAAATTTTTGTCATATTTGATAACCCACTGGAGGATACCTGAGACGATGATGTAGTCAAGCAATGGGGTCCGCGAATGGTACGTTGCAATTATGCACAAAGGAATAATTCATCATGACCGATGAATGGCCCAATACAAATGTGAAATGCTTGCAACGACAATATTGTTGAGGACCTGTATTACAACGCTGTTGCACATTTGTCTCTCTGCAAGTAACAGCAGGTTGCTTTATCGCTGATACATTATGTCTCTTACCACTTGTTCAATATTCAAACATCATTTGCGACCATTTTCATTCCCTATTGCGCTGCAAGAATACGGGGGTTTTAATTGTCTCGCAGTGGCAGAAGCATATTACATATGCAGAAAAGTGGTTGATGAGGAAGGAACAGCATTGTGTTGTGGATCTCATTAAAATATGTTGCTACTATAAATCAGTCATATTGTAAGCTACTATATCTGTTTGGCTTGCTCAACAAACCTTGCTATGTCTGCGTTCTATCCAATGATAATGAATTATGCAGTTTATCGATAAAGTCACTGATGAAAGCTCGATCGCGATCGCAGCATAGCTGTAAAGATGGCCATATCGGCTGTATAAAATCCTTGGAAACCGTGATAACAGATGGGTTATTATTCGCAAAGAAAATATATCGCGGGCTACATGGTCATCGCCCATTCTACTTTCTGCGCGTACTGTAGTAGCAGTTATTGTCACATAATAAAATTCACTGTATCCCAAGGCAGAGGGAAAAACAGCAGGAATAAGGAATGCATTTGACGCGGCGATGGTAGACTTACCGTCTAGACGCGTCCAATATCAATATACTCCTAGCTTTAGGATGATGCATAATACTCCGAGAATCCACGCGTTCAGGATGTTGTTGAACCGTAATTACGTAGCAGAGTAAACTTTGTCAATATGCAGTGTTTTTTCTTTTGTAGTCAAACTTGGAAAATACGATATCTAACCATAAACCCAACAATGTACGGAATATATGCAGCTTAGGTTGAATATACAGGCAACGAACTGGTGATGCTGGATATCACATATGGACATGTGTTGTCCTTGAATTTCTGGTGGACCCTAGTGATGTAAGGGGTCTCATTTGTTGATGCGTCTTCCAGTAGCTATGGAAGCAACCGAATTGGAGGACATAACAGCATGCAGTCATCTATCTTTCACATCCCGCATTCATATAGCGACCAAGCGTTCTCGAACGATTCTCCTCTATCGGATCTTCTCTTGAGGGACCAACCTGTCCATTTGGATTTATTTGCTCCTTTTGCTCTTTATTCCTTGCTGACATGACTCTACTGGATTCTGTCAATATTACACATATCACTCCATCCAACTTGTCTCATAACGAGCTGTGGGAAATCATTCAGAAACAATGCCAACTCATCCAAGAACTCCAACAAGACACGTCCCAGCTCACAATCCAACGCGACAGTTTGCATGTCCAGGTGGAAAGCTTGGAACAACGGTTGAGATACGTTCGAAAAAGGGACACGATGGTCGCGGCAATACAACGGATCGATGGCTCAGTACAGACGGATTCAGTACCAGTAACACCGTGCTGTCAATGCCAAAGTGTCAAGTGGGATCGTGACGAACTTCCGGGTAACACCATCATGCCGAATAGGCCCGTCCGATCGTCATCGCCACCACTACTGCAACTGCTTTGCACCGACAATTCTGAGATTACGTGTGAATCCCTATTAAACGAGCTCGCCAGAAATTCGCAAGAAAATGCCGAAAACCCTACGACGCCAACATCCGATGAACCGGAAAACATGTTCCCCCTCAATGATGCCAATTTACTTGCACCGATGATCCCAGCCTCATTGACAAATTTGGCAAATATTGCCGTGAATGTCGTAGGATGCCACTTGAAACGCAATGCAAAAGGAAAAGAAGTGATCTCTTTCACCATTAGCGTCGCGACCAAAAATCCATCTAGAGAACTCTGGAAAATTGAAAAACTGTACTCTGACTTTTTGAATTTGCAAGCCAAGGTAAAAAAAAAAAAAAAAAAAAAAAAAATAGAGAATGGCTAGTTGTTACTGTGTACTTATCGCTACAGTATAGATAAAATCACGAGGTGCTCAAACATCATCCCACGGCTCATCACGCTTACCTGAGAAAAATTTGTTTTCGACCAAGTCGTCCACAAAGATCGGTCAAAGAAAGGTAACGTCTATTACGAAGAGGAAATAATAATTTGATGCAGTCTAATGAAATTGATGCGTTTTAAAAACAACAGACGGCTTTGGAACGACATTTGCAACAGCTGGTCGCTGTGGCGTTCAGTGATGTAACGGAACTGTGTGAGTTTCTCAGTACAGACATCGTCGAAAACAAAGCCCATGCTGTAGGTTGATGCCATTTAGTGATACGTTCATTCACTTACCATGTTTTTTTTTCTCTCGCCCATAAAGCCGGCATCCTTGCATAAAGAAGGAGAACTCACCAAACGTGGCAAAAATTTCGGTGCCTGGAAAACCCGTTATTTTGTCTTGAACGGACCTGTATTAGATTACTATGACTCGGTAACAGATGGATACGTAAAATCAGGTAAAAGAAACTCATTTGGACTTTTCTTTGATTAGAAACATGGTAACAAGATTGGATCGATTCGTCTCACCAATGCAAAAATTGGACGACAAGCTTCTTCCCGTACCAACGAAGGGGAGGATTATTCGTCCGTCTACCGTCATGCTTTCTTGATTTTGGAACAAAAACGACCAGCATCCAGTACCATGACTCGCCACATCTTGTGTGCCAATTCGGATGACGAACGGGACGCGTGGGTTGAAATTTTGTGTCAACAATTGTGTTTGCTACAACCCGATTTGCATGAGGAAAATCCGGAAAATACCAAAAAGGCACTGCGCTCAACCAAGACATCCAGCTACTGGCCATTTAGCAATGTCGATGATATCGCCTTGACAGTGCCTGCGCCTACCATGCATCATTCGCCCACCGAAGCGACAATACAGGATATTATTTCTGAATCCAGTTCCGAGTGTCAGTTGTCCATTGATAGTCAAAGCGCCCACACGCGATATTCCAGTGCGGAACAGAACTCAGTAGATCAAAACACAGAAGGGCAGCCAAAGGTCATGGCGGCCCCTCCTCCAGATATCCATGTTTCTGGTGCTGATGAGCTCTTTGAATCGGCCAGTGAACCCAATATGGATAGCTCTATTCGCTTGAAACTGAGGGGCAGTCGGCGATTGTTTTGGAGCAAAAAGGTTGGAATAACAAGTCCTCGAGCATAGTATGGCTCCCTTTAACCATTGTATTTAGTCGCATAGTATGACGGCGGCAGATGATCTTCAAACCCAGGCACCGCCACTTTCAACCTTCCGTTATCTAGTAGGCCGCGCATCCAACGAATCCTCCAACCTACTCCCTGAAAAAAATGTCGAGGTGGTTATCACAAATCCGGTTTTTGGTGTAGAATTGGAGCAAGCCGTACGGGTGTGCTGTATATCAAAAACGAATCCCTTGCCAGCCGTCGTGTACCGCTGTATTGAATATCTCAATGCCAAAAATGCCATGATGGAAGAGGGACTGTATCGCCTCAGCGGAAGTGCAGCATGGATTCACAACATGCGGTTGAAATTTGACGAAGGTATGTCGTCATACAAAGCTTTCACTTGACTGGGTGCCTTTAGTAATAACAATAATTAGTGGGGGATGTGGATTTATTATCCACCAACGAAGATCATGATATCCATGCCGTTGCTGGATTGCTCAAGCTATGGTTGCGTGAATTGCCGGACAGCGTGTTTACTGCGGAACTTCGTCAAGAATTTCTTCTGGTAGTGGGTGAGTTTCTTGTGGCTAATAATCTCTTTGTTTAATTTGAATTGACCTTTTGTTAACATTTGCCTTTCTTTTAGACCTGATCAATCGTAACGAACGAATTCAAGAGCTACAAAGACTGATGTCATGCCTTCCTTTGCCCAACTATACCCTACTACGGTCCTTGGCGGCGCATTTGATTCAAGTCGTGCATCATTCGGAAGTCAACAAAATGACAATGCGGAATATTAGTATCATTTTCGCTCCCACCCTAGGGATCCCATTGATTATTTTCCACCTGTTTATGAATCATTTTGAGCACATATTCTTCACTGAAAGCGATTCACGTCCATCCTCTGTCGTGTCTGAAGTAGTGTCCTCAACATCCACCGACCCCGTTCATGCAAGTGACCTGCAATGCATTAAAAGTGTGTCCGATGATTGTTCGACCCATCATCGACAAAGTTTGGCCAGCAGCGAACCTGAGCCAACAACGATCATGGATTTAGAGAGAAATCTCGATGGTAGGGCAAATTGTCAGAAAAAGAAAAGAGAAATTGCGTTTGATGGCTAAAATATTAACAGATTCACTGGGTTTAATGTTTGAAGCCCTACCTTTTTCGGACGTCGATGAAGATGAGGTCGATGAATTAGCGTTGGCGGCGGGACCACAAGAAGAATAAGCGCCGATTAACAGAGAATGAATATTATTTTTAGGCGACTCATTTGTATTCTATAGAAAGAAATAAAATGTCGGCACTTGCCCCCCATATGAATCATGAAATTGTGACTTTTTGGGAGTCAGACTTACTTTCAAACCATGTTTTTCTACCGTAACGCTGGTTGGCCATTTTGTCAAGTAATGAAAAAGACGGGATCAACACTGTGACAGAATAATATTCTTTTGGGAAGATGCCATGGAATTCCTTTTTCGAACTTTTAGTGTCACCTATGCGTTCGGTGACACGGCAAGGGACATCCGTCGGAGCTGTATATTATAAGCGAACCCGAACAAGAATTTTTATTTGTTTATTTTTTTTTTTGTCTCTCCCATTCATTGTTTCAAAAATGTCACTTGTTAAACAGAACTTTGCGAGCTCTTGTGAAGAAGCCATCAATCAACAAATCAATACCGAGTTGCAGGCATCGCAAGTCTATCTGTCCATGGCGGCATGGGCCGGCAGCAGCAACGTAGCGTTACCTGGTACATATTAAAAATGACACCTCATTTTGGACTGAAAAAAAAAAAAACCATCAAAACAAAACGAAGCATATCATGTTACTCATGGATGATTTTCATTGTCACGCAGGATTTCAAAAGATGTGGTTAGAATCAGCAACAGAAGAACGCACTCACGCTCAATGGCTCATTGATTATCAAAATATGCGCGGTGGACGCGTGGTTTTACAAACGTTGTATGCTCCCGAAAGCGACTGGAAGTCGGCCAAGAATGCAGTTGAAGCAGCCCTACAGTTGGAAAAAGGTAAACATTGGATCATCGCACGACCCCCTCAAATCGGTCTAATTCATATTGACTTGACAAATTCTTTTACTCCACACTTAGACGTGAACAAATCGTTATTGAATATGTTCAAGATCGCAGAAGAGAATAACGATCCTCAGTTGGCCGATTTCATCTCCAGTAAATTCTTGACCGAACAAGTGCAAGCCATCAAGACATTGGGTGACATGGTTACGCAAATCAGCCGGGTCGGATCTGATGGATTGGGTCTCCATTTGTATGATCAGTCATTACTGGCGGGGGGTTCCGGCGCCGGCAATAGAAATATTTAGAACAAAAAATGCAAATGCAAAGTAGATAACGCTCATTCACACATCAAATCAAGGAGAAAAAAAAAAGAAAGAAATAATAGACCATTTTTGCCCGTGGCTAAAAGATGAATGATCAGGACGGCAACTTATTCTTTATGATGAATATCATAAAATGGTATGTCGCCCAAGTACTCCTCTCTACTTTTGTATTCTAAACCACCAAAAAAAAGTTTCGTTAGTCACGGATGTACGCTCAGTGATGTTGCATCGACGATACTCACCTAACATACTGAAGATGCGATCGAAATGTGGCATGAACTCACGTCGTGGAACGTACAGATTGAATTCAAGGTCAGCAAAGACAGCAAATTCATGTTCTCGAATGGCTTCCGAATCCACATCCAATTCATCATCCATTGTCTATCAAAACCCCCAATGTCAGTGGGCTGTTGCGAGATATTTTGAGATTTATTGATGACCATACCTCTAGAAGCGTACCAAAGGACGATCCTTTTGGTTCGTTGACTTTGGTTGCAAGGAATAAGCAACAGGCTGCAATAAGTTTTCTATTTTTCTTGGTAACGATATTCTACATACAAAAGATCATCGTTAGAAGGAATGAAAATTCTGTGAGCATCTGATTTCCTGCTTACTTTAAGGACCAGCTTCTCAAAGTACACGTAAGCATGGGCCACACTGGAAATTTCGAGATCGGCTTCTTTTGCAACTTCCAGCAGATGGGTTTTGATAGCGCGAATTTTACTGAGCGTGATCTCTGGCAGAATTTCAGGATGCGCTTGCCGAAATTGATCATTCATTTCTCGCTTGATATCAGATGCTCGTAAATTATGACCTGGTAAAGTGCCCTATACAAATAAAGAAATAACAAAATCAGGTAAGCAACAGAATACTTCATCACAAAGAAATGGCTAGCAATACCAAAAAAAAAAAAAAAAAAAACATACTTGAGAACCTGACAGAATCCCGAATCTACCAAATTGATCATTGTCAAGACCGCAAGCATCATAGGCACCTGCAGGCAATGCTTCTTCCATTAGGGTATCATCCCTACAAAGAAAAAATAATCATGATACACATAAATTATTTGTTTGTATTACAGCCACCATTTCTCACACTTACTCCAAAGAATCACACGGAGAAAGGAAATGTGCGTATGAAAGCGCTTTTCGGTGTTTGTGAGGCTCGTTATTCGTAAGTTGTTGATGGCTACAAAAAATAGGATGAGCGTCCAATCGTAACATGGTGACCCTCTTGATCAGAAGCATTTGCATACACATAACCACGATTGAGGCTGCTTTCTTTGACTTTTCTTTTTCCTGCAGATTGACGTAGTTTTTCGCTGTAGTGGCGAAAGACAGACATGATACTGAGACCCGTGTGCTCATTCTAATACATTGCATTCATATTCTTTAGTACGTGCAGCGTAAGAGATCATGCTATTCCCAAAAAAGGCGAGCTTACATCTTTCTTGTAACTTCTCTTTTTAATTTTTTCAGAAGCGATCGGACGTTCACTGTCTTCCCTGGTTAATTTATGATGGTGAACGTCGCCGTCATCGCTGTCAACAGATGTGCGGTGCGTCCATTTTTTTCTAGGTTGATCCGACTGCGTATTCTCCATAACGTGAACCACAGCATTAGCCGGCGTTATAATGGGTGTAGCAATGGATGTAGCACGGCAGTGTCCGGGTGCCAGTACGTCGCGCCCACTTTCTTCAAAGGTGGAGCTGCTATCGGAGGAATGGAGCGAAATAGCTAAACACAAAAAAGATCATTACGAAAATTGAAATCACCTATCGATGATAAAAACAAAGAGGAAGAGAGAGAGAGAGAGGGAGAGGGAGAAAGGTAGCGATGCACGTTACGTTTAATGATTCCTTCGTTTTTCCCTTGAACACAATCTTTGGGATCGGCGGCAATGGATGGCAAACACGGCGATTCGGCTGCGAAGCCGGAATAGTTGTAGGAGGGACCTGTTTGGATGGGTTCATTCGTGTAAGAGGTGTCCTTGATTTCGTTGCCAAGACTGATGGACGATAAAAATATAAAGGCAGTTTGTCTGGAGGTATTACGCCTGGATTTACGACTCTTGGCCGTGCCCATTGGCGTATTCTCAGCGAGTGAATAGTTAAATTAGGCGGTGGAGAAGAAATTCTTCTAGCGATCGAATTCAACGCTGCGTTCGTAATTTTGCCAGTTAATTAAACAAGCGATGCACACAAAAAATGAGTGCACCAAAAGCGAAAAAGACGAAAGGAAGAAAGAGAGAGAGAAAAAAAGCACAACAATGAGAGCAAAAAAAGAAACAGACAATGGAAAGAAAAGAAAACAGGAACCGCAGTGCCGTCCATTCGTTAATCGCTGAGATTGAAAATAGGCTTCAACGTCATCACTTTGTGACGACGCAAATCGTTTGCCTTTTTAGGCGACCGTCACCCTATTTTTTTTTTGTTCAACCCGTCTGAAAACTCCGCGGGTTTTCATCTTCACATGTTGAAAAATCGCAACCCATCTTTTGGCTTTTCTTCCCGCTGACAATTTTTTTTTCTATACCCAACAAGACTGCTTCAAAAAAACATGCCTGAAATAGGTACAGTAGAAACCCCTCTCTTTTTTCCATCTTTAATCCATTTTCTATGCAACTTATTGATTCATTTGCTTCAGGAACAACTCTTTCCAAAGTCCACTGGACAGTATGGGCCGCGGTTCCCGTGGTCTTCTCCGTTCTTTGCAGAAAGCATGGAGGATTTTACTATCGCAGTACCGTCGCTCTTATCTGTTTGGCTCTGGCAGCGTTCTATGGCGTCATTGCATCCTTAACCCTTCCTTTGATCGGCCAAGCGCATTTGATCAACTGGACTGTAGCTCGCTTTTATTATCGCCTGGCAGGTTTCCTTCTCAACATTTCGGTAAACATTGAAGGAAAGGAACATTTATCCAGCAAAGGCCCCGTGGTGTACGTCTGCAACCATCAATCCAGCATGGATGTTCTCTTGATGGGTAGCGTTTTCCCCAAGGCAACCTCGGTGGTGGCCAAGAAATCGATCAAGTATTATCCTATCCTTGGATGGTATAGTATGTATTATTATTTTTTATTTTTCCCTTTTTCTGTAATGAAATTCAAAAAGCAATTGCGGGTGTGTCTTAATTTTTTGTCCTACCTTAGTGACACTGAGCAAGGCCATCTTTTTGGACCGAAAAAATCGGGACAGTGCCATCAAAGAAGCCCGCCAAGCAGCCAACGATATTCATAACAAGAAGGTGAGTGGTCGTAGGTCATGACGCAATATTCGATTATTAGGGTGATGAGGAACTCAAATGTCGTATGATCAGATCAATGTATGGTTGTTCCCTGAGGGTACCCGTGGTCATCCTTCAGAAATCAATCTTTTACCGTTCAAAAAGGGTGCATTTTATATGGCAGCTCAAGCCAAGGTCCCTATCGTTCCTATTGTCATTGCCAATTACCATAATCTCTACAGCTCCAAGTTAAAACAGTTCAACTCTGGTGTTGTACGCATTAAAGGTTGGTATTGAAAAAATCCGAGTGGAGGAGGAAAATGTCTTATTTTTCTGTGCTTCTTTTCGTTATACTAAACCGTCATGCTTTTTTAGTGCTGCCACCCGTGTCGACTGAAGCCGTGAAACAGGATTCCGCTGACATTGAAAAATTAAGCGTCAGTGTTCGTGAACAAATGCTCGAAGCACTCAAGGAGATCTCTGATCCCATTGAAAACAAAAAGTCAAACTAAAAAGTGTTTTTATCTTCCGTTTCTCTGCCTCTTTCTATGCCATCCTTTAGTATATTTAATGAGCATGTCATTAAGTTTGTATTATTTTAGAGAATATTTTTCTATCCAGCTTTCATTAAAAGTCGTTTGTCTCCTTTTTTTGCTTTGCACTTCCAAAATTTGACAATGTCGTTCATATCGGATTAAACATCGTTCATTTTATTATTCCTTTGAGCAAAGGAATGGATATCAAGAAGGTAGAACCATGGTAACCACCATGACCGCAATCCATCAGTCGTTTTACAGTTGGATTTGATTGCGAGAGTTGTATCGATGGACAAGAGACTAACCATGGTCAAACGTTAGTCTAACATTCTTGAAACTCTATTTTCCTGACCAGCCTTCTTTTTTTTTTCTCGCCCATTTTTTTCTTTTTACCTGGCAACCGCAGAAACCGAGGAAACAAGCATAGACAATAGCAGCTGTAAAGCAAGCTTGGGCTGTAGCATGAGGATCGTCGGGATCTGTTACGAATTCAGTCAAAACTTCGACTTTGGCATCGAATGCCAGTCCAAGAACCACCTATTTTTTTGCGTGAATGTGGGTCAGATAAAACGCATTCATTCATTCACGGTCAAGACGGTGTCGAGCTTAAGAGAAAAAGGAGTGAAGAATAGTACTCACCAAAAAAATGATACCGCAAATAGACAACAAGCTACAGCATATAGCATTGGCAGGGCTCACGAACGTCTTCATCACGGGCAGCTGATACGAAGAAGGACAAGAAAACCGTTTCGGGATCTTAATCCACTTAGCAAGACACTTTCGTGCCTCTGAGAAGCGGCCGGCTCGCGCTTGAGCAAAAGATGCCTGTGACGTCATTTCCTGACTCCGCTCGGGCATTCCATTTTCTGCGGTTTCCTCAGAGAACAGCCCGTTATCTTTTTGCTCCAAGCTATTCTATCGTGCAGGAATCTGCGTTGAAGAACGAAAATTATAAACGACCATGCTTTTGCTGGACTATCACAATGTCATCCTAAAGAATATTTTAGAAGAGCGGCTCAAAGGGTAAGCAGATGAAGCGAAAAGAATCGCCATGCCGTGTATGCTCGCCTTTTGTTCGTGTCTTCTAACGAGCCGGCCAAATGTCTTTCTGCCACAGCGACAAGCGAGATGCTCTTGACATGACGGTTGTAGACTTTGATGGTGTCACCTACTACGTTACGACGCCCGAGACGAAAACTGTATTGCATATCTCGTTACAATGGGCTTGCTTCAAAGAATTGGTCGGTTACGGTGCTCAGGAAGTCTTACAACGGGAATACGGCGAATACTTGGCCAGTAGCCCGGAACAAGGCTACGATGTGACGCTTGTTATTGACTTGGAAAAAGTGCCTCAAGACGAAGGTACGTAGAGTTCAATCTTGGCAATAGCCCGATGGTGGTGTAAGTATCAGGTATACGTTTTTGCTGACAAGCATAAACTTTTGTAGAAACACGCGACGCACTTATCCGTAAAGTCTCGCTTTTGAAACGCAATTTACTGGCTGCACCTTTCGAGCGAGCTTTTGCCGAGCAAGGCGACTACAACGATGATGCTAAACCCAACCCCACGTCGGAGTTAATGACGGTTCATTATCGAGAAGAAGAGGCCATCCACATCAAATCCAGCACCGACCGAGTGACGGTCATTTTCAGCACAAAATTCAAGGACGAGACGGATAAAATCTTTGGCAAAGTGTTCTTACAGGTAATGAACGGCTCTTCCGTCGAGCTTGTGGGCAGAGTGACAGGAAAAGAGCAAACAACAGGTGGATCTGATCTCTGATCATGTCATGACCCGTAGGAATTCGTGGACGCACGTCGTCGCCCAGCTTTACAGAATGCTCCTCAAGTCCTTTACTCTATTCGTGAGCCACCGATGGAACTGCGCCATCTCAATCTGAATGATAGTGACGATACCAGCTATATCACATTTGGTAAGCAGAACAGGACAGGATGGTGCAATCTGATGTGATGCGCAAAGGCTGACCGAATATTGTGAAATCAGTCTTGTTCCCTCAACATTTCACCAATGGAGATGTCCGTGAAGAAACGATTTCTCGTATCCAAGTATTCCGTGATTATCTCCATTACCATATCAAATGTTCCAAGGCATACATGCACACCCGTATGAGAGCACGTGTTAGAGACTTTTTGAGAGTCCTGAATCGTGCCAAGCCAGAAAACACCAATGTCGAAAAGAAAACGGCAAGGTACAGTATTTGGTCAAGACACAAACGTTTACAAGATCATGCATTTAATACTCACTATGCCATCTTTTATAGTGGAAGAACCTTCCGTAGAAGTTAAAGAACCCAATAAAGCAGATTTGTGCGACGAATGTATAAAAAAAAATGCATACGGATAAAAAATGAAAAGAAAAAAGCGCCATTCTCTGGAATAAAACAAAACTCTGGACGGCACAAAAAGTCCATGTCGGTCCCTGTCACAGGGCATGCAGTAGCAACGCATTTAACGGAAGGTAACGCAATGGACAGAAGCGATGGGCTTCTATTTGTTCAGTATCTACGCCACTTGGATGAACCTATTTTGCCAAACTGCATGTTGCGGATGCTCAAGTAAAATTCGAATAAGATGTCGTCGATGCAATAAACAGCGGTCTGTAAGTTTATGTAAGATTCAGGTGGTGGAAAACAAGGTTTTTTTTTTTTTTTTTTTTTTTACCGCGGAATCAGACACACAGCGACAGCGAACGGGATTTCCAAGTAGCTGGGACTGTGCAAATGAGATCTGCTTCATGAGCTACGCTGACGAGTTGGCCGTCGACAGATACACTTTCTTCGACCAGAAGACACCACGGGTGTCACGTGTGGTTTTATCGCCCTTTGTAAAAGGAGAATGGATGAGCCACCAGAATAGGCATGGATCGAACCGCATTGCTGGGAAGAAGCGAGAGTGAATTTTATTGGAAATTACTGGTTGCTGATTGGATTGGGTCGTGTAACTGTTCGATCAATAAGAGAGGTTACACCCAATTGTCTTTAGTGGAGCGAAATGTGATTGAGTTTTTTCAAAGATCCTTTTAACGTCGTCGGATATGAATTCAGCTTATCTTTTTTCATTTCATTCCAGTTCATTTCCCGTTCTTCCGCTTTCTTTATGGGCGCTACATGCTGCAAACAGGAGGAAGTTGACTTTACAGGTGAAGGTAGGTGGATACACTGCATTGACATATCAATCCGCCCTTTTATCCTGATATTTTGATGGGTCTTGTTGTCAGTGGAATTGAGCCATTTCTATCTTTTGCGTGTCATTGGCAAAGGCGCCTTTGGCAAAGTACGGATCGTTCAGCATAAACAAACACTGTGTGAATATGCTTTGAAGTATATCAGCAAGGAACGCGCGATTGAACTTCAGGCTACCAACAACATCATTGCCGAACGACGATTGTTGCAACGGATCGAATATCCTCTCATTGTCAATTTACGCTATGCATTTCACGATGAAGCCAATCTGTTCATGGTGCTTGATTTGATGCTCGGAGGCGATCTACGTTTTCATTTGGACCGACAAGGTGCGCTTAGTGAACTTCAGGTCCGATTTTATGTCGCCGACATTGCGCTGGCGCTTTATTATTTACATCAACGCCGCATTGCTCACAGGTAATCATCGCCCTTTTAATATCACTTTATCATTTGCATCCAAGTAAGCCAACGACTGTATATGTTTCTTTTTTCTTTCAAGGGATATCAAGCCGGACAATATCTTGCTCGACAGCAAAGGCCATGCGCATCTAAGTGATTTTAACGTCGCAACCCAGTTTGACGATGCACGTCCTTTGCGATGGTCTTGTGCGGGCTCTCTGGCCTACATGGCTCCGGAAATTCTAGCTGAAAAAGGATACAACACGACAGTTGATTGGTGGAGCTTGGGCATTTTGGCTTATGAATTATTATTTGACAAGGTGACGCTTCACAAGTCCGCCAGCTTCCTCGGGGCATCTGACTAATTAAGACTTTCTTTCTTCGAACCAGCGTCCCTTTACTGGCACGACAAGCGATGAATTAAAACAGGCTATCTTGCAGAATTCCTTTATGTTTCCGGAAAATGTAGAGGATCAAGTATCACAAGCTTGCATCGATTTCATATCTGGGGTAATCTATCAGTTCATGAACGTGAAAGACCAATGTATCCTAGACTTATAACCTCGCGTAGTTACTGGTCAAATCGCCGTTTCATCGACTAGGATGTGGAGAGAACGGTTTCGAGGATTTAAAGAATCATCCATGGTTCGACGGCCTTGATTGGCGGGCCATGGAAACCAAGGAAGCTATCCCACCTTTTATGCCAAATGTAAGTATTGAAATATCAACCGATGATCGATAAACCGTAATAAACAGATTGCCAATTTTTGAAGCCGGAAGAAATGAATTTTGATGCCGTCCATGAACTGGAGGAACTACTACTGGAGGAGGCGCCGCTAAGACCGCGAAAACGAAGCGTGAAACCAGTGATCGAATTAAGCAGTCCTCTAACGCGAGATCAGAAAGAGCGACAGTTGATGGACGATAAGTTTCTTCCCTTCGATTATACCAAGGACACATTGTCGCCTTATACCCACACGAAGATAGAAGCACCACGGTTATTCCGAAGAGTAGGAGATGTCATTACTAATCATTACGACCAATCCAGATATCGGGCCCAGGGTTATGAAAGGACCGACAACCAAGAACAAGTAGAACTCATACCCTGCGATATGCACGATAAGCAAGCATGAGACTTTCCTTTCGGATGGCACATAATGCTGTGTTTCGATTTATATATGTATTTTATTCCTTATTTATGATGTAACCAAGTTAATAGTTACTATGTAGTAAACGGCTACACCTTCAGGACACTGTCGAAGTGAAAGTATTATATGGATGATAACATGTATCTGAAGTAGCCGAGAGATTTTTTTTTGCACTTTTTGAACTTTGCAACGGTATCGTTGGGCTGATAACCAAAATAAAAAGATTCTAGATACATAAAGAGCAATAAGGGGAAAATATTACTGTAACAAAAGAAAAAGCTCAGTAAGCATCACAACAAAAGTGCGCCTCATTGCATATTTTTTCTTGCTTCTGTGCACTTTTTGTTTACAAGAGATGTCCATTTTATTTTCATCTACAGAAAGCCATCTTCCGCCCACAGAAGATCTTTCTTTGATTGGCAAATATTGAAACCTTATTGTGCTCCATCTCTTCTATTTGAGATAAAGAATTAATTAGAGAGTGGCTCCCTTTTGTTACTTTTACAGTATTTGATTCCGTAGATAAAGGGTCCATGGTTTGTGGGTGATCAATCTTCTCGTGATCAACCCATGCCATGCTCAATTCTTTATACCTTTTGTCCCTTTTTTCAATTTGATTTTCCCATGCCTCTACAGTACTCCACAGTTCCCTGCTGGAAAGAAAAACAAAAAAGAAAAACGCGGAACCGTTTACGCTCAAAAAGTGAATGGAGCCAGGAGTTTTGTAAACAAAAGAGTGCACTCCTTGAACGATCCGCATACTGTGACGCGTCTCTTTATCGCTTCCACTATATAAAAGCATGCTTTCACTCGACGGTTTACCACATCCCCAACAAATTCCTACATAAGAAGCAACCATTTATTCAGAATGATACGTTCGCTAAACACGTTGCTGTTGATGCTTGGTGTCTTTGTCGCTCTTTCACATGCTCAAGCAGCTACCATCGGTTGCGCCGCTGAAGCCAAGTAAGTCGATACCTGATTTTATTCATTTTATTCTGTATTTTCCTTTTCTTGTGGTTGTTTACCTTCCTTTTCACGATTTCACAGTTTCCAAGCGTGCAAATCCATCCAAGAAAGTCAACTTCGAAGCTGCGGCACAGCCGATTACACATGTCAATGTGCGGCTCAGGTAAAAATCTGCCATCATTTTTAAGTGCTTGATCATGACTGAACTGACGCTCTTTCTGTCTCTCTCTCTCTCTCTCTCTCTCTGCGCGTCTACAGAAACTGATCCAGCAGTGCTATAATTTATGCCCCGCTTACAGTAACGACGCGAATATGCAGGCCGGCACCGTGAATAGCATTTGCTCAGCTATTCCTACCACTTCCATTGCTCTTCCCAGCGTGTCGCCAGTATCCATTATTCCTCAACCTTCTTCTGCCGCACCTCAACCTTCCCCTTCCGTCTCGGTGGCTCCAGCATCCAATCAATCCTCTGCGGCTACAACCATTTCCCCAATGGCGAGCATCAAGCAAATTGTAGCTCTGGGAACGCTCCTCTTGGCAGTCCTTTACAGCACGTTTTAGATGCTTTTTTTTATTTCTTCTACATACAAGATTTAATAATTTTATGTACACCAGTTTCATACCGCAGAGTAACCCGATTTCTTTTGCTTTTCCGTTATGAGATGTACATTCCTCAGTAATAAACACATTCTACATATTGTTGCAGTATCAAAATAGTCCATGGCTTCTCTAATGTCCTTTGACTTTCCGAATCCGCTTTGCTTTCTCTCTTCGAGCGGCTACATCATTCTTTGATACCATGACATTTTCGCTTCCCTCCTCTTCAAAGGCCGTCGGTCCATCCTCTGTGTCTGCCTCGCCTTCCGAATCCGATGACTCATTGACAGTCCTTGCAAAGACGGAATAGACGGTATCATTATCCTGTGGAGAATTGAAAAAGAAAAAAAAGTCAACAATATGAACGCACATCTCTTCAGCAACCTTTTCTTACATGGAAATGCCTTACGAGGCCTTGCCCCAACCAGTGTCTAAATGCACGAAGTTCCAAAATGTTGGCTGCCAGGAAAGAGAGCAAACGTCAGTATAATCTACACCATCACTTTCCAGGTTTTCAAAAAACCCTCACCCCAGCCTCTGAACACCAAGCGAAACCTTCCAAACCGCAGAGTTTCTTTGGGTCGTTCATTGGATTCCACTGTTCGAATAATGTCTCTAAAGGCACCCCGTTGTTCCTTGCGATCTTGTTTGTTGACCTTTTTACTACTGTCGGTAGCGAGTCGTTGTAAGGCGTCAATTAACTCGTCCATCTCTTCATAATCCGGTATCTGATCTTCATCTTCCTGTTCATCTTCTTCCACCACTTGCTATGAAAAAGCCGAGAATGAGTATGAGCATATCTTATCGTTTCCGTAGCATCATTCAGGGTTACCTGCTTCTTCAACGTATCAGTGCATTCAAACATCAATGCAATATTTTCACCTGCAGCTACGCGCACATCTTTGGAAGAGTGCTCTAACAAATCCAGATGCGCAGGCATTACACTGATTTGATCGGGAATTAGATTCGACATTTGACGTTTCTCTTTTTTTTTTTTTTTTTTTTTTTTCTGGTCCAAATACTTACGCTTGCCACTCATCCCAAGCGTCCTCATATGTGCCGCGGCCATCGCCAAATGCAGAAGCGTATAATAATCCATAAGCGCGTGTGCTTGCATCCATTAAGGTATGCATTTCTTTATTTGACAATTTGGTATCCTCGTCTTCCGATCGGAGATTGTCACCTTGCGATATGAGAATCTTGTAAAAAAAATCCAATCCGCCCATGGTATCGGCATGGGAAGCCGCAAGAAAAGTCACCATTGCCAATGTTTCAATGGCCTAAACCAGCACCCGTGTCAATAACAGCTTTCATTCTTCAAGTTTTGAAAATGGAGAGCTCAACTTGCCTGATATTTGACATCGCATTCTACGGCCGTCAAGACCAGGTTCTTCAACAAGGGTAAAACTAGGCCATAATAATCATCCTGCTCGCCACCTGCACCTGCTTCTTGACTCAGAAATGCCAAACCAATACCCTTTAAAGCGAGAATGGTTTCTTGGGTGGATCCCGGTTTCCGTACGGAGCGAATTAATAACTGTAACAACGCTGACAAATTTGATTGGTTGGATCCAAGGAACGGTCCGCAGTAATGGTGCGCCAACATCTGATTTAGGGTCCCTAATGCAGTTTCACGCGTACTACCTCACTTGGATTCAGCTTATTTGAACAACCCATGTCAACATCCGTGTGTCCCATCAGACTTACGCTGTTCTCTTTTCACCCAAATCGTCGATTTGTCTTCGGAGGGTATCCTCTAGCCTGGTTTCATCTATTTCACCCGTAGAATCGGCCGTTGCGAAGGACGCTTCTGATAATGTGTCGAGTTCATCTTCCAATTCTGATCCAGCACGACTGGATGCGGGCGTTCCCAAAGTATTCAATGCAGCAATTCTACTTTGCTGCTTTCTCGCTTGTTTACTCAAGTTTTTCGGCATGTCGAAAACCAAACCAAGGAAAAAAAGGTATGAAAAAAACCCTTCCCGCTTTTTCTTGATTTAAAAATGGGGTTGTGCAAATGACGTAAAGCTTGTTTCATTCAATTTTGGAAGCCATGGCAAAAGCAATGAACAAACAAGCGAAAAAAAATATTCATACCGGCGATCCTAACTGAGATACGTCCGACATCTAAGCTTAAGCTCTTTCATGCCGTGGCCGGCCACGGCAATGTTGTCGTACCGATGTCTTGACAGTGCACTACAAAACCATGGTTTACAACAAGTTGAATATCAGCTGCTGACCTCTTTTTTTTTTTTTTTTTTTTTTTCGTTAGAACAGGTGCTCAATGCCATCCGCAGTATTGACCATATTGTTTTGTTGAGCCAACTGTATCAAGTCACGTTTTCTTTCCAAAGTCAAAAAAAAATTGCATGGTTATAAGTACTATCATGATTGGAGCCACTTCAACCTAATAGGAGTACCGAGTTCGATTGGTTTATCTTGACGTTTATGGTGTTGATTATTTATGAATAATCTGTTTTCCAATGGTTTCTGGGTGTGCTACATCGAAATCGCGCCGTAATGCAGCGTATACAAGATCAATAATAAACAGTACTTGACCGAGATTATAAACAAGTGTGATTGCATAAAAGAAATTGGCATTGCCACTGCCGGCGTAAATCCACAAGTGCCAAAAGATGGGCGACAGGACAGACGAGTACAAGAATAGATTGGTGATCAGAAAGCCATATCGACAATCTGCGTTTCGCAAAAATGTTAATACCGATCCCATTAATAAACCCGGTTTTACTTACATTTCAGTAACTCATCGTGCAAGGGGATCAGTGCCAAATACATCGAGGCATCACCAGCAGAAGGGTAGCTCTTAAAGATACCCATCACACCGCACAAAACGGTTAACACAAACAAAGGATTATGCCTGCTTTTCCCGTGTAAGCATTAGGTAAAATGTTCATCGTCATTGTTCAACTAACTTGCCTTAATTTAATGCAGAGTGGTGCGACAAAGATGAATGCATGGAATTGGAAGGTAATCATGAAAAAGGATCGGAACTGCTCAAACATCTCAATGAAAAAGTACCAGAACATCCCCACATTCGGCGTCAAGTCTCTCAAAAAGATACTACCCATCATTGGCCATTAGATCATCCACGTCTCCGCAGCAAACCATTTCAAAATCACCAACTTACATAACACCGTATGTGGCATTGATAAAATCCCATGATCCCACCAAGCACCATGATAATCCAAGCAGCGCAAGCAGCCAGCCGATATAGGTGCTCACAGTAATCCACATTGACTAATAATTTATAAATCAGCATCCCAATACGTAACAATAGTGTCCATTAACTTACAGTGGAAGGATGTCGCAACATAATGATCAACGGTGGTAAAAGCATTAATGGGTAAAAACTGAGATAGGAGGCCAATGCTGCCCAGAACATGGCCATCTTTGGTCGATCTTAAAAAAACCAGAGGATCAGATATTGCCTTCAAAGTGATCATTGTTACACTTACACATCATGGCCCAGAAAATCGCCATGACAATGCTTAGATTGGTGAACAGAATGGTTGATTTGGATACGCAGGATAAGATTGTCAGCGGATTGAAGAGATACAGGTATACAACAGTTGAAGGTTGAAGACCTGACAGTTTCTCCTCTACTTTCAACTTTGGTTGTTCAGCGTATCGCCCTTGTTTCATTATGGCAATTTTTCCCAGACAGTGAGCGATGATCATATCCACCATGCTGTACAATGCTGGTATCACAAACGAGGGCAAAGTGCGTAATATCGAAAACAAGCCTAGCAGGAGCGGCATCTACCGTCAAACCCAGTGAGCTTTACGGCCGATAACCATCGATTCCGAGACTGGTCGTTACGCTCACCTGATGGAATAAATCGGCATCGTAAGGTGGAACATTACTTTCATAGAGAAAGACGCCTTCTGCCACTACCGGGAGCATCCGTCAATAGGGTGATGCGCGTTATTTCAAAGGTTCAAGACATACATCGTTTGTAACTCGTCACGGGCGTTGTAAGTTCAACTCGGTCGGCCAGTGTGGTCGCTATGCTAGGTATACTGAACATCGCCAGGCGAATGGCGAGCGCCACGACGTACGCAAAGGCATCGTTTCGAAACCATGCACTCCTCTGCACCATGACAAAGAAACAGAGTCTTGCCGCTGCGAAATGAGACGGAGATAACAAGAAAAGGCACGAGCGCCGCTCCTGCCAATCTTTTGACTGGACAATTTCCGGTTCTCCGGATTTCTGCCACTCCTCCACCGGACAAAAATGCGGTACTTCCACCGAATCTCACAAAACTACCATACTGATCGACAATAATTGACATTGAAAGACCTTTTGTATAAAGTCTTGATTCATCTTGAAGATTATTCTTTTACTTTGAGTATTCAAGTTGATGATAAACTATAGGAATGGTTGCCGTTGATTGTAGCTTTGCAAGATACATTGCTCTCTTTTGGTGGTTTACCAAGTCATGTTTCTTTTCCTACATGTCATTGTGAGTTACATAACACTAACCAGAGAATCCGAAGCAACATTTACACGTACTAGCATCGATATCCAAAGTCCAAAGCGTAAAGCCAGCTCCGTGTCGGTATTCATGGCAGCTTTTTCCAACGTCGCGTCGTCGGCTGCACCTATCCGATCTTCAACAAACTGATGCTGTTCTTTATAATACTGAGCCAAATTTAATGATAATGTTTCGGCAAAGTGTACACAGAACCGTCGATGGCACCATAATGCTTCGTGTCCGGGGAATCTTTTGATAAGGTCGTTCAACCAGACAATGTGGTCTTGAAAATCAAAGGGGAGCGGCGATAATGCTTGTAGAACCCGTTCCAAATGCTGCACGCCTGAATGATCGCTGACGTTCAGTTCGACCCATCTCCGTGCTTGACTAAACTCTGTCTCAAGTAAATGACGATGATGGATTATCGTGGTATCCAGTAACCAATGGCGAAATGTCCATGCATAATAGTTTCGAGGATAAAGCGTTGCGGCCCGCGTGCATAATCCCAACTCTTTACCTACTTCATCCGCATCCATGTATGAATCGGATGCTGTTTCTGTGGCACGAACTGTGTACAGCCATTGCCTGTGATGCAAAAATTAGAATGAAAAGATAAGAAGAACGTGAGGACAGATTGTACCGATGATGCCAGGCAACGGAACTTTTGGAATGCTTGGGAATGGTAAAAACGAGATTCAGGAACACGAGTTCATCCTTTACCGCAACAAGTTTGGAAACTATCAACTGCTTTCTGCCATACAATTTGTTAGCAGTGACATTATAATAACATGAATGGTAGCCCAAGGAAGCTGTTTGTACCTCGTATTCATGGCGGTATAGTTGTCAGGTTTCACCACCGTCATCACTCGCGTGACGATATCGAGCTCCTTCCATTGTGCTGAATGAATAGCATCGGCAATACGTAGTTTTACAAAGCATTTCTGGGCTTCGGCAAGAATAGCTGGAACAGAGAAAATGGGGATCCCGAGTTTAGTATCTACCACCACTAGAGGATAATATTCTGCGCTGGTCTCTGGTAATTCATCGACAGGAGGAACAATGTGTAATAAGCCTAATTCATCGCTGCTCATTCGTCAGGTGTCAGTACACAAAGCATACGCGTGCCAAAGCTTACATATCGTGCGTAGTAAGAACCGTAGCCAACTTGGTATAGATGCTGCTGTCCATGATTTTCAACAAGACGTTTCACTTATTCGACAGACATCAATTTAGTGTTTCGTCAAGTTGGACTATCTTTGATAAAAAATTTCGATGACAGGAAACTCAAGTCTTAATTGTCACGTAGCATGAACCAAGGCGCACAGTCCATCGTTTTATGCAGCACTTGTTGTCGATCATGAGACAGTTCCTTTTCTTCTTGTAAATATACTATATTACGGTAATAAATTAAATTTCAGCAAACTATAATACAATGCTACAGTAATAAAAAATCGACAGTGGCAAAAATATTGGCAATGCCGAGGGTATTTTGTACAGAATGCTTTCCAATTATTTTGTTACTTGATCCTTGATAAAGTGCATGAATCGTTCGCCGTACTGAACAGGATGAACAGCTGATATACCGTCCTATCATCTGGTTGAGTACTTTATCGCTCTCTTCAACCGTGATCTGATATCACTGTTTCTTACCTTGTCTTGGGTCATACTCTTCCAGACATGTTCTAATTTCTTTACGTAGTTGTACGGTGTCAGAATGTCAATCACCCCCATAAAATAGATCGTATCCGTCTCTTCGTTGGCTTCATTTGTTGAATGAAAACCGCCATCTTCAGAGTAAAAGATGCAGTAACGGCGTCTGTACAAATCGGCACAAAATGATTCAGTTTATATCAATTCATAGCGCGACAGCTTGCTTTTTACTTACTCTTCGGAAGGACTGTTGGGAAGGTCGGAGGCGGTCATGGATACCGGACTGGCATATTTGAGCGCTTTACGTACCATCTCGGCTTTGCTCTCATGTCTACTGTGACGCGATAATTGACGATGTAACTCGGGACTATTGTTAGGCTGCTCATCCTTTGTGTTAATAGTGCCATGTTGCATCACCATGATTTATTTTCTTGTCCTACCTTGACCATTTGCAGGTTGTGGTCTCGGAGATGATCCCGATTCCCGCGCTCAGTATCATGCATCCCAATCAATAAGCTGTAATCCATGATATTCAAACGCTTCAAAAGCTATGAAACGCAGGGTGAATATGGTACACATGATGTTAGTAACAATCTAATGACACTCTACCTCTACGTCTCGTTCCAACTGCATGACCAGCAGTGACCGTTTCCTTGATCCGAGTTCCAGTTTGGCTTTGTCTTGAACCCAGTTCTTTTCCTTCCTTACGGTGCCCGGATTTTTCTCGATTTCTTCATCAGGAGTCCATCGACCCACGGTGGAACCTTTCAGATCAAACACTCTGTGAATATCCATGTTCCCTGGAAACACATTGCTCATGACGATGAAATGAATTTTTCGTCCGTGAGGCAACTTGATGCGGTGAAGACCGTAGAATCGACAGAGGAGGGTATTCGGATTTTGACACACATGCTGCATGATAATACCGTTTAGACATGTAACGACAGCCAACTGGATGAACCATGCTTACCTCATAATAATCCTTCAGTACTTTGCGCATGAATTTATGCTCTGTATGACGGATGGTTTTGATGATGAAGCGGTAATCACGGGAATAGTAAAAGAAGCTTCCACTTTTACCCGACGAATTGCATTCTGACAGGATGTACTTGTGGGTCAAGGACATCTTGAGAGCAGACGGGATGAGTCTTCGTCGCGTGATAAGGACGATGATGATGCAGGTTTTCTTACCATGTAATCTGCTGGGTCGATATGGAACTTTTCACGTAGGTAACGAAACACCCATGGCGCATAATCCTTAAACTTGAAATCGTACTTGACGCCCGGTGTCAGCTCGTTGCCAGTGCTACCCATCCCTCCCGTTTAGTTACTCCATCATTACAAATCCACAATCTGTTGAAAAAACCTACACGTCGAATACAAGTTTATGTGCTGCCTTGAAATCTTCCTCTGTCAAGTCACGCTTGATTTTGGCAGATACACGACCCACCTAGAGATCCACAGATCAGCTTTTCGATCCTCTAATGTGAAAAACATGTAGATCACTTACTGCTATCCGAATACCGGTCAACATATCGTACCTATGTAATCGGTATTCAGTATGCCATTATATCATTTTGGATGCCAAGAAAATCCTTTTCGGGACTAAAACTCACATTAATTGATAATTCCGATGGCCCTCGGCGACGCGGGTACCATAAACCACACGTTCATCATCGTCGTCATCGGTATCGCAGGTCATTTTACGTCGAGAAGCCCTTCGTGCTGCGCGACGCGACGTTATTTCTGCCTCCAGAGCGGCTTGTTCTTCTAAATTGAGGTCACCCAAGTCGATGGCCGTCTTTTGCTGAGAATGTCTGGATGATATACTGGAAGGCGAAGGTCTGTGCACTGAATGCGAAGCTCTATTGGAGTAGGGGATATCAATCGGAGGCACCGAGCGCTTCCTTGACAACTTGCTATCCTTGAATGAAGAGTTGGGGTAAGATCTGCCACTGGTGTTGGCGTTTTCTTCGTCTGGTTGATCGGCAAGTGACAATGGATGCGCAGCCGAGGGCCTTGCCATATTTCTCGGTTTGTTGTTAGTATCACTGACAATTTGTCGATGGGATGTAGCGGAATGGTGTGATTCAACACTTGGACGAGGACGTTTCGAGTGGACAGTGTCTATTGTGTAAGCGTCTGAAGCTTCGGTTGGAGAACTAAAACGAGATGAGACACTGTGCGGTCGTCCTGTAGCTGTGTATGAATCATATGTATCCGGTGATTTGGATAGCTTGGTAACGTTCATATCTGTTCGAGGGGAATGACAAGGTGAAATGGCAGACATGGCGTGACAAGGATCATTGAAAAGGAAACGCAAACGAACCCTAAAACTGACAGGCCCGAAAATCTTTTGTCGGCGAATCAAAAAAATTCATTACAATGATGCTCAGTGCGTCGGTTTGACGTCGGTGCGATCCAACTACGTGTCACAAACTCTCACATTGTATTTCCAATGAAGAATCTGCTGCCTTAATCCAGTTGTCTCTGTATCTAATACCCATGATCAATTTGCTTTCTACTGTATTAAATAAAGTATTCGTATTTTTTCTTTTTTCTTTCGTCATGGCTGTCGGAACATTTGGACGAATTTAAGCACAGTGACAAAGGCGGGGGATCAGCACCATCTCTCTCCATCGGCTGAGTTATTCACCGCACTGGCGTCAATTGGTTGGCATATCTTTGGAAACTATCGAAAATAGTAGCAGCTGAACAGCCGTGGACTTGTTAATCACTTTCTAATCATGTCGTTCTAAGCAAAAAAGCTTATGTACATCTGCAAGACCGATTTTATTCGGCGTAAAATGTGAGCGGCTTATTTTTTTTTACCAAATTGCCCGTGATAGGGAACCGTATACGATGCCTAGACCGATACAGATACTCCTGTTCCCGCATGTACGGATGTTGGTCATGCTTAGGTCACTCAATAACGGTAGTAAATGGTGCAAAACCTATCGTAAGTCAGTAGATGATGATCCCATTGATGGTAGAATTTTTGATGATAGAATATATATCATGAAGAGCACTTGTGAGACACCATTTGTGGCTTCACAGGGTCATGCATTGATGGGCTGCAATATGTCACGTGGGTGATAACGACAGGTTGGGAAACCATGGCGAAGTGCACCAGCACACTCATTGGCTGCTCGAGGAACACTCCCCAAAAAGTGCAATATGATAGAAACAAGTGTCAAGTGAAAAGGGAAAATAACCCCGTGATATGTCACGATGGTTACTATGAGTTGCTCCTTATAACAACGTTTCTGAGTTTTTTTTTTCTTTCTTCTTTCCCTTCTTTATTATCATTGTTCAAGTGCAACAAATATTTGTACGGCTGTTTCTGAGTTTGTTTATTGTTCTTTTTGTTTCTGATATTTTTTTCGAGTCAAAGATGATGGAAAGAGACAGTGCCGGGTTTTTCTTTGTCGACGCACTCTCGCTGTGTCAAACTTCTGGCAGACCATACCATTTGGAGAAACGATTTTTGCACAACGTGAATTATCAAACTACCACCACCACTTTGCAAGCGGCGGAGATCAAAAGACAAGCGTTTCTGGAAGCTCGACGTCAAAAACTCAATCAAAAGTTTCTTCAAGTGACACGAGTCGTCAAGGAAAATCAAGCCCGCAAAGAGAATCGTCATTTACTGTTTCTTCGATCGCTGGAGCTGGCCGAATCAAAACGCAACCATCACCTCGAACAAAGAAGATCAGCCAGTAAAAAATCAGTTGAGCGAGCCAAAATCATTGCTCTTCAGCACCACCGAAAATATCAAGCTGAACGAGGTAATTAGATTTTACGTTAACCCCATCACTTTATTTAATACCTCTTCTAAATAGAGCAACTACGAAGACATCTAGAAGAACGTTTGGAAAAGACCAATACTCGTCGTCTTCACTTATTGAAGCTTCCCAAATCAAGCTTACTAAAGACACACAAAATGCGGGAGAAGGAGGAGACCAAGACCATGTCGAAAACCTCCACAACCACCGTTCCGTCACCTGAGAAGCAGAGAAAGCAATCATGGTTGACCTTACTCCAAGCGTTTCGTGACCTTGGACTACCCAATCCACTGCACCGAGATACTTGGCAAGAATTTGGTCCACTGGGAGATTTGCTGAGAAAGCCCCAAGTGATTATTATCACCTCCAAGATTTTGAACGTCGCTTTACGCAAAACAGATAAAGAATGCAGCAGAAAGCGTGCACGTGTCCTTCTGACCGCCTATATGATCCTCATGTGCCCTGCTGAAGTACTGCAGGACGCAGAGGGTGCACAAGAACAGGTGAGTGGGTCGAATCCGCAAATGGAAATTTTGAAAAAAAAAAATTCATGCAAGCTTACGTCTTAAAACGCTTTGTTTCTATTTTTGGTGACAGCAACTGCGAACGGTTGCTAAGGAAACGCTGGAAAATTTTGAATCTTGGCTTCAACTTCACGATGATTCCGCTGGCTTGACTGCCAAACGATCTTTTCAGGACAGTTGGAGAAATTTTTACCAACAGTTTGAAGCCTGGCGAACCAAAGATCACGATGCCCTGGTCAACAATGTGTTTGATTATTGCATTGAACTGTTGCAACTGAAAACCCTTTTAGCAGAGAACGATGATCCATCTCCGATGATGCAGGTGGAGCAGCAATTGAGCGAAGTGAAATCACGTTTGCGACAGATTGGTGGCCAAAGCGCACTGGACCGATTAGCAGTTGCTGAACAGAATCTTGATCAGGGATCGGTATCGGAAGATGGGCCATCATCAACACCGCGTTCCCCGGATAAAATTGATAAAACCGTCAACCCTGAGGAGTTCACCAAATTACTGTCAAGCTATGCACCGTACATGTCCTCTGCCATTACCAATGAGCAACTGGTCCACGAGCTGATACTGGATCCTGAATTCAAACTGCAAAAGTATCGGCCACGCTCCGATCTGGAGGATCGCGTGAAAACAATGGCAACAAAAGCGTTTTTCGATAAAATAGCTGAAGAATACGACCGGGGTGATTGGCAAACGAGTATAGCACCATTATTGCAAGATGTCCGAGAGGTAAAAAGTCTGGGAGCATCGGAGCCCGATCGTATCACGATAGAGAAAAAAGTAAGCTAACAGAATGTACAGCAACTTGTAGCGCTCGTGCGCCCAGGAACAGCCGTTCACTCCAGTATTTGCGAAACATTAGACATCAATTTACTGGAGCAGCAGTCGAGCAAGAATATTTTTGACATTGACAAGACATTGACCTATATTGGCACCATCATGAGCCACATCTGTGCTCCTGTGCGCGATGAGGTGATTCATGAACTGCCTCATTTAGAAACCATGGATCGTTTGCACCGGATCTTGGAGATCCTGGAAGACATGACTCTCGACCTGGCCAACTACCGGTTGCGTGCCCTCCGTCCTCACTTGATGCCCATTGCCGTCGAGTATGAACAGTCAAAGTTTGCCGAAAAAATGGGCAAGGGAGATTTACCAAACACAACTCAATGGATCGCAGAAAGTTTCAAGCGTTTGTACGATGCTGCAGCTGGAAGAGACCCGGAAGGCATTTTGCCGCCAAAACAATGCAATCCATCTTTGGACGATACATTTGAAGAAGCTATGATATCATTGATCATGTCACCAGACCTGATCACCGTGGATACTTGCCCCGAAACACTCGTCATGGATAGGCAGCGATTATTGGATTATCAGAACCAGGCCCAAGCGGTCACCATGGTAGCTGCGCTGTTGATGCTCGCCAAAAACGTCAATACATCCAAATCCGCCGAATTGCACTCTCTTTCGGACAAGCTCTTTTTGCTTTTGGAAGATCATAGTACGACCGTCGACCATCTTGCGGCAGAAATTGACGCCGCCGTTGCTGTACGAGATGAATCCCGGCTTATGATGCGATCGATGGTGGACAAGACATTGTCGCACAGTGACAGCTTATATTCGCTCCTGTCACGTCGTGTTGGATCCGTACTCAAATCCTATATTCATTCTTCCGGAGAATTCGTCACACCGGCTATCCTGACCAGCTATGGTTTAGAATATGTAGACAAACCATTGAAAAGCCTATGTCGCAGTGTACTGGCACTCGTCCTTCATCATCGTCAGGTGTACAACACTTATTATAGACAAATCATACGTAATATCTCTGTAGGTTCATAAATAGCTCCAACATTCACGAAATAAAGTAATCAACAAGAGAAAAAAAGTAGCTGAGCGAGTATTATATAATGCTATACACGCTTGGCATATTAAAAGTTCGCGTGTTTGATTCTCCTAACAGAAAAAGAAAAAAAGGAGGGAACCACAGAAAAAAGGCACCCATTGGAAGGCATTGAAAGAATCGTGTAGACCGTTGTTCAAAAAGCGCAGAGTTACATGGTGCAGCTGCGTGTTACCGTCAGTTTCATCCAACACACCTACCGTCGCTGCGAATTCTGGTACGAAAAGCATGGTAATTCCTTCCCGATATTTACCCATATCTAAATTCTGATACAGAGCACATGTTCAAAAGTGTATCATGAGGAGGACTTGAACAAAAATGCGATGGAACGATAGAAGTGAAACATTGCTTGAGAAATCCAAAGTCTGAGGAAAATTCTGAAGCGCCAGTAAAAAAGTTTGGTGGACGGAAATGGAGGACGGTGTTTTTGCTTAGAAACAAACATCTGGTATTCCGAAAAAGAGAATAAACTCGCGCCTCATGAAACACGATTTGTTCTTTTATTACGGGTTTCTTTTATCTTTTCTTGCTGTGCACGATGGCTCTCCCAAACCAAATCATTGTGGTGGGAGGTGGACTTTCAGGCTTGGCCGCAGCTCATACCGTTGTAGAACAGGGTGGCAATGTCTTGTTGCTGGATAAAAACCCATTTTTCGGGTAGGTCTGATATAATATGTAACTATGTGTTCGGCTGATAACTCATAATGGGGAAACAACAGAGGCAATTCAACAAAAGCAACATCAGGTATCAACGGCGCCTTGACGCGTACTCAAATAGCTGCTGGTATCAAAGATTCAGTGGAGCAATTTTATGAAGACACCATCAAATCGGCGCGTGACCTTGCACGGCCTGATCTCATCTCGGTACTGACTGGACACTCGGCTTCAGCGGTCCATTGGCTTCAAGAGCAATTCAAACTGGACCTCTCACTTGTGTCCCGCTTAGGTGGCCACTCCATGCCGCGCACCCACCGTGGCAAAGAGCAATTCCCCGGTATGACAATTACATATGCGTTGATGGAAGAACTGGAGGATTTAGCAAAAAAGCAGCCTTCGCGCGTAAGAATCATCAAGAAAGCACGCGTTGAACACTTGATCCAAGGCGGCAAGGGTGACATTGTAGGCGTCGAATATCGTTTGGTAGGCAAGGGTAAAAAGCTGGAGGATAAAGTACACAAGGAATACGGTCCGGTGATCCTTGCTACAGGAGGTTACGCTGCTGACTTCGGATCCAATTCCTTGCTCCAAAAGTATCGACCGGAATTTTTTGATCTGTAAGGGAACCGATGTTTGTACCGTGGCTGAAGCCGGCCAATGACTCAACTTTATGCACTGAGTTAGGTCCACAACCAACGGCGATCACTGCACGGGGGACGGTATCAAAATGGCGGATGCTATAGGTGCCAATACCATCGACCTCGAAAAGGTTCAGGTGCATCCCACAGGCTTGGTTGATCCGGAAGATCCGGACAGCAAGGTCAAGTTCCTAGCGGCCGAAGCACTACGTGGCTGCGGCGGCCTACTTTTGAATGCAGACGGTGAGCGATTTTGCGATGAACTAGGGCATCGCGATTATGTTACAGGTGAGATGTGGAAGACCAAATTTCCAATCCGTCTGGTCCTTGGTACAGCCGCATCAAAAGAAATCGAATGGCATTGTCGCCATTATGCTGGCCGTGGTCTCATGAAAAAATTCGAAAATGGTGAAGCTCTGGCCAAAGAAATGGGTATTCCTGCAGCCAAGTTGAAAGAGACATTCGAGACACACAAACGCATTGCCGAAGGCAAGATGAAAGATCCTTGGGGTAAGCGCTTCTTTTCCAACGTGCCAACGATGAGCGATCAATTCTACGTGGCATTGATGCAACCTGTTTTGCACTACACAATGGTAAGCTTACTCGTACCAAACACTGTAAATGCTTTTCCCACTAACGAAAGCACTCTTAGGGCGGTGTTGAAATCAACACCGAGGCTGAGATCAAGGGAAGAGACGGCAAGCCAATTCGTGGATTATTTGCAGCAGGGGAAATGTGTGGTGGTGTTCATGGCGCCAACCGTCTTGGTGGTTCCTCGCTACTTGGGTGTGTCGTCTTTGGTCGCGTCGCTGGTCGCTCAGCTTCGCGTTACCAATTTCAGCACCTCTTGGCCGGTCAGTCGAATGGTGCCACTGTAGGAGAACAGCGTTTATCCGCCATCACCCGTCACCTTACCGGTGGAAACAACTTTGGATTGAATTTGACAGTAACGCAAAAAGATCCCAATCGAGTATCACTGGAAATTGCATGGCCTGGTGCCAATGCGCGTTCGGATCAACAAGAACCCACTGCTGCCTCCACTGCTGCCTCCACTCATCCTGCTGGCAACGGACAAACGAGCGCGAATACAGAAGCCCCGAAAGAAAAAGAAGGAGAAAGAAAGCCGCAAACCTACGGAAAGGACGAAGTGGCCAAACATAACAAAGCGGATGACTGCTGGGTCGTGGTGAACGGAAAAGTTTTGGACGTGACGAATTTTTTGGATGAACATCCTGGTGGGAAAAAAGCCATTCTTCTCTACGCGGGTCGGGATGCTTCAGAGGAATTCAACATGTTGCATAAACCAGATGTCGTGGAGAAATATGCGCCAGAATCTATTATTGGCACTTATAAAAAAGAATAATGAAAATGCGATTTTTTTTTCTTGGTTGTGAAAATAAATAATGCTTTGTTTCTACAACTTCAAAAAGGGAATATAAAATGCTGACATATATAATACACGGTAAACCAAACGAATCCTAAATGACAACAAAAAAAGTGAAATAATAAGAAACAGAAAAAAAAGCTGAGCAAAGCCAATGCGACCCAAGTGACAAGCTTATTCAACAATGGTTAATGACGGAGGGTTCAAAAGAGTGACCCCTTTCTTGTTGTCACAATCGAAATTCCACTCCTTCCAATGATTGCCCTTGTTGTGGCACGGGTAGCACAATCCGCATACGTGAGTTTGAAATCCATGGCACATGCGTCGACCTTTTTGTAAATTTTCAATCATGTCGTACATGGTGCCACCAATGGCGTTGGGATCACCAAAATCACCAAAATGCTTCGCAATCATATCCTCTTCACACGCGTTGATCTGTTGTATCCGGCGATCATGAATAGGTAAGATATTATACGCGAATAACCAAATCCCCAAATTTTGATCTTCGTTTCGAACAAACATGCGCGGTCCACCGGCGCCGGCAATGAGATGGATCACATCGCGGGAAAGGATGTAAAGAGCACCAGCCGTGTAAGGAGGGAAAATGGGAAGAGGATATTCGAGTTCCGCATTTTTGTTGTCCTCACTACGAATAGGTGGAATATTCCTAAAATGAACGATAATAAAAGAAATTCGTGGTGAGTTTCTCCAAATGTCACCTCATGGTAGGGCCATTCTTCCTTACCAATACGCCAATCCACGCCAGTACCGTGTCTTGCGTCCCAGTTGTTGCAGTTCCTTGCTGATCGTGTCCCAGCGTACAAAGATATCATCGTCCGTCTTGATAAAATAATCAAAGTCGTACTGGTCGGCCCACACCATGGTGCGGTACACCTTTTTGCTCAGGTCATTGTATAAATCGGACGAATCCAGGATCAAGATATCACCATATTTTTCTCGTTCTTTGGCAATCTTTGGTCCCATAGCGGCTTTCACGGCCTCGGATGGTGGTTCACCGAGAATAAAGCGGTAAAAGAAGGACATCTTGGCATTATCGGCTGGCTGAAGTTTCAATGTCGTATCACGGAACGTTTTACGCTTCTCCAAACTCTTGGGAGTCCAAGCCGATAAAACAAACACCATCACGCGAACGTCGGCCTCTGCCAAATCGGGGTGTTTGGGAGCCGCAGGAAGTTGTGATCGCATTTCCAGCAAATCGATGGATCGAGATCGAAGGGTGCTGACCTGATACAGACTGGCGAACATGGTGCAAAATATGACAATCGACAAAGGAAGGACAAGAATTCGAACCACGGTGGATTTATGATTGATGCGCGGCATTTCGTGGGACGATTCTCGGTGATATTTAGGCGAAGAGGCTAACAAGATCTTCAAAACATTGGAGACCAAAAGGACGAAACAAATCGTCATCCATTTCCAGATGGGTTGATCCGCACCATAGTACGAGCTGATGAAAGCGGAAATCGACCAGTTAATAACGATCAGTGTCACCAGACGAACGATGGCATTATTAAGCTCATAGTGATACAGCCACCGACGAAGCATACTGGTTGTAAGGATCCAACTCCAGTAGCCAGCTAATAAGCACTGAGGGGGAAAAGCAGCTCGAAATTAGACAAGGTGCGGCATGGCGGGAAAAGGGCTCACGATACATACCCACAGCGCTGCTACACAACAGATGAGAGGTGTGCTTTTCGTTTCAAAAATGCCCGTGTCATCGTAAGGTGGCTGAGTGTATGCGCGCGATATGTTACGAAAGAAGCCTAATCCCGCTGGAATTAAACTCAATAACCGTAAAATGATGATGGGCAAATGAAAACGTCGGGGAACATTGAGAGAAGAGAGCGACAAAGTTCCCTGTCGGAAGGATGGGAGACCGTGTGACTACAATATGGGTATATCAATGCTAAATGTCCATTGTTAAAAGCATGAGTGAAGCTTCCTTACCATGGACATGGCATGCAGCTGTCAGTTGGAAAGTCACCAATCTCAGTGAAGATGAAAATGAAAGGATTTGAAAGGGTTGGTCAAAAAAACAAGGAAAAAGGGAAGAAAAAAAAAATACAGCCATTGAGTGGTCCAAAAGAGGCGGAATTTGAACCACTCATTGTCCGCGCTCAGCGATTAACAAAAAACATCCACGCTTCACTGATTTTCCATGCTTCCTGTTATATCACTGCAAACATCAAAATTGTATGATATGAAATGAAATGGATGTGTCATATATGTATGTGCATGTTGTATGGAAAGAAAAAATGAAAGAGAAATAGGTTTTAGAACTAACAAATGCCGATTGCATCCTGCCTACATTGGACGATTTTTCGCTGCTTGCGCACGCACTCGTCGTTCATACTCCTTTTTATCCTTTCTGTAATGTAGAGAAAAGAGTTAGTATGAGCAGCCCAATTACACAACCGGATCCCACCAATCAACCCACCTAAATAACATGTACGCGTCTTGCTGAGCGGGAGATTCGGGATTGGGATCGTTCAAAAGATCCTGAATGCCGAGCAAGATCTGACCGCATCGTATTTGTTAGTTAGCGCCGCCAAATGGGATAATATTAGAAGTATTAACGTCTTACCTGCTTTACCGTAATAGCTGGTTTCCAACCTTCATCTTCGTTCAAAATGGATAAGCACACAGTACCCGAAGGATACACATTAGGATGGAATAACGGAGGATCAAATTTGCCTACAATATGGTTAAGACACGGATAAATCATCATGGGGTTGTTTGAGTTTACAGGACATACATTTGGGTGGTTTGCTGGGATAATCTACTCATGTTGATTAGCATGCGTATTGGAACAGTAATTCATGTCGTTCCTTACCTTCAGGAAATAGCAGAATGACTTTGTATACAGCGTTTTCCCACGGCGTCTATTTGCAACAGGTGAATCAACTATCTCGCACCCTCTGTAATATAACACATACGCTATCTTTGCCTGGAATACCGCAGGTCCATGTCATTAGATCCAATGAATTGTCTTCATTCTTGCCCGGACGTGCCCAGAAACCCTATTGCAACCATCGTTAATGGAATGTAAAAAAGAAAGCAGTGGGAAAAGAAAAAAGGAAATATTTGCGTACGTGAGGATGGTCTTTCCTCCATTGCTTTCTTTCTTCCATCAATCGTCCACGTGCGATGCCCGAACTCATGATCAATTATTTTATAAAGGAACAAAAAATTCTGGATAGTTAACGGCAGCCTTTATTTTTTATTGCTTTGATGACAGTGACGGCACTGTAGGCAAAAACCATTTTTTATTGGTCGATCTTCACCTTCTGGAAATTTTCCAAGCAAGCAGTCAATCCACATCGCCCTTTGAGCCTATTTGAATTCAATTGACCAAGACCACAGAAACAAAAACTTCAAGGGCATTATAAATAGCATTCAGACATTCCTCTTTTAAATACAGTTACGCTCCTCAAGTATTTGCGTAAACGAGACCATGAACATACAAAGGTGAAAGATCTTTTTTCCCAACGCATGGATGACAGATTCAAAAAAGGTGTTGTAAATAAGAGAAATCGATCCGCTCATGATTGCCAAGACTATCAGACTACCTAGTGGAACGTTGCTGCTACGCAAAATCACCAAAGTTTAGTCGGAAGTTGCGCTCGGATATTCTCAGTGCCGCAAGATGAGATGGATGGTTCAACAAACCACCGACGTGTGAGCACGGGGATACAGGGATTGAGATCCGATAACTTGTGAAAATTAAAATTCTAAATCGATGAGATTATGTTACTATTTACCTGTAACAATCCACGATAATACGTTGATATTCAGCTTCTATGAGCTATTGATAGAATACAGGACGACTTGAACAAAGTATATGTATATTACTTGTTTACATTGTCATTGCTAAAGGAAAACAAAGAGTTCATTCAAATTGATTGGGCATGAAAAAAAGAAATGCTGTGCGCCAAAAAAAAAAAAATTCATGACGTCAAAAAAGCATGTGATTATTATAATCGTTGTCATTGTCTCGGTTTTTGTTGTTCTCGTACTCGTCGTTCTTTTTCCATATCTTTACTATATCTTAATCTCTGCTCACTCCCAATACCTCCAACGGGACAATGGATTACGTGGGGAAGCTGAGTACTCTCTTTACCTCGGTACAGAGTTTCTACAACGAAATCAACCCGGCCACGCTGTCCGGCGCCATCGATATTGTCGTTGTCGAACAACCGGATGGCGATCTCGCTTGTTCACCATTCCATGTGCGATTCGGGAAATTGTCCCTTTTAATGCCGCAGGAAAAGAAGGTGAGCGAGCTACCGTGATAAAACTACCGCGAACCACGAAAATAGACAATATTATATTTTGCGTTCATGGCAATGTGGCAGCAAGGACTCCAGTGATGGCTATTATGCACAACGAATCTATATTACTGAATCTGACCTGGAGGTGTTTCGCTTTTTATTATTTAGGTCCAAATCAAGGTCAATGGTGAACTTGTCCCCTACTTGATGAAAGTGGGTGAAGCAGGTGAATCCTTCTTCGTATTTGAAACGGAACATGAAGTACCCGAAGAGTTTCAAACTTCGCCCATCGTGGGTGCCATGTCTGAAAATAAAGCCGATGAGGTATAGCCTAAACTAACTAGCGACGACTTCTTTGGTCTAATATGATGAATCGTTTTGCAATTGCACAGGAACCTCCTTACCTCGATATTGGCGAATCGAAAGAACACCCGAAAGGTAGTACGACAAAGGAGACGCTGGTGACCATTGCTTTTTGACTGATATTCTTGGAATAACATTCTCAGATACGGCTCGGCAGAATGCAGATGCGCCAGCGGACAATTTCGATGACGAAGAACCTACGAACAAAGTCGACAAGTTATGTTTACCTGCGGAATTGCAATCGCCGAAAATGATCATTGAGGAACAGATGGACAAGGTGGTGACGAAAATTGATCCTTACAATAAGGATGCTGATTCGGTCCACACGTCCGTGATGAATACAGAAGATACATCGGATGCCATGGAGAAGCTGAAAGATGCTACCGAGTCCTTGTCCTTGCAAGATACGGATTCAGCCATGTCACCGAAAAACGATATATATCCTATGGACGACGGATCTTCCATTTTGGAACGTGTGATTCCCGAAGCGATTACCACCACCACCATTGCCAAAGAGACATTCATTGTCCGACCTGCCAATGGCGATCTTTACAGCACATTGATGGACGTCACCCATACATCCGTGCATCAACGTGGGGATGCGGACAAAAAAGAGAACGAACGATCATCACGGCCCTCGGATTCCACGCACGGTCGCGGTGAGGAATCCATCGTGCTGGATATTGCGGGTTACAAAACGGGAGAAGATCGCTGGGGAAAGAAGCAAGAACCGAAACGCGAGAATAAAGAGCGAGGATTGCAGACCGACATTGAAGCACCGACGATTTTGGGATCGGATACGAGGCATGTGGCATCACCGACAGCGTTGGACGAGGATCCTGTAAAGGACGCGGGGGGTCGCGATGGAAAAGAAGAAGAAGAAGGAGCAGCAACAGACAAGATGGATGACACGGATATTGCGAAAAGCTCGTGGGGTTGGGAAAATGTGCGTCGAAGACTGACGAATGAGTCGTTGGAATTATTGGACGAAGAAGGCAGACATGAGGACAATGCGGATACGGTAGCAGACAGAGAAATCCCAAATTCCGCAGACGAAGAAGGAGCAACCAATACGGTTGATCAAGCACTGTCAGTCTCGGTGGGGGACAAAGAAAATAAGGTTCAAATGAAACAAGGAGCAACGTATCGGATCGAGATGAGTCTCTGCGGTCTTTCTTCGTTTGGCGCAGACGAGAACGAGAACGCCACAAAGTTCACCGAACATCAAATGACTTACGACAAGTTCATGCATAACCCGAATCTTTTGAACGACCCTCGACTTGTGTTTCGGTACGAAAACCGGTATTATGCGGCAGGGCGTACCGGTCCGTTGTTTACGTCGCTCTTGTTGTTCCGCAAGCCATTGGAAGATGTGAGTCGCCCGATGGAAGGCACCGATGCGTCGTCCAAGGTATCCGACAGTCGCGAATCGTACTTTTTCGGTAAAGGCTGGCGTCAGTGGTTAAGTCGATCCAGTGTGGCTGCACCCAGTCAATCCTCCTCGGACGAGAATGATTCCACCGCCACCTCAGATACACCTGCCACCGCCAAGGAGGAAAGTGCCAAGGGCGAGACAACGACCTTTACCACCACGACGATGACTACTTCTGTCGGCTGGTCCGCAGAACATAAACACCCTGGAGAGGAAGAAGCTCAACCACTGCAAAATGTACGCAGAAACTTTGCGAAAACGTTGCGTCTCACCTCTGAACAACTGAAAAGCTTAAATCTGAACAAAGGAGTCAACACCATTTCCTTTTCTGTCACATCTGCGTATCAGGGCACCGCCACCTGTTCGGCCAAGATTTTTTATTGGAACTACGATATCCAGATCGTCATTTCAGATATCGATGGAACTATCACCAAATCAGATACCCTGGGGCATGTGTTTACCATGATTGGTAAAGACTGGACTCATCCTGGTGTAGCCAAACTGTATACGGATATTCACAACAACGGATATCAGATTCTGTACCTGACGAGTCGCGCTATCGGACAAGCCGATTACACTCGCGATTATCTGAAGAAAGTGGAACAGAACAAATACCAGCTACCGGACGGACCGGTCATCATGTCGCCCGATCGACTGTTCACATCGCTTCATCGTGAGGTGATTATGCGAAAACCAGAGTTGTTCAAAATGGCCTGTCTTCGTGACGTACAACGATTGTTCGGTGGCCGAGATCCATTTTATGCGGGATTCGGTAACCGTATCACGGATGCTATGTCTTATCGCAGTGTGTCTGTCCCAGCGTCTCGTATATTCACGATCGATTCCAATGGCGATGTCAAACTGGAACTCTTGACGGGCTTCAAGTCATCTTATATCCATCTCAACGATCTCGTTGACCAAATTTTCCCTCCCATCAACAAGGCCATCGATGAGCAATACAATGACTGGAATTATTGGAAAGCGCCCATTGCCACGGTTGATTTACCTGAATTAGAATCTGAGCCTACCCCCACCTCTCCGAAACCCAAACCTATCATACCTGATCCATCGGCGCTTCCTGCCGAATCGGTGGCCGCTGCCGCTGATCGACCGCATCGCAGCATTTTGCGTAGTTTCACAAGGTCCTCAACAACAGATACTGGCGCCAAAAAACCAGTGGCCAAGATCCAATCCTCTTCAAGCTCAAGCACCATTCACAGCTTCAGCAGCGGACGTGACAGCCCTAAAAGTGAACATTCGTTTGAACGGTCAGATACAAAGGAGTCAAGTGGCGATTCGAAATCCACAGCTGCGCATGAGAAAACAGAAGAGACTGAAACTTATTCCGCGCCTCCTTCAGCCCCTACTTCACGATCTTCCTCATCCAGTATTATGAATAAGGTGATTTCAGGCAGTTTTGGCGGTGTGCGTAGTATGCTTTCTCGCTCTTCCGTCTCATCAGCCGATGCTTATCCCATTGCTCCCTCGACCGCCGAGTCATCTACCGAATCAAAGGAGAGTCAAACTACTGAGGACGATGATCTGCTAGGTCTAGATGATGATATAGACGATGAGATTGACATGGACAATATTCCATTCATTTAATGCATAGTTTCTCGCCGGCTTTTTTTTTATTTCGTTGTTCCTTTTTAGCATTTTTTGATCCTTGGTTTTTAAACTGTTTCTATACTACTACTTTACTGTAACGTACGATTGCACTTTTTTTATGCGAATTTGTAATTTTATCCATCTGTTTTCAAATAATGACATCCCAAGTTCAGCAAGTTGTTCACAAGTGTTCACAATAGTTGAAAGAGATGCCAAGTCAGATGAACTGGTGAATGGTTTTCGGCACGATGACCCACGCGTGAACGTGATTGGTGGGATTTTAACTTCCACATGCATTACGTGCCGTCCTTTTCCCTAATTCTTTTTTTTCTTCCCCCAACATTTGAGAATGCATATCAAAAAATGGCAGAACGCCAAGACTTTGTATTTTTTGCATTGTTCAGTTGAACTCGATGCACTCAACAATTCAGAAATAAGAAAATAGACAAAACTTCTTGGCAGTTGTTTAGAGACAGATGTTTAATAACAATAAAAAAAATGATTTCGCGTATATACAAAGAATGCGGTAATCTGAGCATTATTTACTCGTCGAAAACCGTGTTAAATGTAGGGCTAAAAGAGTCTACAGTGTGAATGGAATCGTGGTCAGACAGCGAGCGGTGACTACCATCATGGTGTGATTGATGCAAGAGCGATTGGTTTTCATTGTTATAAAGAGCATGCATGGCATGGTGATGGTCATGGTCTTCCGTTGCTTGACTTAAGGAAATATTGGCCCCAGGAGTGGAAGGAATAGCAGAGTACGACCGGCTTAAGCCACGACAAGCAATAGCCATCGAAGGGACACGACGCGAAATACAAGAAGCGATGAATACCATGGTAACGAAATAACGATGTGAAAAAGAAAATATATATAACACTTTTGAGAAGAGGATGATCTGATCTCAATTTATACTCTGTTGGCGTCTGGATTTTTTTTGAGAATATCAAACTTGCTCGTTCATCCCCATCCCTATTCCCTCCCCCCCATTAGTTCCTACATCCTCGGATAAACAACCAAATAAAAAATAAAAATCGCCCAAAATATTGGAACAAAGCAGAGAATTGAAACCAAACTCCTTATCGGGAGTTTTTGTATCGCAAATATTCCATTGAATGAACAGGACCACGTACAGGCGTCACATTCACAGGTGGAGCTGCAAACCTAAAAAAGGGAACAAGGAGATCAGTCACCTTTCCTCTTACAACAAACAAAGCGCAAAAAGCTTAGATGATTTCCATGAACAGTTGATGATACCATAAAATCGGCCCATCCGACTGGCGTTTATAGGCAGCCACTAGAAAAAGTCGATGTGGAAGAGAAAACAAAAAAAGTTCAATATCCGTCCTATTTTCTGTTATTGCGAAATCATTATGCAATACCTTCACTGGGCGGTATTTTATCGCTTGAGAAACCTGGCGAAAAGGCGTTGTGTGGTTGACCGTCCATTGGACTCGCGCTATAGTAGAGTGGGGCAGACGGTACCAAGCCTGGAGAATAAGTCGGCTTTATTCCAAATTGATGAATGTTGTTCATTTGGGCATCACGAATTGGCAACAGGAGAAACGGCGGAAAATTCACCGTTTAGAAATGGGAAAAAGATTAAGACGTCAGAAACACGTCAGTAACAGTCACAATACAGAGAAAATAAAAAGAACAATCGAAACGATCATCATGCAGCTCGCTTACTGTTCAAAATTATTCTATTGCTTCCCATCATGCCTGAATCTGGCGTCAGACAAAAAAGTAAGTCCTGATATGATATCATTCAATTTACCGAGTCCACAGATTGACCGAAATATGTTCTAGGCTCCAAACTGCTTCAGGAAGCCTTGACTGGTGGATCTGACATATCTGGAGGTAAGTCGACATGACTTTTTTGTTAGTTGTTATGACTGATCAACTGATTAACGACTAACTGCTGTCAGAATCCATTCACAAGCTTGCCGAAGATATCGAACAATTTATTTTCGAAGAACATTCTGATAACGATGAACACTATAAGGAATCCATCCGATCCCACGTATTTAACCTCAAAGACGATAAGAATCCGCTCCGCGAACGTGTCCTGAGTGGCGAATTGGACCCTCGCGAATTTGCTCACATGGTACGTATCGTCAAAGACGAATCTGCTTGCTCAGCTATGGGTCAAGCATTGCTCTTTTTTTTCTTTCTTCCTGATGAGTGATGTAACGTGAAATTTTTAGACTTAATGATTAATACATTGTATTTATACCACAGGATACGGCGGCAATGGCTACGAACGAGCGCCGGCGCTCTGATGAACAAATGCGTCGTAGCTCCATCATCGATTCAATGGGAATTGACGACTTGCAACCCCGCCATCGTGATCTCGACAGTGCGGAACCGAGGCACGAATCCTAAAAACGAATTGGCGGAGCCAATAAGGGAACAGGTGGCTTTGTCACCAAGCATTGAACTCTGTTAAAAATCAATCTGCTCTTGTAACATAACCACGATATTGCAATAAAAAAAAGAATAAGACGCTGGAAATATGGGTAAAAAGCAAACAGCTCAGACCTTACTAGAGGCAGATACGTTTTACATTGAGGAAGGATCACAACAACAATATGCTCGAGTCCTAGGACCTCGTGGCAATCATCAGCATGAAGTGCAGTTTGTCAATGGCGAACAGACACTGGTCACGCTTCCACCACGATTCCGCAATTTGGTGTGGGTGAAAAGAGGTAGCTTGATTTACAAACCTATTAAAAAGCTATAATGCAAACTGATCGATCGTTCATATTAGGACATTACGTGGTGGTCGATCCATCGTCTGGCACAACTTCGGAAAAAGTCGGCGGAGAGATCGTTCATGTCCTTTTCCCCAAACACATTAAACAACTCGAGCAAGACGGGAAATGGTATAGTTTTCGAACCAAATGGAGCTTAGGATGTCACATATCTCTAACTGTCACTGTTCTTTTATTTTCGCTGTTTTTTCGTAGGCCCAGCGAGTTCTCCAAAGATAAAACGGCATCGTCTCCTGCCAAACCAGAACGCACTAATGATGAAGACGAAGAAGAGGAGGAAGACGATCTGTTATTTGTGAACAACAATCGACCTATCATTTACGAAACAGAAAGTGAAGACGAAACCAGCGATGAAGAATAACTCAATGTTCAAACAGATCCTTCCGTCATAAATACTGCCGCATTTCTTTTTTCTTCCAATTCATCCCGGAAATCATACTCCACAAAAAAAGTCATCATTATATCTTCCCATTTTCATCATCAAGTCCCTCCAGCTGCTTTTTGTACACCCGAATAAAAAGAAATCCATGCTGCTGATATTTTATTCATTATTATTATTTATGGTCTCTTCCATCATTCAACGGAGAAGGTGGAGGTCCAATATTGCATACCAAAACTCCAGTCGTCCACTGCAACGGCAATCATCGAATACACAATTGTCGATACAATCAGCATCATCACCATAATAAAGTTAAGTTTTCCCCACCACGCTTCGTAACGATTACGGCTTCCTGCACAACAACATGCACCAAAAATCCACAAAATGGGTAAAAACCTGACAAACAGTTAGTATCAAGCATTTACTAGCCGTGCCAAATATGACCTACCAGCCAAATAGAAAGAAAAGAGCAGCTAGTGGAAATCGTCGTTCATTTTCACTGGGACGGCGAACAAGTAAAGGGCGTGCTTCGTGACGGCCATACGGGGTACTTGGCATGGGGATGGTTTGGTAATTTTGTGGAGGATATGGTTGCGGAGGAACAGACGAATAACGGACATTAGGACTAGATTGATACTGATGGCTCGGTGTATTATACGGTTGAGGTTGGAATGGTTGCGGAGAGGGTGATTGAGGAATCTCTGGATATAACAATGGCTGAGCGTGAGGTGATAAGGGAGCTGAGGGTGGCGGTAAATATTGTTGCTGCGGTGACGACGGAGGATGGGATGGGGTATTTTGAGGATACGAGCTCGATGATACAAAGTTCGGATTATAGGCACTAATATTCTCTGACTCTGTGTATGAAGGAGGAGGATCTCTTTCATCAGCATCGGGAGGATTACGTCCTTTCTTGCTCATTATTATTGTTTGTATCGCTGCACGAAAAAGAAAAAAAAAACTTCAAAGAAATAAAGAGAATAGGAAATTGCCCTAATGAGACAGCCAAGGGAAATCGCCCACAGGTGACTGCTGATCATCACCTGCAAAGCCCAGCCTTTTGCACATGACTGACCTCTTCTCCGTTCAAGGACAATTATAGATTTGACTCTATAACGTGTTCTCAGAATGAAAGTTGTTCCATACTGATTGCTTATGATATTAGTTGTTTTCTGCGATAAACTGCTCTTTTTTCTTTTTTCTTTTTTTGTGCGAGACGGTGTCACACTGTGGGCCCATCATCAGCAACTCCGTCATGGGCCTGCTTTAAAAACGTAATAACACTAGATTTCCTAATAGAGCGTTTTTACAGAATGACACAATACAACATTTCGTTGCCTATATACACATCCGAAATTTGCGTACGCTGTATTGATCGTTTGGTCAGTAAGAAGGTTCAAGCTGGGTTGCGAGCACTTATAAAATTGAACCAATCAGCGAATAAGGGATAAGCTTATGGAAGCGATAATTTGGTGACCACGGTCTTGAAGTGCAAAGTCTCCAGCGAAAATTTCCAACAACTTATGAGATCGTCAGTAAGCCATTTTTGGCAAGCTGTTGGACCTTAATCATGATTATCACGCATATCATGCACAAGAGGATTATGATACGACAGTTAAATCTAGGATCATTTTTATATAGTTACAACATATAGAAGAATAGTAGCCAAAAAGAGATTCACAAAAAAGCATGAGAGGAATGAATGAATGAGAACTACTATGTCAAAATTGGGTATGAAAGAAAGGAGGACAAAAGGGTGCAATGTACAATGATGAGGTGAGGTGAGGTGAGAAGTTCAAATGAAGGGTAAGGGTATCATTACATATAGTATATAAATACAGCGAGAAAGCATACAGTACTATTTACGAGAAATGGCATAATAAGAAAAAGGCGAGAATAAGGAAATCAAATGAGGGACGAGAGAGGAAGAGGGTTGAACAATAGCGGCATAACTGTTATACCTCATTCTTCAGTTTTTCAAGTGGAAATAGTTGATCAATTTTCATAATCCAGTCAATCATTTCGTTTCTGGAGGTAGCTTGTAGCGTATATGCATTATTGTTGGTATAAAGAGCAAATACATTTGTTCGCTAGAATTTAACCGACACGTTAGACCCTTAACAAGCAATGGATGCCTTATCACTATATCCTTACATGAATCATCTGCTCAAGTGCACGGTTGTAATCGATGCGCACAGAGGAAACATTAATAATTCCTTGCTCATCCGTTTCGGATTGATTTGTATACACATAGATATAGGGTCTAGTTTCATCATCCTTTTGAGTCTTCCCATTTTCGTAAATGCTCCATCTTCGCTTTTTTTTCTTTTACCTTCGCATGACAAACCATCGTTTCACCCACTTATCGTCTAAAGCATTCTCTTGATAGGTAAGGTAACCTTTTTTGGACACATTGTCTCTGTGAAGGGTTTAGTTCATTGTGCTTTATGCAATGCAATGGATCACATGTTTTGGTAGCAAAATAACTTACGTCTGCGTTATTTGTTTCACTTCAGCTAATAATTTGGAGCTTGACCATAGCTCTTGGCGGATCTCCAAATCATGGAGACCGGGTATAGGTGGATCTTGGCTGATGGCAATCTAAAGTGTGGGATGCGATGAATTAGCACTCTTAGCACTAGGCAAATCCGCCTTTATATCATTACACTTACATCCTTATCAACTCCTAATTTTTGCGACCATAGATCGAGCACCTTGTGAACCAGATCGACCTGTTCGCTCGTAAATATGTCACATGTATCCACAGCGCTCGATTTGCTCGCCAGTTCATGGGCCTGTTCGATTTTGGCCATGGAATTGTTGCTCGTTTGTGAACGGGCATTACGAAGGGTGAGAATCTGCGATGTATAGGCGACGTCTTCTTTGCGGCGAATGCGTTCTTTGATGTGTTTGTAATCGTTGACTAGCGATACCCCCCGTGGACGCCATGAACCCAAGAATTCCTCGCCGCGCACATACTTGGCCGCCGTATTCAGACGCCACAGTTGGCTGACGCGACGCGTCATGGGTGGACGCAGGTTCACAAGGAAAATACCGCTGCACTTGGAGAGATGTTTCTGCGAGCCTAGTAGTTTGCGAATTCGAGAAGTGCCCGAGGCATCGCGACCTTGAATACGCACCGCAATATCCATGCTAAACTGGATGGGTTTCGAGCATTTCTCCGCTTCCACTTCCCACTTCAAATTGAGCAGAATGCGGCTGTTGGATCCAGTAAGACGATTGAGGAACAAACATTCATGTTGCGAGCTGTCCCATGCACCCTGACATTGAAGCTGGCTCGTGCCATCGTTCTTGTAGCTTACAGTCTGTTGCGCTAACAGCTTGATAGGAATGTCTTCGTGCGTAGGCGAATCGATGATACGACCTTTGGCATCTAGCAATCGTACGTGACCAATGGAAGCTCGCGAAATGCGGTTCCAGGCAAACTGCCGTCCGGATGTGTGCGACAGAGTGATGCACAGACGCCGTTGCAAACCTTGGCGCAAAGAGAATACACCGCGATCAAGTGAATTCTGAGCTGTGACTTGTACAGGCATGTACTCTCCGTTTGGCATGAGTTCGCACACTTGGATCCACGCTACCACGTCGTGACGTTCGGCCGCCAACATTTCCTCTTCTGGCCGTCGTTCCACCGTGGAACTGCAAATACTGGCCTGATCCGATCCTTTCAGCTGGGCACTGGCCGCCAACATGTCGGCGAGACGCGGTTTCTCTCGTTGATCGTCCCAGCGTTCGTACTGAGAAAGAATTCGAGGCTGAGCTACGCCGTAGACTTCGAAAGAAACCATTTCGTGCATAATCACATTCAGCATATTGCGTGTAACGACGACCGAGATGGTTTGGCTGTAATCGAGGGGGATCGAAGCCGTCTCAAAGCCGCTCATAGGATCCGTGGCAAATAGTTTTTCAGCCGTGGAATGGGCAGGAATGCCGCCAAACGATGAAAGTCGGAACTGCACGTGGACTTGAGTGAATTCGGTTTCGTTCAGTCCCATCAGTTCCAGCAATCGTACTTCGAATAGCAACTGCTGTCCCACACGCAGTGTTTGGCTGTCCGCCTTGTCGGAATCGCACGCTTGCGCCAGCTGGAGGGCGCCTTTACTGAGTGACATGGATCGGGCAATAGGAGAAATCAATAGTCTCAATTTGCCTCTCACTTGTCCTGTTGATCGGCATATGACTTCGATACAGCTTTCATAGGGTTGTTGAATTGCCAGATTACGAACGGAGGTGGCCGCGCTGCCGATAAATGAGTATTTTGGACTGGGATTTTCGTAAAAGGGATCTTCCCAGTTGAAATGTTTGCGGTACATGGGGCGATCGATAAAGTTGTATAGATTGCGCATCTTGTGTAATCGCATCTTGAGTTTTTCCAAGGACCAGACATACACGACTTGGTGTTTACGATCAATCACACGCACGCCAATGCAGGGCTTGACTGACGAAATCAATGTGGTATCTTCGTCCGTATTGAATTGATGCAAAGCGGAAGTCGTTTCCCAGTACGACAGGGGGTTGGAGAACTGGCCATCTTCAATGATAGTGAACTGATACAAAGCTTCCTTGTCAAGTTCTTTGGAAATAACGTTGGCTTCTTTCAAAATGACGGCATTAGTCAGTACCACCTCGGCCATACTAACGTAGCGTAACCCTTTCCATCTTCGAAGCACTTGACGAAGCATTTGCAGCTGATCGTCGGTATACAAGGACAATCCAAATTGCTGTGGCAGTTGCATCGACATACGGTTGATCTGATTCTCATAGTATTGTTTCTGAAAATCGAGTTCTTTCTGCAATTTTTCTTTTTCAGTCTTGTACTTTTCCTCCAGCTCGGTGGGTACAAAGGTTGTTTCGGTGCATACACTTTCCGAACCATCATACACGGTGGTAGTGGCCATCGAGTTACGGTAAGATCCGCGTGTGGTTGAATCGTCTTCGTCCATTTCCGCTCGACTTTCGGAACGGCATCGTCGCATATTTCGGACCCGCGTGATTTCGTCAAATAATTTTTGAAGCTCCTCATCGTTCATGCCACTAATGTTGGCTTCGTTTGAGTAATAATTACGCATCGCTTCCAATCGCGCAAACTTCCAGTCCATGACTTCGGAGCCTAATAAACTGGTATTTTCCGTCGGTGAATCGGGCCGTTCGTCTTCGTCAAAACTTGGCGATGCGTTGCCCATGGTTCGTTCAACCGCCACCTTTTGAAGGTCGCGTTCGCGTCTCACTTCTTCGGGATGGTTAAATCGGAAAATATGATGATCGCCCATGATAATACGGAAACCACTCTTCAAGCGCCGCGGTTCACTGATACGGATACCGTTCACCATGGTAAGTGAATCTTGACCCGGATGAAGCGTCACAGCGCCATTTACATGCTCAAACCAGCAGTGCTCTTCCTGGATATTCGATCCACTTAGACGAATATCCGCTTGGACTCCGCTTTCTTGACGACCGACGCGTGTAATGCCTGCTTTGATTTGATACATCAGGCATTCGGACATGAGCGGATCTTCATTGAGATTCACCAAATGGGGAACCTTCTTGGGTGCATAGACGCCTACGTTGTTCTTGTGGACCGCAATACCAAGTTCTTCGAGCGTGCGTTCACGTTCAATTTGAATTTCTTCGGTACGTTTCAGTTTTTCTTCCCAGGTCTCGTTCAGGTTCGCCAACAGTTTTTCGGAACTCTGTAACTGTTCGACGATTTCTTGCTTTGACATCTTCTTTTTGCGACCCTGAGTGTCGACGAATTCGATTTCTTGAGGTATGCCGTTCATGGAACGGGTAGCCGCAGGTGATATATTGCCGTTGGTGTGAGCGTCTTTGTGGGCGCTGGTAGCTGCCAGTTGTTCAACGACATCGGGAGCATATACTTTGAGTCGATCACGCAATACTTCCAGTTCCTCTTTGAGTTCTCGAATCATCTTGGCATTAGGATCTTCATTAACGACGGCCTTGTTCTTGATCTTCTTTGCTTGATCCGCGTAACGTAAAGTACTGAGGGTTTCATCGTAATCAGCGGGGGAAATGGCGGCAATCATGGCCGTCTTGGAGTTGCCACCGAGGGAGTCTTTCAACAGCCAGGTCAGCACGGAATCACGGTATGGAATAAAGACTTCTTTTTTGTTTTTTCCTTTTTTGCCTTCCTGCAATGACTGCTCGGCCAAACCGGCAATGACTTTGCCCAGCGTGGTGAGGGAGCGATTGATATTGGCACCTTCTTTCAGTCGCGCACCCGTAGCACCGGTACTGTTAGCACGTTCACTGCCTGCCAAGTCTACCAAACTAGATGCCATTGTGGAGATCATGCAATGAATTTTCAAGGAAACCGGGTCCGCTTGATTGTTTTGAGATGAAAACGTTTAATCTTACCTGATACGAGCCACTTTTTCGCTTTCCATTTTGGTCGTTTGATCGAGTCGCTTTTGAGTGAGAAACACTGTGAATACGGCGTGCGATCGAGACGAGGTTTCGTTCATGTTAGTGGCCGCCACGGTTCGTGCCTAAAAACGGAATATGCATGTCAAAAAAGAAATCACTTCTCAGATCAGATGATCTTCTCATAACATTTTTGATTTCAGATCTTTTGTGATACCTTGTTGCCTTCATCCATGAGGTCGTTGATATTGTCAAAGGAAGTAACGACAAGCCGCGATAAGTCTTCGACGTAAGGTCCGGTACTTGGGTGTTCGCGCACTTTGAGGTTGCCTTTGTTTTTGGGATTCAGAAGATCGCGCACTTTTTCGTTGTAAATTTCAATGTACGACACTTCGGCACGATAAGTAACATTTGGATCGGTGTTCTTCGCAATACGATTGAACAGTTCGCAGCACGTTCGTGGAATGATACCAATATCTTCGCCGTAACCCATCTATACAGAAATCGTGTGTTAAAATATATTGAAAAAAGGCCATTTTCTCAGTCAGCATAGATTCGAACCATAGAATAGGATTTGCCAGAGCCCGTTTGCCCATCTAACAAAGACATTTGTTATTTGGTGTCTTCATTTTTCTCGTGTAAAAAAAACATATCATCATTGGAAAGAAAGAAAGAAAGAAAGAAAGAAAAGGAAAATAGTATATAGAGAATGTTTATTGAGAACAGACGATAGAGAAAGTAACTTACATGCAAAAATACAACAATTATAACCGTCAAAAGCGTGGTTTAACAGTTCTTCGCCGAGATCGTTATATACGGTTTGTTGATCAGCGTATCTAGGGTCCGCCTTGTCAGCCGACCAATATGACTTGTCAAATGTGAAAGCTTTGTGGTCTTCGGAGTCTTTGCCGGTCCTTAGTTCGGGAGGTTTACTCAAAATAGTTTGATCACCCTCCATACGAATCAGACCCACGGCTCCACGCGCAAGTTCTATATAAATTTCAAGCGAATGTAAGATCTTTTTTTTCTTGTCCTGCTCTAAATTATATTTTCTCTCTCTCAACTGGTTTTATATGGGTCACACAGTCTCTTTAGGTTCAAGAAAGTCGAAAGACAAGTATACCTCTGCTGTTCAGAGGACGACATCGTACAACAACTTTGATATTGCCGCCTCCACTCATATGGGTATATGGTCTGCTTTTTGGATGGATAATGTATAGGATACGTGGTATGATAATAGAGTCACAGGGTAGTAAGAAACGAATCAGCAATGAGAATCCAAAAACATGTCACGGTAGATGATGAACTTCTCACCGTCAAGAACAGAAGCAATGGGGTATGCGTAACGATGGACAGTGCTGTGCCTGATATTTGAATCAGAGAAAGTTTCAGATGAGCTGCTGTTTCCAAGCAAACAGTGATTCCGACAGTCGTTGCTCGCAATCACGGCTGAGTGAAAAAGAAAAAGAAAAAGAAAAAGAAAATTATAAAGAGAAAGGGAGATAAAGAAAAATGGAAGTAAATGGTATGATATAGGTTGCAGCACGAATAAAACGAAATAACCTTCCCCGTCCCACTTGTTCAAAAAAGAATAGAAAGGACGCAGATGGTAGAGGGAAAAAGCACCTAAAAGAAGAAGGAAAATCCGTTTCTGAAGCTAAAATACACAAACTGAAACTGAGTTGAAAATTTACTCTCAAAGTTTGAATGTCTGCCAGTTTCTGTAACAGTGTCGATTATATTGAACTTCAAAGTTGATATTTAAATAGTGGATATGCACTTTGTTTATCCATGAATCAATAGACCGGTTACACCATTGTGTCCAGAACAGCTTCTGTACTCAGATGCAATCCCCCTTTTTCTCAAGGGGTAAGCGACGCAAAAGCAAAAAGAGCCCATGAGCCCATGCTTCTTATCTGTGATCAGTTAGAGGCTTTCTTCTTCCGCAGATTCGTCCGATTGTCCGCCAAAATCAAGTCGGTCTTCCCATAATGCCCGCAGTTTCGCCGGTGACAGATCGTCCAGACTCCATAAACCGGCCAACGCGGATTTTTGTTTCTCTCTTGGCTCCAGTTCATCAAACCTGTGGGGATCGAAATCTTGGAGAGCCACCGAGCCGTTGGTATTGACAAAGGTGGTGATGTCGTTTGACAGTTGTTCTCTCATGCTTCGAAGTCCGGCAGCATTGTCACGATTGAACACAGCAATGACCAATGGGGTTAACGATCTATAGAAATATCCGTGTGACTCTTCCCGCCGCAATGATGTACCTCTGCTTTATTATGCGTACCTGTAAATCTCCGCGCCGTTTTCCAGGAGTCGCATCCCCACGTATTGAAGGAAAGGTTGTGCAACCCATAGTGCGAAGGCTAGACCACCACATGTCGAAAGGTCCATTTGCGAATGGTAAAGACGAAGATAAACGAAAAATAAAACCGAATAAAATGCATACAATGCAGGTGCAAACACAAGCGCCACAAGCAATTTCCATGTGGCCACCACATCACGGGCTGCAATCTTTACACTGGAACCCGCCAACGCCTCTGCAATAAATTAAAGCATGATCAGTAAAATTATACAACGACATATTTGTACCCACTTCTTATTGATGGCTTTCCACTCATGCGTACCTTTTTGCTTCTTTTGACTGATCAATAAGGCCAAAATGACAATCGGAGAATTGGCCAATAGGCTGGATAGACATGACGTATTAAACGACGAAAAGCCAAATGTGTGATCAAAAATGATTTACTCACGAGGGGAACCCGACAAAGGCGAGGAATAAAAGCTTGAGCAAGCGCGAGATAAGGACCGGCAAAGCTGAGAATACATTGGTGGCGGTTCGCTCCACTTGGTGATCGCGTAATCCGAAATATTTCAAGGTTTCATTGTACGCTTGCACTTTGCGAGCCAGTTCCACCAGCCTTGGATCTTTTTCAAAGTATTTGTAACCAACCAGGAAGCGACGATTCAATTCGACCACTTGGTCAATGGATAATTTATGTTCGGCCGCAGGTCTGTAAAGTCGACGCGCTGCGGCGATGATCTACCATAACAGGTTCAGTACCAGTGACTTTTTTGTCGTAGCAAGTTTTTGTGTATGGTAAATAAACATACCAAGAGGACATCAAAGCTCGGCGCATTCACTGTAACACTTCGTAGTCCTTCATAACCCGCATTCATCAATGCGGCAATGGCCTCACGTTTCGCGCTTCCGCCTTGCTTGTAGCTTTCCACCCATTCTGGTTCTACACTAATAGGAGCACCGTATGAGATTACAGCACGAGATCGGAAGCGATTCGGATGGAAATAATTTAAGCCTAGAGATATGCCGTCAGGAGAATTCTTGTGCCAATAGAAAACAGGTATCTTACTTACCGACTGGCACAATCTTCACATCCACATTGGGTTTCTCCACCATTGTTCCGAGCGCCATGATAGCAAAACCAGCTGCATATCGTAATAAATCCCTATTAGTTGAGTCTTTACCCACAAAATGCCAACGTTTTAACTCACCTTTAAGAGGGAGCATCTCTGTCCGATCATGACTGCCACCTTCCGGAAATATCAGAACACAGTCATTGGCTTCTAATCGTTCATGCACCTTTGTATATAACACGCTTTGATCCACGTGAGGAATAACTTTAAAGGGAATACAGTTTGATAGAAGGGTGGCTGCATCTTCATTCAACTGGCTTTTAACCGTCAGTTCTGTATCTGAGAGGACTTCCAGTACCTCTACTTTCACGGTTTTACTCAGTTGCAGTAGATCACGTGGGCGAATTTCCTGTTGAAAACGAGTTCCTTGGCCAATCAACCTCTCGTTGTCTTTACATTGGATGGTGCCAGTACCCTTGGTAGCCAAGTCTTGTGGCCTAATGACGGGAACTATTGGACAAGATCGAGAATTAGAATTTCCGATAGCAGATCGCTTTCACTTGCACACGAAAGAAGTGACGAAGGCAAGATGTCTTACTGGCTTTTAGTAAACGAGCAACGAAGCCAATGACTTTGCGTTTGAAGGACGACTCGGCCATTAGCGGAGCAAATCGGCGAGGGTTGGAAATGAGGACCATGCCAGGATCGACAAACTGGTTGGCGTGTGGAGCGACGAGGAAGATGCAAGGGCCATCCTTGGGAACTTGATGAACCCCGCTGGTGCGAATCTCTCGGAAAAAGATGCTTGTGACTAGTTCAAACCATAGTTTGACTACTTCATACGCGTCGAACATCACTGTATTCTTTGTTATAGACTTTCAACAGAGGAAATCAAAAGAAAAAGGCGTCCAAATCAAATTTTCAACAAGCAACATTTCGTCATGGTGTCGCTGCTGCATTTAAAATTATAAATCATCTTTTGGATCTCTACTTTTTTTTTCCCCACCACGCAGAAACGCCTTTTCGCGTCTTCTGATATCATGTTTACTCCTATACTAGAATGGATCACGGGTTGTTCACGTATTATAAGTGGAATCCCTCAGCAATATAATGATGTGTCCTTCAGCGATATACTGTTACGTAAAGCCAAATGCTTTGATAGCACATGTGTAACATTTTGTTTTTTGGCGAACAATCTCCTCGTTGCAGGATAAATGGACCTTCCCTCCTTGTCTACCACTGGAATCAGCGCTGTTTTTCTTTTCCTGACTTCTTGTTTGACACTTGGAGCAAACTTGCGATATCAAACATTTGTATGGACCTTTGGTACACTGACATTGGCGCGGGGCAGGCTTTTCGGATATAGAGGCTTGCTGTAAGGCTTGGGCTTACAACCTCGGGAACCCAGCCAATTTTACTCGTTTTTTTGGTTCCTTTTATTATTAATTGCTTTGAGCCGATTCATTTAGAGCACTGATCTTTCCTTTTGTTACTACAGAAAAGACCCCAATAAGTTAGTACATATTTTTCATGTCATTGGATTTACCAAAATACACAGCGCTCTGTTTCTGGATTTTCAAATATACAAACAATTTTGCTCAGCTTGAAAAGCGAAAGCATTCCTCTCTGCGGTCGATTTGCTGAGAAAATTTATCTTGCAAAGACACTTACAGCATAAAAGCTTCGACGTTCCCGAAAAGGATAGATCTTTTGGCTACCATAGGATCAACATATTGTATTTTAGTGATTTAAAACAGATTCTACAAAGCTCCATGGGGGTCATGCGGCTATTATGTGCTTGATAGCATGAGATCGAACGTGTAGTTAGAGGTCCCTATATGCATGCATTTCAATAAGCTACAAGCCATGTTATACCTATAGTATTGCTTATTAACTTTCTTTTCGTTTTGGTGACATTCGGTGGTGGATCAAATGGTTTATTTCCATTTGCATACAGTTGCGTCCTCGATGTTAATGGTACTATTATAACTCAGAAACACCATGTCATTTATGAGCTAGCAAACTGATTAGCATCGTAACGTTAACGTCATACGTTCAAGAAGTGGATACGCCGGATACATTTATAACATAGGCAACAAGGATACGTGGCTATATAACACTTTTCACTTTGAAATGTGGATAACGGGAGCGATGCCTGATGCATTTTTCAGTGGTCACACCTAGGATTGCTTGGCGATGGAATGGAAAAAGGCCCAGTACGTGCATCATTTATTGCTTTTTCAATGATTTACCACACTGTTGGTGAGGATATCATTGACAGGGTAGACTATTGCCACATGAAAACAGTTCATTTGCTGCGTTTTCCAAATTTTTATGACGAAAAGGGAATGTATAAACAATAACACATATATGGCGACTTGCACCTGATGATTTCCGCGACAAATAGAACGTTTGTTTTCTACAGCATGCATGATCAACTATCTCTATTTGTCATTTTTTCAACGAATTGTTTATGGATGAACACTCTGTTTTCTCGATTGGCCGTCGACCCATGTCTTGCTATAATACTTATTGGATCGATGCGGCTCGTCAACCTTCCACTCAACGTGCCATAAGATCGCAACCACCGATCCCGTCTCCATCGGTCTCGTCGCCACTTTCACTTTATAACAGAAAACCCACATATCGAAGATCGAGACAGCCTGTGAACTTGTCGGCAGATGACTATGACGATTTCTACAAATCGGTGCGATGGAAAGAGAACATTTACTCATCGGATATGGCTCAATCCCTCGTGCCAAGGCAGCGTGTCGCTAGACGACGGCAAGTCTCTCTAGTTGATTCCCCCCACCAATCTTCCCGTCCACCGAGTGCTCATCATCGCCGTAGCATCAGTGGTCCCATGACCAGCATTGACAAGGATGCAGAGCAAAACCAGAAATGGGTGGATAACTTAACAGCAGAAGTCCGCGATATATCGTCTGTCAAGTTACAAAAATACGAGCCTCGCAATCGCATTCAACGTAAACCCGTTTCCCAGGTAGCCGATCGTGTATTCCATGCGCCTGCCATGACTTTGGCTGTTAAACCTTCAAGGGAGCCCGTGGTAACTGAATCTGGGTGGAAAATATCGGACCGCAAGGGACAGTACGACCATTTGATTTTCCGATCCCCTCTTTCCGTTCGATCCACGGCGGCATTCGATTGCTCTACCATCCCCACTACTGTAACAGACACCATTCTTGATAACGTCACATCATCCCCGTTATCGCCATTATCGGTTACCACTTCCTTTTCTACGTCGTCGGATTCGTCCCGAGCTTCCGGTAAACAAATCGTGGCAGACACAAGCCGGTCTGTTCGTCATACGAGTGACAATGATACTCCTGAATTGGTCAACGCTTCGGAAAACAGTAACTCAATTTCCGTCGGCGGTTTGTCAGACGGCGATGAAAAAAATCAAGTTTCTCCACGATCCTCTCTCAATGAGGTTAGTTTGGATTCCAGTGCCAATATTGGTACTGCTGCACAGCTGAAAAGACAATTGTCCAAACCCAAGCTGAGGCGTGTTCTTTCTGCTCGACCAATCGTTCCTCGACAGTCGCTGGATGAGCAGAAGGATAATGAAACAGAGGAACCATCCGTTGTCATGGAAGAAAAACCACCCACGTTTTGGAATCCACGTATCAACAGCGACATTGCTCCTATGCAGAGGAACCTGAGCCGAAAACTTAAAAGATTACTGCAGCCGCATCGTACGCGCGTCGAAGGCGCTTCCAAAGTGCAGCATGCGAGTGAACGTACCTGGAGCGTGGGACGCCCTGTCACACCTAGCGAAGCATTGGAAGGTGATACAAACGACGACAATACGATGAAGGTCAATCCTTTTGCAATTTTAAGGCAAGTCTTGTACCACTTAATTCCAAACTGAAGTGTCTGGGATATTAACGCCGAGATACGTACAAATAGCCAATGTCATGCCGTCGGTGACAGTACAGGATTGCATTTCAGCGAACATGACTTTACTCAGATTGACACCTATGCTGCCAATGTGCAGCAGCGCGGACCTTTGCTCACACCGACCATTCTCACTCAACGGTTCCTGGTACGCCCTTACCGACGAGAATTATTCAAATTGCGATGCATTTTTGTCTGGCTCTTGCAAAACATCAGCATCGCCTCAGCCGGTACGAGCAAGTCTGATCTGCAAAGGTCACCTTCCGATGTCATGCAAGCTTATTTGCTGGAAGAAGCAATGGAGAACTTGAACGATGACGCCATTGACTGCCTATTAGAATCAGCTGACGAGGTATTGGCACGACGTTCCTGTCGCTCGTCTGTCGGTATGGCCAACCTCTTTTGTGACATGGCTGTAGCCGCCGGATTCACAGACACACGAGTCATTTTTGGCTGTCTGAAAGGTAAAATGTTTACTCCGGTCATTGTACAGCATCTTTACTGATGTGGCTTTCTGCAACCCAAAAAAAGGACCTCCTGGATTATCAGATCTTTCAAAAGATAAAATGACGCAGAACCATGCATGGTGTGTGGTCAATGTTGAGGGCGAGTATCGCTTCATTGATTGCTGGCTAGCCTCTCCGTATCAACCCCGCAATAATAATGCGACCGAATTTCACTGGTTCCTCACCAAACCGAAAGAATTCATTTATACTCATTTCCCGGAAAATGGGGCAGATCAATTCCTACAGCCGACCATCACCGCATCATTATTTTTGGCTCTCCCTCTTGTATGGGCACCCTTCTTCAGTCATCGTATGCGCGTGATCAAATATGCCATAACATCCTTGCATCTCCAAGACGATCAGGTCTGCCATCTCTGGATTCGTGTCGAAGATGGTGTATCCTGCTTCGCAGAGGTGGAAGCACCATCAACTCATGACGACGACGCTGCTTTCTGCAGCAAACGTGCTCTGGCACAATGCCGGACCATGGAAATAAAAGGGAAATCCGTACGGGTATGCAGAGTCAAGGCAATTTTACCAGCAGGTCACGATCATGGCTGGCTGAAAGTCTATGCTGGATCGCGGGCAACACCTCCGCATCCTTCCACATCGGGCGCAGTACATTACCAGGAAAAAGTCGGGGCCCACCTCTATGACCTTGCTCTGTGTTTCAGATTGACGCAAACCGGCTGTTCGCGACCTTTTGATTTCGTCCAATTGCATGTCAGCCAGCATGAATTCTACGTTCAAGAACCACAATGTTACCAGCTATACCCATTGCAAACCTACAATTTCTGTGTTCTCGGTGAAGATGCGGGTCATCACAAGTTGGCGATCCGAAGTCCAAGCGGAAAATTGTACAAGTTGATGTACTATCCGCACGATCATTCGTATGATGGAAGCATCACCGTGTCTGAAGTCGGAAAATGGACCTTGATTTGCTTGCTACATCATGCTGGAGGGTGGTATGTGGTGGCGACTTGGGAATGTCTCGGCTAAACATGGTATTGTTCATATTGTACAGACTTTTTTTTTGCATTACACTTTATAAACTATGTAATAAACATCTAATCCTTTCTTTTTTTCGTTGGTATCCGTTTGTCATTTTGTTGGATTTCCAAGTAACAAGCTAAGCAAATGAGGCTGTGACCATTACTGCATTGAAACAATTTAGCAGAGATTGTCACAATAGTGGCAAAGACGATGAATGCCGTGAGGTTACAAGAAATGCTGGGCCACGTCTACTCAAAAGACGATCCGTAGACCAAACCATTGATTCGATCTGACAGCATAACGATGTCCAGATAAAAAGCATTCTCAATTTCACAATTATCATTTAATCTCATACAGTGTTTATTTTTTCTCGCGTCACATTTAAAGGAAGCAATGCTTATATAACCGTGAAACTAGCTATTTTCTATATCGGCAATATGTGGTGATAAAGAACTAGTAATTGGGGAACTTCTACGCGGTTCGGTAGTGTGCTTGGATTTTTTGGCATTTTGCTATTTAAAACACATCAATGTCGTGATTGTACTTCTACTCAGCGTATTAAACAACACCAACCTTTCTTTCCTTAGCTTCCAGTTTTGCCAATCTCTCTTGCTCCTTTATTTCTTCTCGTATCCGTCGCTTCTCTTCCTTTTCTGCCAGTCTCTGTGCTCTTTCCTCCAACTTTTGCCGGCGTTTCTCGGCTCTTTCGGCCTTTTCGGCTTGAATTTCTTCGATTCCTCGTCTTCTCTTTCCTTTCTTGTCTCCTTGACTACCACCATCTCCGACGGCATCTTTCGAGCTACCTTTCTTGTTGCTGAAGTTTTTCTTGATAGGAGGATATCGCGGACGATTACGGTGACGATTTGGTATTTGTTCGTCCTCTATTAACGCTCCCGACGACGTTGCAAGTTTTTCCATGAAAAAAGGCTTCAAAAGACCAATCAACTGGTTTTCAGAAGTAACGGATGTGAAGGAACCAGGATACGGATATTTAGCTGCTGATTGTGCTAAATTGGATGCTGTTAGTGCATTGAATAGCTGCGATTAGTAAAATTGGCGCGCTTTACCTTCTTCAGGCCTATTGACAAAGATAAATCAGTACTTTAATTCTGACGATGATATGTCTTGCGCTACTTACTCTTTTTTTGTCTCCTTTTTATCACTGCGACGACCAACCCATAGATGCAAAGGGATCTATACATACGATGAGCGATAGCCCCTGGTGGAAATTGTTTCAGCTTACCGAGAATGAATTGATGTTCAACTCTTTATCTAATCCAAGTTCTTTAAAGCCGAAATAGTCGTCACCAAGTTCTTCGCCAAAAGCGCCTCTACAATGCTGATTAGATAATTAAAAAACCCACTGGCAAGTAATACGATAGTATACGTCAGAAAATTAGATTCATCATCCAACAGTGCTTCGGCATTGCTAGTTTTTTCAGTATCTGGTGCCTGCAATTCAACATGATTATCAGGAGAAATAGGCTGTCTTTACAGAAGTCGGTGATGACTTACGGATACCAGGTCATTATAAGATTGTTGTAGTCGCCTATAAATATCATCCAAGCGACCCCCGTATCTCTCTATATCGTCCACAATGTAAGATTCAAGGTCTTTGAGAGACATTACACCATTCTCGTATAATGTATGTGCCATAAGTTCCTATAGATCGATCAGTTCCCCGTAGCCTAACGTGTGACGGTTCCCACTGCGGTCAAAGTGAAACTCGTCACTGACCTCAGGTTGCATGGTTTGCCCATAGTTATCCCAATACCATCGTAATGTTCTACCGATATTGCTGAGATAATCAACTGCTAAATCAGTCAATACGTTTAGACTCGTAGTTTGAGCGCCTTCGAACCCGGCATGAGTGAGTAGTTTGGTGATGGTTTGTTGTGTTATCTGTCTTCCGATACGATCATTCAATAAAAGTGGCGGGTTACTCGAGCTCGCATGTGGTATATAGTTTGTATGATCATATTCTGCAGAGCCATCCTCATTGGCGAAATGCATATCATCGAACGAAGTGTTTGAATTGATAGGCGAAGAGGTGGAATTGCGCAGTAAATCTTCAGATAAAAATGGTGTGGAAGAAGACACCTGTAATGTGGTACAGATATAAGCATTCTGCCCTTTTTGTGAAAGTCGGAAAATGGAAGACTTACAGGTAAATTGTTTTTTATATCGTGACATTTGGAATATATCACGCGAATTTTTTCCAACGTGCTGATGTTGCGGTCGATCATAGGGTTCAAGCCGTAATCCATAAATCGGACGGATGAATACACATCGAACGGAACATCTGTTTCGCTAAAATGTGGAACATGCTCAATGCTAACGCCATCCAATTTTTTTGGCAGAGTTCCTTCATTGTTGTACCTTTTCGACTGCATCATCGATGCTACAATGCTATCAATGCAAGAAGCTGTTCGTGACGATTGACTATTCATCAAATTGCTGCAACAACTCTGTTCCCATATTCCCTCCATCACTTCAGGTATGCCGCAGCTCATCTTATATTCTGGCAGAAATAAATCCGATCGTACGGCACTGTCTTCCTCGAGTTTGCTAGATTTCTTCGTTTTTCGAGAAAACGAATTGAAATTTTCGTCATCGCTGGAGTCGGCGTCAAATCGGTCATCAAAAGCGCCTGTATCATCTCGCCTGTCGGTCCAACGCGCGAAACTATCATCAGAAACTTGTATCAATCGAAGAACCTTTTCCTCGTCTGAATGGACAAGTTGCATTATGTAGAGCCGCTCCATGTCAAGTGAGCTTCTGATCAAAGCTTCATGCTCCTCGAAAGGGAACTGGTACTGCCTTTCCACATCATCCTATTGACTATCTAGTAAGTATACCATGCAATCAATAGTAAAGCACCAGCTTACCGTAATCTTTGCTCTCGTTTTCTTTGTGACTTCTCTCCATGTTTGTTCCTGAAGATCATTCTCCATGTCCATGTCTTGGCTGACGATAATTTCTTGTTCGGTACCAAGATGGTTATGATCAAATTCCAAACCGATCCCATCATGCTGCTCATTGGACGGCGTGTGTGTCCTCGGACTGCTAAAATCACCGAATTCTGTCGTGAGAGGCGTCCCACCTCGACTCATGCTAGATGCACGGGTCATCGATCGTTCTCGAGAGCTCCGTAAACTTGGATCCGGGGAATCTGTTTCTGGACGACCGGTATTCGATTTTATGGGGTGCTTATGAGCTTTGGTGGTCTGTTCGTGTATTCTTAGTAGCACACTTTTGGTTATATTTATTCCACGCATACTGACCTTGCCTGACCGATATTCGTTGTCTTCATCGTGATCCGAGCCGTCGTCTGCTTCATCTTCGACGTCAGCTTCGCTTCTCTCTTTAATCTCCACATCAGGAATACGCGACAACAGCTGATCCGTTTTCCTACGCATGGCTTTCGCGTGCTTTCGATATTCGCTTGCCTAAAGTTGCTTCTATATAAATAATGAGCAGTTACAGCCTCTTACATAAACTTACGGGGTTGGTATTATAGGTCAGACAATTCTGATATATGAGATAGAGATCGTCGGCAAATTCCTTCTTTGACTTGTATTGATTGCTTTTCAACTTCTTTGTTACAGTGCCCAAATCCATAGGTCGTTTAATGACTACCGAATAGTTGTTGGTTATTTGTTCTCTTTATCGTGTATAATGTATCCTCTGTACCGTCATAATAATCCGGCGCATCCCGTCTTTGAACCTTGTTCAAAAATGGCGTTGAATGTTCCTTATGAAAGAAGACCAGTGAGCAAGTGAAGGCAAGTTCCACAGTTTACGTGCCGATTACTGACTGTGAAGTTTTTTAACTCGTTTAAAACCTTTTCATACATTTCTTCTTGGGTTGATTTTTCATCTTGAGACTACATGAAAGGAAAAATACTTGTTTCAATTTTGAAAAAAAAAAAAAAGGTTGTATCTAATGTGGTACCCATTTCGGACGCTGAGATTTGAAATCAGATAATAGATGTTCCAGTTCACGATCGGAAAGCGACATTTGGTGGCGATTCGCTGCTATGCCTTTGAGAAGATACTAAAAAGAAGAATACTCAGGTTCCTAACCACCAATTTCTCTGTGCTTTTGTATACCTTTAAATTGAGATTCCCGTTCGCATTCATTATCGATAACTAAATGAATAGAATTAACACCCAATCTGTTCAAAAGGGTAAACGGAGAATTTACCGACAACGCATCGCCCTTTTGTTTATCTGCTGCTTGAGTCAATGCTTGCTTGGCTTCAAACTCCTGTTACAATAGTTGTTAAGGCAGTAACATGGGTATGTTGGGATTTGCGGGAATACCTGTATTTTACGTTGCTCTATCATAGTTGCCAGATCTTCCTCAAGTGTATGGTAGACGCACTGCAAGGGGATGACTTCAGTATCCGACATTATCATGAGATCTGCATGAGGGGAAGCCTCTAGTTCAAGAAATGAGTATACAAAAATGATGATAAAAATGCACGCAAATCTAACCCGCCATGTTTTCATTCTGGTCATAATTCCTTGAAGTATCATGTGTCGGCATAGAATGCTCAGAAGCAGATAGGTCGTCAATCTGAGAGGTTATCAGCCTTGCTTTTTCAAAGATCATGTTAAAGTTTACATGTGTATCATGACAGCATAAACGAGTAGAACTGTATGTGTACGCGATAAACTGATCAGATAGCATAGCGCGCACTCGGAAGGCAGCTATTTGAGCTTCTGTCAAAAGCGTTCCTGTGGCTGAAGCTGAAGCTGGCTTTTCACGGCACGTAATAAATGTCACCCAGTCATGATAAGATCGAACGGCATCTTCAAAGTACTGTGCTTCACTTGAAGTTAGAAAAGTAACATGAAGACAATTATCATATAGGTGAGTTGCAAGAACGAATGACAAGGGTAGCCAAGGAGGAAGAGCGATTGACTGATCCTTGTTCATGAGGAACCAGTTGAATGGGAAATTGGTGACCAAGGAATTTTTTCAGTCATATATGGAAGAATTGATATAAAAAAAAGGGTTCTCCTTGGTGAAAGAATGCACCCTGGATCTGACCATGCCTGTTCAATGTGGCACAGGCAATGCCGATCAATTTGGTGACTCTACATGTGCCACATGAAATAAGATACCCCGCTTTCCTGTATCGGTGTTGGAACTTCTTTCATCCGATCTGCCGTTCGCTTCAACCGTTTTCTCTTTCGTATACATGACTTTCAAATTCTTTAGTTGCACTCATGTCATACATCGCATCGCTTAATTTACTCAACGCTGATTCACCATTACCTCTTTCGGACGAATCGCTTACGGAAGAATTGGCATTGTGGGCAAATGCTCAGTTTACCTTTGACATTGCACCCGGCTCTGCGCTCCTCGACGATCAACTCGATAAGAAGCCAAACAATGAAGAACAGCCAATTCAGAATTTGGATAATGTCGCCTATTTTGGTAAGGCTTCATGGACTTTTCAATCATATATTCAAGTATACGGTCATAACAGTAGTTCTTTTAGCTGATTCTGTTTCGAAGAAACCGTTGGCCAACACCATGGCAACAATGCTGGAAACGTTGGCATCACCGTATCTGTCGTCCGATTATCTTATAACGCAAATCCAATCCTCCAACGGACAATCAGCTATCAATTTACCGCGAATCGCTCCTGCTACTCAGAACATGGTTCTCAGCAGTTTTATGATTCCAAAGCCAACAACAACTTCTGCTAGTAGTAATATTGGCAAGAAACGAAAGTCGACCTCAAACGATACGGTTGATAGCAACGAAAAGTTGGCAGCAGAGGAAGACAAACGTCGTCGTAACACTGCTGCTTCAGCTCGTTTTCGAATGAAAAAGAAATTGCGAGAGCAAGCTTTGGAAAAAACGGCCAAAGACATGACGGACAAGGTCCAGAATTTGGAGAAACAAATCCAAGAATTGGAGATGGAAGCCAAATGGCTCAGAGCCTTGATTGTAGAAAAAGATCCAAAGTTGCTGGATAGTTTTGATAAACAATCTACTTGTTCCGAGATCAATCCAAAAGATAATTGATATTAGCTGTATGGTTTTCTTTTACCATAGTGTTCAATAAATGCTCTCCATAGTCAGGCTGTTTCGATGGTGTTTGCTGCGGGGTTTCGGACTTCCAAGAAGAATTCGATCTGGCATTGTCCTTCGCAAAAAGTCCGCCTGTCAATCTCATAAGACCAAGGCTATTTTCATGTCGAATTCTGCAGTGAATCGTACTTGATCAGATGTTTTCCCGGTGGTCATAGTACTTTTAAAATATATTTTATATAATTGTACTATATGGGGGTTGCAGCTGCTTGTAAATTTTGTTGGAAAATAAGCTGTCGTCATAGATGCCAAAGTTTGCGTGATCGCTTTCGAACCGTCTGATTGGCTATTGAAAAGATCTGGAAAAGCTTACTCAATTGATTTGATGCGCTGGCTTGGCTGGGATAATGTATGGACCAATCCGTTACGATGGCAAAAACTACTGTCATGGCTAATAATACTTGAAAGATCTTGAACCTAATTGTTGGTCGTCTAGGTGTGAGAGCCAATTGATACACTACATCAGCTAAAGTTCAAATGAAGTCATAAATAGGTCGAGGATAGGGTCGCAAAAGGTTTTAGTGGCTTGAATACAGAGGATAGCGATTCACGTATTGTATTTGGGAAACCTAGGTCGACAGTTGCGATGAAGCACTACAGGAAGTCTGCTGGCGTCCTATGCAACCCTTTCTCTGGCAATCTAAGTCGACGCAAAAAGACGGTATTGTCGGCCCATCGTGGCCCGATATTGTCCATTATGGTTATGAACATATATGAAGAAGTTTTTTCCTAAAGAGTATCATTCTAATAACAGACTGTGAACAACTTCTGCAATTAAAAATTTTATTCCTCTGATTTCATCGCAGATAGGTATCATAACTGGCATGGGATCGATTGCTTTACACATTAACTTTCCGTGCAAGTTCGCTCATCATCGCCAAAAGATCTTGTACTGTAAACTCCAAGTGGATACCAGCATCGGGGTAGCATCTCTGAATCAATTCCTCCATTTTTTCATGTTGACGAAGAAATTCCTCTTGGATGCCACGCCACACCACTTGTAATAAACCTTCTTCTTCTGAAAAGTGTTTATCGACGCGCTTGTAAAGTTGCTCCAACGATTTTTTAATCTACCAAAGCGTTAATATTCATCCGGTCTATCATAGATATCAAATATCTTTACCTCTTTCGCAGGATACATGGCAATTACTCTTCGCAGCTGAGCCTTGTTGTAGTTGATATGGAAAGATACTTCTTCTGGAGTACTTGTGCGCATCATAGCTTCCACGCCTTCGAAAAATTCCTTCAAGGGGGGTTTAGTTGCCATGGCTTTAGCTGTCGTTATGTTGCAAGACGCTTACCAGGAGTTTACCCAAAGGACGGCGGATGATGACTTTGATGTAAGCATTGAGACTGCTGTCGTATTGCGACTTTGCAATTTTGGTCCATTTATCCAAAACGTGGAGCTTATTTGCTCGTAATTCATGGTAAAAGTGATGCATATTTTCTAGGTGACATTTAGATTGTTTCTTTGGGGTTTTGAATATGGAGATCTTACCTATATACATTATATTGGCGTTCAGTTGCTCCTTATCATCACCAGTTTGATCGCTTTCTTTGGCGATGCTATCGAGGCTTGCCATCATGCCATTGATAATCTTCTCATACGCGTCATTCACCGTCTTTCTAGTCTCGGATTCGGGATCCACATTCGCAGCTGCGGCTTCCAATCTGAGAGCAAATATCTTTATACCGAATAAGAATGATATTAACAGCGTACACATAGCATACTCTTACAGGAAATGTACGGAAGAACGGAAGAATGCCTTTGCGTTTTTTCGAGCTGACCTTTGTTTCTTCAATTATTTTGAGTTGTTCGCTCTATGTCAGTCATAGGTTAGCTTAGCGTTAATTAATGGATCTGCGGTTTGATCCTTACAATGAATCGACCAAACGTGCGTGCCAATCGTTGCATAAGTGAGGTGCATAAACGGGAAACGAAGACTTGGTCTGAATCTTCCCATTTCTCATGCTGGAATTCTGCCGCTGCCAGCATACTGACGGATTGACTAACCGTTTCATGAATGTTATTTCATTGACCGTTGCGGGTTCTAATCATACATCCATTGCTGCTTACGTAGGGTCGCTTTTAACTCCATATTCCAACAAACTGACCAAGCTTGGTTCCAGCGTCTCGAATATTATCTCTATCCAATTTCTAAAAATTTAACCATCAGTAAGTCTTGTTTACCGCTTTCTGTCCCTCTGATGACTTTACTTACAAGATTTTTTTGGACACCTTTACGTCCCTGTTTTTATCTCTTCGAAGGTACAAATCGGATTTGTTCCAAATTTTCGGGATCACAGGTCCTCGTTCGAGGAAAGATGATGGTGCACCGAGCGAGAGTTGGAATAAATCGCTCATAAAATTTTGCTCACGAGTGACTAACATGATACTTTGTGACATTAATTGAGCAAACGCCTATACAAGGGATTACCAAGGCGTCATTAGCTCTGAATTACCAGTCTCTTCCTGTTCTTCATACCTCATCAGCTGCTTTTTCGTCTTCATCGATACTATTGCGGCTACTGTTTCCGCTTCCACCCATCACACCTTCCATGGAACCCCGCAGCATATGACGGTAACGATGCGTCCGATTATCGTCTCCACTTAATTTAGCGGCATATGGCGCCAGAGCACGTGCAGTTCTATAATCCTCTGATCTAAAGACTGCACAACCATCATCAGATACGCGCTCTTCATCTAATTTTATATACAAAAATCTCACTGTATTCCAGTTCTTCAAGGCCTCGATTTCGTAATGTCGTATAATATACTCGTGTCGCATCGATCAATTCTCTGATGTCCATTTCGTAGACAGGAGCCATGGACTGTGCATAGTGCTGTAGAATACAATTAATAAACTTATCCAACGTAACCCAAACTCTCCACGGCCATACTCTTTGCAGTTCATTGTACATTCGCGGTTCCATCTCTTTTTCCCAAAGGTTGAATCCTTGATATTTGATGAGGGCATCCACGACTGTATCATGTGGCTGAACCGTCAAATTTCCACCTTTGCGCGTTGAAGTTGGAGACGCGCGTGCTTTCATCTCTTTAGCAATATGAGCCTAGATATTTTATCAGCCTTCGTACAACAAAAACTGCTATCATATCTTTTTCATACCTGCTGATCAAACTGAGCTCTTAAGAAATCATAGATCCTTGAACTGAAATTGTTGCTGTGAACAATATACATCGCTAATCTCTCTTGTACGGCGGTCATATCTTGCATTCCAGCATCCAGTTTGATTTTTAACACTCTACGCAAACTTTCTGCGGACTGCTGTATCTTCTCCACGTCTTCTGCAGTATCCATAGAATCGTATTTCAAGCTCTCTAGACACGATTTTGGAATAGTAATGGCGCTCTAATAAATACTTCGTTTAGTTTCATTGCCGATAAAACAGTAAAGAAGTAACTGACCAAAAGCTTATCGAGTTCCTCAATGAGATCGTGCTGGTTTGCTGTCAGAATCTGTAAACCTCTATTCTGAGATTCAATTTTACGAATATCATCGCCCATGCTCTATTTCAATCCAGGAACCGTTGGGTCAGTAACATTAAGTAGTGACAATAACATTCGATGAGTTGTTGAAGCTTACATTGAGTTCTGTGCTATATAACAAAAGCCAGCGATCCATAGTATCTAGTTCTTCCAATGCAACGTCGATATGTTCTATTACAGAGCGCACTCTTTCGTCTGATTGGATGATAGCGTGAACATTGGCCTAGGCAAATTTGAGTAAATGTACGCATAGTTTATAAGCATTATTTCTCTTACTGCTTCCAATGCATGCAATTCGCCTAACAAGCGCTTTTCTAAAGCAGCTGCATTTCCGCTTGTTTTCCAGTTAAAGTCGGTCAACAACTCTTCAACGTTCATCAAGGAGGCTTGCTCAGCGAGTTTATCTTGCATCTCAATTGCTTTCTTTTGTTGCGCTACAGAGAATCCCGTGAGTTAAATAAGCGAATTGCAGGTAGATGGGTGTTTACCTTTCTCTTCTTGAACCTTTTTATCTCGCTTCTCTCGTTCTCGTTTGGCGTCTCTTAATCGCTCCTGCTCTTTTCTCTCTATTTCTTTGGTAGGAGTTGGGGTATCATGGTTGCTTGATAAATGGGATATGTCCGAGCGACTTCGTTCGCTAGGAGCTAGGAAGATGCGTAAGCTCAACAGCATAATATAAAAAGCACCCCAATTGCGTTAATTACATGGCTGGATATCAGAGGATACAGCAGGAGAATTTCTTGGTAACAAGTTATCTGCAAAGGATCCCGATCGAGGGATGTTGTTTTCATGCACCGATCCTTCTCGATTCACACTTTCCACTGGGGACTGTAGATGATTTTGCGAGCCGCTTGATGAGATTGCTGAATATGAACGAATATCTTCAGAGCGCGGTGCAGATGATGGAGAAGATGCGGTGGCCGGACTAGACGACCCAGCATTGGGACTGGTGTGAAGAACTAAAGCAAATTAGCCCCATAGTTGTGATAAACGAAACCTCAAATACGTACATCTCAAAAGATAATTTTCATCAATATTCACCAGCTTCGGTACCTTCGTAAGGACGCGTCGTGCTGTCTAAGGAACATCAAGACGAAGCGTAAATGGTGCAGTAAAGACATAGCAGATGTACTTGGTGTCATACCTGGATTAAATAAGCCAGGAATATGTTTTTGTCCTTGGGCTTTTCCACTGCCCAAAGATAATATTTATTCAGGGTCATCGCAAATTGATTTGCCTGCAGCCACGATTAATTCCATTAAGCAAAGCGTTTCGATGATACCCATGTCGCCTTACATCGATGATTTCAATTTGCTTGATATCATCCAATAACCAACTTTTTACAGCGCTAAAAGTTCCTGTTTGGTTACGCTTGACTTTGTACAGCCGAAATCTGTTCCGTTTTTCTATACGTGCATAGTCGCATGAATATTCGTTCTTTTCGAGTGGCTTCAATATTTCGTACGTGTTAAGCATAGATATCGAGGTTTTCCCATGATATTTGGAGCCTTGGCGTTGCCATCATCCTCTGCTTGAACCGTTTGCTTCACATCTTCAAATACTTTTAGATGGATAAGCAGATTCTCTGAGGAATGGAACTGTACATCAGTAAACAGAGCCACAATGCGCTACACAAGCAAGTGTTACCTCCGGCATCTGTTGGAAAGAGGCTAGAGATGATAGCTTGTCGTACGACATCTGTAGGCATAATTCAGGTACTCAGTGGAATAAAAGATAGGACTCATCTGCCTTAGATTTTGTCCACCTGCGTTGAAATTTAAGCGGTCTTTCAAAAGCACCGTGTTGCTCCAGTCGGCCCTTGCTGGCTGTTCTGGCCTCTTGAAGATATGTCTCCAGTGGAACTGACAGAACAGTATCCTCTTAAACCATACAATATCATGAAAACACGTCTAAACTTTCCGTAAAAATAAGTTCAAATTTACTGTCGTTATTGCTAATGCCGGTTATTGACATATTTTATTCTACAACTCCCGGACGCGCATGCAGTAAAATAAACTTGACCTGTTATCTATTGACGCTTTACTGCCAACCGCTTAGCACCTTTTTTTTTCGCTACTTTCCTCTCTTTTGGCTCTTAGACTTATTTCAGCACCTGGGAATTTGTGCAGTCCTTTGACTTTCATTTCCCCCAATCTGTTGGTTTGTTTCATAGGAAAGATTTATCCTCTATCCCTGGGCGAGCAATAACCCGGGATGAATGTGCGTTCACCCACCCTTTAAAAACGAAAACTTTTGCTTTACTTTATTTTACTTTGATCTGCAAATGCCTCAATAATTTATCTCGCCGCTGATAGTGATTTTTTCATTGTACTTGGCCCGTCGCTTCTGACAACAGAGCTGCGAAAAAGTTAAATGGAAAGCCTCTACGCCTAATTATCTTCTGATAGCCGTTGTTGCCATACGCCTTTCTGGTATTTTATAGACCGGTCAAGGCACCACTTTATATTTGGCAATAATACCATAGTATTTCATCAAGCACACGTTTCGTTATTGAACAGCTCAGCCTAAGCCGAGTCTTTAGCCCAGAAATACCCTACCAAGCCCTGCTTAGAAAAGGATCATAGAGCAGCCGAAAACACATGAACATTCCCTTGATTAATACGAATAAATACCATCAATTATCAACTTCCAATTCTCTTCGATACACTATCCCTATTTTCCGTGTCTGTCTCCAGCACCTCCGCGCCTTTTGTATATTCTTTAACCGTCGTTTTCTCCAGTAACTTTTTAGTCATTTACATTCTTTTTCCCAAGATCCGAAAGCCAGCAATGGTTCTTAATGGTCATTGTACTCATACATTCCTAATAAACAAGGACATTTAACTTTTCTTTGTATGCATACATTCGGTTAACGTTCTAAAAGAGGATAATAGCTGAGCGGATATAACTTGACGAAAGAAATATTGTATATAGCGAGATGCTAAGATGATTATTATTTTCGGATGTCATCCACTTCAACCACGACACCTTAAATACCCGGTGTCCTGTCTTACTTTTATGCTTCCTTCTTTGCTTTAAAAATTCAGAATATGAGCTATCTCAATGTCACAATAAAGTACATCATCTTTTCACTCATAACCTCCAGCCGAAACTCTTAATACTCTACGTTCCGCTTACGGCACTGTCGATAGAGCTGTCATTTGGCTTTTCCTAGAAACCACTACAGCTGCTCCTCTTCTCGGTCTTTTACAAAACCTTTTTGACAATGTCTGTGTTGAAGTTATCATAAGGTGGTACCTCTTCTTGTTCATTTGCACCCACCACTGACGTTCTATAAGGCTCGATCATTTCTCTCTCTCTCTCTCTCCTGTCCTAGCTCTATATTGTATATTAACGAACTTCTATTAATTCTACGCAGCTTGTCCTCAATAACCGAGGATGACTTCCAATCTGGCAGCCATACTCTTGCACCTCCCTTCCTTTGCGTTGACAATCAAGTGATTAATTTCCTACTGTATGCTGATGATGCAGTGCATATTAATAACCATTCCACGAAGGCAAGTTTTTATTAGACACCGCCAAACTATGCTCTTTTAAGCTCGGTTTTTGCTGGAACCCTCAATCGTGTCGTAGTCAATCCGGATCTCCCACCACTCACGTTGTATGGCCCTCCAATTCCGATTCAAAGCCTCTTTACCTGCCTCAGTATTCTATTCGATGTGTCTGGTGCTCTGACCCTCTTTTTGACGTAACACATCGTCCGCTCTATCAGCCATGCGCAATTGCAGATTTATAGGGCTTGGCATTGGCTGCGAATTGTATAGTCGGTTCATTCGCCCTATTTTTGAATAATTGCCTTTCTACTGATCCACTCTTTCAGCTCTATCTCTTGGTATTAGATTGTGCCCAAAACATCTGTCTCCGCAAGATTTTTGGGGGCCATAGAACCTCATCCGCACAATCCTTTCACCACGTAACCAATCCCCGACTTTTCAGCAATCGCTTCTACTACCTGATGCGGTGGATTACCTTATCAACACATTGTATCAAACCGCTCCATTTCCATGACCACCCGACCCAGTACTTTCCTGGCGGCACCACTGGTTCGTTCTTTCTCTCTTCTTGCTTGTGCTCGATTCAATTATTCACTCAGATGATGAACTGACCCACTCTGCTTCTCCTCTCCCCTGGCACTGACGTTATGTTGGCTCATCCCGTCAAACAGTACTGAGTAACCCAGCTCTTTTTTTCTTTAGCCGCCTTTTTCTCTTTTACTGCCTTCCCGCTACTCAAAGCTCCCTGTACGCCCTTTACTTTATTTTCCATGTGAGGTTTCTTTAGGACGTTTTTCCCATCGATCCAGGTCGTGCAATAGTCCGAACGGACGCGTACTCATACACCCTCAATAAAACAAAATCTCTTACTTTAGGCCACAAATAAAAGCAGAATACTGTCGGACCTGTTAGCGCGTCCTCTAAACGTTTTGTCTTGATGACTCACCGTTCGTAAATATCAATAACAAAGCTCAGTATGAGTAATAGTCGATATATCATGAATAGATAGCATTGTCATAATAGAATATAAAAAGAAACTCCAAACATTGAATAAACGGCATCATTTGTTTTATTGTCAATCCTCGTCTATTTACTTTGGTGATCGCGCAGTTTATCAGATCCAGTAAATGTCAGTTACGCCGGTTCCTCTTTTGCGCCGATTAGATTGCTGTACCAAAGTTTAGCAAATACGAAAGACAGCGCATTGGCTCGTCAGCAGATCGATGCCTGGAGGAACCTTCGAGAAGGTATGAAGGACCAATGGATGAACGAGGCATACCAAAGGTATTGCCTGGAAAACGGAAGAAATATAGACCGAATCCGTTCAGCATTAAAGTGGTCCGTAATACTTCTTGATTGGTTATGTTTCGGAATAGTAGAAAACTGTGCAGGAAGTTGGCGAGAACCTCCCTGAAGATTGTAGACATAAAAACGTATCTTGATAGAAAATATAAATATGACCATGTTATGGTAGAAATAAAATCAATCAACGAACTACAGATTTAAACTGAACTCTAAAGGAATACTCAAATTGACAATTTTGGTTCTGAATGCTCGGCCGAAAGGCTGAGCATTCAGAATCAAAATACCCTGCCAAGCCGACTACGAAATTATTATAGATTAACCCAAAAACATATAAATATCCCCTCGATCAAAACGAATAAAGATTATCAATTATCTATCCTCCAATTCTAGTTTATTTCTTCATCTATCGTCCGTGGAACCAGTATCCGGAATAGATTCAGCAAACCCCGTGTCGTACTTCACTCGGATCTGATATACCGGCAAGATCACCAGAGTGGGAAACAAGAGGATTAAGGATAGGAAAGGTAACGCTTTATTTTTGTCAATTATAAGGAGATATTTATATGTGCTTATTCGGTCTATGTTCTTAAAGAGGATAATGGCTGAGCGGCTAAAACTTTGATAAAAGGATGGTTGTACTTAGCAAGATGCTAAGCTGATTACCATTTTCGGACGTTATCCGCTTCAGCCACGACACCCGAAAACGACAAGGGGAACTGCAAAAAATAGGAAAAGAAAAAATTATGAGGAGTGAGCGACTCGAACGCCCAACCTTCAGATCTGGAATCTGACGCACTACCACTTGTGCTAACCCCCCTCTGATTTTTGATTGGGTCAAAAATCCATGACAATTACAAAGTGAAATTTTTTGCTTATGACTTTTCATATCGCATTGGTGGCCTTTTTTATGCTATAAATTTTTTTTTGACTTGGCGAACAATAATAAGTAAAATGGTTATATAAAATTGAGGAAGTGTTTGGAAGTATATTCATTGTTGAAATAAAATATTCTAGAGCACTTGCATCCACTGGTGTTGAAAAATTGACAGTCATATTGCCTTATATTATTTTTTTGACCTTCACACTGACTTACAATTCTATCATCTCACTATTCTCATATATACGTTCATACCAAACAGCGTTAAATATAAATACTGCCTCTCTGATATTGATAGTAATTGAAAAACTAGTCCAAACATATACTGAATTTTTTTATATTTTATTGATCGCGGTGTTATGAAAATTCACCTTTGTGACTTGTAATCGCCGATTTCTGCTGCCCTGATTTTTCCCCCAGCTCTCTTTTGATTTTCCTGCAGCTTCTGACGTACCGTTTTCCCTCAACCGACATACCGTTTTCCATCAACCAATGTACAGTATCGATTAGCCGATGTACCGTTCTCCATTAATCGTTTCATCATTTTCCATTAACCAATCAACCAAAAACCATAGCCAGAAAATAATGTAGCTTTATTGATATAAATACTCTCCTATTTCATCTCCAAATAAAGCAATGAATAATATATCAACACACCTCTTCTGATCTTTTCGACGCTCAAAGTAGGGCACTTAGTCTTTTTAATTTTTCTCTATTACTTTTCTTTCCCGTTTTCAACGATACGCACAACGATCTGATATACGTCGCTCTTAGTATATCTGGTGCTCACGAGAAAAATCCGAACTGAAAAATACAAATTGCCTACTTTATCAGCTAGCCGACTATACCTCTAACAGCGGCTGTATGTTCTAAAGAAAATTTTTTCTGATGTAAAATTATATTTGCTTATCACATTGCATCTTAAATGTTCGCTGGGTTGTGTTTTGGCTGATAATATCGTTATAGGTGGGGATTTGTTGTCTATTTGGTCATGAGAATATCCATCGGCCCCCATAAAGAGGCAGGGCTTGGATAGGATTCTCTGAAACTTCTGTAATCGTATCCTCTAGTTCCTCGATAGGAAAGTTAGATCCTCAGTTTTGTGTTTTGGAGTAATTTTTGTTCGAACTTTGACTTGATAAAGATGCGACGAACTCGTCGTCAAAAGCATTGACTTCGTTGTTAGATTTTATAGCACATTCGAGATGCCTGAGGCTTGGAAGTAGTCTTAATATTGGGGCATGATTTTTTAACGTTATGGGCTTGACCTTTTCCTGTAACTAGTCCAAAGACTGCGAGTGTTTTGCCTGTTCACTTTTTCTTGGCAGCAATGCATAGGCTTCTTCTGCGCTAAATACGTGATGACGAGGTGACTCGTTCATTCAGTTCGATTGCTGTGCAAGCTTGGAAATCCAATTTTCTGTGATCTTATAAATGGAGGTAGTAATTTGGCAGTTATCCACTTTTTAGCACTGGTAGGAGCTTGTTAAATGTTCTGTGGGATGAGACATTCGCCAAGTATTTATGTGCTTCGCGTTTGAATGTTTCCTGAGATTATCTCAATTCCTTCGTAAATATGTCTCCAACTCGGTAACTGTTGCCACTGTGAACTCCTTTTTGTTACTGGGCTTATCGTTTTCTTGTTATCTTCAATGGCCAGTCTTTGGCTGAACGCCCTGAGGATCTGGCGGACTTGATTTTTGCTGTATACTTGTTTAACATTTGTTGATTCATTGTTTGGATTATCGGTCATAGTAGCTCCACCATACCCACCAAAGAGAGATATGAAAGGTAGCTATATCCGGTAGCGAAAGCCATCTTTCTTTGAATGGCGGAAGAATAAAGTGCGGCTGGCAGAGTTAATAACCCCATTGCCACCAGGAGTTTTTGTTGAGCACGATATTTGGTTATTTTTTTCCATGATTATGATTTTGGAAGACTAAGAGAAATCAAGCTGTGGATTCGATATATACCATTTAAAAGACGTTTTGATGAAGTTTTCCATGAGCATAATTATTCTGTTGGTTGCCTCTGTTCATGCAAAATCGGTTCAATGATGTGACCGTGGTTTCTAAATAAGAAGGTCGGAATATCCGTTGTACTTTTGAATGTACGATTCAGCGAGGTTTCTTTAGCGATGGAGTTATCCGAAGCTCATCTCATAGATGAGAAGATTATCAGCTCGGAAAACGAGACCGAGTCTTCACGTATTTCTCAATTTGAAGGTCCCGATTGCTGGATTACCTCCGATTCTCGTCGACCAAATGTCATAACTCGATATTTGCATGGGCATTTCCAAGTAAGTTCGATATCAACTTTTCAGACCGGCTGTACTAAGGATACTTGAAGGATCAAGCACTAGATTGCCCTGTAGCACAAATAGAAATCTGTCCCAATTCAACGAGCTGTATAATGGTACGAACAACGGATGGATCAGTGTGGCGAATTGATTTCGACGAACAGCCAGGGACCACAGAGGCATTGGAGGAGTAAGTTATTGTCAATATAATGGCGTACTACAAAAGGGCATATTTTATTCTGACTTTCCGACATCAAGCCATAGGATAAAAAAACCTCGGCTTCATAGACAACCTCATGCTTCAGTTATATTTCATCATGTAAATTACACTACACGCAGTTGATCTACATGGCCCTCCTTTCTAATCCAACTTAGGAACGACTAAATTACATCATTGCAACATCCGCAAACGAATTCTATGGATTTATGGCGGATCGATCAATCATCAGATTTGCGGGTGCAACTATGAATTTTCCAGGCTTGGAAATACCATTAGGAGAAATAACATGCAGGATGGATGGTATGAACAAGAACCTGTATATTCTTTTCTCATTTTCGAAACTTAAAAATCGAGATCGACTAGTGACACGGTCCAAGATACATGTGCATACGCTTTTGCAGCAACATCTTTTCATGAATGAGTGAGTAATAATATACTGGATTGACTGCTTGATACTTATTCTATTTTAGAGTGAGCAATGGGGTTATTGTAGGATTAGCGGACGGTGCAGTGTATGCAATACCCTTTGATATTTCACTTCGCCCGAAGAAATTATTATCATTCACGGTATGAAACATGTGGCACTGATTTATGTAGTCCATATGTAGAACACTTACTCATGGCTGCGGTTTGTTTAGGACGAAGCTGTCGTGTCGATTCACTGCTTCCATTTGTACCCGCAATCTGGTCGAGGAATGCAAGCATCAGGATATAATGCAGTTCTCATATTAGGGTAATCATAAGCAAACAGAAGGTGTTCGAGAACGCTTACGGATTTTGGACAGATCTAAGGGGGCTGTGCATGTGTATACAGCCGGAAACGCGCAGACCAGTTCCAACGTTCGCTTAAAGGAGTTCGTTTTGCCGTTTTCAGCAAAGCAATCCATTTGCCTCGAGGTAGACATTTTATCATTTTATCCAATTGATTCTAGATGGACACAACTTGACATGGTGCGTAGCAAAACACGCTTTTGATAGCTTCAGAGGATGGTCGAGTATTTTGTGTGCAATTTTTGGGTCAATGTATTATCATCCAAACGTAAGCACGAAGATCGGGAGGCCAATTGAATGCTCACTGTTGTTGCGTTTTCATGTCCTTTAGCGGAAGAACTTGCAGAGGAAGGTTTCGTCATCGAAACGACATGCTTAGAATATCTGAAGAACGTAGATAACTTTGCGATTCAGCATGATCCTGTAAACGACCAGACAGTCTTTCATGTTATCACAATGGATAATCGGATCCAGCATTTCAAAGTGGGCTCGTCGTACGTGTACATATCATTGACTGGGTCTAGTATTTTAACCCTCATATAGTGGATCCCACGAAAACGTATTGGAAGGTACCAACAAACTGGAATCGTCTATTCAGCAAAAACTCGCTGAGCTGGCTCAGTGCGAAGCCGCCTTGGAGAGCTTGGATCTGCAGGGGAAGGTCGGTACCAAGAACGCTGCGTATCTTAATGTTTCAACAATCTAATACAGTGATATTGTGAAACAGGCTCTTGATAACCATCTCGAATCTCTCAATCGAACTGTACATACTTTCTTCAACATAAATCGGGAACCGCGGTCATCCTACAGAGACAGGACAGTTTCTTGTGACATATCGCCAACTATCATAAACAATTTACCAGCGTTGCAGATCGCAATTCATTCCACTTCGCATATCGCCACCTCAGGACGATGGAAATGTAACACAATCCCAGTTCCTAATTTTCAAAGCATCGTTTTCTGACGTTCTCTTCCGATACATAGGTCACGTCGAGATTTCACGGCAGCGAACATTGTCCCAAGAAGCAAGATCCGCAGATACTCAAAAACAAAATTCAGTCGATGGAATATCATTTGTATTCCCCTTTTCTCATATGGAAAGGCAGGCATCGGAATTACGTTGGTACGACTACCCGACTCACAACTGTATGATTAACGGGTGAATTGTTATTTTCGGTTTGGATTCACCTGTGTTTTTAGGTGCCAATATGTTCAAGTGGATAAAGCAATACCGGGGTTTCCTCTGAATATCAATGTCAGTTTTTCTGTACAGATCGAAGGCTCGCCTGACATGGTGGACGCTTATGGTTTGTATCACACACGTCAGATAAGAGCCACGGTATCTTATTGTTGCATTTTGTCTGTTGAATATAGATAAGCCTCTGTTATTTCCAATAATGAGCACTATAGTAGATCATCTACATTTCATAAATCCATGTGATGATGAAACACGAATGCTCATTTGGCAGAGAGGCTTGAAAGAAGCTACGATGGAGTTGGAGCAGAAGGAATGTAACCTAGTTACAACTGATAGCCAGCTCAAATCCTTTGCAAAACTTCGGCATAAGTTGTTATTAAGATCACCAAAAGTGGCAAGTTGCATACCCAAGAGACCGATGAGACGATCCTGATCTTAATAACCACATTTTCTTTCAGGTGCATACCATAAGGTCACGAAAGTTGCTTGAAATCACCGATAGCCTTCTTCATTTTCAAATCCATGTTCCATCCGATGAATCCCCTGATGATGTTTACAAACGGGCGTTACCAACACTGTTAACAGAGGGACTAACAAAGTATGTATGAAAGATATAGCATAGAACTTTTTCATCAAAAACAACAGCTAATCGACGGTATCTGGCATAGGGACAAGTTGGAGTCAATCTTCATCGACTGTGATAAGGCATGTTTCACGTTGACGAATTATTCGGCGTACCCAATAATGATGACGGCATCTCAAGGTAACTCACGAAAGGCCCTAGACTGGCTTTTCTGTAACTAATGTTTACAAGGAACAGAACATTCGAACGCAACAAACGCCATAACTTCAGTTGCTGTTGCCATCGATATCCAATGCTATAATTTGTGCGTTTTACTCCAAGTAGAGGCAAGCTTATTGTCAAGGTTGCAGTATAAAAAACTCGTGCTGAAGCATAACGAAAATTCTGATGGTAAGGAAATGCATCTATGTTTCGTTAATGTTATATCTAATTCATCTGCAATAGTTACCAATAAGTTCATCACGCAAGAGAAAGAGCTGGGCAGTTTATTGAGAGCCTTAGAAGACAGCTACATCCACGGAGATGTGAAGCAAGGCGAAGATATACTGGCGAAGGCCATCACTCTTTTACAAGACTTACGTCATTCCACATCAGTTGGCTGCATCAGCTTATGATCGCTGGATACATGTATAATAAAATATACTCTGAGATAATCACTCTGAGATAACAAACAATGTTTATTTCAGACTTGGCCGATCAAAGATGCGTTGAAGGCCATAATGGACGTGTCCCACCCTTACAGTATATTTCTAGCTGCTTCATACTGTAACTTGCCACACGAACAAAAGCTATTCAGTAGACTTTGTTTTAATTATGAGCTAAAGGCCGATATCTCATATTTTCGCTATTATTTTAATCATGGGCACCCAAGCAAGAAAGCGCCTATTACAGCGGAACTTGATATTGCTTCTTTCATTTCGATTTTTTTATTTTATTTATTTCCTTACAACGGATGGCCAGCCCACATAATTCATTCACCCATTCACAAGGCACTTGAACCCGATAGACGAAGAAAAAAGGGTACATATGGTAAAAGCATGAGTGTGAAAATTTAGTAGTCGTGTGCAGGTGCCGAATGCATGCATACGTTTTCATCCGAATCATATATTGGGGACGAGGACCCATGCTGCGCGTAATGATATCCGTTATGTGTCATATCATGACTCCAAGCAGCGGATGGTGTAGAGAATGACATAGATGACGGTGACGAAGAACGTTCTTCTGAGGAGACATTGAATGATCCATGGGGACGACGAGCCGCGCTTTGCGATTTCAAAGGTTTTGTCGGATGACGACCATTCACTCTCTTTCGCATACGTTTCGTCGCTTCCTGCAAGATTGTGTCGGTGTCCTCTCCACTATCCGTAGAATCACCAGATAAGCTAAGCTCGCTGTTATATTCCGTCCTCTGCTTTGGTCCCTTCAGTGTCAGCTTAATGCTTTTGCTCGTTGTTGATGGCGGACTTGCTACTTCTGCTTTGCGTTTCCTTGCTCCACCAGCTGCTCGGCGTTTCGGAGGAGGTCTTGGTCGTAGCACCAGCTCGCATAATGTATTGATGCGTCGAGCAATAACAAGGTCTTTCGGCCAGGCAAGCTTGTCCATAATAGTCGCTTCATTCTCCTCCGAGTCTTCAATACCTTCTTCGGAAAGTACCTTCTGTCTGATATGATAAAACGCCAACTCGGGATCGTTGATTAACAAATCGTTTCGTCCAATACCGTGCTTGCAAATGCCGGTTAACAAGGCCTTGTCATGCGTTGGTACTTCCCACCAGCTATAAAGGCCATTTAGCATTTTGCGATTACTATAATTTCTTCTGAAATACTTACGGAGGCAATCCGGAGGTTTTACGAGCATTCAAGATGTGGGCTTCAAGATCTGGATTTACGATGACTTCCTCGCGGATCTTTTTCATCTGAGCGATTCGCTTGAGAGCTCGTCTCGCTTTATCGTAAGGAACCAAATCGGCCAGTTCGCTGTTATCTTCCTTATCACCAGCTGCTGTAGGATCATCAGGGGCGACGGAAGAAGCTTGCGATGGACCCACGCTCGACTCACGACTCACCGTTCCATATTGCTGATCTGTTTGAGGTGTTTGTAAGGAGACTACTGCGGAACCATTTACGTTTGTCGAAGCGTCAATATTATTTTGAGCGGCTGCCTCCTCTTCCAGTTTATGGAGCCTCATCATTTCTTCGCAAGCTGGTACAAAGGTTTGGTAATAATAGGTATTCAAAGATTCGTCTGTTCGAGATTCAAGACCAGATATCTCTTTAAATCTCTCCCATCGTATTTCAGGATCATTGGGAACCGTTTCAACACCAAAGGATAACACGGTTCTCAGGAAATCAGCACGGCTTTTCTTCGTCCATCGGTCAGATGCATGTTGGCGTTTTGCTTTCTGTCTTTCTGCATGCCTTGACTCCTTCTCTTGTTGACGTGCACGTCGCACATCTTCCTTCCTCTGCTCTTTTTCTAGCAATTTACGTTTGCGGAGATCGTTTGCCTGTTCACGAAGGAAAGCAGCAATGATGCGACGGAGACGCATACCGATATCAGCCTTCGATGGCCATATATACACCTTGTCAATGTTAAAATTAGCTACACATGCAAACAACATCCAGAGTCATAACTAAACGGTACCTGTGCATCATTATCATTTGCTTGATCATCAACAAGCATTTTGTTGGATGCGTCTGCATTCTGCTCAGGATGAGTGGGAGCGGTGTCGTCATCTTCTAGCGCACCAGCTCGGCTATCATCGAATTTTTTCCCGTAGAAGCAGAACTCCGGATCGTTACGCATTGTAAGATACCTTTGATAAGAAAGTTATGATAAATAACCCCGATAGAAAGAAGAGACATTGATACTTACTGTTGGTAACCGTATTTACAAATACCCAAAAGTAAATCACGGTCTTCATTGTCACCCCACCAATCGCTGGGAGGTGACCCTATACAATTAATGTGAGACGATGAGCTAATTTAAAACGGACGTTGAATAGCCCATAAATTACCTGTTACTTTTGGAATTGGCAGTTGTTTAGCTTCTTCCCAATCCTTCGGGACAATTTTATCTCGAATCATGTACAGCATTTGAATACGCAGCAAAAAATTACGACCTACGAAGCATCCAAATATTTAGAAAAGAGTCTATGGCGTGGAGGTGAATAAGTACCTTTTCGTTCAATATGTTCAACATAATCTGCAGGAGCTTGCAATAAAAATGAGCGGAACTCTGTAATTTGCTTTTTCGTAGCTCCAGCATATGGCACCGTTTCATCTCCTTGTACTTCCTCAGCAGCATCATCTTCCAAGATGGTTTCAATATCTTCGACTAACTGACGATCTTCGGCGTTGTTTTTCTCGATAGTCGGCAGTGTTTTTCTCATTACTGCGCGAGTGACCGCCTTTAGATCTTTTTCTTGGCGACGTGGGAAATGAACCTTCATCTGATCCCAACGGCCATATCCATATATCATCAATTTACGTTCATACTTTGTCTTTTCGGATAATGTCCATGGTCGGGGTTGATCTCGCTTTCGTGATTTTTCAAGTTCATCTTCGTAGGCATCGGATTCATCTCCATTATCTTCGTTTGATAAGATGTCGTCTGTAAATCGTCCACCGAATCGCTGAACTTGTCGTCGCCGGCGTGGCTCATAAACAATAAGATCATTTTCATCTTGTGCTTCTGTGGCATCAATATTCGCCTTTGCCGCCCATTTCTCCCAAAAATCAGGGTCATCGATATCCACGCCCATATCCTCAGTAGCAGAAAACGTTGCTTTTGAGAACACCGATCCTTTCTCATTGCCCTCGTGGCGAATAACAGTCGTTCGTCGTTCGAGAATTTGATCAATATCTTCCTCGCAGAATTTAGTGCTGTAACAATTTGGGTGAGATGGATGCATTGCTTCTTGCGATAAGACATACAGACAATTACCTTGCTTCCTCATCGAGCATCGCTCCATAAGCGCCCTTTTTCAAGAGATCCTCGATTTCTTTTCGGTTCATTTCGTTTTTGCTCCCTCCTCCTTCGTCTTGCTCTAGCCCGGAGCGTTGCATGACGGCCTTATCGAGACCCAGTTTCATACCGGCACGATCAAACATGTCTTTTTCATAAGTATTGCGACATATTAAGCGGTAAATCTATAGTATAGATCGAGATAAGTAGTGGAGTCCATTCACTTAAGCATTGATTTCGGTCATGCAACGTACCTGTACTGGTTTAGTCTGACCGATACGGTGGCAACGTGCTTGTGCCTGAAGATCATTTTGTGGATTCCAATCACTGTCAAAAATAATGCAGGTGTCGGCAGCCTAATTCGGATCGTTTGTAAGCAGTAATTCAATGAAGAGATAATAGTCCAAAGGTTTACCGTCAAGTTGATACCAACGCCACCTGCTCTAGTACAGAGTAAGAACACAAACGATTGCTCGATAGGTAGAGTCGAAAAGCGGTCAATGGCAGCTTGACGTTGATCGCCAGGAATACTACCATCGATACGCTCATGGGCATAATTCCGGCCTTTCAAATAATCAGCCAAAATATCCAGGCAACTGTAAAAGAACCGAATCATTCAGACCACACATCATTATCATCACTAAGGAAAATTCTTAATCTTTACCTGGTAAATTGAGAGAAAATAAGGACTTTGTGATTTCCCTTGATTAGTTTCCTGAGCAATTTATCAATAAGCACCTAAAGAAAAATATTAGTGGCTATACGCAAATCATGAAGAGAAGTTACTATTACCAATTTTCCAGATGATTGAACGAGGCAATTAAACTGCTCCTGGTAAGTAACAGCATGGCTTTCCGATACGATAACTTCTTCAGCTCCCTCAAGAAGATATGGATGGATACAGCATTTACGGAGCTGCATCATGATATTGCGAAGATGAGGCATTTCCTTATTAGCTAGAAAAACTTTGGTTAGTGGAACAGGCAGAGTGATCTTCATCTGGAGTTATACTTACATTTGGCACCCTTTTTCAGAAAACTAAAGTTCTTTTCTAACACGGCTCTATACCACTTTTTCTGTGGATTCGTCAATTCTACTTCAATGACAGTTTCTTCTTTAACAGGAATACTCTTCTCCACGTCTTCCTTGAAACGGCGCAACATAATAGGCTTTAAAAGCGCTTGTAATTTCTCCACCTCGGCAGCTGACTGCAAGGAACCATATTCCGCGAAAAATACTCGCTCATCACTACAATGCAACTTAGTACTGCGTAACCAATCTAAGCCGACGCACTTACTGGAATATTTCGGGCTGCATAAAGTTCAGTAAACTATAAAGTTCGTCAAGATTGTTTTGTAACGGTGTTCCTAATATATGAAATAAGTACTGACGAAGTCTACAGCGAGTTACACCGGGCATCATGTACCTGTCAATAACAGTTTATGGTCCAAGTGAAACGTTTTCAAAATTTCAAGCACTTTGGATTGCTAGTGATGCAGATAATCAATGTCGTGCCAAAGATACAAACCAGAGGAAAAATCACCACACCTTATTTTTGAGACGATGCGCTTCATCGAATACTGCGCACTTCCATTTAATATCACGCAATTGGGCAGCTCCGGCGGACGCCTAACATCAATATTGTCAGCTCAATAAATATCTTTTCAATGTGTTGGAGGGTACGATTTAACTTACCATTTCGTAAGTCGTGATCAATACATCGAATTTGTATCGATTCTGGATGATGCTCCCTTGCATATCCTTATAGTAGAATTCTGTTTCGACGAGCAGGTTGCGGGATAATACGCTTCCACGGTAGTCGATCACATTCAGGTCGGTCCAGGCCTTGAATGCTCGCTCCCAATGAGGGATAGCTATTTACAGAAATACTTAGTGGCGAGCGCTGCATATGGTAGCCATTTATACTTACTTGATAGAGGAGCAACAATCAGGAAAGGTCCGCAGATACGAAGCGAGTGATATAGGTCATTAAGAAGTGCAACAGATTGCACGGTTTTGCCTATATCATCTCATTGAGTATACTACTGTTCGGTTCGTTATTGAACCATTGTTAACATCTTACCTAAACCCATTTCGTCGGCTAGAATGCACGAACGGTGGCTGTAATAACAAAATCGCAACCAATTCAGTCCTTCTAATTGATACGAACGAAGTTCGTTATCGAATCGGTATCTACAAAGTGAAACAGCGAAATATCATCATTTAGATGCGAGTCGACCTTTCCAGCTAGCTATATACATACTTGGGCGATGCATCATATTTGGCAAAGGTTGAAACGTTAGGCCGTGGTGGCGAATTGACTAGCTTATGGGAAGGGATTTGTCTTCGAATATGAAACTCCTCAATTTTAAGGGCATCAATCTGATCATCATCCAATTAAACCTTGCGTCAGATAAATAAATATACACAACTTACTTCCATTACATCGTCTTCACTCTCCCAAGTAGAAGCATCGTAGAAAAGCCCGTTCCATTTTACAAGAAAGAAAATTTTGGTTTGACCAGTTTCTGGATCAGTCAGTTCGCCTTCGTCAATTATACGGTCGATCTATGTTTGATGTCAATGTCTTTCATTTGCGCGAGTAACCGTGATATGGAGAACAGACCTTTAGATTTTCTCGAAAATCTTCCGGACCATCGCGATAGTACTTTTGAAGGAACTTTTTGACTCTATGTTTGCCTAAATGTTCACCTTCAACCTTGCTCAAAGGGATCCATTCAGCATGATGGAAGCTCGTATTCTATTGAATCGGTAAAACAGGTGTTAGCCTTAATCCGTTTATACTTGCGGTATGTTACATGGAATTGGTTACCTTGTATTTCACCAGTAATTCATCAACGCCAGTCTCTGCATTCTTCCTATAATCCAGGATTCGCTCGAAGACCTGTCAAAAATGAATAGATCAATCCATTTACTCCCATATCATGTAGATATCGCAAAAAGTCTGCTGGGCTTGCTGAATCCTTACCTTGGTTCCTAGGGGAATGAACACATGATTGGTTTGGTAGCTCGAACTACCGCTTGACTGAGTATGCTTTTTGGACGCTTTTTTGCTGCTATATCGTTGTTTGCCATCGCTATCCTCAAAGTCACTTTCTTCAGATGGTGCAGATAATACCGAAGCTGAATCCTGAGAATCGCATAATGAGAATCGGATCTGCACGAAACATTTACAAATCAACTTACTTCCTCCTCTTCTTCAATTTCATCATCATCATCATCTTCTTCGTCCTCCGATGATTCATCATAGACAATACGCTTTTTCGTCGAACGAGCGGCACGTTGAGATGGAAAAGACTGCTGTGACACTCTTTCGCTATAAATACGGGACGCGCGCTGCCCACTTATCGCAGGCAACTGATAATCCACATTTTCATAGCTCTGTTGGTGCGTCATATCGATTAATAAAGGCACCAAAGCAGGGTAGAGACTGGAGGATACTATAGGAAAGCCAGGTTAGCCGAATTGAACACCAAGTTACTACATTGCACGGATATCGACGCCCATCATGAAGGTTTCCATGCCACCCATCACTGTGCTCTTTGCCATCGTGGTCTTCATGTGCACATGCCCCGTCATTGTATATTCCCAACACATATCCACAGGGCCAGCGCGTCTCCGCCATGTGCACCTTTAGAGAGATGTTGACGTGCTTTTCAGAGCCTTTAAAGTACCAACGCAACAGAGGACCTGGCTTCATGATGTTCTTTGCTTACTCAACTTACCAAGAGCTTTCAGTCAGATGAATAAGGGAAGTGACGAAGATTGAGTGACAGCCTTTCGAATACTGAATGCAATGGAAACTACCTCAAAGTAAGTGATGATACCGTCTCCTTCAAGGATTGCGTTGGAAAGAGAACAGAAAGAAAAACGGTTTTGTTATTTCTATGGGCAAAATTTTTAGGTGCCCACGTTTTTCCAGATGTGATGTTGCAAAGTGGCGGGACGGCCGTGAGTGGATGATTTTTGTTTCGGTGGATGTTTTGACACCCCGAGCACATCAAGGGAGCAATGATAGTAAAACATCAAGTATGGAAAGGAATTGATAGTATGGAAAAGTGCAGGTAAAGCAACAAGCAAATAAATGGTTTATGTAAAAAGCCAGAAAAAAATTACACAAACTAAACTTCAAGATCGCGGAACTTGGCCTCAATCTCCTTCTGGAGAGCAGTATACTTTTCTACAAGTACGTCCTCACCGTCGGCGGGATCCTATGATAAACCGTCGTTTAATATTGTAAAATTCTAACCCATGAGGTGCCTATTGTATTACCTCAAACTTCATGGATGAAAGCTTGTAAATGATGTCCTTCATTGAGTCGCGGATCTTGGCCCAGGTAATCTGATTGTTGGACACTTCAACGGCATGGGTGGCATGAGTGTAAAAACCGATCATGTTGCGCAACATCCAAGTTGTCTTGTAGAAGGGGCAGTAACGGTCATAGTTACTGTAGCCGTTCTGTTGCAAGAAATCGTCCTTGATAATTTGAGCAACTTCAAGTGTGATCTTATCGCTTTCATTGAGACCAGACTATAGCAACGTACAACCGTTAGATGCATCGACTTAAATTTTCATAGTATGATGGTTCGTCATTGTTAATCAAATACCTTGCCAACAAGCTGAACGATTTCGGACAGATTCTCTTCCATCTGGAGAATTTCCTTGCATTTATCTCGAAGGGAGATGTATTCAGGATCAGCATTTTCATAGAAAGGTTCCAACACCTTCATATACTTGGAATAACTCAAGTTCCAGTTCACCGATGGGAAATGTTTACGCTGAGCAAGCTTTTTATCGAGACCCCAGAAGACCTGCACGATACCCAATGTCGAAGCTGTAACAGGATCAGAGAAGTCACCACCAGGAGGTGAAACACTAAAGGAACACGTGAGTCCTGAGAAACCACCAAAAAGCTGAATGAACAACAGGAAATATACTTACGCGCCAACGACGGTTACGCTACCCTCACGAGCAGGGTTACCAAGACAAGTGGTTTTGCCAGCACGTTCGTAGAAAGAAGCCAGTCGCGCACCAAGATAAGCGGGGTAACCAGAATCAGCAGGCATTTCAGCCAGACGACCAGAAATTTCACGCAAAGCTTCAGCCCAGCGAGAGGTGGAATCGGCCATCATAGCAACGTTCTTGCCTTGATCACGGAAGTATTCAGAAAGCGTAATACCCGTGTAGATGGAAGCTTCACGTGCTGCGACTGGCATGTTTGAGGTGTTTGCAACCAATGTAGTACGCTTCATGATGGCCTCCTTCCGACCATCAACATCAATAGTCAACTAAAGGTGCGATGTAAGATAATGTTGTTCGATATTGTGAAAAGAAGCATTTGATACTGTAAACTTACCTCGGGGAAATCCATCAGGACTTCAGCCATTTCATTACCACGTTCACCGCAACCAACGTAAATAATGATATCGGAATTGGAATATTTTGAAAGAGATTGAGAAATGACGGTCTTGCCACAGCCGAAGGCACCAGGAATAGCAGTGGTACCACCTTGGACACACCTATCGTCAACAATTTTGTCAATATTTTTTTCTCAGATTAATTTCTTGAGTATGCGCAATCCTTACGGGAAAAGTGAGTCCAAAACGCGCTGACCGGTCAACAAAGGATGGTTTGCGCTAAGTTTCTCAGCGACGGGGCGAGGAGAACGGACAGGCCACAGTTGTTTCATTGTGTACTTGGTAGTTTCACCTTCGAATTCAGCTTCAAGGACAGTATCATCAATGCTGTATTGGCCCTTGGGTGCCAGGTATGTGATGGTACCGCGTGCTTTAGGAGGTAGCATGATATTATGGGTGGAAACCAACGAGTTCTCCCAGACTTTGCCATAAATATCACCGCCTGTAATATGATCACCGACCTGGAAATAAAACGTATCAGTCAACGTTACGCAAGTGACCATTCTGTTGTGACAATGACCTTGAAGTTCAAAGGGTCAAAATCCCAGCCGATGCTCTTATCTAACGCAGGTGTAGCGATACCACGAGGAATGTAGATACTTTGTGAAGCTTCTTGAATAGCCTATCAATGCAAAACCGGTTATCTTTTGCACAGACCCAGGAAATGTAAGCCAGAAAGGCAACTAACCTTCAGTGGTCGCTGAATACCATCGTAGATATTTGACATCAAACCTACAATTTTTGTGAGAAAAGAAGGATGCTTACGCTGCCTAAAGTAAGCCGTTGTGTTTCAGTTGATATTTACCAGGACCAAGTTCAACAGACAATGGTTTGCCTGATCTTAACACAGGATCGCCTACTGTCAAACCACCTACAGAAACATGTATGTTATTGGATGTCTTGGAAAAGAAAGCACTACAGGGTGGATAAGGCTACTTGCCAGTTTCTTCGTACACTTGGATAGTACACTTGTCACCGTCGATACGGATAACTTCACCGACCAACTCGTCGTGGCCAACGCGTACCTACATATCTAACGCATCAGTATCATATGAATAAGAACCGTATTAATTTGACATACCAATTCATACATTGCTGAGCCGCGCATATTTTCGGCAACAACAACTAAAAGAAAAGCGAAAAAGAAAGGGAGCGCAATTAGGTACTTCCATCAACTTGTTACCGAGGGACGTTGTTCTTCGCATTCTTTTCCACATTCAAAGATGGGCGGTAAAGAATTATCAATATTCCATGACAAAGTTCTTTGTACCTGGGCCAGACACGGAGAAGATTGAGCCGAAGTCGGACTCGCGCTCATGGTCCCTAATTCTTGGAAGTTCTTTTTGTGCGTTCTCGAGAGCTCCAGCCTTCGCCGAGGAATCAGTCGCAGTAGTTTCAAGATGAGACGTTTACATAGAAACTTACCATTTTTCTTCAGGTCAACGTATAAATCAAAGAAGCAGTTTTCTCGGGATGGTATAAAGTTTGTGGAAAGGAGGTATCCGATCTTTGCGTTTCAAAAGCTGGTAGAGATGCAAGTCAGTTCCAAAAAAGTCCGCCCCGACGTCATCCCGTCCAGTGTTTTTTCGAACGCCATATGTGATTGGGTAGTTTGACATTGCTGATTATGGACTTGCCAGTTTTTCAGTGAACAGCTTCAATTCCCTTTTGCAAGAATACACAATAAGCATTGTGCCCGTCAATAAGCAATTCTTTCCTTTCTTCCTTCTTCATTTTGATGCTATATTGATACGTACAAAACCTTTCTTATTGCAACCAGAAAATTGTTTTCTATTTTGCACTTCATATCATGCTCCACCAAATGTATTCCTTATGCAATTAACTCTATCATCAGTGTGAAACTCAGGCCTTCGAATGTGATGCTTCGGAATATGTGGCGGTGTTTACGATGCCTCAGCGTCAGCTCGAGAATTCCGTCTAAGAGCATGGAATGCGGTACAATCATATCCTCTGCGACGGGACGTAGATGCCATGGAAATGCTTTGGTGTCCATCGCGAAGAAGCGACGTGTTACTGTTTGAACAACGCAGCACTTATTGACCCCCTCCATTCCGCCCCGCCCAGGCTTGATAGATTTAGAATGATGTGTGGGAAAGTTGAATATTTTAATGAGTTAGTAAGTTCTTTGATGATTCAACATATTTTACCTTTGTTATTTGATGTTGCAGCATTATCGAGAGCTTCCCGACCGAAGAAAAAGCTACAAATGAAAAAAAAGTAAAACAATGGGTGCCTCTGTAAAAAAATCCCCTAAAAAGCCCTCTGGGAAAAAAAGGAGGAAAAGACTGCAAGAAAGACTTTTAACAAATGCAAAATACAGTGGTCGGGAAGAAATATTGAAGACGATATTCACCGGTAATAATCCAGTAGAGGAGGACATATAAGCGTTTCTGATGAAAAAGAGAATCACACCATCGGCAGTGCCCTTTGACGACAAAAACCGGTTTGGCGATATCTAGTGCGCGAAGAAATATAGGGATTTGAATGATGGCTGGCTTGCCTGCAGAAAAGAAAACTGGAGAAAACCAAAAGATAAAGAAGGATAGAGAAAAGGACAGATAAGTTTTTTCTTACCGAAAAACGAATAGTCACACCACACAAAGGTACCTTTTTGATAATAATCGGCTCGATCGATTACAGATACATGCGGGATAACCATAATGTGAATAATGGATGTAGATGCAGATGTAATGATAGTGAGAGTTTTCCGGGCAATCAGAAGGGAGGAGCAAATCAAATAACCAAAGAAAAAATTGAAGACAAAACTTGTAATGTTCTATGGATGAAACAATAGTTATCCCAGCGATACATGAATAGTGAGATACACAGATCGAAGCATGGCAGTTCATGTATCATTCGATCATTGAAAACTGAGGAGAATGAAGGGCTTATACCAGTATAACTGGCAGAAAATCAAATTAAATGATGCTGCAAAATACCAGCTCGCCCTATCATCTACGACCTTTCTTCACAAGAGCTCTACCCAATTTTATTCAAACGACGGCGATGCCCTGTTTGATTACAACAGGCGCAAATGGCATCTGATCCTGCTGCTGATTGTTTTGCCTATTATCATGGAAGTGTTTCGTGGAGAGAAATTTGGGCAACGACAATATTGTAGAGCGCTGATAATCGTTACTGTGGCAAGATGGGTACCGAGCTTTGAAAGATAAAAAAACAGGTGCAAAAAGAATTAACAGGTTCTGATAAGACCACTGACGAAATTTTCATGTAAAGAGTTGGGAATCATGTGGGTACAGTTACAAAGTTCAGCTTTGGTATCCAGGTTGCACATCAACATCACAGGCTGTTGTACCACACCTGGGGACCTCGTAGCAACAATGGTTCTGACTCCAATCTGAACGAACTGCCGCTGCTAATCGCCTCCGTGAAAACACTCTTCGCAATAAAGCTTAGCGAGATGCTGTTATGAACCATCGCCTCTACAACATCGGCCAACATGTTCTCTTACATCACGAAAGCAAGCTCAGCCTTGAGTATAACAGGAAAGGCCCTTACAAGATCATCGCTGCCCACTATGACACTGACATTTACTAACTCCAAGACTTCAACAACAGAATATACAATTCATGGGTCTACACTGACCGCTTACGCCTGATACATATTGGTTCTCCTGTTAGCACTCCTTGGTATGATCCTACCGCTGCTCGTACCTTAGATCGTAATCGTTTCTTCTCATGTTGCTGTCCTTTGGTTGCTCGAGGACGATCAACATTCTGGAGAGGGAGTATTGTCGTAAACTTTTTTTGCTCAGCCAATCAGCCTCAAGATTCCTTTTCCAGCGATCATTACATCATGATCGGCTATTCATCCCAATTCAGCAACCTCATCAAGGAGTCCTGGCTGGCTCAGCACACTGTGTCATTGCTATAATCCTCCATTATATCCTGTCATCGATAATAGAACATCTAATATATAAATATCCTTCAAACCAAAATGAATAAACATCATTTTATCCTCATATATTTTATTGTTTATTACTGATCTAGTCTATTTCTCTGGCCATTGGAATTCCAGCCCAGATCCTGACTGTCAGTTATGCCGATTAGATTTGCTATATAAAAGTTTAGCAAATATGGAAGACAGCGCATTAGCTCGTCTGCAGATCGATGTCTGGAGGAACCTTCGAGAAGGTATGAAGGACCAATGGATGAACGAGACATACCAAAGGTATTGCCTGGAAAACAGAAGAAATATAGGCCGAATCTGTTCAGTATTAAAGTGGTCCATAATACTTCTTGATTGGTTATGTTTCGGAATAATAAAAAAATGTGCAGGAAGTTGGCGAGAACCTTCCTGAAGATTGTAGACATAAAAAATGTATCTTGGCAGAAATATAAATATGACCATGTTATGGTAGAAATAAAAACAATCAACAAACTACAGATTTAAACTGAACTCTAAAGGAGTACTCAAATCTGACAACAGTACGACACTAAAGATGATTGGTCGAGGATCAAAAAGGCTGTCGTAGCCTTTTTGATGCTCAATCAATCATTTTGGGGTTTCCCCTTTTGGCAACCATTACATCACGATCGGCTAACAATCCCTTTCTAGAAACCTCGTCAAGAAGTAGGGCTAAGCGTGATGCGTCATAAGCGTAACCTTCCCTTTCTGTACCCCATGCTGTCATCGATAGTTAGAAGACCCAAAGTATAAATATCCACATAGACCAAAAGAATAAAGATCATCTTATCCTCCCGTATTCTTACTGTCCTTGCCACCCTAATTGTAATATCTGGCCATTGGAATTCCAGCACAGAATATTGTCATGCCTCAGTTTTTCTGCGCTTCCTTTTTGGGAATTGCAAACAACGTTTACTGTTTTTAGAATTTAGGATATAAAATATCTCAGCGCCAACAAAATAAAGAACAACATCTGTTTCACTCGCAATCTCTAGTTGAGAGCCGAGTCTTAGTATTCTGCATTGTGTGCCTATTAGCTGTGGAAACCGTATCCAGATTAGGCAACAAACAATAACAAAATATGATAATATTGACGATGACAAGGCTACGACAGTTGCCAAAAGAAGAAACCTCAAATGATTGATTGAGTATCAAAAAAGGCTACTGTCGTCGTCAGGATCTGGGCTGGAATTCCAATGGCCAGAGAAGTAGACTAAATGTGTAGCGAACAATAAAATACAGGAGGATAAGATTGTCAGATTTGAGTACTCCTTTAGAGTTCAGTTTAAATCTGTAGTTTGTTGATTCCTTTTATTTCTACCATAACATGATTATATTTATATTTTCTATCAAGATACGTTTTTATGTCTATAATCTTCAGGAAGGTTCTCGCCAACTTCCTGCACAGTTTTCTACTCTTCCGAAATATAACCAATCAAGAAGTATTATGGACCACTTTAATGCTGAACAGATTCAGTCTATATTTCTTTCATTTTCCAGGCAATACCTTTGGTATGCCTCGTTCATCCATTGGTCCTCATACCTTCTTGAAGGTTCCTCCAGACATCGATCTGCAGACGAGCCAATACGCTGTCTTCCATATTTGCTAAACTTTGGTATAGCAAATCTAATTGGCGCAAAAGAAGAACCGGCATAACTGACAATAACCCCCCTCTTGCCTGAAGTCCGTTCTCGGGCTTCATTATTGAAAGAGACATCCGAGTCAGAAAGGTAATATTGGTCAGGAGGTGGCACAGTAGAAAGATCCATAGGGGTATCGATGGGTTCGTCCAGTGTAGGATCTTGATCCAACAGTTCATCTAATAAGGGTGCCATCTCAGTATTATAAGGAGTCATTTCTTTGATCGGTTCTGTCGTCTGCAGTGGAACTTCGTTAACTGCTATGGGTTCAACTGTGTCAACTTCGCACATAGCAGAGACATCTTCAAGTTCAGTTGAAACCACGTCGTCAGTGATATCGGGGTCATTCATGAAGTCCAAAGGGGGTTCATAATCCGAGCAGTCATATTCATTAGGGTCAATTGACTGAGACATTGGGGACATCAGGTCTGTCGATATACAGTATCAGTGTCATCGATATCTTCATCACAGATTGTATCCTCTTAATCGATTGTTGCATCGGGTGAATTGATAACTTTGTCGATCATAGAAATTTCAGAGTCATTTGGCAGGGCAGGTATTTCAACGGCATCTTCAACTATGGGGTTTTCGGGAGCAACGATTTCTTGCGCATCGTGAGTGTTGGGCTCGTTCACAATGGCATCAACCTTTCCGTGAAAGTCATTAGATGGCTGCAGATCGTGTAATGCACCAGCAGGCCATTAGGAACAGGATGTTCGCACATCGAACCAGGGTCTTGATACTGTTCGACTGTGTTTGCTTGCTTCAGGTGATTGACATGTATCCAATCAGATCGAACCACACCATTGAGACTTTCCAATAAATAAACATCATTGTCGTCGTTCTTGCGTCGTACATGATAAGGTCCTTCCCACGAAAACTCCAATCCAACTTTCTGTTCCACATGCAACAAGACTAAGGTCACCAATTTCGAATGTAATGGGCTTAACCGTAGCATCCCATCGAACTTTGTCACGTTCGGCTTGCAACTTCAGTTGTGTTTCAGCATCTTAACAGGCTGATTCTAGCTTGTCCAGCTCTTCAGAAGATCTGTTCGGGTCCACAGGAACATCAGATCCAGCTAGATAAGGTCGTAATGGGTCACCAGGGAGCACAAGTTCTTGACCGTATACCAAGTAGAATGGGCTATATCCAGTAGTAGCATGTTTACGAACATGTAAGGCCCATATGGCTGCATCCAAATGTTGATCCCATTCATGAATTCGTCCACACAAGTACTTGATGAGCATCGACTTCAGAGTTTCATTCAAGTGTTCAACTTTCCCATTCATTCGAGGATGATAAGCCGACATAAATTGATGCATTACCTTGATTCGTTTCGTATATCGCTGCAAAATCTGGGACATAAAGGCAGCACCACGATCCAAGAGAATCTCCTTGGAGCAACCAAAGTGCATGACGATTTCTTCGTATAAAAAGTCTGCTACCACTGCTGCAGATGCCATTGGGACAGCTCAAGCAATTGGCCGATTTGTCAAATAATCCACAGCAACAATGATCCAACGATTGCCTTGATGAGTTGTAGGTAATTGGCCAATGAAATCCAGATGCCATCATCCAAATGGTTCCGGAATGTTAAGAGGATGCATCAGCACTTTGCGAACAGATCTTTGAGATTTACTGGCTAGTTAACACTCTTGATATTGCTGTAACCATTCATCGATTTCCTTCTTCATCTGAGGCCACCATACATGGGGTTGTAATACGTGTAACATGGTTGACAATCCAGCATGTCCAACAGAATGGTGATAACGAGCAAGCAGGTCGGCACATTCAACATAAGGAACAAATCAAGTCCAGTGTTCACCATTTCGGTGGTAGATTACGTCGTCCTTGATCATAAACGTATTGCGATTTTCCTTCAGTTGTTCTCATATGGACTCAGGAATGGCTTCTTCAGTGTACATGTAATAAAGAGGCCAATCTGTATCATGCACCACAGGCATCACCGTGTCCATTAAGTATAAGTATTCGGGCACTACAGGCTTCTCATCATGGTCATCATCAGGGTCTTGAACGATCAGAGAGAGTGCATCTGGTACTACTTGTTGTTTGCCTGGTCGATACTGAATATCAGGGTCGTACAGTTCCAGCTCATTAATCCAGCGTACCAGCCTAAGGGTCGGAGTCTTCTGTGAATATAGGTACCAAAGTGGCAAATGATCCATGTATACCACATACTTGGTACCGTCCAAAAAACATCACCATATGTGCAAAGCATGAAGGATAGCAAATAATTCCCTTTCTTGAGCAGGATACCATCCTTAGTCACTCGAAATTCAACGAACACCAATCGTCGACACCAAATTCGCATTTGTCTGGGTTCAGAAACAGCTTGTGTTCACACAATTTTTCCAACACTATGTGCAAGTGCTTCTTGTGTTCTTTCTCATTATAGCTGTACACCAGAATATCATCGAGATAAACTAATATGAATCGATTGATATATTCTTCGAGAATTCAATTCATCATTGCTTGAAACATTGGTGGAGCGTTCATCAAACCAAAAGGTAACACCTTGAACTGATACTGTCCATATTGAGTGTTAAATGCAGTTTTCAGTTGATCCTTGTCACGTAATCATACTTGATGATATCCGCTCTTGAGATCTAAAGAAGACAAAATACGTGCGCCAGCCAAGCGATCCAAACATTCATCAATTTGTGGTAATAGAGAAGTGTTTCAAACTGTCAGTTTGTTCAAAGCTCGATAGCCAACACACATACTGTATGCATGCTACCATCCTTTTTTCGTACAAACAATACTGAAGCACCCCATGGTGACTTGCTGGGTTCGATCAAGCCTTTGTCCAATAACGCCTTGATCTGTCACTGAAGTTCATCCAGTTCACGCGGACTCATCTTGAAGGGGTTTTTTGATACGGATGTTGCGTCGCCAACGTTAATCACATGCTGTACGTCGCGTTCTGGAGGCAAACCAGGTAACTTGTCTGAGAATAGGTCTTTATATCCCTCGATCCACTTAGCAGCTTTCTTCAATATATCGGACACCACCTTGATGTCGTTCTCGCTGTTGACCAACAACAGGGCTACTTCTTTTCGCTGCTTGATCGACTTGATCACTTGCCTCAGGCAACACACAAAATTCAGTTCGTCATCGTCCGTTCATTCGTTAGAGGAGAGCACTATCTCGCCCTTTGCTGTCTGGATCTGCCATGTTTTCGTCTTCCAGTCTATGGACGGGTTAACCATTTCAAGCCAATCCATGCCCAAAATGAGATCGAATCGACTGGGAATCACCAATGCCTCGATGTGATCTTCTTTCTCGACTTGTCCAAAGGAGAAAGGTACCTTGACCATCGTATCCACCATGATCGTCTTGTTACTAGCAGACTTAACTGGCAGAGCGCATTTCAACTTGCGTTGCAGCAAACCTTTTGCCAGACATTTGAATACATAGTTCACTGAGGCTCCCGAGTCGATAATAACTTGCATAGATTCTCTGGCGATATAACCTTTATATGTGGGCAAACCAATTGCACCACGTCCTTTGTTGGCCAAATGCTGTAATTCTTCCAAATGGTCGCGTTCCTTTTGCCAACGGTTGTGAGTTTCCTTGTCCTGGTACCACTTGAAAGGGGAAGAAGCTTTCGATTTCTTGACATCACCGCCCTGATTCTTGCTTCCAGGACCTAGTTCCGGTAGAGGGGTGGTTATATCTTCTTTGTGCAATACGGCCCCCTCTTGACCTATTGCGTGTTGACTTTTAAAGCAGCTTTGGCCGCTTTAACCACTGGGCAATCCTTCACGAGGTGACCTTCCTGGTCACAGGCATAGCACTTTAGGGTCTTGACGTGCTTCTTACCGTTGGTGTCGTATAGGTAGGGTCTATATACCACTACATAAGAATTACCTCGGTTTAAGCAGATAAGAGACACTAGGGTAGTTACACACTATTTATACATTCAAATCCCGATACCAGTTATTATCTTTGAATACCAGATACTAAAGAGATCATCTCTTTCGAGAATAAACAACAGTCTCATCATACTCAACGTTTCTATCCATCTATATCACAGTTGGGATGTCATTGTCTCCTGGGACGAGCCAATTCATGCAAGTCCAGATCCATTGGTTCGGGTCCATTGAACCGACGTTGAGCTTGCTGGAGACGGAATACGGGATGGAAATTATCACGGCGAGCATCTTCGTAGTCTATAGCCAACTCGATGGCACAATCCAGAGTCTCCGGTCTATAAGTGTACACATATTCCTGGATCGGAATACATAAACCACAAGTGAAGCGGTCCAAAGCTTCCGCTTCCGAGACATCACCAGCGATCGCTCTCAAGTCCTGGAATTCTTCGGCATAACGTTGCACAGAACCAGTTTGTCGTAGGTTATGCAACTTTCTATGGACTTGTCAGTACACACCAGTTGGGACAAAGTAATGTCGAATGGCATTGCATAAGTCTCCCCAGTTATCGATCGTATCATTACCACTAGTCTGCTTGTGATGTCGCCACCACATCTTCGCCTTGTCTTTGAGGAGCATAACAGTAAAGTTGAACCGCTGTTCCTCCGGCATTTTTGTAAAGGTGAAGTATTGGTCTACATCATCGATCCAGTTTTCTATAATGACAGGGTCCTTGACACCTCGGAACTTCGCAGGCAGAGGAACCTTGACTTCTGCATCTTGGGTCTGCTTTTCGGCATTTTCTTCCTTCTTCTTCTCGCGTTCCAGAAGGTAAGCCAAAGCTTTGGTGAGAGTCTTCATTTGTGCGTCCATAGTTCCAGTCTCGTCATAATAGTAATTGGGCTCAGGTCAGGTTTCTTTTCAGCCGCTACCAGTTGTCAGATCTGAGTACTTCTTTAGAGTTCAGTTTAAATCTATAGTTGTGTTCATTCTTTATTTCTACCATAACATGGTCATATTTATATTTTCTATCAAGATCATTTTTATGTCTACAATCTTCAGGAAGGTTCTCATCAACTTCCTGCAAGGTTTTCTATTATTTCGAAACATAACTAATCAAGAAGTATTATGGACCACTTTAATACTGAACAGATTCGGTCTATATTTCTTCCATTTTCCAGGCAATACCTTTGGTATGCCTCGTTCATCCATTGGTCCTTCATACCTTCTCGAAGGTTCCTCCAGACATCGATCTGCAGACGAGCCAATGCGCTGTCTTCCATATTTGCTAAACTTTGGTATAGTAAATCTAATCAGCGCAAAAGAAGAACTGGCGTAACTGACAATAAAACGAATGATGATGTTTATTCAATGTTTTGGGGTTTCTTTTTATATTCTATTATAACAATGCTATCTATTCATGATATATCAACTATTACTCATACTGAGCTTTGTTGTTGATATTTACAAACCGTGAGTCATTAAGGCAAAACATTGTCGTGGCTGAAGCGGATAACATCCGAAAATGGTAATCAGCTTAGCATCTTGCTAAGTATAACCATCCTTTTATCAAAGTTTTAGCCGCTCAGCCATTATCCTCTTTAAGAACATAGACCGAATAAGCACATATAAATATCTCCTTATAATTGACAAAAATAAAGCATTATCTTTCCTATCCCTAATCCTCTTGTTTCCCACTCTGGTGATCTTGCCGGTATATCAGATCTGAGTGAAGTACGACAACGTTTAGAGGACCGCTAACAGGTCCGACACACAAAAAGATTCAACACACGACAAATAAGGAAAAATCGTCACCAACAGGATTTGAACCTGTGCGGGCAGAGCCCATGTGATTTCTAGTCACACTCCTTAACCACTCGGACATAGTGACACACGTTCTTCTGCTAAAGGACACTTTTCTCACGGAAAAACATTTACCCGATTTGGAAGTAGTAGCATTGACGACGAATACGCATACATCCAACAAAAAAACCATCCATCCATCCACCAGCACCCAGCAGGAGTCCCCCGAAGACTTGCATCCATCGAGAGCATCAAGTTCTGAACAGCCCCCAACTGATTCCAACATCGCGATTCCTGATCAGCAAGACCAGAACACCAAATTCGCATCGACTGCTTGTAGCGAAGATCTACCTGTAAACCGACGCAAACGCACACTCGGCGACCGCTCCCCAGTCATTTTCCCCCGCGACATACGTACCAGATCCGGGGTGAAACAACATCGAAACTCCCGTGAAATGACTTCTCCATCGCCAGATCGCGTCATGGAGGAAACTGATCCTCTCATGAGTTTTAACTTCAAACTGCCGGATGCCGCTTCATTGAACTTCACGAATCCGGAAATTCCCAGCTGGTTTGTGCCCTTCCAAATGCAAATGCAACGACAGGCACAGAGCCTTTCGAAACTGCAAGCATTAATTGCGGAAAACAAAACGCTTCGCACTGAACTTGCTAAAGCACAGAAAAAAATAGCTCAACTTGAAACTCAGCAAAGGAAATCTCTCCCCCTGCCGAAAATTTCAACTGCTCCGAAAACTTTGGGCTCAGATGCATCAATTCATGCTCACCCTCTCGCTCCCACACCTACGCCTGCCCCTACTTCTTTTGCTGCTGTAGCCGCAAAAAATGCTCGACGCCGCCCGCTTCCTCGCCGTAAGGTCGAGGCCATTGCCCGTACGTTTCTTACTGAATCTGACACCACCGGTTTTCGCTATGTGTACCTGCCTAATCGATACCGCGAACCCATCTCCAAGGTGCGCACAAAATTCCGTCAACTTAAATTGGATAACTCACGTATCCTGGACATCCACTACCCGGCCAACAAAGTCATCGCTCTTCTGCTCCATAACGACTATGTCTCCACTGCACTCTCTATCCTTGCAACGCACACAATCAAGCCACTCGAAAATTTTGATCCCTGTGCCGCCGTCCACCTCCGTGCCAAAGAATTTGTAGACCTCTCTGAAGATGCTCGTCAACAAAAAATGACCGAAATCCACAAAAACCGCCTGTTGAAAGTTTTAGCCTTCTTGCGCCCCACGATCCGCCCTGCAGTTGCCCGCCAATTTGTTACTAACCAATGGTTGACATATGAACAGATCCACGAGTCGCTTACTGCTACAACTTCTGAAAATACAGCCTCCTCTGAGGCCTCTGACATGGAAGATGTCACCCAGAACGACCAAACGCAAGCATCCACAACTCCTTCAGGTGACGGTCAACCTGCGACCCACCAATGAGTGACCCATCAACAAGACCGATCCCCCACGATACCATACTGAAAATGACACTCTGGAATGCTAATGGATGTGCCCGCCACACCATTCAAGCAATACTCGATTCTATTCCATCCACCCACCTCCTCTTTTTGACAGAAACATGGCTTCTATCCCCTCTGCGCTTCCTAACCAACTGGACACAATATCACACGTACGCAACGCCAGTAGCAAATACTTTCCGCGGTGAAATGGGAGTCAGCCTACTTGTCAATCCCAACTGTCCATATCCAGTTACACATTTCCCATCAGCCTCCAAATACGTACTATCCTGCCAAGTCAGGACCTATCTCATCCATTGCGTATATCTACCTCCAGCCTTGCCCGACCAAGAAGCCATCGAGATTCTGCACACTTTGCCAACCCAGACTCATGTTTCGCAAACTAACACCATCATTTGCGGCGATCTTAATGCTCGTCACCGATCACTACTTGGTGATACTCGCACTACCCCGAGAGGTTCTTTGATGCATGATTGGATTGTTGAGCATGGACTCACATGCTGGAACTCACTACTTGCCTATGGCATCCCAACCTATCACTCCCACACCTGCACCAACTCAACCACCGGCGAATATTTCCATAGTGTGATTGATCTCTTTATCAGCACCAACGTGCTCCATAACCCACGATTAGTGGTCCATGACGATCTTTCCCTCGGGTCCGACTATAGTCCCATTTCGCTTCATTGTCTCCTACCTAGACCGACTGAAAATGACCAGCATCCCCGGATTCTTTGGAATTTGAGTCGATTAGCTGAGCCTGATTGCACATACTCCTCCATCATCAAGCAAACACTGCGGCCACTCCGCACCGTTTTGAATAACCTGACCAATCTCACTGCCTCCCAACATCTCGATCGCCCAGATTTAGATGGCCTCGCACAACAATTGACTGCTACTATTCACCATGCCCTGGATGACTCTGTTGGACGCAAGAAACCCCGAGATCGTGCTCATGCCTGGTTCTGAACAGATGATTTACAGAAACATTTTGACAACCGCGAAAAATGCCGCCGAGCCTGGAAAAGGACATCTGGCCTGACTAAAGCTGCTCGATGGCTCCAATACCACCAAGCTTGTGCCAAATACCAATCTGAACTTCGCCGCCGCCGTCGTCTCACTTGGAAGCAATTTTGCCAGAAAATTTCCCACCAGCCACTGGCCGAGACCACCTCTCTGGTGCGACAAATCCGCCGTAACCGCGCAAATAACATACAATTTGCTCACCCTGAAGGCCCACCAATGGCTGCATCTACCATGGCCAATCATCTACAAACTGTTTTTTCTGGTGCTGTGCTTCCCACCACAAGTTATCCGTCCCCACCGATACCACCTGGTCCTCACCCACTCACTCATGGCGATTGCCCCATCTCAGAGACCACAGTGCAATATGCTCTTCTAAAACGCTTGGCCCGTCGCAAAGCCCCAGGATCGGACCACCTCCGCACAGAAATGTTTTTACCCATTATTGATACAGTTGTGCCAGTACTCACACTCTTATTCCGCCTCTGTTGGCAATGGTCTTACGTTCCGACACTCTGGTGCACTGCCCAGGTGATACCCATCTACAAGAAAGGGGACCCACTCGATCCAGGGAATTTCCGCCCAATTAGCCTGACGTCCATTCTACGCAAACTTCTTGAACTCTGCATCCAACAGCCCCTGGAGGACACAGCACCCGAACTGGATATTGCGCAGGGTGGTTTTCGTGCTAACCGCAGTGCTTTGGACCAGGCCTTGTGCCTCCATGAACTCTGTCGCCAACACACCCTTGACCACATGGGCGAAACTCCAGTACTGGCTTTTCTTGACATTAAATCGGCGTATGATACCGTCGATCGAGCAATCATATGGCGTGCTCTCGAACCGTCCATCTCTCCTGCTCTCCTCGGCCTCCTACAAAGCCTTTTTGACAATGTCTGCATTGAAGTCATCGTTAATGGAAGCACCTCACGTTCGTTTTGGCCGCGTACAGTACTGGAGTGCTACAAGGGTCGATCTTATCCCCGTTTCTCTACTCCATTTACATCAACAGCCTTCCAGCCCACCTCCGTGACATTCGCCTCCCACTCTCTGCACGCTATTACAGCACCACACCCCAACGCCAACACAACGGCAAATGGATCAATTGCCTATTGTATGCTGATGATGTTGTTATCGTAGCTGCCTCTGAACTCATGCCGCGACTACTTAAACGCGCCGAAGAACACTCGCATTCTCTCGGATATCGATGGAACCCAACCAAGTGTGTGATCTTAAACTGTCCAAGCGATTATGGTGCACCGCCCTTAAAACTCTACGGCTCGCCCCTGCCCAAAGCACAAAACTTCACATACCTGGGTATACCATTTACTGACAAAGGTGCTATCTCCACAGACCTCCTCATACAGCGCAACACATCCTTCGCAATTGGGGCCATGCGTGCAACAATTCTTCCACTCAGTGTTCGTTCCCCAGCTTTCTCTCGCCTGACTACTGCACGCTTATATGCAACATTTATCCGCCCCAAATTCGAGTATGGACTGTGCATCTGTACTTTCCTTGTCCGACATCTCAAACTGCTTGAAAAAGCCCAAGATCAATGCCTACGACTTGCTTTTGGTGGACATAGCCGCGCCTCAACGACAGTCTTCCGCCACTTGACCAATTTGCTGTCGATGCGAGAGCGCGCACATATTTTAGCCTTTAAGTTCATCGTCCGTGCGCACTGGCTCCCAGAGGCTACCCTCCTAGCCACACTTATCCCGTTCCTTACTTCTGCCCCCAAGAGCAATAGTTTCTGCTGGATTCGACTTTGTGAAGAAAATCCGATCTGGATTGACTCGGCTTTTTCCAATGACATGACCCCTACCCAAGATCGCATCGACCACTTTGCTACAGGCAATAATGTTCAGAAAGCATGCAAACAATATCGCCAGCAACAGCTTACTCTCCTCCGCTCTTCTCCCACGGCCCCAGTTCTACTCTATGCCTGTCGTCCAACCCTTGGTTGTGACCCGCTCTTGACCCTGCCTATGACAGTATACGAACGAAGCTGACTCCTGCGTTGGAAAATGGGCTGGCTACCAGGTCGTCCCATTGCTTGCCAATGCGGATATGGCCACGCCTCCCGAAACCATCTTCTACATTGCTTAGATGTTGCCGCGAGACTACGAGTGGCCGACAATGTGAGCCCAAACCCTTTGGACTTTGTTATCAATCAGTTACCACGAAACATCCCTCCCAGCCCTTCACCAACCCTTCTCTCTCACTGGTCTGATTGGTGGCCAATAGTCTGCTCAATCCTCTTTGCGATCGAACAAATCTGCCAGCCCGATGAGGAATTTTCGGACACTGCCTCAGACATATCTGGATCCACTTTTCTCTCTCAATTACAAAGTCTCCCCCCGGTACAAACCGCGTCTTCCAACACTGAACCTTGAGCTCGTCTTTTCATCTCTTCTTTTTTCGTTACTTTTATTTGTTCTACATTCATCCTTCTACTGCTCTTTTTTTCTTTTATTGTTCTGATCATTGATTAGTTTTTTTTTTTTTTTTTTTTTTTTTTTTTTCTTTTTGTTTCCAATATTCCTTCTGCACTCTTAAAGGCGAGGCCTATTGCTGCCACCGGTCTGGTCTCCATAGCCTTCAATAAAATAATCTTTCACCTCGGACATAGTGACGACGTTCTTCTGCTAAAGGACACTTTTCTCACGGAAAAACATTACTCGATTTGGAACACACTACACATAATTAGCTGTTTTTACCGTTTTACCGGTAAAATTTAACAAAAATTTACCGGCGTTTTTACCGGTAAAAACTGCTTTGCATTGCAATGTTCTGGAGCTGCGGTTGTGATTGGTCAATGTTTACCCCACCTATTCCCCCCCTTTTTTTTAGTATGCGTTTTTTTCTTCAGTATGGTGTCGTCGTCATGGATACTTGAGCTTATTTTTGGATATTGGCTTGCTTCCTAATTCAAATGCTTACTCAATGATGAATCAATCATATCATGCACTTGTCACTCATACCATCTTAATGGCTTATCAAAGACAGATCACCATCTCTTTTTTCGGTGTTTATTTTTGTTGTCCAAAAAATAAAAAAGCTTCTTTAACTTTTTCCCTCTATTTTGAAAGTCTTTACTTAATTATCGCTTCAATTAAGATGTCCGGCTCAATCTCTTACCAATATGGTCCTTGCCATTGCGCAAAGTGCACTAAGCTTGTCAAGGGCAAATTGTTTTTTGTGAAGCAGCAACCTCGCACTGTGCGTGAACATCTTGCTAACAGAGGCATTTCTCCTTTGCTCGCCAGTCAAGGTAAAAAAAATCATAGTGCTGCAAGAGACCTAGTAGTTTTATTTTATTTACCTCGTCGAAAACAGACAATGAACCTGAACCGGTGACAAACGATGACTTCAACATGGAGTACGAAATGGACGACGTCGTTATCACCAGTAACGTACCTTTTGACTCCGATGATGCTGTTTTCGGAGAGCTCGTTGTGGACGACGCAGGAGAGATCGTTGATTCCGAAAATCTGCCTACCGATGTCGACGGTTTCCTCGAATCTGGTGCCGATGATGACTATCTCCGGAATGAAGTCGTTTTGCAAGAGGAGGAAGAAGCAGTCGAATCCACAGTGAATCCCATGTACTTGCTCATTGCAGTATTTCTGGTGTTCTTTCAGCTGCGGTACACTTCTGAGTCGGCTATGGAACTGCTCATCCTTTTCCTGAACGCCTTGCTCGATTACTGTGGCGCTCCTTTTTGGCTTCCTGCAAAGGTGTCCACCCTTCGCAACCACATCCGCTCGTCAATGGAAGGTCAAGGAGTAATCAAGTTTGTCATTTGCCCGTCTTGCCACCATACTACTCGCATGAGTTAGTATCGGTTGGACGAATTTGCTGATCCTGTCAATAATCTTTTGTGCAAATATCGTGACTTTCCGCAACGTCCTCCTTGCAATAACTGATTATTCAAACTCACGTCCGGAAACAAGGCTGCTCCCATCAAAGAGTATGCTTACAACTCAGTCAAAACGACCCTGGCGATGATGTTTGCACGCGACGGCTTTCAACAAGCAATCAATGGGTGGAGGATCCGCAGAGGGGATACCAACGTGCTCTACGACGTCTATGACGGCCGGATGTGGCATGAAGTGAGAGACGTCGAGAATAACACCTTCGCGGATGATGAACGATCCGTCCTGCTGACGTTAAACGTAGATTGGTTCCAAGAATTCGACACAGGTAAGCCTACAAATTGGTGGACTAGATTTGGTTTATGTTCATAAACTTACAGGATTTGACACAGGTCGCATGCATTCTGTTGGTGCCATATATCTTGCAGTGAACAACCTCCCCCGGTCCCAACGATTCAAGCCAGAGAACGTGATCCTCGTTGGTGTGATCCCTGGGCCGCATGAGCCAAAGACGTATCAGATAAATCATTATCTGCGCCCACTCGTCGATGAATTGGAAGACCTGTATGTAGGTATTAGCATCAATCATGAGCGCATTCGTGTGGCGATCCTCATGGTTGCATGTGACATACCTGCAGCGCGAAAAGTTTCAGGCTTCACAGGTATGAGATCATTCAACATTCTTCCTAATGAAAAAAAAAATCTGAAGTTTAATATATAGGTATCGGGTCATTTCGGGCTTGCTACAAATGCAAACGCTCATTCCCAGGTGTACCCGGTAACCACCTTCAACGCGATTTCTCGGGTTTCCTTGATGTTGACAGTTGGGAGAGAGGCAGCGCTGCAGAAAACAGGCAAGAGGCAAAACAGTGGAAGGCAGCCACCACCTTGCAGCAGCGTGCTTCTCAAGAGAAGCTGAACGGTGTCCGGTTTTCAGAATTGCATCGTCTGAAGTATTTGGATCTTGTCCGTTGTACGGTAGTTGATCCAATGCACAATCTGTATTCGGGCACCGCAAAGCGGTGTATGGGGCTTTGGAAGACGTCGCTGCAACCCCATACTGACCAGCTCATGCTGAACGACCGGGATTTCCAGGCGATGGCAGATCAGTTGGGCAGAATGCTTCTCCCTTCCGGCTACGATCTGCCAAGTGGCAAAGTCAACTCTGGGTGTGCCAACCTGACGTCTGACCAATGGCGCACATGGGTGCTAGTTTCTCCTTTTCTCTTGAAAGAGAAGCTGATCGGAGCCGACTTCACGATCTGGATGAAGTTTGTGAACGCGAACAGACTCCTTTCAAGACCAGCCATCGAACGTAGCAAGCTAGATGAAGCGCACGAACTGCTGCGTGATTTCTGCCATTCTTACCAGCAGCGTTACGGTACCGAAGAAATCACTCCCAACATGCATTTGCATATGCATTTGCGGGAAAGCATCTTGGACTTTGGGCCGGTCTACGCATTTTGGTTGTTTAGTTTTGAGAGACTGAACGGGTGTCTGAAAAGCTTTGCAACAAATAGCAAAGATGGCTTTGAGGTCACCATAATGCGCAAATACCAAGAGCAATATTATGGTAATTCTCCCCTATCTGCATTCGGTATTTTGAAATTAATGTGAAATTATAATTAGGTGATCAATTGCTGCATTCGGTTCGCCATGCCCTGGAGATCCACCCAATGTTTGGTAGAGCATTGCACGCCGTTCTTCCAAACATTGGTGCGGCAACCGCAAGTACCGCTACGAACGATGTCGCTGATGCGTACGAGTTCATCCAGTTGGCCCACCCTGAAAATGCTAATAGTGTTGTGGGGTATGAAGCTTTGCCTCAGTCAGTCATACTCTTCAGCATCGGCCAGTATGTCAAAATGGATCCCATGCATTACAGGTGCCTCTACAGCCACTACGAGCGCCTGCAGCTACCATTCCGCCCGGTGACCGATTCGGTCAACATTCATTTGAGAATGGTGATGGACCGGATTCAGAAGTACGCACGATGCCAAATCTTTGGCCAAGAGTTCAGAAGCCGCGAAGCTGCGAGAACGGGTCGGGGTCGTCACATCCAGGCGTATTTTAGTTCTGCCAATAGTGGATACTATCTGCGACCTGGAGAGGTGCAATATTATTTCCAACATGTCCAGCGATTACCAACGCATGATAGCACCGAAGACATCGAATTCAAACATACATTTGCTTTCGTGCGTTGGTATCAACCATACAATCCCACCTCCTTTGACAACCTTGGGCTTTCTGTTTGGCGATGCGATTTTGACGAGATGGATAATACGTGCATCCTCCCTGTGCATCGTATATATCAACCTGTGGCAATCACTAGCTGGCTCGATAACAACGTCGTCATCATTCCTTTACTGCGAAAAGTCAACATGTAATATATTCCCTAAAGTAAGTGGTGTATGCCTTTGACTTTTCAGTGGATCGGTACTGAACACTTGCGTTGTTTTAGTTTCTTACAGTATAAAAAAAATGTATTTATTGTCTTTTCGCCTCATCGGGAAGCTCCTCCAAAAGTTCTGCATCAACGTGCTGATCCACCAGCACATATTCTTTCGGAATACGCACTACTTTGACGCGTTTCTTCTGCTGCGACAACTTGTCCTTTTCCGCGAGCTTTGAAAGCTCATCCAAAAAGGCATTTGCCTATAGAGATACATGTTATTCTTTGGGACGTTCATGCAAGTGGTTTAATCTGATTTGCTAACCTGAGGACTTCTCCAGTTGGGCCGAAGCATCTTTGTCTTCACGACGAAACCGTCTTCGTCCTTCACATCCTCCTTGTCAGACATCAATCGCTTGTCGAGGAGCTTTCCAGCCCCAGGGAAAGATGTAGTTAGGCCTTCATTTGCCCTGAAGGCATTGAGCCGGGCCTGGCATTTCTACACAGGTACTCAGGTTAGTCTTATTTTTTAATTCGATTGTATTGTTTCGAATACTAACGCGATCCCGTTTTTGCCGGGTAGCATTGGTGCGACTTTCGTTCTGGAGGTCTTCTGGGCTTTTTTTTGCCTTACTTCGCAGCCCATTCAGGTAACTGCGGCACTTTTGGTATACGAATTCGGGAGTCCAGTCAGGCTCCCTCTCGTCACTGGAAATGTTGGCGATGTAATCCTGCAAGGCCTTCACGACGTTCTTATTTGGCTTCTCAAAGACGAATTTATTCAAATCGAAGCAGAGATTTGGGTCATTTGCAAAATTTGCTTCGTAATGCTTACGAATAAGTCTCTGTTTGAAACGGTCAGTGATTCTTATCAGCAAATTGGATATATTATGTACACTGCTTACTCTCAGCTTATAATCAGCATGGTCGATGGTGACAGAGGAGCGTTTCTTTGGACGGTCTCCTTCAGCGACTAGTCGTTCAAGAACTGCCACACGCTGCTTCAATGCTGCTACGTCACTTGAATCCCGGGAGATTATCGGAAGAGCAGGCACTGAGTGCACATGCACTGGTCGGGAGGATTGCACTTGAGGGGGCCTTCGTTCGTTTGACATGATGTTTTTAAAAGTACAAGTGAGTGATAAAGAGGTATGATTGATTTGACATGTTATTTTCTTACCCAATTCGAGAACTAGCTCGTTTCCCATTGCCAAATCTAGCGAACACGTCATCAGATACATGGTAGAATGTTACACGGTGAGTCATCTATTAAACAGGAATTGGAAAATCAACAACAATATCTGTCTTTCTCTGCTATCCTATTATTTTTGATAAGTCGTTGTATTGTACTTCTTTACTATACTTTTCATAGCTAAAATTATTCCACTTTTCTTGCAGTTTAGACATGAAGATGAAGCAGTTCAGGTAAGTTTTTCTGCAGATGTGTAATAAGACGTATATGGTTTTGACGGAGACAATGCTCATGTATCTCTTGACACGTCTAGAGTTTAAAGAAGATGGTATCCATGCCAAAATCATTTATCAAAGCGGCGGTATGCTATTTACAAGCTATAGTACTAGGTATGTAACAGCCGATACCAAAGTAAATGTGTAAATTTCTATGTTACTGAACATGTTCTTATGACATGTAGAATGAGCTATTGCAACGATGGTTTATCGCTATAAGGAGTCGCACTGTAAGTATTGTTTATGGCATCTTCTAACATACATAGAGGCTAAAGAAGTTGTCTCTATAGTTCGCACCCTCAACTGCTGCCGAAATCAGCTATCATATTCATGGTCTCTTTCAAGCACTCTGCTGATATTTGCCTTTGTAAGTTTGTCTGTCTTTTTATTCTTTACTAAGCAGCATCGCTGTATGTCTAAGGTAAGTTTAGAACATGTTCATAGCATTTTATACATATCCAATGTAGTATAGACAACCATTGAAGAGTTTACTATCATTTTTCGATTTATTACCAATAAATAAATAAAGAAAACAATTTATAAGCATCCAATAAGCAAAAATCCCCCAGTAATTGTATGAAAGCGATAACCTAAAGAGGTTCCGTATTTAGTCAATCAAAAGAGATCTTGAAGAATAAAGACGCCAATCAAAAGGTTCTTCAGATGGACAAAAGACCAATCAGAAATGGTTTTCGTGGCTGTAAAGATGTCTTCAGAACCAATGAAGGGGGCACCCTGCTGTTCAAGATCTTGGAATTAGCCAATGAAAGAGAAGCGCATCTTGGTATATTCAATGTGTTTTTACCGGTAAAGAATCGGTAAAAACACGCTGACTTTATCGAGGATTTACCGGTAAAAATGGTGCGTCTTCAACGGTAAAAATTCGGTAAAAACGTGGTGACTTTACCGTTTACCGGTAAAAATTCCAAATTTTTAGCGGTAAAAAGCCGATAAAAACGGCTAATTATGTGTAGTGACACTACAGTTAAATAGCTATTCCGTACAACCCGGACGTCCAGTGATTTTTAATTCCTTACGCGGCCGGTATTTCTAACTTGCCATTTTGGGATTCTGTGTTATGCAGACTTCCCTTTCAGAATAAACATTCTTATTTTGGACGAATTCTCGTTTTGGATGGGGAAAAAAAACACTAAGCCGCAACCGTCGTTAAGAGAGACAGTTAGGCACTTCGTGTACAATAGCTCTTCTTTGAGTCTTTAATCAATTTTTGTAATTACTGCAATGTCTTATCAACGCGAATTCAATGCTCATGCCGCTAGCGCTTCTAGCGCTAATGGCGTTACTAACCCTATTTTTACTGACAATACTACACTTTCTGTTTCTAGCCGTTATATAGATTGTTACTGCGATAAATGTACTTCTCGACTCTCATCTGGAGAAATTTTTCATTCACAACAAACCAGCCGGCAAACTCGCCGACATATACAGCGTTGGGGTCTTTCTCACCATCTTTTTTCTCCTGCGCCTGTCTATGACGATGGTAAATTGACTTGTATATTTTATCTGATATATTTTCTCACGTCTTTTTTTTTTCCTCATAGACGACGATGTTGAGATGAATGAGCCGGACAATGCCAATGATACACCGCTTTCTTTTCCTGATACCGGTAATATACCATTCCGGCATTCATATAATCGGTAACTATGAAGTGAACTGTCAATGAATTTTTAGCCTTTATTTAACCTGACCTTTATATATATATTTATATATTTATATATGCAGCAATTCACCGTTATTTGACAATAATTATTTTGCAACAGTAGATGACGAACCTCTTGATCCGACTGACATCGTTCCTGGAATTGTACCAGGGGATTCGGATAATGCTGTTTTTGGACAGATACTGGTTGATGACAATGGTGCCGAAATCGATATTGAAGACCTTATCGATGAGGAAAATCCGCATCTATTAGATGGCCTATCAGATGATGATGATTATCTTCGTGAAGAGCAGGTGGAGGACGACTACGAAGAAGCGCTGCCACCAAGTTCGGCCAACTGGTTTACCTGGGTCATCATGACTTGGGTTTACAATTTTTGTATCAAGTATTTATCTAAGGAAAGGGCGAAACAATTGATGGTGGGCCTCAATTTTATTTTTCTTGTGTGCGGGATGGAGTTTCGATTCCCTGCTGAATTGTCGACCCTCGCAAAAATGGTCGGTACACCTGATAGTGTCAAGTCTATCATTCGTTTTGTGGTCTGCCCCATCTGTCACAAGACAGAAAGTATTGGCGATCTGCAGTTGGAACGGTACAATGATCCTGTGGAACAAGTTCGGTGCAAGCACGTAGAAATTCCGAGACATCCAACAGCTCCCTTCTCATCACCATGCGGTCACCGATTATTCAAACGTTCCGCTGGAAACCGTCCTGTGCCCATCAAGGAATATAGCTATCTTCCTCTTATTCCGACCCTGCAAATGATGTTCCGCCGCGGAAACTTTGTCAACAAAATCAATCTATGGAGACAACGCACTTCCTCTGTAACTGGCAATCCGTCAAATATTTTATACGATATCTATGACGGTCGCATGTGGAACGAACTCAAAGATCAATATGGAGAGCGTTTTGTTGATGATGGACGGTCACTTCTTTTAACCTTGAACGTGGACTGGTTCCAGCCTTTTGACACCGGGCGTCAGCATTCAGTCGGTGGAATTTACCTGACGATCAACAATCTCCCTAGGACGGAACGTTACAAGCCAGAAAATGTGATTTTAGCAGGCGTTATTCCTGGTAGCAAAGAACCTAGCAAACAACAGATCAACCATTATCTGCGACCTCTTGTTGATGAGCTAGAACAGTTGTATGTTGGCGTTGGCGAAGAAGACGAACGTATCCGCGCTGCTATTCTCTTGGTTGCTTGTGATATCCCCGCAGGTCGAAAAGTTTCAGGTTTTACAGGTACTTGACATAGGGTTTTTTTTTTTTTTTTTTTTTTTTTTTTAAAAAAAAGTCCATATTTAAGATTATTTTAGCTAATAATGTACTGTATTCCTGGTAGGCATTTCGTCTTTACGTGCATGCTACAAATGCAACCGAACTTTTTCAGCTTTACCAGGATGTAATCTCAGACGCGACTTTTCAGGTTTCTCAGACGTTGGTCGATGGGAAGGTCGCGATCTTAGAGCCAATTTAATGCAGGCGGGAAATTGGAGAAACGCATCTACCTTACAGGAACGAACTCAACTAGAGAGAGAGCACAGTGTCCGTTATTCGGAACTGCCCAGACTTCACTATCTTGATCTTGTACGGTGCACCATTATCGATCCTATGCACAATTTCTATTCTGGAACGGCGAAGTACTGTATGAAAGTATGGAAAACCACATTGAACACTGCTACTGGACAGCCACTTTTGTGCGATAATGACTTTGAGATAATGGCGCAACAAATGAACCGCATCATTCTACCTTTTGGCTACGATCTCCCGAAAGGCAAAATTAGCTCCGGTTGTGTTGGCTTGAAATCCGATGAATGGCGTACTTGGGTCCTTACGGTGTCGACATTTCTCCTAAAAGAAAAGCTCACCGGTCAACACTTTCGAATTTGGATAAAATTCGTGCAGGCGAATCAACTTTTCTCCAAGCCATCGATAAGTGTTTCGGAAGTTGATACTGCACATGAACTATTACGCCAGTTTTGTCAAATGTTTCAAGAGGAATACGGTTCAGAGAGCGTGATGCCTAATATGCATCTGCATATGCACCTCCAAGAAACGATCCTTGATTTTGGTCCAACGTACGCATTCTGGTTATTCGGTTTTGAATGATGTAATGGATGGCTAAAAAAGATCGACACAAACACCAAAGACGGATTCGAAATGACCTATATGAAGAAATTTGTGGAGCAAGCCTATGGTGCAGATCACGTATCGCATTCCCTTTCTAGTATTCCTCATCAATATTTCGATGCCGCAATGCAACTCTTGAAGACAGTTATTCCGTTGATGGCAGCTTTTTCTATGCTAGCTCAAGATACCAACAATGACTTTTTCGATGTGGACGATTTTGTGCGGTTGGCTGGACCGGGTAATGGTGCACTTGGCTTTGAAGAACTACCGCCATCAACTTGTTTGGAGGAATCGAACAAGTACATCACTATGAACCCTGTACATTATGATTGTCTTTTCCGGTATTATGACAACTGTTACCAGGAAACGCTTCGACCGGTGACCAATTACAGTACATTGACACTGATGTGACCATGGTGACCAATATTATATGAAAGGTTCCTCGTGTATCCATACTCGGTCAAGATTATAGAAGCAGGGAAACATCAAGAACAGATAGAGGTCGACATATCCAGGCATACTTCAAGGCGGCGAATAACGAATACTACTTGCGACCTGGCGAAGTGCTCTATTACTTTACCCATAAAGTGAAGCTGGCGACTGAACACGAGGGTGTCACCTCAGAGTTTAGGCATACATTTGCATTCGTACGATGGTACCAGCAGGCCCCCTATTCAGTTCCAAGCTTTGATGAGCTTGGAATGCGTGTTTGGAGGAATTCCTTCGACGAGTTGGACAGAACGTGCATTTTGCCGATTCAGTGCATCTATTCTCCTGTGGCAGTTTCTGCCTGGCTAGACAACAATATTGTTGTTATTCCATTGCCCCGTAA